CCCCCCCAAAAGCCAGGCAAACCCTGGAACTTGCTTGCCTGGCTGTAGTCACTGGTAGCTGTCGCCTGGTACGCATCGATCGATCCTCGCCCGCTTAGGAACGCAAGCAATTCCCCGTTCCCGTTCCCACCCCACCGCCCTCCCTCCCTCCGTCCTGAACGTCTGAGCGCTAAAAAGAAATGCAGAATGAGAAGGAGCAACAAGCAAACAAAGAAATCGATGCAAGGGTTAATTCAACGGTCCAGGCTCAAAGTGTGGAATCACGGGGATTGGGCGCCCCCTGGCCCCTTCCTTCTGCTCATCCAGCTCCTCAGCTCCAGGCCCTGTCCTCTTTTCTTCTCGTTCAGAACGGCACGACCTTGATACTCCGCCGCAGGCTTTCAGGGAGGTCTTCCTCCTTGACGATGCCCATCTGGACGCAGTCGCCCCAGAAGAACAGGGCGCGGTCGTGCGCGTAGGCGAGGTAGTCGTACTCTTCCGTTTCCTCTTCGGGTTCGTCCGTTGTTGGGGTGTCCGTCGATGTCGACGTGGTTGTCTCCTCCTCGGGTTGGGCTTCGCGTGCATGGGCATCATCGCGGCGGCCGCCGCCTTGGCGGTGTGATTCTTCTTGTGCGCGGCCTTCGGGTCGGTCGTTTTTGCTTTGCTCTTGGAGACGCTTGTCTTCGTCGGTGAGGGGGTCTGATTGTGCTGTGACGGCGGCGGCGTGGTGCTCGACCTTGTCGTCGCCAGCCTCAGCTGTGTCTTTGCTGCCACCGCCCATCGTCAATCCTTTGACTTTATCCACCACTCCTTCAACGATGCTCTTCGCCCTCTGGGTCTTGCTCTCCTCCTTCTCGTCGAGCTCGGGCACCTTGGCCTGCACGATGCCCCACGCAACCCACATCGCGGAATTCGCCAGCCGCCAGAGCCTGGTCTCGCGCAGCAGCCGCTGGATCTCCTCCTCTTGTGCTTTCTCGCGCGCTCTCTCCTCCACGTCGTAGTCCATCGCTGCGCTGCCCAACAGATCACCCGTGGAAGCCGATGCAGACGCAGGTGTGGACCCGGGAGGAGCACGTGCGTCCAGCATGAAATCATTGATGTTTGTTTTCTCCCGGGGCTCCATCTTCGGCGTCGCGCTCGCGCTGGGGTTGAACTGCGGTCGGTGCATGACGTAGCTGCGCACGAAGCGGTACTGCTCCTCTTGGTTGGGATACCTGCGTGTATCACACATGGTGCTGCGCTCTGGGTGGTGGTAGTTGTAGCACCATTCGGTGAAGTGGTTGGCGAATTCCAGTCCAGCGGTGTTCTGTGACGCGTACTCGAAGTCGATGACGATCAGCTGCTTGTGGTGATTGCTGGGCTGCAGCAAGGGCGAGGTCCCTGAAGGTTGTAAACGCATCAGGTTGCCGTACTGCGTGTCGTTGTGTGCAAAGACCAGATTCGAGCGGATCGCTTTGGGTCCGCCTGAGTCTTTGACGAGACGTGCGCGGTAGGCTTCGTATACACGTCGGAATACCGGCCACTCGACACCGCAGATCAGACCTCGCCGGGTGTAGTTTGGATTGATCTTTGACTTGATGTTGGCGGCACCGCCAACAGAATCAGCGGATGAGCTCTTCTCTGCCACTAGTCGGACTTGCTCGTCCAGGAAACAGGCGACTCTTTGGACTCGGTCAACCCATTTGTCCCAGTTGATGAACACAGCCGGTCCAGCTTCGAGCTCGGATTCGAGTAGGTCAATCCCTTCGTGAAGCTCGCGCATTCGTTTGGCAATTTGCTTCGACGTCTCTGGGACGCGCAGGTCTTTCTCGGTGAGCGTCGTGGCGTGCAAGAACTCCTCAAAACGTCCGTTTTCGAAAGTCCCCAACAGGCGGGGCCCGATACGTTTTCTGGCGAGCCGGCGGAGGATACCCAGCTCAGCCTCTCGGTCAATGAGATGCTCTACCTGAGGGCCGTATATCCGCAGCAGAAGATTTGATGGTTTATGTTTGGAAGAAAGAGTCAGCTGTTGAGAAGACGATGTATCGAGAGAGGTAGAGGAACCCTTGGAAGCTTGGCTCGCATAATCTGCCATATTCTTCGGTGGGCGCACGACGTAGACAGCATTTGTAAGTGCACCACTCAGCCTTCCCACGTCGATGTCCGCGGCACGATCGATGGGAATCTGTCGCCATCCTTTGAGCCTCAGAGTGTGGGTTAAACGGATAACGTCCTGCTTGAAAGTCACCCAATGTTTGAGATCTCGTTGTTTCGCTGTGTCACTCGTGTCGGCATCGGCCGAGCCACCTGTGTATGACAAGGTCTTGGAATTGTCCAGAGTGGCCTCAACATTCGGTACAAGTATGTCATCTCCGAAGAACTCTGTATCGGAGGACTGAGGGACTATGGAACCGCGCTTGGTGAATTTCTTGGCTATACTACCTCTGCGAAATAATGAAGTGGAGGATTTGTGGGTCAGTTTGGGTAGATTTTGTAGGTATGAGGCGGTGAATCCGGCGAGGATGTCCTCGAGCTTCTCGAATGCCGGTTCCGTGTCATCGGTGGATTGCGCACGTTGATGCTGTGGTTGCTGTGGTGGAGTCGAGGTCCCTTGGGGGTCCTGCTCCCTGGTTGTTCTCCGATGTTGCTGTTGCTGGTGCTGGTGCTGGTGATGATGCTGCGAATGGGGGTGCTGTCGCGTCGCGTGTCGGCGTCTCTGCTGCTTGGCCTTCTCCTCCTGGAGCCAGTCCACGACTTGGGACAAGAGGCTACGAAGGTCGGGAGTCTTGCTCTCGGCTGGGGTGTCAGTCGCCTCGGGCTTGCTGTTATCAAGGCTGAAGTAGGACATTTGCTGAGCCAGCGAGGCAGATGAATTGGCTTGGGGCAAAGGAGGGCGGCCAGTCATCTTTTTGCCAGATATGCTCGCGCGATGAAGCTTGGGGCTCTGGGATGCGATGAGAGTAGGCGAAATTCCATCCTCATCGTAGTCGCCTGGTTTGGCGGGCTCGATGTGCTCTGGCTCATCGAAGATCTTCACTTCTGTTTGTTTCAAGGTGAGGGAATTAGCAAGGATGACCGTTTCTGAGGGTGAGGCTGAAATCAGGGCACGATAATGTGGGCATGGAGATCTGGCAGTGCTCTGGTAACAGGGTGTATTGGAATACTACTAGTATAGACTGGCAGCAGGACTCCGTAGTCACGTTGGGAATCAAGGCTGTCGTGTGACAGAATCTTTTCATCTCTCATCTCTTTTTGCAAACCTTAAGACCAATGGCAGCACGTGCGACATCCCCGGTAGCACAACAGCGTGACTCTGCCGCTGAAGTGGCACAGGGCAGGGGACCAAGTTATTATCCAGGCCCACAACGTCTACTTCACTGGCCGTCTCGAGACATGGCTGTGGCTGTGGCCGCGGCCATGGGATTTTGGGAACTGAGTATAGCAATTTGTTTATATCATACCTTTCTGAGGAGCAACCCGCGGTGAAGGCACTGGAGCTGCCGTGGCGGTTGGAGATGATGCCATCGTGTCGCGTGTAGTGGTGCACCAGAGGGGGGGCGTCTTGGCCAGCAGACCAGCCCACCAACTGTATAAAGCGAGATGGAGACGGCGGCCGGTCCTTGGGTTATCAAAATATTGGAGAGTGTGCAGTCTTCGCTCAGATGGGAGTTAATCTTGTACCAAAGTAAAAAAAAGACAGAGACTGTGAATAAATGAATTAAAAGGCCAACAGGGCTTCTGTTGAGAATCCAAAAAGTGGGAACCTGGCTCGAACCTGTTCTGTTATCGGCCAAGCTCAAGAGAATTGGCCACGTGCGACAGAGACGGCGTTCCCTCGCCCATGAGCCTGGAAAAGCAAGCACGGAAGACCTTACGAAGTAGGCATTCTTCTCAGAGTCGACATTTACACGTAGACACACAGATGCAGATGTAGATGTGACTTTGTTCATTATCAGACACCCACGCTTTGCAACCCAACACACCGTCTGGTGTTGGGTGTTCCCTACAAACCCAGTCGCCCACAAACTGGGGTGGCTGTACACAAGTCGGAATCTGAATCCGAATCCGAAGTATCTGTAATTCGTCGCTAATCAAAACCGTTTTCCCATGCGTGAATATCATTACAATAGGTCCTGTCCTAGTACCAGGTGGACCCCCGGGGAACCAAACAATGCTGTCTTTCACTGTTACCGGTCCATGCTCTTTGAGTGTGGAGGATGCGATACCTGGGTCACTGCTGCTCCATTCGGACTTCGACTTCCACTTCCGCCCTGTATCTCATCTGGATCCTCCACCAAGTCTGTCAGCCCAAAAGCATTGTGTTCCACGTCATAACTGTGCATCAGCCCTGCATTTTCGCCATTCATGTTGCGCAGGCCACCTGGACTGAACGTTAAACTGCTACTCCTCCGATGCGGATCGAAGCTTCTCCTGGCTTGCATGCTCCTCCTCGTAGAATAAGTGGCCAGTGGATCGGTTGGAATTCCGTCCTCATTGATCTTATTGTTGAGTATTCGGTGTCCATCTGGGTCGCCTCGAGATAAGTTGAGTAGATACGCTCCGGCAAAAATGACCAGAAAACCGGAAAGGAGGGAGATGGTGTTGACGGCGTCGGTGGTATTGAATCCCTGGAAAAGGATGAACGATGCACAGAGCGTGGCGGTGGTAAAAGTGACATAGTACAATAAATTGACAATCGAGGTCGAGAACTGCGCCAGCGCCTTGTTAAGGTAATTCATTTGTGTCAAAATACACACCACCGTAACAATCATGAACACGTACGTCGAGGCGTGGGTAAACTGATTGTTTCCAGCAAAGGTCAGCTTGACGGCGATTCCAAAAGCTTTAACCGACATGACCGAGACCGACCCAACGGTTGAGCATATGGAAATGAATATTAATGGGTTTTTCCTGCCATACGTCGGGGCGACCTTGTAGATCATTACAGTGGAAAAGACAATTGCGGCCAGACAATATATTATAAACGCTAGAGGAGAGGGTCAGCAAAGAGCGCCCTTGGGGGCCAGCAAAACAAGAGCGGGCGCATACCTGGCTTCATTGCAAATTCGAGTATCTGGTCCACTGTGTCGATAGGGGCGTCAGGCGGCGCGTGGAGGATGATAATGATGGATCCAAGGAGGCAGATGGCACAGCCCAGCTTGCCCAAAACTCCCAGTTCTTCGTCCAAAAAGTAGGCGCCGAGGACAGCGCCGATCAGTACACTGAGAGCACCCAGAGGCGTCACTAAAATAGCAGGAGCGAAAGCGTATGCGGCGAAGTTGGCAATCTCTCCAATGACCATAGACACGATGCCAGCCCACCACAGAGGTGTTTTCAGGTAGGCAAACCCATCTCCTTCGAATCCATGTTTGTCCGCCGCGTCATTCAGGCCCTTTTTGGTGATGACGAAGCTGGTACCGATGGCGAGGGTAGAGGCAATGGCCAGAGCGAGGCCGATGTATTTATCTTCAACCATGTCAAACATCGTGGCTGGGGGGGGCGCGCCGGCGCAGGTGCGGAGGGGCGGCGTGCTCCCTTCCAAGAACCTTTACAACCTCCGGGAAAGAAGTGACGATCGGGGAATGTGAGCAGAGAATGCGAGGACCAAAGGGGGAGTCCGAAATGGCTGCGAAGAGAACGTGAGGATCGAGTGGTGAATGCGCCGACGAGTTACAGGGCGATGACTAGCTCAAACCGGCTGATGTCCCAGCACCAGAGAGCAGCTTCAAGGTGGTAGGTAGTAAGTAGGTAGTAGGTAGTACGGAGGAATCGTAGGAAACAGGTGGCTGGACTCCGAGGCGAGTTTGGGATGCTTATGCGAACTGCGTTTGGGACTTAGTGGTAGCAGTAATAGTAGTGGTAGTAGTAGTGGTAGTAGTAGTGGGGAATTTTCTGATCCGGGTTGTTCTACGGAGGAGTGAATCTTGAAACGAAAGATTTCTTAGGAACAACGAACGACGGCTCGCATAAAGGATTGACGGTTGCGCTTTGAAGGACAACCAAAAGAGAGAGTCGTGAGGGTGTAAGAGTGCTTGGTAAAGGGACAAACAGCGCACGCGGCAAGAGTTTGGGGGGAAAGGGGAAAGGGGATCTGGTAGCTTTGGAAGATGAGCGCGAGCAGGTAGGTTTGACTTGTGGTATTTTTCTGTTGCAGGGACGGGTTGGGGGACGCGGTGCGAGTAAGCAGAAGTGATAATAATGCTATGGAGAGCTCATAGGCTTCAAGGTCGGGGCCGCGTGAGGAGCTTGCTGCCCATGAAAAGAATGCTTAGGCGTACGCTTGCGCGAAAGTGGCCAAGAAGCCAAGCGGACTGGACTGTCGACTGGTGCCAAAGAGGAGAGCCATCTGGCTGTCAACAAAGTGTCAGACAGATCAGCCAGGTACTCCCAAACGCCCGAGGGCCCTCGGACAGGCTCGAGGAGGCTCACACACGCCCCCTAGCTTTGGGGCACCACACGCGTCTAGGTGCACTCGTGAGTCGTGAGTCGGGACTTGTGGGCGTGAGGCGCGGCCCAAGTCCACTCTGGACTCTGGACTCGCCCGTGGACCGTGGTACGTGTTGCTGCGCCTCCACAATCCTGAATGCTTGCTTCGGACTATCTGTTGAGGATCTTGGTCTTACATACTGGTATAGATAGCACTGCAAGAGTTCCATCTCATCTTGACGAGTCTCTTGTCTTGTACCGGTGGTGCTCGAAATTCCAACGAACCTCTCCTTCACCGTCCCTCGCTTGTCCACAGCGCACCTACCTGAACATAACGTATCTGATGGGGCCTTAGAAGTCCTCGTTCATACATGCCATTTTTGGGTATAGTGGTTACATACTCTGTAGCGGAGCATCGTCACGCTTCGAATAGCCTCCCGATAAAAATACCTTGCTGGAATGATAGCCCCAGCCCTTGCCAGCCTTAAGCGCCCCAATCAGTTGCACCGGCCAGATAATAATCAATCCATGATTCCCACTCCAAAGCCCCGCTTGGGCAAAAGCCAGGTCACCTGAAACCGCGTTCTTTATTTCACTCAGCGGCGTGGTTTGGCAACCCCCTCCCTCCCCCGTCCACGGAAAATATCATGTGCCGCTGGTGCTTCTCCACCGGTCAGCTGGAAGAGTACAATGTTTCACACTCGAAGGTTGCACTGCATTGGTTGTTTGACAACAGCGCTGGCCTTTGTCCCAGAATTCGCCCACTTGCCACACTGGCAAGTCAAATCCCAGTCCTTTTCGAGTAATTCGCCCCCACCCACGGTTGGTTGGAACGAGCAGTGCCACCTCTTGTTGTTGACAAGGTTGAACTTGCTCGTTCTAGTAGTCACGCCGCATGGGGGGCCCTTGGACTTCACAGCCTTTCACGTGCATGTTGTGTCCACCTAGAAGTCTACGAGCAGGAGAGCAGGAGAGCAGGAGAGCAGGAGAGCAGGACGGACACGCGTTCTTCCTCTCTGTCAATCTTACAGGCCTCGTACCACAGCAGGCATACTTATTGTTTTGTTTGCATGCCCGCCGTTTCTGGTTCAGTATCGAATGCCAAAGTAATGGTGGGGCGACACCTGATTAGGGCATTGTCTTCGGGAGCAGGTCGTGCTTGAAGATCATGGTCACCATAAGTTGATTAATCTGTCGACGGACAATCGTTTGTTACTTCATACCAAGCGATGCTCAAGATGTCCTATCCTCTAATACTTGAAAGCAATCCCATCGAGTTCTGGTCTGCTTTCGTCCCTTGAGCCGTGTCTATGTTGCAATCCAACCAAAAGCGCTTCTAATCCCCTGCAACCACACCTTGAGTCAGCTGCAAATCGAACACCGTGTAAAAGGCCGCAGTGAGAGGTATCTTTGGAACGACAATAAAACCACATATCGCTTGGTCCACTCGTCCGCCCCTCGGAATCAGTCGTCAGCACCGGCTTTTGCAAGCGCCATTCCGGTCCCCTTTGCCAGCGGCTCCTGTCTGCCCAAACGCCGTGGTTGAGGTGAGTAATGCCATCCGAACTGTAATACAAAGCCAATTCTTGCCGCTCTATGTCAAAACCCCTCGCGTAAAATCAAAGCAAATTCAACTTTTATGATCATCCCTCAGCATGAGAGGTTTCGATAGGCCGTCTCGTGAGGAGCAGTGTCCAACGCACAAACTGCGCATTTTGCATCTTCAATGCCTGCAAAGTACATGCGCGCCCCTTGGTCGACGCATGCTAGGTGATGGAGAGAGCGCCACTGCAGCGATGCTAACAATATCAAGATCCCTCGTTCTTGGTGTTTCGTATGGCCCGCGCGGTTCCTCAATGCTTGGTCGTCTCTCGTAATTAATAATAATGGTTATTTGAAAACAATTCCTGGCAGTCGACCTGCTGTCTCGGGCTTTGAATGGAAATATCATCGCTGGCATAGGAGGGTGCATTGCTTAGTATCAAATCATACTCAAGTCCCCTGAGAGGCCAGCTCCCATGTTCCCCGGGTTCGAGCCTCCCATCATGTTGGGCATTGCCAGTGGAGGACTTTTAGTCGTGTTGTCCGGCCCTTGTTTGATGGCGCACGCTGGGGAATGTGTCATGTGATATTTAAGCCCGTTCAAATTCTTGTACCGCTTTTGGCACACATCACATTTGTAGGGCTTTTCCTTCTCCATCCCCATCGTGCCAGGGTATGGAACCTGCGTGTCTGGATCTACGATGGCGTAAGTGCCATCTCCATTATCATGCAGGCGTTGGTTGTTGTGTCCATGCTGCCACCCTGAATCAGAAACGAAGTCATCAACCTGCAACAAAAGAATTTCACTTACCGATTTGTGGTATTTAAGTCCGTTTTGGTTTTTATACGCCTTCTCACAGCCTATCACAGGGCACCGGAATGGTTTCGGTTCTTCATGCGGGGCAATGTTAGTTGTAGTGTCGGGTAAACCAGCAGCGACTTGTTTCTCACGAATGGTGCGTGCAATGTCACTGTTTGCCCCATACTGGCCGCTGCCAAGTCGATTCTGTCCTGCTTGCTGCCCTTGGCCTTGGCCCACGTTGGGGTTTCCTGGAGAGAACAATCGTTTAGCTGGCTCGTCAATACACAAATCGATCATATCGTTGTTCATGCCAAATCCAAAACCGCCAAATCCATTGGGCATACCGTTGAACATTTGGCTGTTTTGCATGGACATGTCGTCCAGCCCGCTCATCAGGCCTTCATCAAGCTCGCCAGGTGTTCCTGGAGCGGACGAATCGGGGGTGCTTCGATATGCATTTTGTAGATCCTGGAATTGTTGCATGGGATTTGCCATCAAAGTGGAGGAGCCGCTGTTGCCTTGGAACGGAGCGCTTGCTCGACCGCCAGCCGCAACGGGTGTGTTAGGAGTCGATTGCCTATAAGCTTGATGTCCTTGCATCATATTGGTATTCAGCTGCGGGATTTGAGGCTGAATCGGCGCATTGAAGGCGTTTGGTGGCGATGTTTGAGGTTGATTCTGCGTGTACAAATTGGGTGGTGGTGTTGTCTCGTCGGCATCATCGATGTCGTCCATTTCCATGTCATCTACGGTATCCATGTCTGGAATGGTTTGCAGGGTGTTTGCAAATTGCGCGGGACGTTGGTTTTGCTGATGATATGGCTGGTGCATTCCGAAAGGTCTAACAGGAGGTTGCTGCTGCTGCTGCTGCTGTTGTTGAACCCGCTGCTGGGCCTCCTGCTGGACATTGGCGGCAGTAGTGGCCGCTAGCGCTGCTCGGCTATCAGGGAGCGGTTGCTGGTTCAACTCTGTCTGGCTCGGGTCTTTTTGGGCATGAGCCTCTTCATAGTGTTGCAACAGGTCGTGTAGGGAGGGTAGCGTGAGTCCGCAGCAAGAGAAGTCTTTCATGAAGTTGGCCTCAAGTTTAGGCAAGTAGGAGGAGGAGTGGTAGGATGGTGAGTTAAAGGCGAAAGGGGAGGTTCCGGACATCATCATGCTAAGGCTAATGTCAATTTGGCATCTCACGTCGCAAAGAGCAGGAAGAATACTCACTCATCTCTCACCCAGCTACCAACCGAGATGCCACCCCAGCTCATGCCTGTCCCAAGGCTTTGGGCGATGCTCTCGCGTCTGTTCTGATGGAAGGCCGAGCCTTTGGTTGGAATCTGTCGAGCACCATGCTCGAATCTCGAAAAGTCATCAGAGCTGCTAGCTGGCATCTGAGGGATTGGGCGATTGAGGGCCGTTTCGGGCATTTGGTGGGACATTTTACGTTTCTCTTCGCTATCGCTTCGTTGTAGGGCGGATGTTAGATTAGATGGCTGATTGCCCCGTGGGGACGTGGAAGTCTGTCGCAGGGTGATGTCAACAGGGCCGGCTACACTGGCCATTCCCTTGGTTGGTGGCGAAGCGCCAAATGTCGGGAAAGTGTTGTCGTCGAAGTCAGGTATGAGCAGGCAGTTGTCCCTGCACAGTTGGGTGGTGGTGCGGCCAGCAGTGAACGGTTTCTTGAGCCACGGGAGAGATTCCTTCTCTGATTTCTTTCCAAAGAAAGAGGCGTGGCCAACAGGAGTGACGGGAGTTGTATCTCTAGAAGTTTGCCGCGACTGATCACTCGGAGAGGGCGAGTGATGTAGCGGTGGAGGGCTCTCTTCGTAATCAAACATAGACTGCAGTGACAATTATGATGGAATGAGACGAGACGAGATTGTGAGTCGGGTGGATGGGGGGGTTGAAGGGCGAGCCGTCTAGAAGGACTTCCTTCGGTGCAGTATATGGGAAGTGATATGGCTCTGAGATGCCGAGTCGAATCGAGTTGAAGGCAGGTACGAGTAGGTAGTACCGTAGTAGTATCTTGTAGTGATGGTCCTCGGGGTGGGCGGTGACGTTGTGGGGCGATTTCTCGGAGATGTGGATGCGTACTGCGATACGGAGTACTCGACTGGGTATGGCAGGTAGGTAATGAACGACAAGAGGTGAGAGGACAACGCTTCTCACGATTCTCGATGGGACGGGTTCTCAGCGTAATGGATCGATCGCAGGCTGTGCTGGGAGGGAAGATGTAAGAGTAAGTACGGAGTGGATTATTTTGGGCAGAGGAAAGCGACGACGGAAGAACGATGGGTGAGTGAGTAATAGACTAGCAGCAATAGTAGTGGTGGTGGTACATAATTCAAAAGAGTCATTAGTACCTAAGCCCAGCAGTAGTACCAGGAGGAGGATGAGTTAGTTAACCACTACTGGTACCTTACGAATGCTGTTCTAGGCTGGCCGTACGGTGACACTCTCGGTAGACGCTCTCCGGACCTGGACCCTGACTGCCTAGGTGAAAAGAGAGCCTACTAATGAGCGGCATCAGACAACAGGCGGTGGAGGTTCTTGGAAGGGTATGCCCCTCTCTTTCTCTCTTGGGTAATTACGGAGAACAGCTACCCAAGATAGGTGCTAGGTAAGACTCGCGGACTGTTCCGAGAGCAGTCCGGTGTACGGTGCGCTCGTCCAGACTGCTGTGTACCCTTCCACAGCTCCCCCCCCCCTTGTGCCCTGTGCCCTGGGGCCTGTGCCCCGAGGTTCAGAGCTTAAACGCAGCCCAACGCCCAGTGTAGCGCCCAGCGCCCGGAGCCCAGAGCATAGTGCGGTTCGGTGCCCCCTTCGGCCTTCAAGACCCTCACCATCAGGCTCAATCTGCGGGTCAAGCGGCAGTCGCATTACTAGTGGATCCCGCCTCTGGCGCCTCCATAATTGCTCGAGCGCAGGTTGTGATGATTCTTGGGCTTGTGCTATTGTTCGTCTTCCTAATTGAGGCTGTTTTGCCATCCACTTCCATCGATCCATCGATCCATCCCAGATGATCATTCCCGTGCCCACGAATATGCCCACGCATGTGCCTGGACCCGGCTGGCTTGTTAGTGGCCACCCTCCGACATCGACACCACGCGTCAGCCACTGCTTCATAATGTTTACTCAAGGTAGAGGGCCGTTGCTTTGAGGGTCACACTCACCTTATTTCTCAACATTTTGCCGCCTACGCGCTCCGTGTTTGCTGCTCGTCTTATTTACTACTCGTCCAACCGTCATGCTGAGTCCTGAATCCTTACCTGACCATCACAATGCCGCCGACGGGAACCCGGAGGTTCAACACGAAGTAAACTAAGGACAAGAGCCAGGGAAGCTACAGTAATCCTGGGCCGCACAGGGATTGGGCGGCATTAGCCCGACATGTAAAGCCGTGGAAAGTCAAAGTCGGGTACAGGGTCTGACTGGTCGTGCGGTCATCAAGATATTCTCTTGTTTGCTTCCGTGACGAAGTAAAATGTTGGACAGCCATTCTCAGGCTCGGGTTCTCAACAAGATCCGCATCCGCACTCCCTTCTGTAACTCAGCCGTCAAGAATCAAAACCACCATCAATCGAGGCGACAGGGCATGGCCTCCATGCATTCACAAACTGTCTCCCATGTGTACGGTTCTGTCTTGATTGAACCTCATCAAACCCTAGCCGATTTGTGGCAGTGGTCGCAACCCACTTTTGATGACCACGAGAACTAACCATTCAACGCCTTGCCCGAGAGAGACTTCACATCCAGTCATCCTAACCAGATCGATCTTGGTGGTGGGTCAGCCGGATAGCCTTTTCGTGGACCATCCGAGCCCTGACCGTGGCCCTGCCTCTCTACCTGGACTCATTGCCGGTCTTGGACCACAGCTTTCTTGTCAGTGCGGCTCCAGCGTGGTTTGAAGTATCTCGGATTCTGAAAGTACTTCTTGTACGTAGAACCACTTGGTCTGCCCCTGCAACGGCCGTGTTCCATTATTATTCAGGAGCCGGGGGCATAAGAAAAGTATCCATTAACGGGTGGTCACTGGTGACAAACTTGGCCTTGGCCGGTCGAAAGGCGTGGCATGTATGCATCATCCGGCCTTGTGGCTCATCCCGGCCTCTTACGGGCAATCTTTGAGTGTGGGAAGGTTGTGCAGAGCAGCCATAAACGCTACATGTCAGGGTCTGAATACCACTAGTCAACCCTCTTGAAAGATGGCTCTCTGATATTCTTTGCATCCAGGGAATATTCTACACGACTGAGTCCCGTGCAACACTCTGAAGGCAAGCTCTCTTCCAAGCGTTGGGATTCGAAATTTGATGTACAAGTACGCTTACGAGATGCTCGGTATGCCATGACGAAAACGGGGGCCAATCTCACGCGCATCGCCCTCGGAGATGCGATTCGTAGGGTAGGAGCCGCTTTTCCTCTGTCGTTCGTCTCACACACGTTATTGGCTGCACCGACCAACATCGACACATTTGCCGTCAATAATGATGCAACAATGTGAGCAGCTCTTTGCTCAATATTCTTGCATGCCACCACCACGTTTGGCCTGCCGAGACTTAGCCTCTGAACCAGTAGTATTGTCAATCAAAAGCTGTCTTGGGCCTACACGCAAACTCTCCTTTCTACTACTCGATAACCGACCACCACTCAGGTGAGAGAACACGATAACTCCTGTGCCGTTGAGCGACGGCGCAATGATCAACATGATATAGAACGATGTAGCAACCCGTTTCGAGCATGAGCGATAGTTTCCCATGCACTATCATAGAGATATGCTGGGGCTCTTTGTTTTGCTGAACAAAAGTGATTCACGACTGCTGTCAAGAACCTTGGCTCAGCCTTTCCGAGGTCGACCACTCCCCAGGGAACGAAGATTTCTCTGCCTCAGAGCGAGCATCGCTTTGGTCGTCTCTCCCACACTACTACTACTAGCCTGTGCTGGCAGGCTCCAAAAGGTTCACCCTCAGACCTCTCCTAAACCACAGGATGGGGACGTAAGGCTCCCGGTTAGAAAACTATGACTAAAATCTCCCGACCACCTTTCTTGCCCACTGGCACTGGACAACGTGAAAAAATCATGTTCATCATCACAAGAACGGTATGTCTAGAATCACCGAGAGGTTCGGTCGATTATGTCTGGCAATAATGGCACCCATCAACGCCTTCTCTCCTACGGGATGCTACATTATAAGCTGCACTATGACATAGACTCGACCATCAATGCTCCAAACATCCTGAGTCCACAATGGCAAAACATGTGGCACTGCATCCTGACTTTGCGTGGGGCACCCCGAAATTTGGTTCCAAGTCACACTTGGCCGAGGGCCCGAGGCCGCAGGTCAAAGAGGGAAGACGTCACCCCCACTTACCCACCTCTATTCTTCAGGCTCAAACGGCCCCTCGGGCTCCAGTGCGAGGTGGTGGGCGCGAGACGGGGCTTGGCCAATGGCCCGAGCGGCCCACCAACTTGTACGCTGGAATCCTTGGGATAAGGCTGAGCCATTTCACCCTTCGCCTCCAAGTAGCACTCACATTTGATCATCCTACCGAGATAGGCGAGGTCTCCGGGAATGTGTCCTCGTACGTGGCTATATTGCCATCCACGGTCACCAACGTTGGTTGGAACGTAATATCCTTGACAAGATAGATATTGCGAATGGTCCTTGCAGTTTGGCCACTTCGCATTCTGTAAGGTACGGAGTACGTCGTAACAATCGGCTATTCAACAATCCCTGCGGAAGACCACACCTCGTGACATGGGTGCCGGACGTATCTCGATCCAACAAACCATGTGGGAGTATTGAAACCATGTCAACGATGATGGTTGGCGACCTTAGTTTGTGTCCGACCAGCTCTCAAATCCAGAACGCTCGTCATAGCTTCAAAACCTTGAAGTGTACGGATGGTTCCCGTCCGTGGTTTCGCACTGACTCGACAACCATCTATCGTTACCAATCTTCATACTCACTTCATTGTCCGACGGAGGCTTTTGCAATTTGAATCATCGCTGGTCTTAGAATCTTTAACAGGCCTCGGCTCGGTCATTCCGTTGCCCTCCGTACTAATTCCACTATTCCTAGTGATGTTGATCATAGCGATCAGTATCTTGAATAGACTCGATACTTGCTCGAGCGTCAGCATGCGCTTTTGGGTTAATTCTCGGACGAATCTATTGCGACACGAATGGAGCCTGGGGAGAATTGGCCCATAAGACTGTGCTACAGTATTTGACCCTCAGCTCTGAAATGGAAGACCTCGGCCGAACGCAAGCATTCTAGTGCTACCAAGTCGATGCTTGCTCCTTGTGTGATTTGAGGTTCATCTTCTATCGAGCGCGGATAAGAATGCAATTGACTAATCTTTCGGCAGCTCTTATCTGATCCAGACAGGACATTGACTGCGTGCAAGGAAATGTTACTTTCTGTTTGATTGTCAAAATATAATACCTAATGCAACCAGCTCCTAACTCCAGTGTTAATGACTGGCAGCTACAATACCCAGAGATCTTCTGTCCAAAGCTTACCCCCATGGGGCATATTCTACTAGTCTGTTTACCATAACCACCATCAATCAAACAATGATCTCGCCGGGATTGCTCAACTGTGTCCAAGGTCCAAGGCTCTCCTCCTTTCGATAGGAATCCCCCTCAAGCAGCGCCTGCAGTCCAAAATCTTACTCCTGGGCAGGTTGCGACATGCTGTTCTTTGGCGCTCAGGATTTTAAAAATCCTGAGACTGCTGCCCTCCATTGCAGGGAAGCAGCTCATTCTTTCATGATCAAGTTGTCGTTCTCCCCCTCTCCGGTTGTGTTGGCAGCGAAGCTACCTCTTGGGGAGTGAGCCTCACAGGGACTCAATGCGAGAGGCGAAGGGTCCCTCGCAAGGATCTGGAGCTTGGCATCGAAAGCTCGTTTGCAATGAGGGCAGCACTGGCTGAGGCTTCGGCAATAGTTGAGATATTGCGCTGTCCTTTTCGTCGCCAGGCAGCCATGCAAAATACTGTGACGGGACGGTTAGTCAATAACATCACGAGATCTCCAGTCGGTAAGAGTGATCAGCACTTACCAAGCAATCAATCCGGTGAGCCCAGAGTATGCGTGGATGAGTATCATCCCACCATTCCACCAACTACCATCAAACTCCACTGTGTCCACGAGCGAGATGACATACATGACGAGCAAGGCTCCTGTACCGAAGAATTCGGTGCCCAGGGCGAACAGACTGGGCCGGACAGGCTGGTTATTCTTGAGCTTGATGCGTGTCTCATGCCCCTGAGCCAGTATCATCACGAAATTGAATAGCAAGGATACTCCGATTGTCGTTCCCAGAACGATATACACGGCCCGCAAGCCAATGAAGCTCAGACTCATCCCGAGGATAGCGTTGAGGATGCCGGCAAATCGAAGGGCGTCTTCGCCATTGGGTGAGACGATAAAGCCCACTTTCGACACCATGTTGATTGCTTTGGGAAGTCGAGAAGCCTTAGGCGTGATAGTTCGTACACTGCGGTGGTCTTGAAGCTTGCCCCGAGTCACCGACTGATGCAAGTGGAAGAAGAAAGGATTCGAGGAGAATGGTGGGTGGCTCTTGAAAGGATATACATACTACTACTATAACTCACAGCACCTGATTGCACCCCGGCAACAACCTGATGTCGACTTAGTAACTTGACGTTCGGAGTACTTAACCGACGACTGCACACAATGAGGCTGTGTACTGGTCCTGAAACGCGGTTGCCTGGACGAAGTGGATCGCCTTCGCATCTAATAGGGGTAAAGATATATATATAGTCCTTATGTTAGGTAAGTAGCGTTTACGCCATATTTAGCTCGCTATAGGCTAACCAAGTACCGTTGGCAGATGCTGTTAAGTATCTAAAAATCCCCTTGAAATGGGAATGGTGTGCTGTAAGCTCAGCTTGCCATTGAGCTACAAGTACAATGCCCGTAGTCTCGTCCTATTGATTGATGGATTCAAAACAATGGGATTTACGCGTCAACCCAAAATCCGCCGGCCTGCATGAATTAGGGGAAACTATGTAAACGCCTACGACTGGATAATTGCTCGTAGTAAGCGTACCAAGCGGGACCAATTCGACTATTATGTACCCCTCTTGATCCTACTCTCTAGTACTAGGTAAGCAGTGTTCCAGTCTTCATCCCTCTGCGGCATCGACCCTAACGCCATTCTGAGCCCCGAGTCGTTTACGGATACATTGTCAACCTTCGACAGGACAACATTAGTGAGTCAAACGCGGCAGCCAATGCACCACCTGTCATCCAATCAAAGCCGTGAAGTAACCATCTCCATCCAAGCATGAATCGACGTCCGGAGTGGTAAGCCTGATAACTTGCTCCTAGGTAAGCTTAGCTTCTGGTTCGATTATCCCCCCATTTGACCGTAGTGAGGGCTGTTTGTCCTGCGACAGGAACTCAGGAGGCCCTGAGGTAGGGCATCGTCACAATGCTCCTTAGTGGAAGTGGAATGCCGGCTGATTTCATTGATCTCCTCGAGGCGCTGTATAGGGAAATCAGGGCAAGAATCCGCCTTGACGGGTGCGGGTGTACGTTGCGAGTGAGTTCCTGGCTAGACCGAAGATAAAACCCCTAATCATGATGAACCTGGTTTCTCGGTGCTGTGTACGAGTAAGTTATCCCGCCCGCAGATGGGGACAACAACCATTCCTCAGAAGTAAGGTTCCTTTAATCGTCCAATACAAACCCGCAGGGCATATTTACATCTTCGACGTCCTCTTCTTTCCGAAACCGTCACCGCAGAGTTTTCAGACGGCGTTTAGTCCCAGTGCCTCGATTTACGACAGCGATCCTGCGCCATTGAGGAGCACGACGGTGTCACCTTTGCGAGCTCGCGAAGGAGGAGAAATGTTCCCATGATGTTCGGTAGCGCGTAGCCATCTCTGCATGTTGCCCGCGGCAAGGTGAAAGTGGGGTTCCTCAGGTGATTAACAGCTGCAGTTTGTGGGAGCGATATTCGATCGTGACATCAATGCCTGAGTTCCGCCTGGACCGGCGTCGCAGCCTGGGCCTTAAGAGGACGGCAGAAATGTCAGATACTTTTCTTTGTTGCGAGAGCGTTTCCCCTGAAAAGATGTATCAGCGAGACAGTAGTCACGGCCTGTTTACCGATTTCCATGGTTGTCTCTGCCATAGCTTAGGAGTTCAGATCCAGAAGATGCGCTGGATCTCTCCCCAGTCCGTGGCACTATTTTCATAAATGTATGTAGAAGGAACCAGATAATTTAGTTTCCCAGGTCGGGGAGAATTTCAATGTCTCATTTGCCTTAGCCATCTGCGCATACTGCTAGTGAAAGCTTGGTCATCGGAATATCAAGGGTCTTTTCGAGTGTGTCCACTCGGCTCGGCATGGCGTTTGATCGCACGTAAGCTTTTGCGGAATGCATTTTACCGGACAAGTTCTGAATTTGAGCACATCTCCTCCAGTTGATGTATCTGGAATCAACAGGTTTCTGACAAGGGGAACAGCTCGATCGAGATCGAGTTGAGTCCTTGTCATCTCACGAGGTCGTACGAGTTCACACTTTACGCACCGTCGACTCAAATGAAGCATGAATTCAACATCAACTTCTTGTTTTGCCTTCCATTACTCGAGGCATGATTGAAAGGTGCTGTGTGGGAGAGTTATGGGGTTGTCCGCTGCTGTAAAATATTCGGTTTAGCTTTGCAACCGGAATAACAATAATCCTCGTCGCAAAGTGCTGGCAAACAACAGAGGGGCTATCAGCGGGCCACATCTTCCACACACACACCTACGTATTACCAAGGTGGGTAGGTAGGCAATCTTTGCTCATAAGCCCTCTTTTCGGGTCTTCAATTCGCTTCAGGCGGTATTCCATCCAAAGAAGCCAGTCCTGAATTCCTGGCTCTCTGCAAGATCGTGGTTTCAACTAGCAACCATTATGCACATCGATAGCCTACGATGATTGGTGGTCACCAATTGGCTCAGCCACGCCTGAAGAACTTCTCTCAGCCTAATCGACCCTCCCCGATGACACCTTTGTACTCCAGGTACAATCGCCACCGCTCAAGGAATTCGTTCAGATAGTCCGGGATGAGAAGCGATAGCAGAGGCTATGTCTCGCTGGCAGCATTTCAAGTCTAAGCTCGGGGTGGAGAAAGGGGAGAAGGAACGAGCCAGAAGCCCATGTCCTGTCCTTGAAAGCTTCCCATCTGGTATCAAGATCTTGTTTGAACCCTTAGACTCCAGGGTAGATATAGTATTCGTTGATGGCCTCACTGGCGACCGAGAACGCACATGGACGAGCCCTGTCAACGGAGTCTGCTGGCCTCGCGATCTACTGCCTACTGTCCTACCAGACGCCAGAGTCCTAACATTTGGCTAGGACGCATACGTGGCGCGAAAGCATGAACAGATTGCCCAAATTAACATTTCACATCACGCAAATGACCTACTGAATGCCCTTATCAATGAGAGACAACAATATGGTTCATCTAACCGACCTATCATATTTGTGGTTCACAGCCTGGGCGGACTTTTGTGCAAAGATGCAATTCGAATGTCCGATAGTAGTGGAGACAAGCATCTTCCAGCAATAGCGAGCTCTACCCAGGGGATCATCTTCATAGGGACGCCACATGGAGGAAGTTGGCTTGCATCGTGGGCCAAACTCTCGGTTACGGTACTGGACCTTGTGACCAGAACTGACTTGACTCTCCTATCCCTTTTGCAGCCGAGCTCGGAAGTTCTCTGTCGAATTCATGATAGTTTCCTATCCTTGATACGACGACGCGAGTCAGAACACAACGCGATTGAAATCGCATGTTTCTATGAGACTTTGCCTATGCTTGGCAGAACACAGATAGTGGATCAGTCCTCTGCTACCATTCCTGGGTTTAACAACATATCTATCCACGCAGATCACCGAGATATCGCTCGCTTTTCAACGGTGAAGCATCCAGGTTATCAGAGTATTGTAGGTGTGCTCCGACGTTGGGCGCAACCTATAGAACCGGATATTGGTCTCAGCCTTGAAGCTGAGCTCTTTCTACATACCCTGTCTTTCTCTGAGATGGGTGTCCGGCAGGCTGTTATTGAACCCGCCGAGTCAGGAACTCGCCTCTGGATATCGGAACTCCCTGCGTATAAAGCTTGGGTCGATTTCAAAGATCTGGAGAATTCACACGGACTGCTCTGGATTAAAGGGAAGCCCGGATCGGGCAAAAGCACGTTGTTAAAGCATATCGCATCAGCAAGTCCTAAAACTAAGGGCGTCGTTCGACTTTGTCTTCATTTTCAAACGCTCGAGGAGCCGAGGAGGAACGCAATGCGCACGGCTTGTTCAAAACATTTCTTCACCAATTGGTCCATGAATCTCCTGTGATGCGGCGTCGGCTTTTGCCAAGATTTCGTAGGAAGAAATCTGAGACAGGAAGCAGAGCAATCGTCTGGGCTCCTGGAGAGTTACGAGAGATGTTTTTGGATGCTCTCCAATTTTACTCTAAGACCCCAGTAGAAATCATCGTCGATGCTCTGGATGAATGTCAAGAAGACGAGGTTCGGAACGTCATATCTGCTTTCGAGAAGTGCGCTGCAGACTATATCACCAAGGGCTTCCAGAATCTAAAGATATGTTGGGCCAGTCGGCACTACCCTCACATCAGCATCAATCATGGATATGAAATCAAAGTCGAGACCATGAATCTCGAAGATATCAACTTATATGTGCGTCGCCACCTTACTAGACCCGAGCGTGGTGAAGAACTACGCTCCTTGGGCTCCGAGATAGTTATGAAGTCGCAAGGCGTGTTCAAGTGGAGTGTTCTTGTTGTAAGCAAGATTTGTAAACTTGCTGATAGAGGCTTTCCACTCGTCAAGATCAAAAAGGTGGTTCATGACTTGCCATCTGAATTGGGCAAGCTTTATGCCGAAATCTTCTCGTCTCTTGACCCAGAACTGGCAGAAGATACTGCTAGCCTTATGTATTTTGACACTATATGCGCAAAGACCGTCGGATACTGACGAGCTTCGACTTGGAATTGAATTCATGCGGAGTGAACATCCATGCTCGTTACAGCAGTTCGCCTCATTGTCAGAGCAAGTATCATACTTTCGACTATTCATTACTGAGCTCTCTGGAGGGCTTCTTGAACTTGTCGATACTGGTCTCCCGGTCGGTCAACCAAAAGCTGACCTGGAAGAAGTACTGGGTGTTAAGGATGAAATGCGACATATCAGAGTAGGGGGCTTGCAATCAAACCGTCAGAAATGGTCAGAGGTACAAGATTATTCTTCAACTCACGCACTCCGCAAGGTTGTGCTCCTCAACTCAACTATAAATCGCAAGCAACCATTGGCAACGTCCGCGGAGACGAAGTGGATTGTGCAGGTCATCCATGAGACTGTGCGTGACTTTATTGTGAAAGATGGCATGTGTTGGTTACCTGGCAATGAATCCCCGTTATCGATGGATCCTTCTACTGGACACCTTCGTCTATATCAAATGTGCAGCTGAATCTTGGCTACTGATGAGATGAGTTGTGTCCTCGCGGAGTCGGATTGCAAGGAGCTATTCGACTCTATTCCGGATCTTGTGGAAGTATCTTTGCAGTGGTTTGGGACATCAATTGTGGACTACGTTGTGTACAATATATTCTACCACCTGGAGAGCTCTGGGGTTTCTAAATCAAAGGACCAATCTGGACCGAACTGGGAATTGCTTCCCCCCGATCTGAAACACCAGGCTGCCCATGGAGCCATAACTGAAGTTGTCCTTCGATGGACATGCATTCTGAGACGGAGTCTTCGGTTCAAAGGCTTAATTGAAAGCTTTCAAGGATACGATGGAGCATTAGACTACGTTGGAATTCAGCGCCAGATGGAACATATCATGGGGCCACTTCATTTGAAAATTCAAGATTTCTATGGCTGCGCTCATGATGGGCATCTTTGTCTACTGACACTTCACCGCAAGTCGTTTTGTTTTCGGGGGCCTGCGTTATCTGTGGCAATTTCTGCGGTCGCACATCATGGAACAGAAGAGGAGGTTCGAGATCTACGATCACAACTCAGACCAGGAGCCAAAATGGAGCTCGTCGGATTCGATTCTCCCCTCGTGGTAGCTGTGGAAGGTCGGCGAGAGACTATCTTGGATATCTTGTTGGCGGCGGGGGCCCGAGTGAATCACGTTAACCCCTCAGCTCCCAGAGCAACCTACACTCCTCTTTCTATCGCCGTGTTGCAAGGTGAGACACGAATCATTCACAAGCTACTCCAGCACGGCGCCGATCCGAATTTAAGGTTCGAAGGTGGCAGACATAACCTAGGAACTGCTGCAGAGCTGGGATTCGCGGATATCGTAGAGCTTCTGTTGCAATTTGGCGCAGATGTTCTCGCCACTAGACATAATAGAGGTCCTAAAATGGCATATGACATCGCACTAAGTGCAGGACATAGGCAAGTCGCAGAGATACTCAAGATTCCAACTTTTGCAGCAAAGGAACGTCGATTGAAAGAGATGTCAGGAGAGATGTCCCACGCTGGCATTGGACAACAAACTGTTCCACCGAAAGTCCAGCACTGCATATATTGTGGGCTTGAAAAACCATGCGTGGTGCAAGGCGAGCAAGACCAACGAACAGAGTGGACTAGAACTTCCTATAGCATTATTGCATGCAACCCTCGGATTGAGGTGGACAGGAAGTCCACAGACGAGGCAAACTCATGGACATGACACATAATTGGGTCCGCATGCTGGAAGCGATCGCTTGGAAAATAATTGGCCAGAGAGCTTAACGATACTGAAAGGCAAGAGAACCCCCCAAAGTATCTGCGATCTGCAGTGTGGCGCGAGGAGCCGGCAGTCTCTCACAACTATGCAATGCCTGAAGAAAAGCCAGCCCGTGTGACTGAGAATCCAAAACACTACCAAGGCTTTTCCTAGGCAGAACACAGGTCCTTTTCTTTTTTGAACGATGGCAAACTTCCATCCATGAGATAGCTGATGTCGAAGCCAAAAACAGAAAGACTCTACACTGCAATCGGCTCTGCATTAATTCGAGAACGCCACTTTAGCAGCACAGCTCGCCATACCACGTCTTTGTTAAAGGAACAGGAGGCACGCCATAGAGCCCCTACTCAAAGGAGAAACACGGACCAGCCTTTTTCTTCGCTTCTTCAGCGGTCGACCGGCGGAAGTATCGGCCGGATTATTCCCCCGACTCGGGGCAACCCTATTTCCACACCTCTACAAGACGAGGCTCTCAGAATAGTCCAGAGCCATAACAAGGAAGACTTTCATATCTGAAGCGGTTATGATCTAGTATGCGATGTTCATGTTAGCAATTTAGGAAAGGACGGAGATCTGAGAAGATACGAATGAGCCTATCATTGTGAATGCTATTTACACGATGGATACTCGTTAGTAAAGTCTCCGAACCATATTTGTAGATGCGTTGGGATGTCTAGCGTATGACCTTGCAAAGTCCGTGATCATCAGGTCTTCTGTTGCTAACTAGTGAGTCTGATTGAGAGCCTCGTTGATGCTTTCCGACCTTTGTCTTCATAATGAGCCCCTACTGCCCATGCCTGCCAAAATCATGCTTATTTCCACACCCCATACCTGAACAACATCCACGACCAAAGGAAAGTCAAGCACAACCATGTCACCAACGCAACAGCCCACTCTGACCGTCTTTGGCGCAACTGGCGGCTGCGCAGCCAACGCCGTCGTAGCTGCTCTAGGCGCCGGAATCAAATGTGTTGCTCTAGCACGGACACCGAGCAAACTGCGCAACATGCTCGAAGACCAATACACAGTCCCACCTAAAACCCTCGACGCGAACCTTGTGATCATCGAGGGCAACATCAGGTCCATTGAAGATGTCAAACGTACTCTGACCGCCTCGGGCAGCCTTCCAGACCGCATCCTCTTCGGCGTGGGAGGCTCCCCGAAGATACAATTTAGTCTTTGGGCGCCCATCACGCTCGACGACCCACACATCTGCGAAGAAGGGATGAAGACGCTGATCGCGGCGCTCCGCTCCTGCGAGGCTGAGAACGTCCAGCTCGGGCCTCAAGGTAGTCGACCTCTCCTCTTCGCTATCTCCACCGTCAGCATGAGCAGCCGCCGCGACCTGGCCTACCTGTACTACCCGCTCGAATACTGGCTGCTGAGTATCCCGCGCAGCGACAAGAAGGCTTTGGAGAAGGTCATTTTCGAGGCCGTCTTGGGTGTCGACTCGCCGGTTGGCGGCTTCGCCATGGTGCGGCCCCCGATCCTCAGTGAAGGGACAGCCCTTGGCCCTGATAAGGTCAAGGCCGGCTGGGTGTGGCCTGACGAGCAGCGTCGGGAGAAAGTGGCGAAGGGTGAGAAGGAGGTAGGGCCCATGGTCGGCTGGTTTGTTACCAAGGCTGATGTCGGGAGATGGATCTTCGATAATCTGATTCAGGGTGATGGGAGTGCCTTGGGGAAGTGTTGGAGTCTGACCAATTGACGGGATCTTCCAAGAATGTGCGAGTTTGTGACTTTCAAGGGGAGGAGGTGGGGGGGCGGCCATGAGAGAAACTTCGGTTAGAGGCTGTAGTATCTATGTCTCTAGACATAAAGCTTCCTGAGTTAAGATATGTGTGGGTCATTCTGATGCAACTGAAATATTGAAGCTGTATCAGAGCCCTTGATCGCTCGGTGTAGCGATAATTGCCAGAAGATATCCTACCACAGAACCAGAACCCACTGCTTTGAGACCCCAATCTAGTTACCAAGGGCTCATTAAATATCTCAATCTTTGCAGGTCAGCAATCTCGACTCCGGTCTCGGCGGATCTCGAGTGTACCGTTCCTATTCCCTTGCTTGGTGTGTTGCTAATCGTCTAGGTAGTTGCTCTCAAACCCTCCCGGAACACGTTGCGGACCGATGGCGTGACTACAGTGCCGACAATGAGCGTCGGAGATCTGATCCCATCCAGTCGGCCAGGCATGCTGCCAGGATATGCCACTCGACGCTCATGATGAGGGCTTGACCTTCGTAGATAGCAAAAGGAGACGCGCAGCTGTTCTGACGGAAGGTCGGAGGATGGGCATTGAATACGCGTAGAGCGTCGTTGGACCCTAGCATTTCCAACCCAGGCAGCTCCTCTGCCTAAAGCGAGGGGTATTACATCCTCTGGCTGGGGCACCTCAGGGCAGATTTTGATGTTGCCAATATTTTAAGCCCCGGATTTCAACATACCTGTGTAGATATTGTGCGGGCATAGGGAAACCGTCATCTTAGCGCGGACGCCTCGTGGACATATTTCCTTAAGTTTTGAGGTATCACAGGCATTGTGCACGGATGCTCTGAGTCGTTTGCAGGTTAGAACTAGGCATACGGCTGAGGGATGGTCGAGAAAGTGAACAACTCTGCCAATGATCTTCCTGTCGATGATCTTGAATGCTTGAAAGGGGATTTCGCAGGGCTCGACGATGCTGCGCTTTGCATGGTGCTCGATAGGTACGAGTATGGGGAATCCTGATGATACTGTCTCATGAGCAGATACAAGATTTGAATGCTTAACCCAGCAGCAGGCGGCACTTACACCGTTTGTATGCTGCTCGCCATTTTACAAGCTCTTTTGCCACAGACCATAACCAATGGCATCTTGCACGCCGGCTAGATAGAACCAAAGTGTTGGGAAAGGATTCTGCTAGATTATCGACTGAACTCGATTCTGAAGGCATTTTCGCCGATCCGGAGAGAAAACGTAATTCATGTGGACGGCCTAAGGCTTGAGATGATATAACGAACGTCCGATGTGGCGATCAGACCAGGACGAGGCAGTCAGACTGTACTCCGGGAATCCACATGTGAAATATTTTGGGAAAGGTGCTAGCCGCTCCTGGCCTTTGGGGGTGGTCAAGAAAGTATGAACAAGCCACGTTTGCTGCTTGCTTCATCTCAGGATGTCTTGTTGAATGACCCGTGCCTCAGGAAAAGCGGCGCCAATAAATACTATCTTAGTGTGCTGAATCACATATCTCACATCTGCACGTTGTTGGCCCGCCGGTATCGATGGCAAACATAGCGGTAGAGCCATCTCATCCCGAACCAGAGACGTAGCCGGGTCATCAGGTCTTCAAATTCAATACTGACATTGACAGAGCATTTCTAACGGTGCTTCATGCAGTGTTTATGAATTGACGGAAGTGAACCTTGAATTCTTCCTTTCTCGGGCATATTTCCTTGATCGATTTGGCAGTCATGTTCTGGACCGCATGTTCTGTGTGGCGGCATGTCAGAGCTAGACATGCAAGGTCAACTCCTTTAAGTTTGAAGGCGATGATACGCTGGGGAGGTCTGCAAGATCGCAGAGTGATGGCTTGGCAGCCTCTTGATCTCCACTGAGCGAAGGGGCCATGCTCAAAGAATAAGTACAATGTCTATCTATGCGTTTTGTCTGCGCATGGATCATCATAGGGCCGGGTTTTGTTGCAGCAACATTGAGCAGTTGTTCATCTTGTGGTCTGGGTTCTCGTATCAAGACACAACGCATCACAGATACCTTGAGCAACATCGAACTTACTCATGTTTGCATTTTCCATTGCTCATCACAATTGTTGGCCGTGTCATGAGTCGTCAGAAAGAAACATGAAGCATACGCCCTCTGTCACCATGCTGATGACTGTTGAGGTCCAGACATTCTGGTCTGTCGGACCATTGAAGCGTCTAGCCGAATGAAGAGTCAACATCTCTTTCAATCAGCCGGCTGGAGGCATGCCACCTGGCGATGTTAAGATGGGTGCCCTATTTGGGTAGTACTGTAACCCGTAGCACTGAACAGCACTCTCGGGGCGTATCGCTTAACAAGTAGAGTACTTCTGCGGACTTAGAATTTGAGCATTGTTGGTCCGTATAGAACCGTTCTACCATTTCATAGGCATTGCAATTGACAAAAGTGTAGAATGCTGGTGAGTGGTGGTACCAATGATGAATGAAGGGCACCTCAGTGGAAACAAGTACATGGTGGTGGCCGTCGACCAATCAAATTACCTTGTGCAGAGCCCCGCCAAGATTTCGTGCCAAGCCGCAACTATCTCAGAAATCGCCAAATCCGCACAATCGACTCCAGAGTCGCTGGCAATCGACAACTGACCACGTCCACACGCTTGAGTCCGCCGCAAACACCCTCATATCCTTCCTAACAGCACCCTCACCACTTCACATTAAACCTCAGCAAACATGGAGAACGAGAAAGGAGAGATCGTGGATCTGTAAGCCTGACCCCATCGTCGAGCCTGCGCTGGCAGGAAACACCCTTTCAAGGACCACCGAAAACTGACCTCGCTTTTTCATAAAAACAGCTACGTCCCCCGCAAATGCAGCGCAACCAACCGCATCATCAAAGCCAAGGACCACGCTAGCGTTCAGATCAGCGTCGGCAAGGTGGATGAGAACGGCCGCTACACCGGCGAGAATCAAGTTTATGCACTGTGCGGATTCGTTCGATCACGGGCCGAGAGCGACGACAGCTTGAATCGTTTGGCGCAGAGAGACGGGTTCTTGAAGAGCGTCTGGAGCGGTCAGGCTTCGAGATAATTGAGTTATGGAACCGGAGTAGACATGAACGACATTTTGAAGTCCAACCGCGGGAGCGAAATCGTTGAAAACCAGAAACCGGAACGCGACCGACACAGATGGGTTAGAGCTGAATGACTCGTTTTTATGGCCGATTGTTCAGGGGAAAAGTGCGGACACGGGTCACTGGCGCTGTGATACAAGTATGGTGGCAGACTTTGATAAAGACCTCAACTGCCAGGAATGATACGGAAAATCCCATAAGATGCATTTTCTACGAATGATCAAATGCACCGCTTGAAAAATCCATTGATCGTTCTGAAAGTGACTTTCCGAGCTCCCTCTTTCTGTGCTCATCTCCTACCTCAAGGTGGTGTCTACGCTTCTCGAAACTCGTGTGAAAATGTGCCGCCCGTATCTGTGCTCTGACTCTCAATCTCGGCTAGTCACAGCTCTTCAGTAGGCGGCCAATGGTTGCCCATCTTGATATTCGGCTTTGTATGTATGAATTTATTGTTCTACCTCCTCAGTCATGGGATAGTGGTCTGAGGAAGCCTTGATGTGCCGGTAAAATGAAGACAAATGACAATATCGTCGGATTGAAAGGGAGCAAAATGGGTATCATTTCTAGCTCTGTCTTGTCTAGAACTTTTTATTTGCTGCCTCGATTTACATCGTGCGCCTGAAAGTCGTGATCTTCATACCACATGTTTCTAGTTGATGCTGTCTAATCTTTGTTCAACCGGACAGCCGGATTTGTCTCAATGAAATTGAGGTCAACCTTGTGGCCGAGAAGTTCACGAATGTTGTTTACACCGTATCTGTGGGAAGTCAGTACACACTATCAACGGAAGAGTGACGCATCGCGCTTACTTGATCATAGTTGGCCTCTCCAGACTCAATCCCCAGCCGTAGATTCGCATGTCTTTGGGTAGTCCCATCGGCTCTAACATTTCTGGTCTGAACATACCACTATTTCCAATCTCCACCCATTTCTTCAAGCCCTCATGATAGCTGAAGATCTCCATACTCGGCTCGGTGTAGGGATTGTAGGCAGGCTTGAAGCGCAGGTTCCTGATCCCCATCTTACCGAAGAAGACTTCCATGAAGCCAATCAGGCCACCGAGAGTTAAGCCCCAATCAGCAATGACACCTTCAACTTGATGGAACTCGGCAAGGTGAGTTTGGTCGACAGTCTCATTACGGAAGACGCGGTCGATAGAGAAGTAACGAGCGGGACGAGGATTTAGCGCAAGTTTGTGAAGCATGTATGTCGAGATAGCGGTGGTGTGGGTTCGTAGAACAAGTCTTAGAGACTCATCGACCGACCAGGGATATCGATAACCTATCGAGCCGAATTTGCCGTCCTCATGAACAGCACGAACATCATCCCAATACTGCTTGTAGTTCAGGGTCTTGTCTTTCGATCTGGTCCGTTTGTGCTTGGGAGATGTGGGTAAAAGAGCTCCAGGAGTGTTGTCGGAAGGGTCTTCACGTGGAGGGTCGGCTTTGGGAGGGTCTGAGATATAAAAAGTATCTTGGAGGTCGCGAGCTGGATGTTGCTGAGGGACATAGAGTGCGTCGAAGTTCCAGAACCCGGTCTCGACATAGCGATTGGTCGGCATCTCTTCGAAGCCCATCTCGAAAAAGATTTCCCGGAACTCTTGCCGCACTTTATTGAGGGGATGAAGCGCTCCTGCCATCGTAGGCGCACCCTTTGCCTTGAAATTGTATGGTTTGAACTCGACTGTCTTCCAGGCTCCAGAGGCCAACATTTCTGCCGTGAGATCTGTCTCCTGCTTGATGAACTCTGTGGAAAACTTGGGGCCCTTTGAGATCTTGAAGGTGATTGTCTTTGTGTCTACCACATATTTCCTCTTCTTGAAGTCTGCGACAAGCTTGGGGTTGTTCAGCGTCTTCGAAGACCGCACCTCCCTCAGTTGTTGTTGTAGCTCATCCTGGATCGAATCTGTTGTAGGTCTAAGTACATCTCCCTCCTTCTTGATCCATTTCGACTTGAATGCATCTCCAGAGCCAAATTTGGCAACATTGGCACTGCCTACTGCAGCAGGTAAATCTTTAATTTTCAAGCCCTCCAAGGCCGAGCGTACTGCCTCGAACACTTTTGCGCCATTGCTGCCGTTGTCTGCGATGTCTTCTCCTTCTTCGGTAAGAGCCAATTCTATCCGATCGATCTGCTCCGCCTGGAGGAATTCTCGGGAGCGTAATCTGTCTACCGCGGCCTTGACCGATATGAGGGTCGCATTGGGGAGGGCGTCCGAGGTTAGAATCGGTCCGTCAGCGGAGGCCAGGGCATTGAGGACCTGCGCTGTCAAATCCTCAGCCATATCGTCGGTTGTTAATTTGACCTCGCAGGCTGCTGCTAAGTGTTCTAGAGTATGGAGATTGGAAAGAGAGGTCCCAGTATTGGAAACTACGAGTATGAGTACTCCGTACGCGATTTTGTATTATGACTCCAATTCTGATCCAGGCACTAATTAAGTAATTACTGCTCTTACTGCAACTCCGCGTTCATTGAACTATTGCTTGGCAGCACAAACAGAGCAAAATCTACTCGAGCCTCACTCACGGCCTAATACCCGGATTCCACGACCGTACGTCTTCAAAGCGAGCTGCTTGCAACTCATCTACCTCCTCCTACCTCTTCTTTTTCCATCGTTAATATTCTTTGTCAGGCAACAGTCCGTAAGGCCTTGACGATCGCTCAAAAAGACTAGAATCTCGTACGAAAGTGCGAGGATATCTGGGGCCTACTAGCGATATGCTTGCCAGGAGGCCCCGAGGCATTCTTGACACATGTTCTTTTCTTCCTATGGACAGCTACGCCGTCTCGTACTGTATGGGCTTCAACATCCATCACTGATCAATGCTGCGCTCCCACATGACCCAGCAATAGTCTCAGGAGATTGTTTGCATTTCGGACACCCATCAGCCAACGCTCTCTAGTCTATCCCTCACCCTGTAATGTCCGGTGCATCAAAATTATGCACCGAAACTTGCATGCAGACAAGGCTGGCCTTTAATTCTCATAAGGCCAAAAAGGTGGCTGAATGGGCGAGACTCTTGTTTTGACTGGGCAAACCCGTGTCAGGTCGCCGCTCTTGTCCAACGAGTTTGGCCAAAATGGGCCTGCCACTAGAAGAATGACGGTAGACAATTTTGACTATTAGCCTTGGGGCAGACCTCATGGGGCCATTTTCCCATGCTCCTGCAGAGGTACGGGGACATGTGCGCAGCCAGACACCTACAAAGTGACCAGTGTATTTTTTCAGCCTGATGAAAATTCGGTTCTAGCATAGCCTCCTAGGGTAGTGGTATGGGCTCACACATATGCACTGATCTCCACAAGATCTCAGAAACTCCAATTATACCAAAGGCTTACTCATGGCGCAGTCGGCGGAATCACCAAGTCTGTTCGTGTTCGAGGGCCATTATGTTCAGCATCTTATGAGGCTGATGAAACGGATGAACCCAAGGCGGACATGCACCCGGCCTTTGATGGTTTGGCCAGACTGACCGGTATGGATAAAAGAAGAAGCTTGCTTCTTTTGCATGGTCATAGTGAAGTCTACCATTCGTCTATGCATGCCGCGACGCCAGGCCCCAGGCTTCGCTGCTAGCCGAGTGGCTATGTGCTGGCCTCTGCCGGGCAGTCCCAGAGTAAACTCATATCGGCAAAGGCATTATATCATCATCCACGACTTAAAACAAGAAATTATCTTTGAATAAATGCCTATCCAACATCTCCATATCCTTCTAATGTTCTCCCGGCCATAGTGAGCTGCATCATAAAACCAGAACTTTCAAACAAAGTATGGGAGATCCCCTCAGTATTCTGAGCGCTGTTGTCGCAGTCGCAGGACCAACATCCAAATTGACTGAGTTCATATCAGATTTCCAGTCCGCAACGGATGACTTGAAGGACATCAAATATGAGCTCGAGCAATTCAAACTGGTAACTCCCTTGCTCAAAGTACATGAGACCTCGTTTGACCGTCCTAGGACGTCAACTCAGCAATGTTTGCATTTACATTTGTCAAAGAAGCTCTTCCGCGTTTATCAATCCCGATGAAACATATCGAAGAGAGGTGGGACGGTCTAAAAGGGAGCTGCGAAACGGTAGAGGAGGTTGCGAATGAATTACTAACTTGCTGTGGAAAATGGAAGGAATCAAATTTAGCAAACATTCTTGATAAATTTAAGAGGAGGTTTACGGGGCCAAAGAAGCAGTATACTAACATCCGACTATCTCTCAATCATTTCAGAGTACAATTGAATCTTATTGTTTCCTTTGCCCATCTTGAATACAGCAGGGCACTACGACTACCTTTGTGAGTTTCTCGTTCCTAGGTAGATTTAGTGGCTCACCGCAACCAGGGATGACATTCTTTTGAAAGTCGAGGAACTAGAAAAAATATCAAAGGCTCAAAAGAAGATGTATGGTAATGCTGGAACTACAAAGAAATCGACCAGCATCCCACAACCGCACTTTGAAGAGGAAAAACCCACAAACTCCAAGACGGCATCTTCACATACTCCACTGCCATGCCAAGTGCAGCTTTCTTGGGCGGACAGCCAATCTCTGCTTCAGAGGAAAGTTCACCAATTGTCTCTGGTCATGAAAAGGATGACGGAGGAGACAAGTCAGCCAAAATTCCTTCTAAGACAGCAGACCCCAGGTCAATATTAGATTCTCAATCAGAAGCATTCGATGCATTTGTGGAAGCTCTGAATCTTATTCTACAGGATCATTCACCCAAGGAGGGTCAATATGAACAGCTCGATGGTTCCTCAGAGGAGTCGAGCGTCCTCCTACACGGTGAACCGGCAAATAACACTACGGCACATCGGGAAAATCAGGCTGAATATTTCCTGCTGGATGCACGAGAAGCCTCTGTAGAAAATGTCGAGGAGGATATTGAAGATCGTTACGAGGTGCTCTTCATGAAATCGTCCCTGCGTTCGCCTACTGAGCCAGAATGTTCAGCCAAGGAGAATTATGAGCCTCTTGATCAGAACCAGACTGCCACAATACCCATCGAACCTGCATTTACTTCCACGCAATCTGATATACCACGACCTGTCGCAGTTGGCAACTCACCTGAACCTCGTCATTTCGGCTCTTTCCAAAAAGCAGATGACCACCATCTGGTAGAAATCAATGACCTAATTCAAAATTCAGAGCTCCGGACCTCTTATGGCGGAGCAGAGGCCTCCATTGCCTCCGAAAATTTCACTGCAAGGGTCCAGATGCCCAAGAATTCAGGAAACGACTCAGGAAGACATCCCGGTGATTCATGTTCGAATGAAGACTCGGGCTCAAGCTCATCATCGTCGCATCCCCGGGACACCTCATCAACACTGGATGCAACAGGCGTCCGAATCGTGCCGCATACTCAATTCACTACAGTGGAATTCAGGGACTACAAAACACTGGTGTTCTTCCAGTGCGATGATGGTTGGGTTCAATGTGGGTTAGTAGCGAATGACCCCGATTTTAATCCCGATTACGACCATGACAACGACAACGATAGGTACGAAGAGGAAGGGGACGATATAGTAGTGGTGATAGTAGAGGGGGAGGAGGAGGAGGGGGAGGAGGAGGGGGAGATAAAGGCGAAGAGAAATAAAAACGACGATAAGGGCGGTGGCGGTGGTAATGAGACCGAAGAAGATACCGACCCAGTGCGAATGATCTTATTCGATCGCGTGGTTCAGGCCGTTGAAGGCTTGCCTTTACTCGCGCAGAGAGATGATGATCCTGAAAGACCCCTCACTTTCAAACTCTTTTACGCAGCAGAGCTGAGTGGCAGGGCCATTCTCTCGGAGCAAAATTTCAGTTATCCTCAAACATGGGCACTGGGGAGTTTAACTTCTCTAGAAATCGAATTTGGTTCTGATTCGACCATACAAGACTTCACCGTTACTGACGGTGAGGAGCAAATAATCAGTTGCTTACACGTCTAGGATGTCCAGGGGAGGTTCAGATACCTGCAGTACAATGCTGCTGAGGACGAATGGTCGGAATTCGACGGCCCCAAAGAAAATGAAATGAACCTGGGACAAGGAAGTCGATTATTCATCGATGAACGTAAAGAAAACATACTTCGATCATGGCCTTGGAGTTTATTCCTGGATTCAACGGCACAACATTTCTGGGCTTTCTGTTACGTCTCTATCGAAGCACGCATTTCTTGCACATATGTGACCAACTGGCCTGGAGCATACAATCTGACTCATCATAGCAATCTGGCCCCTGTTAACATCGAACAGAACGAAAACAAAGCAGCTACTGCCTCACTTTCCGAAGCTGAAGTCCAACTTTTTCGCAACATTCATTATGCTCGCAAAGATAGTCGCGGGGCCGTCCTGTACCGTGATGTAACGAACAAGATCTATGTTGCAAAAATCAGACGGAGCGGCTTGTCAGAAGATCCCGAAGGTCTCAATTCGCCCCAACTTATATCTACAACACTGAAGGACTCACACTTTCACTTGAGTGAGAGTTGCATCATCTTTGTCTCAGAGGCAGGAAAGGTGGAGTTGTACACATGGAGCCGCAGTACGACCAGGATCAAGTCCATCTCAGTCTATGCGAAGCAGGGAATTATTTCCGCCAGGAACTCACGAAAGTACCCTCGAAGATCTCTGTATACCGCTTAGGCGGCATGGTTATTGATCTACAAATATGGTTATTGCGGCGAAAAGGGAGATTCAGGACACTGGAAGAAAAGCACAACAGCTGTGTCAGTTGCTGTTCGGCGAATAATGTATGCATGGTTGGGATGAGACTTACAGCTATATTGCAGGCAACAGATATGAATGAAAAGGAATGGTGGTAAAGCTTCGTGAAATCTTGGAGATATAAAGTGGCATTCAATTCAAGAAGAATTCTACAAAAGAAGACATAGTGAACACACACTACTCGGATCCAATCCAACCCAATCAAAATCTCAAATCACCGTCGTCGAAGTTGCCCTTCGCCGCCATGCTTTTCACGACATATACTTAATAACAAGGAGCGAAGAACCAACAAATGATCCCCTCATTACTTAAAGACCGGTGGAACGCTCTTACCTAGCCATTGACATACCAAGCGTTATGCCCTTGCTCAACACTTCCCAACCTGTTCAAGCTCTGGGATCCGCTGATACTCTGGTTGACCCTATTGACGCAAACTCGCAAAATCTTGAATTGAGTGTCCTGTGGTCGGATCTCGGCATCTTCTGTGGACGGATCGAGGGTGATAGGTCAGCAGACTTAAAAGGACGAGGGAGGACACTAATTTGTCTTCTTGATTGGAAATGTACTCTCCATTGCCGCCCTGTTCGTCGCGGAGGGCCTTCCATTCCGCGTCACTCTCGTCTCGCTCACCCAAGAATGAGAACGGAGTTGATGGTCACCTAGCGAAAACTAGGCTAGTGTCCACGGAGTGGATTCGACGAAGGCTAGGCCTCGGATGAAAACACCGGGCAAGACACAATTGCAGGCAGGCGGTCATCCTTATCTTACAACGTGGCCACGATATAGAGAACAGGTATAGTTAGAGACCTGTGTACAGGGATCGATGAACGTCAGGTTAACAACATCCGTGACCTCGATATCATTGTAAATGGGTTTATTGGCAGGTTTTGTTAAGTCTTCAGGTGGTGGGCCTATCCTTGACCAGCTTGTCCAGTTTCGGAGCCCCTTGGCCTTCGATTGGGTGCATACCCGAGCTCTGGTTATCAGTGGCGGAACTCTCGGTCTTTAAGTTTGCTTGCTACTAGTATGGGGTGCTACTGCTCGCCGTGAAAGGGCAATCAACGACTGTTTACACCGAAGCTAGCTTCCTTTGAGTCATGGGTATCACCGACGGGGCACTTTTCACTTTTCGGGTATGGCACTCTTGACGACGTCTATCACTGCAGCAGATACTTCCCGCAGGTGAGGAGGAAAAAGATCTCAGGCTTCACACACCGACTTTAGAATTCTGTTGCCTGGCCTTTCGCACGTGGGGTCGTCCTCGCTCGTGCCTCTCTGCCAATAAGCTATATCAGCTCCCTGAGCCCAGATCTCAATTTATTCTCCTTCGCTATGTTCCTCAGTTCTTTATTTATTCGGCGTGCCTGTCAGTTGAAGAATCACTGCACATCATTTTCATGGACAAAGCGGGAAATAGACCGGTTGACTTTGCCCTGCGAGCGCTGCAGCTCATCTTCGCTATCATCGTCATGGGAACGGACGGCTATGGTACGGAGAAATATTGTGTCCTCCTCTGTCGATGAACCATTGAGTCTGAGCCCGTCGTCTAGCTATCCACGTGTTTCGGGGCCACACTGTCCACGAACACTTCGAGTTCGGCGACTTTTACAACTACTACGGCGTCCCCGATGCGTGGGGCTTCTTAATGTTCTGTGCTGGGTCGACATTTCTGGCCGTCATCTTCCTCCTCATTGCTGGAATCAGCTGCGCAGATCATGCATTGATCGGTTACATTCGTGTCGCCGTTGAGGCTGTGGCTCTCCTCTCATGGCTTGCTGGTTTCATCGCGGTGGCTGTTAACATAGGGACCAATGCATGTCCGGCAGAAGAGGACAACTGTGGGTCAATCAAGGCGGCGACATTCTTTGGGGCGTTAGAATGGCTGCTGTTCGTGATTACTACAACCTTGACTACCAAGTTCGTCTTCAATAGCACTCGCCGACCAAGGACTTCTACCGAATAATTAGATCGCTATCGAAAGCAAGATGATAAATGACTTCTGATTGATGTCAGGCGTTTGTGAGCACCTTCGTCGACATCTTGGATAGACACGTATCTCCCGCTGTTAATAGGCCGGATCGGAGTTGTTCGCAGCTTTTAGCTATTTATTCTGAACTAGGTCGGTTGAAAGGCTGCCGGGTCAGACGACCTGCCTGAGGGTGGGATGTAAGCCAATGGAGTACGAGGCTACATTTGTGACAAAGATAGGGTATACTACTAAACTACTGCACTAGACTAGTATACTAGTACACTAGTATGATCTACGAGGCTCTATATATACCCTCTTTACAACCTAGGTAGGATGATTCGTAGTTAACTTTGTTAATAATCTAAAATCTATATTTTAGATCAGCTCCACGGAATATTCCGGTTCCCTTCCTCAAATTCCAGTTAGCACTCTTGTATCTGCTCTATTCAGGAAACCACCTTAGTTAGCGACTATTCGTAGTTCAGATCATAGCATCGGTGACTAATTCTTCCTCCTAAATTAAAATTGACATCACCTCCTAGCCGACACTTCAACTCCGTCACTGAGCCTCGAGCTTGAGTCAATGTTCGATCTCGCTTCTGACACTCGATCCACGACTGCCTCTGTTGACATACGGAGCGCCAGCAGAGAGATCTGTCTTTTCTTTGAGAAAGATGGCAGTACATGCAGTCTTGAACAAGAAAGCGTCGAGCAACTCCACTAATACCATGCACGTGGTCTCCCTTCGAGTCCAGCATGCCCCATGGGTGAAGCCTTCCACAATCTCAAACTCACGGTCATCACTAGACCTAGCACGGCACGAAACCTTGACCATCTGACACACGTGCCCTCTGACTGACGGTTTTCAAGTCGCCAGGAAGAAAAAATCGACAACCATGGTCACATGACATTAGCATGGCCGACCCATTTGAACGGGGGGCAGCCGATGCCCTATAAGCAGTATTAAGGCTCTTAGGGATATAGCACCAATGTGGCTGGCCAAGGTAGAGACCTTGATATTTTGTCCAACAATTTAGCTAGATTTCGATTTGTACCGGGCTGGATCTACCTCCATTGGGACGATCAATTGCGCGCTGGGACGTCCGCGAAGAATGCTGCTGTTTGTACCGTATATAAGTTAGTAATCCCACCACAATGATACCAGTTTGAAAACCAATAACAGCTTTTCTCTTACCGTAGCAGCTCATTGGGATATTTTCAGCCCTTGGAGATATCCCACAAAGCATTGGTGTCGATGGTCCTGGTTCACATGCGTACAAGAGCACCGCATTTCCAGAGTGAGTCGGCCGTGCCCTCATAATCTGCGCTCTCCTGCTGTGACCAAATGGCGCAGCTGCATTTCCCTGTTTCGCTGATAGCTGCCCTTCTTGAACCCTTTGTACGTGAGTCCGTGATACATTTCCATAGTACTTTTTTGCTGATGTTAATCATACTTAAGTCAAGCTGAGTTATAGACAAACATAAATATCCACATAACAGCAGAACATACACTAATTCATGTAATAGGCAGGCTGTAATAATTCCATATATTGTTTGTAGGTTATCTCTGAAGGAAATAGCGGTATGTTGAATACCTAAGCTCAATGGAGACATTATACATGCTTCCATAACGTCTCTACAATAAGACCCTCGCCCATGATTATATGTGTTCAAGGAAGCTCAGCGTTATTCAGCCAGTACTCGGAAGACCTGCGCGAAAATTTAAAAATCAGCCAGCTATAAATCCTGGGACACAACAGAATCTCTCGAGGGCGAAAAGGAAACAGAGCATTACTTACATGTGTCGGGGTCGCAGCCATTACTGACACAATTCCCGCAAAAGCAAGGTTGGCCAGGGAAGAAGCAATCACTTCGCATCTATAATGATTAAGGTGCATCAGTATATAGTGATCGAATTAGAAGGAGAGTACATAGGGATGACTCATGAGAGTAAAGGCCAGTAGAGTTCCGACTCAAGAAAATAGAAGCCTTAGGGAAGAAGGCTTACTTGAACATTGTTTTGAGCTCCGCTATCCAAAGTCACCAGACATCCCCAACGCGTGGCAGATTCTGGAGAAGGATTCAAAGTGCAAGTACCGAACTTGACTGCTCTCTTAATTGTTCGAGGCTCTGACGGAGCACTCGGAGCAGCGATTACCAACGAGCTTGCAGAAAGGATAAGCAGTATTGACCACTTCATCTTGTCGTGGTGAATTTAATATTCAGGCGCCTGTACAAACATAAAATGCTTTTTTTCTTCCCCCTAAGTAGACAAATGAAAGGGGAACTGATGAAAACCCTTATGAAGTTTCAGGCTTAAATAATGTTCACATCTCGCGAGCTGAAGAACTAATTGTTCAACGTCGTCATTCCACAACTTCCAAATTCTGCCTTCTTCTTGGAAACCGAGCTGTAAACCGTCGTTGAGTACACTGTCGCTAGTAATTGCCGTTACAATTAGTTTTTGCTGGGTTCCCCTCTTTGTAGGATGGGCTATTAATCGTATTGTGGAGAAAGATTCATTCAGCATAGATCCTACATAATGGAAACCATATCATAATTGGTTCCCATCTTTCACCCCCAAGAAAGCAGGATTCATCGTGCCCCGTTAATTATATGTTCTGGCTGGAAGAGTTTGACCCAGATCCTCCAGGAATAGCTGCGGATTGTAAGGGTATGAGCAAATGTCATATATTCAAGGGCGTGTTGATCGTTGAGATCTCCCTTTTCATTTCATCACTATCCAAGGCAGTGCTACGTTTTACGAAAGATAGTGGTCCAGTTCAGTGCATGTGTCCGTTCGCTATGCCAGCCCCTGCATGCTGTCTTGCGGCGAAATGAAGCAATAAGGACTAGCGACTGATGGAGTGATGAGGATTTGCTAACGTCGATCCCCTAATCGATCTCTGGAACGGAGTACATGACCTTCAAAAACTTGAGTTCTACCACCAGGAAATATAGCACAATGCGGAGCCATGATCGGCATTAGTTGCCCTCAATACGCTCAACGGAATTTCTGAACTGCCTTCCCGACCGGCGTATGCGTTCTAGAACCAAACATTGATGTTACATTGAAACTAGGCGGAGAGGATATATTCCACACTCACAGAACCCTTCACAACACCTAGTGGGACTTCAATGACTGTATGGCGCGCTGACCACAGGTACGGAGGGCTGAAAACCCAATTTCTTTCAAAACTGGTTGAAAATTTTCTTGCCCAGAAGTACAGCCTTGAGGGCCAGTCCTCTTCCAGATTCCAGACAATAACTTGTATTCCAGTGTATGCGACGGATTATATCATATATTACTGAATTGGAATGGTACGAGGCAGAAAACATGATGGCTTATTAATATAAGGCCAATGGCTCCAGGGCTTGGGACGTTCTTGCGTCCAATCAAGGTCAAAGCCCCCAGCACTACCTTTGTTGAACCCACGAAGTCGCAGATTCGGTCATTCAGTAAGCCGCTGGCGCAAGCTGCCTTCCCTTCTCCGCAATGTGTCGAACTCATCACTGGAGTACTCTAGCATCTGTAGCCGTGTTTTGGTGAAGGTAGAAAAACCAAATCTGAAGGGATACTCAAAGAGCCTGACAACTGCTGAAGAGACCACTGGATTCTGTGTCCATTATTGTGGGTTTCGATGGCCTTCTGTCGCCTTTCGTCACGTTTGCTGCTACGCTTTGCCAAATCTGTGGCGAGCAAGACGCCGCAATATCGTGTTATCCACCCTCGAACCGCTGAACTATTCTTGGTGCTGCATATAAGGTCATTGGCATGCCTCAGAAATCCGTGGCGACTCACTTTTTCAGGGTCTTCAGGATTCTGGGCTGATTTTCGTTTTGTACTTCGACAGTGCTGTCTGCTTGTGCCAAGTCTGAGAGGAGTCCACAATCCACCGCGGTCCGCAAATGCTCCGGCACTCCTTCGCCCCCTGATCAGAAGAAAAAGATCGGCAGTGCGAATACTTTCTGCTTTCCATGGTGCTATGCGCGATCCTTGTAATATTTCGGTGTTGATCAGTACCCATAATCTCAGTTTAAGGAATTTTCCCACAGCTTACCGTAGAAAAGCATACGAAAGACGTAGAGATGGAAGCACGCCAAGTAATATTGGGCCAATGCAACGGAAAAGACGGCGTTATTACAGAGGTATCCTCAGGCAATGTGTCGCAGATGCTAACCGCCCTGGAACCCCTGCCTGCAAGAGGTGTTGATTCGCGGAGGATGACAGACAACACCCTTTAGACTCGAAATATCCTTCTTCGCTACGTTTTCCCAGTGAGTTGACTCACGGTAGACCTCAATTTTAGGGCTCTGTCGTATTGTGGCTTTTTGTGTTTGGGCTTGCTATGTTTTGATTTTACGCAGGCATGTTGCGTTGCGCATAGCACGGACTTGCAAGTATCCATATATTGTCCTGACCAGAAGTGGTGTCAAGCATGACGGTGGACCTATTAGTCCTCATATGTAAAATTTGAAGAAGAAGCGGCAAGCAGCAATTATCATAACCTTTGGATTGTATTTCTACTTTATCACAACCTTTAATTAGTTGAAAATGAAGGCCGCTACTAAGGAAAGCGAAAGTTATTGACTAGCCCATATTGAAGACCGTCTATTCATTAAGGGCAAATTGGTCCCATCTATCGCCGGATTGATCTCGCTGACCCTTTTACTGAGGAATTGATTGCTTCCGTCTGTGAAGCTGGTGCAGAATATGTCGAGAAAGCTGTCAAGGTAGCAAATGCTGCTTTTCCCGCTTAGAGTACTCCTTCAGCAGCAGAAATACAGGGATATTTGAATAAGCTCGCGGACAGTATTGATAACAACATGGAGAAGTTTGGTTACCTTGAGGCCGTAGCCGTGGGCAAACCTGTTATCGACGATTGTAACGCCCTTCTCTTGTTGCCATTAGTTTCTCCGCCGGCAGAATCTCGAATTCCTAGTCATTGTACCATTCTCTGCGCACGCTCTACGCTACCTTGCCAGTAAAGTAGAAGACGCTACTGGGTAACCTTCACTCAATACTGCTGTGTTCGTTAACATCAGTCTCCGCCAACCTTTCGATGCCTGCGAGGCTATTGTCCCTTGAAATGTCCTCTTCATCCTTTTACTTTCTCGCTCGGTCTGGCTTTTGGCTGTTGGTAACACTTTAATTGTCAAATCGTCTGAAAGTCACCTTGATCTTCGCTCGTCCTCAACAGCCTCTGCCAAGACATCGATCTGCCCAAAGCCGTTATAACATCCTAAGTGGATTGGGCTACCGTCGTGGCGAGGCCATCGCCAAACATATGGATATTCGCAAGAACTCATTCACCGGATCTCTCGGCACTGGAAGGTTTATCAAAAGAGCCGCAGCGAACTCGATTCATTGAATATTCCAACCTAGGCGGTGCAGGTTATGTTTTGGTCTCTAGCTCCCGTATATATCCACGCGGAAATAGCGTAATAATATCGTGCTTTATACAATATTCGTCGAATTCAGGCGTATTGTAGCTTCTATGACCATTGAGAATAAGTAGTCGATATTGACCTCGCCTTAAGCGTCTACTATCCATTCAACTAAGACGTCATCTTCTTATTGAGTGAGTTTACGCGTTGCCGCAGGCGTACTACGCTGGGGAGCGACTCCCTTGAGTCGTCGTCTGAACGTCGTGTGTAGCACGTCGTACGCGCGAGCCGCTTGTTTAATGCGGTCGAATTCGCCGTCTTGTAAGGCCTTGATAGCTGATTGAAGCCTCCCCTCTTGTTGTAATTGAATAGAACTCATGTGGTGGAGATAATCAATGGTAAAGGCGGGTGGATGGGTGGTGGTGAATTTACGGACCACTGGCCCGTAAATTACGTTACTTCCTTTTTAAAGGAGCTATTTTTAGGGTGGGCAGTAAATTTCAGCATGGCCAAGGCGGAGGCCTTTAAATATTCAGCTTCTCCTTCATATGTTGTGCATAGATATATATGACTTTTAGTGACCTAGTGAGGATAGGTCACTATCTAATCGGGAGAGTGATGTACGAACAGCACATGAAGGGAGCCGAGACCATTTTAATATGAAGTAATAAAATCTAATCGACAACCCGGTGTAATGAAACGCCCCACGCGCTGAAACATACGTCCCAGGTACTTCGAGCTCCAACATGCCCTGTTCAACACACGCACCTTTGATCGACCATCGAATGGGCGTCCTGTGTTCCGATGGCTTCATCTCAACCACCTGACCAGTCTCATTCATAAATACTAGAATATGGCTTTTCACAGTCCCATCTTCTTTCACGGTCTGAGAAAGCGCCAAAACGGGTTTGGCCACCTAGAGACGTCAACAGCTGTTGTTGGCGCCAAAGTGACTATCGACGGAACAGGCAGACAACGTCGTGATGACGATTAATGAGTCAGTGCCACAGCCTCTGGAATGCTTTGGAATCATGGAAAACAGGCTCCAGGAGGTCATCTTGCCTAGTAATTATCTATATAAACTAGAACGGTGACCATAGAATAGAAGAAGACAGAAATCTCAACAACGCTGGAGCTGCCGTTAATGTACGGGATCAATACGACCTTAGTCCACTTTTTGTTGCCTCGCGACGGGGCTACGCGAAGATTGTCGAACTGTTGATTGAAGCCGGCGCTGATCTCGAGGCACAGAACCGGGATGAAGGCAGCGCATTACAAGTGGCTTCTGGCGCCGGGCAAGAAGGCATAGTCGACAAGCTGCTTGAATCAGGTGCCGATGTCAATGGCGGAGGAGGATTTTACAATAATCCGCTACAGGCAGCTTCAGCCCAGGGTCACGCTAGCATTGTCCAGCGACTTATCACAGCAGGTGCCGACGTCAATAAAATTGGTGGCTACCACGGAACCTCCTTGCAGGCAGCTTCAGCTGAGGGCGACGACCATGTCGTCCGGCGACTCCTCGCAGCGAATGCCGAAGTCAACATCCAAGGAGGGAAGCACGCAAACGCATTGGTGGCAGTTTCGGAAAATCTGAAATTTGCGACACGTACTATCATGAGCGGCGCATCTAGTGGCCTGTCAGCGAACTTCGGAAAATACGTTCGCATCGTCGTGCTGCTGCGCGATCACGGCGCTAATGCGGACGTGCCCGGGACGCAGTATGGGGATCTTCTGTACACGGCTTCCTACAAAGGCAATGAAGAGGCTGTACGTCTCCTGCTCGAAACAGGCGTCAATGCAAATGAACAACAAAGAGGCAAACTTGACACTGCACTTCAAGCGGCTGCATATCGCGGGGAAGAAAATATCGTCAAGCTGCTTCTTGATGCAGGGGTCAATGTTAATGCCCAAGGTGGAGAGTTTTATGGCAACGCCCTTTACGCAGCCCTGGAGTCTTACTGGTCTGATGAAAAGACGGTCCAAATATTGCTGGATCATGGCGCCGACGTCAAAGCGGGCAATGCGCGTCACACAGATGCTCTTGAAGCGGCCTCAACCGAAGGCAAGATGGATGTCGTCCAGCGATTTCTTGACAAAGAGGTTGCTGATAGGGCCGGGGAGGTTGATTCTTCGGCTGGATGCAAACGTGGCCAATCTCCCTAGTTAGTGAGATGATGTTGAACTGCAGATAAATGTGTTATTGCTAGGTAAGATGCCCATTCCATAGCCGATAAATTCATGGAAGGAATGAAGACTGCCGTGGTGAATATAAAGGCAGGTAATCCACTTCAAGAGGGGGTACCCCGGAAACTCTGGTATCCATCCTGTTGAATGACAAACTTCTTGTTGAACAAAAGTGGCGGGTTTGGAGCTTGAGATTGGAGATCTGCTCTAGTTTTGATTTGAGTATAGAGAGAGACTCTTTCCCAGATCATTACGGACTTCATGCGGTAGGATATTCTGTCCCCATTGATTTCAATGATAAACAGGCGCTGCGTTATGGAACGTAGTACTAGAACCTCTCTTTCTTCCGTTTCCTCCAGTTTAAGGGTGATGCAGCCTGGAAATTCTATCTTGTGTCATTAAACGAGTGGAGCTATCCAATAGCGACCAAAATGAAATACCCCAGCTTCATCTCTTTGAGGGTATATGTTGGACTTAAAAGTGGTAGAGTGATGTTCAATCTTATCGTTATTTAACTGAACGCCAGCACGTTCTTGTAGTGCTACGCCGAAATGGTTTAACTCGTAGTCCTGAAGCATAACAGGCGAGGAGCGAAAAGAGAGCTATTCTCGTACTTGTATCCCTTCCAAGCAAAGATGAATGAATTATTTGTCGAATTGATGATTTCTTCTTGCAGTCGAATAAAAGCCCCATTTTCTTCACATAGAGCATAGCTATGTTGATGCCGGAGACACCAAGTAAGGAAAAAGTTATCTCTTAAACTCATGCTGCATTCCTTTCTGCAGCTCAGGACATCTCACAAGGCCAGCCATCTCTCAGCTACTTGATTACTACAAAGCCCATTTCCCCGACTTTACCATCCCCTACCATCTCGCCTAGCACACCTGAACCCTCCATTTGCATTATTTAATACTGAGTTGAAGCCGTCCATCAATATCTACGTTCAACAAGCTGCGGAACAATGTGCTCGTGGTAGTTGTGCAGTAATACTGGATTCTCTAGAAGCATTGCTAGCGTTGTAAAGCAGATTAGAGTATGAGGGCATTGAGAAAGATGGACACATTGAGATATATCCAAGCTGCCAATGCCAATTTTCCAGGAAGTTAGAGTTGGCGTGATAAGGATAGGAACGATAGAGCCGCACAAGGATATATGCCGGGGGCAGCGTCAGTTTGACATGATAGACGCCCATGGCAACTTAACTATCTTCTCAGTGTGCTTTGAGGTTTGAATTGTTGTAGATCGGTGCAAAACTCAACTGGGACGACTAGCAGCACGTACTCTCACTATCACAATTAACGCTTGTGTGTCTGTATCCGCTGACCTCCTCCGGGCCTGGGAATGACTGGAGCTACAGTACATTGCGGAGGCTTATAGGGCTTTTCACGGAAGATGAAAGAGAGATTTTGAGGGTGGAATGGAGACACCCTGTAGGAGGGTGACGTAGGAGGGCTGACATGCACTTCTATATGAGACTACCAACGAGTAAGAGCGTGACCATGGCCAATACGGCGCGCTGGTACTACTATTTGCTTACACACGCATTTCAATGTCCATGCCACTTCCACTTCCACTACCAAATCCATCGACCCCATTTCTAGCCCCTGTAGTTAAAGAATAATTTCCTTGTGCTTTTTTATTCTCTTTGTCTGCCTTTCTCTCTGCTCTTGATTTCTTCACTTTCTTTGGAAACTCGCTATCCGGGCCGATAAGCACCAAGGCAGGGTGTATGGCATTGAACATGACTAGTGACGCTACCATTGGGAGGGCTTCAAGGCAGTAGAAATACGCCTCGTGCCTCGCGACGTGGCTGTACTCGCCATTAGGGTACTCCACGAGCCTGAAGATGATCCGAACTGTAATGAGGCCGAGTGCAATGTAGAGCGTATACAGTAGGCGTCGCCAACGGTGGGGGATGGGACGAACGAATTCCTCTTGAGTCATTCGGTATTGGAAACGACCAGCGAGGACGATAAATAAGACGATGAAGGCCTCTTGAACACCAACGCCAACCATATCTTGATAGAGATATAGTTAGCAAGATTGTTCGGGAAAGTAGTGTATAGGATTAAGGTGGGCGATAATAGCTTACATATCTTAATGCCAATTCTCACTGATTCAGAATCATCTGAGGACATTAGACTGGACGACGAGCCTTGGATGAGGAAGGCAAACATATCCAATACCACAAAGAGCAAGGTCAACCTGCGTGCACCAATTCCAAAGATTTTCTTCTCGGGGACGAGGAAATGAATCATGCGTCCGGCAACCATATAGACGAACGCGTTGGTCCAGATCGGCGCAAGGATGATCAAAAGCTGTTGAGGAATGAAATGCCCTAGCCCACGAAATTGTCTTGCTGAGTATGACCGAACTGTAAAGCCAGAGGTCTCCCATAAGCCAGCCATGATTATAACCCAGCAAAACCTCTGGAGCAAACGAATTGTGAGTACAATACTTCAACTATTTAGCGCACGTATCTGCTTACTTTTCGAAACCTGATAGCCTGAATTATATGTGTGACTGTTGACAGACCAAATAAGACAGCAAACAAAACCGCAGCTGCAAACGATGGGCAATAGACCCAAGCTATGCTGTCGTCTTCGTAGGCTGCTGCTAAATCACACTTTGCCATGTTCAACCCTGGTGGTGATAAAAATGTGTTATTCTGGAGAAAAGTAGCGACCTTCAGCGATACAAGGGTTGTAGAAGGTTGAAAAAGCTACGACTATCAGTATTAGAATTTATAGAAACATTATTATTGTCTGCCTAGCGTGTAATATTCGATATGCTGAGGGGTTAGAAGTTAGAACTGATCTATACCCTTTTTAGTCGTATTGAATACGACACGTATGTCGTGGGACGGTGAGATGGCCAAGCGTAGAGTTGGGCGTAAGCTGAGAGCTATTGTGGTATTCATGTGGGGAGCACATAAACTCGATGTAACTATTTTATGTTCGAGTTCATCTAATCTTAACGGGTATTGAGGTGAAATCATAAGATTGAGAAGGCTGAAATCACTAGCCACATACTGACGACATGCGATTAATTCATACTTTACGCTTACTACAAATCTGTCTAGCTATAGTCTGACTTTAAGGTGGCGACTTAATCTCACATATTACTCTCTAGTTCCTTTGCGAGAAAGATGTCTTTAAGTTCATCTAGTAGTGATGAATCTCCCACCTTATTTCTTGTGGCCTTTAGTCTGTCGTATACTGACTTCGGCCACTCCAAATATGCTTTCGAATCATTTGAAAGTCTCATCCAAATTTTGTCAGCCCATTTTAGGGTTGAGCTCAACCGATGGTCTGTAGATAAACCTTGTGGAAAGTCCCATGGTGTGAAGGGTGCCAATATTAAAGACTCCAACAGGTACAAGTATAACATCAACTGTAAGACTGTGTTATTAGGGTTAATTAAGGCCTCAACATTCGCCCTCGATGACCACATTTCGTAAAGTGAAACAAAACGAACATAACCAAGCTGCAAAGACTCAATCGACCCTGCGAGGACTTCCTTGACACCGCTATAGAACTCATGCTCGAATGGTGTCTCTAACAAGTTTGAGATCTTCACTAAATCTGCCAGCCCTTTCTGTAATTCTCTGATGTTTGGTTTAAGCATGTGGCCCAATTTTGGGGCAACAATATCGAGGTGCTGGGCGGGTAGAGCAATGAGCTGTCCATCTCCACGAAGCGTATTAGTGGCAAGATAGCAGCCACGGACAAAGATAATAAAATCGGTCATGCCATCTGCAAGGTATATTGACTGAAACGTGAGCGCATAACAGCTGGCCAAGATTGCACTTGAATCATCAGATTCTCGGCAAGAATTCGATATAGCCGAATTTAACCCTCGTATAGCGTAGAGGCGATGGTCCAGCGCATCTCGATTATATCCCTTGTGTTCAGGGAACAGGGCACCTAGGCTGAATGCTCCCAGCCCTAGCAATGCATGCATCAGATAAGGGCGATGATAAGCCAGCCGTGGAATTGCTTCAACCCACAGCGTGTCACTTCCAAGTGGTAGATGGGGGATCGCCGCTTGTAGAAAATGATGAAAATATTGTAAATCTCGGAGGTTAAAGTTGTGTACCTGAAGGTTTGCTCGCATATAAGGATTTTCAGCTTGACCACATGAGTAGATGCATTCTGCGTGAAAATCAAGGCAATTCCCACACCGAGGCTTCTCCTCTCCACACTTGATGCGTCGGGCTTTGCAATTGTTGCAACCCTTTCGGGACTTCTTATGCGATCGCCGTTGCATTGTCGACGATTTGAGGGGCCTTGACGATAGACCGCTCGAAGATAAGGTTCTGTGAAGGCCTAGTTGGGACTTGTTATTACGAATCAAATCCATTTGGTGAAATACTTTTTGAGCGGCTAGCATAGTATCCAACGAAAACTGTTAAATAATGACTGCATCTCAGGTACAAGACAGCGCTCACGCTTGCCTTGTTCTCTTGTCACTTTCTTATTAGGTATCAATGGATGCTGGGTCCTAGGGTCATGGTACGGGGTAGATATTAAGGGTGCCTAAAGTGGAGCACTAAAGTGAATCCAAAGCCATTAGCCAATCTTATAGGGTGATTCCAGGGGTTAGCTACTAGGGTCGCTTAAAATAAGGTGGACGCTTCCAATCTCTGGAGACAGAACGTTGGTTGCTGCCTTAGGTTACTACAGTACTTGCCACAGTGATCTAAACTACGGGTTCAACTTTGTGGAAAACCTTCTACCACGAGCATCCAAAAGCTTCGACGACTTCGGCTACAGTAAGTAAGCGTCCAAAGCTTCGTCGAGATACCTTGATCGTAGCTCAGATAGGCTCAACGGTCGTCGAGATGAGTCCTCAATCCCTAACTTTGCATCTGCAGGTACGGCCACGGAAGTCTCGGGCCAAGACATGGCTGCCTAATTTGTCGTTTTCGCCACAGACAACATGATGAGTAGTAACTAACATGTATGTAATTCTAACCTTCGTGACGGCCTCGCCTGCTCTTTGCCATCTGGATCAAGAACCAGTTCAGTGACAAAGCCTCCTGCCTTTCATTGATGGGTTAGTCTACCTCTCATTAGTTGGCACTGTATTCTCGGGTAGCACATTGGGGAATAACATCTTTAGATTTCATACTAATGATATGGGTTCCTAGAACGGTGAATGCACAACTTTCAAAGATCATGTCATACACAAAAATATGCCCAACCACGGCATAGAATAGATCCCAAGCTTGATGAGATTCACTTTCGGAAGTGTGTCATTCAAGGATAAGGAGGGGGAAGCCCTCGTGACGAAACACAGGAGTTCTCATTCTATCGACAAGGCGCAAGCGAATATTGGTACATCAAGTTGAATGATCACTCACCACCTAGCCTTATGCCGACCTAATATACTTCGAATCTGGTATATCGCCACCTATGTCTATTATGAGACCAAGATACATTCCCGTGAAATTCCAGAGCATGTTGTTTACCAGGGTCGCAGCGGGAATGGCACTATTTGAGCGATCCAGCGTCAACCTGCGCATCGCCTTTTTTGGCCTCCTGAAATTCGTGTTCAGGGTAAACCGAATACTGCAGTTACCAATAGACATATATTTTCGACTCTCGTAATGCGTGGAAGAACGAACAGGCGACCACCATGGTAACCATCACGCACAATATTCTGAAACTTCCTCTGAAACTTCATCAATGCGGCCTCTACGGCGACCGCCATCGATGGTGGAGCATCCTTTAGTATCGGTATATCGAACTAACGAGAGGTAGTGACAGAAAGCTGATGGAACTGGCGCCCTCGCGGCACGACGGAAATGCAAAATGCCTCAACAGGAGAGATAGAATCGAAACAATGAAAGCGTCAGGAGCTCACAGTAGAAGAATCCTCGCCGCCGACTGCGAAGCGACAGAACAGAAATAGCCATACGCCTGCTTGCAGAAGAATAATTAGCATAGGTGCCCTCTATGGAAGACTAGAAGCCGCAGATAGTCAATGTTGACGCGGTCGAGAGGGCGGCTATAGGCAACTGCTCGTCTATAGCTACTTCAAGAATTGCAAACAGATACGTCTCAATTCGCTCACGTCTACCGACATTTTCACCGGCCGATGCCGAAATCTTTTGAAGCGCATCCCAAGTTAAAGCAAGTTAGATGTACTGCAAGCTTATCTTAGTCCACTGGAGAGTGTGCACAGGGACAATAAGCGAAGACTTCATCATCATACTCTGAAGAACGAGGTTCGCACTCTTACCAGTTTGTACAGGATCAGTAGATTTTTGTTTCTCAGAATGATATCTTTAGGTACTGCGACTAGCAAATCATCTGGATATCGACTCGTTCGCCGACAATTCTACAAGGAAGTATCATAATGCTCCTCTTGGTCTCTCCTTGGCTATCAAAAATGTAACGCTTTTCAAAAGCCCTGGCTTACACCAAAATCCCTCATTGAACGCCGCGAATTACTACGACTTCATTGCAATTGGTCCCTAGCTAGATGGACGTTAGTCCGATTCAGCGATGAATGCTATTTTGCTCCGGGATCAAAGCGTAAACTGAAGGTGACTAGGCTCCGCGGAGAGCGCTATCATCCTGACCGTATCCAAAAGACTCAAATCAAAACAAATGCTGCTCATAATGTAGAGTGCTACCATTAAGAGTGGTCTTATCTTTTGTGGAACAAGTTCGTCTAACGATAACATGACAAGCCAAGTCTATATACATCAAATTCTCAGTGGACCCGTCAAGAGTTGGATAGAACGCCGCGGCTCTTTTACTCTCGAGAAAGATCAGGATTCAGGCCCCAGCATCGGCCAAAAGAGCTCTGTGCGGAACAAAGGAGCCAATGGGTTTGAATAACTGCTTTAACGCTCTGGAAGTCCTGATTTATTGCTAATTGAGAATATCTGTGGCGCCGAAAAGCAGCAAATAAAGGACTTTAATCATTATGATGACGAATCAGTAGTGCGCGCAATTTAGACTACCTGGGCTAATATTAGTGTAGATTCGATAAATCGCTACATATCATCAATGGTTCACAGAATGCCTTTTGCGTGGATAGAACTGCGAAATCAATTTTCGACATAAAGCACATGATGCAGGAGCGAGAAATAAAGGGTTGAACAACATCACGAGATTCTGTGACGTAAACCTTGAGCTATTGTTGTTGTTGTTGTCAGTCTGTTCTTCTGAATACCGCCTGTCCAAGGCTTTGTAATTTCCTCCTTGAGTCTCCTGTCATACCCTCTTATCAGCTCAACGCGGTCCGTGAAAACGCTCACCCTCAGCCTCTCTGACAAGTAATTTTAAATAGCTGTTGGCTTTATTGTCTTGTTCTTACCTGTGATATGAAATGTCGCGGTTCTCGAAATTGGACCGCCCAGCGCCACTTCTATATATTTGTTTACAGTGTTACTCATCGAAACGGTCGCCGCCGCGGATGATTTCGATGCTGAGGCTTTCTACACGATGGTCAACAAAGCAGCATACAATGAAGATTTGTTGGCGCTTGTGTTGCCTATGAGGCGCTCGATTCTGAGGCTTCTGATGCTTCCGCTACTAAATGCGCTGACGTCTGCGAAGCAGCAGAAACTTAAGACATAACTGGCGCTCTTTTAAGTTTGTCTGTGACTGGTACCGGTGTACCTGATACCGTTAGAACTCAAGTTAGTCGGACGGCACCAAACGGGAACTCCTCTCACTTACCTTACCTGTCCCGCCAGCAACACCACCGGCTACTGCTCTACTCCCCCAAAACAGGGCACCATCGATGATGACATAGCCTCCGTGCTGGATGGCACTCCCTCCGACACCAACTGCTCCTAAGATAAAACTTCCTGCGACGCCAGTGGCAGCACCTTCAGGACCACCGGCCGCAGCGATCGCCCAGATCATGGTAGTCATAGGCTACGCTTTGCAGGAGCAGGTTCAAGAAAAACACAGCTGTGAGGTTCTATTCTAGTGTTCTACAGCACTATACGAGAGTATACCGCCTCAGGTCATGTTCAACTGTGACAATGAATGCTTCTATCCTGCTTGCAGTCTTCAAATCTGTTTGTCTCTTGTCTGTCAACCATTTACTGATTTCTCAAGTCACAACTTGATCTAGATTTGTGCTCTTGATCTGTCGAAGGTTTCTGAATCTTAGATGTTTCTCAACGCCGCTGTAGTATATCACTTACTATTCCGGTCCGGTATCGCCTCTACATTCTTCCTGTAGTCTTTTTACCAGCTACGGTCTCGTTCAAGGCAATATCGTACAAGAGTTTTCCTACTGGTCTCTCGGAACTGCGAGGGACAATTACTCTAATTACTTTCGTTCATTTTTCATGTTTACTTTATATAAAGAAATGGACCCTCTGTCCGACTCAGCAGAACTGAAAAGCCTCGAAAATTACTGGCACCTGGGTCAACAGAAGATTGTGGGCGCAGATGTACAAGGTCATAATGAACCCTCGCTTGATTAGGGTCTTATACAAGCATGCTATGTTATCGGACCAACACACTGGAAGTCAAATCAAGTCAACTGGCATAAATAGAAAATCCTCAGCAACGAGAGTCTTGTGGCTGCTGATCAACATTGGTATGTATGTCCTTCTCAATCGGTTGGAAATCATCGGACTCCCTGGGTCCCTAAGCATCAGAGATTCCACACCAGCCAAGTCGGTCCTCCTTCGACGTCTACTTCTATCAAGTATTTATCATCCAACACACACCTAATCTTGACGAGGGAGATTGTGATACGGGTTTGGGTCACCATGAATACGATTTTGACCCCAACAACACTGCTTGACAGCATCCATACCGCACTATCCATGCTCTTCACTTACATTCTGCGCACTTATGTACCAGACAACTGGGCAGAACTGTTCGGAATTCCGGAAGCATTTGCCCTTGACCCGTTTTGGACAATAGTGATTATACAGACCTACGGTTTCTCTGCGTGAATGAGGTTGCCCTGCGCTCGGACTTTTATTGCTGCAGGTCACATCTCCAAGTCAACCTTCAGACATTGACGATGTCGTGAAGCGGAGAAAAGCAATGCACCGAGACTCCTGCGGGCTGCATTAGCACATCTTGTGGGCTATCTCTGGGTTACGAGCCTTTTTGTTCGAACAGTTCCGAAGTTCTTTTACCAAAGAGTCTATTGTATAGCTAATCGATCAATAGTCGGGGATGAGGGAGGATCAATTTGACGTTTTACCGATCACGCAGTCGCTTACACGAAAAGACAAGGCATCATTGTGCATACCGAGACCATTACTCCTGTCACCAACGCCTCACTCGCTTCTTCCTAAGAGGAGGAGGAGGAGGGTTGGGAGCTGCTCATGTGGGAGCAAGCCGACAGACAGTTTTGGGAGAAGGGTGGTGAGGAGCAGGGTGTGGTGTGGCCTTACCCTATCCCAACGCAAGGGTCTACTTCCCCTCGGCTTCAGCCTTGCAATCAGCGCGAGACTTCACTTTCACCCACGAAAGCACACGAAGTATAAACATCCTCGCCAAAATTACTGGAGATGTTGCGTGGCGTAAGATCTTCTAGAAACGATTACACTTGAAATCCACGCGATATCCTTCCTAAGCCCGACCTAAGTTGAACGGCATATTTTGGAGACTACATGTCGGTGCTACACGTGACTTCTGCGTCAGCGACTTTGTGGTTAGCTGAAGTTCAGCACAGGGCAGCATCATCCTCGTCCCGAAAAGAAGATGGGCACTTACACCAACCCATTTTGGTTCAAAGTACGCGTAACTACAGTAATAATCGGCTCAATTTTACATGGGATCTCAGGGACGCCCCTAATTCCAAACTCATGGAGCGTCCTTCATCCTGCGCTCGCTCCAGAGTCCTAGTCTCCAAACTAGCTTGCTTGCTCTGTTGTTCCTTCACTTTGGGAGAGGTATCATTGCTCTCAAATAGCAATAATCTCACTGGATGGCCATTAATTTTGAGCGAGCTGGAAAATAATTGAAACCTGATTGAAGCTGGCCCTGTAGCGGTGTGCAGAAGGCTTCGCCATGTTCGCTACTTCTTCATATCCTTTGACCATGATGTTCTCGCTGCTACTAGCTCCCATACTTGCAAATATTCTGAAGCAGCTCTTCTTTCGAGATCCTCATCGTCCTCCCGTGGTATGGCACTGGATTCCGAAAGTTGGTAGCACGGTCGAATATGGGCAAGACCCCTATAAGTTTTTCTTCAAATGCCAGGAGAAGGTAAGACCCATTTTCATGGGAACTCCGCTTGATCTTGCATAGGTTGCGATGCTGCTGGGACAATCTTCAAGCAATCTCTTGCTAAGCTCGATCTCCTAGTACGGCGATGTCTTCACCTTCGGGCTCCTTGGGATGCAGGTGACAGTCTTTCTCGGTACCAAAGGAAATAATTTCATCCTCAACGGCAAGCTCAAGGACTTGAACGCCGAGGTAAGGACTTCCAGCGCTGCTTTAATCAAACAAAGGCACTGATTGAGGACCAGGAAGTATACGGTCCTTTAACAATACCTATCTTCGGCCGCGGTGTTGTCTACGATGTAGACAATGCCCGTTTTATGGATCAAAAGAGAGTAAGCCCTAAACGTATATCCGTGTCACTATATGCGGCTTCCGATTCTCGAATTGGTTGGACTTACATCGTTTTCTTGACAGTTATTGAAGGAAGGGTTCTCAAGCCAGAGCCTACGAGCCTATGTTCCCCAATTTGTCAATGAGGTCGAACAGTATGTTGGCACCAATGTTGCCTTTCGTGGAGAAAATGGTGTCTGTGATATATCCTCCGTACTCTCGGAGATTTCCCTGTACGCTGCGGCCGGCTCTTTACAAGGTAAAGAGGTCCGCGATTCATTTGACGCGACGTTTGCCACCCACTACCGCCATCTCGACGACGGGTTTGCTCCGATCAATTTCATGTTTCCATGGCTTCCAATTCCTGTGAATCGACGACGTGATCGTGCTCAAAGGAAAATGTCGAATTTGTATCTGGATATTATCAAAGAAAGACGTTCTCGTGGGAACCAAGATGGCAGTCATGACATGCTCTGGGCCCTTCTCGGCGCAACGTACAAAAACGGTGACCGGATATCGGATGAAGAGATGGCGAACCTTATGATTGCGCTCCTCATGGGTGGGCAACACAACACTGCAGCGTCCGGTACCTGGATCATGTTAGAGTTGGCCCACCGACCCCATCTTGTCGAGGAGCTCTACAGGGAGCAGAATGAAGTCCTCGGTGGGCAGAGTCCCAGCTATGAGTCTCTGCAAAAGCTCACGCTTCATAACAACGTCATAAGGGAGACTCTCCGCCTCCATAGCCCGATCCATTCGGTTATGCGCAAGGTGAAACAACCGATGCATATTCCAGACACAGATTTTGTTGTTCCAACTGGCCACATCCTTCTTGCTGCGCCGGGTCTTCCGGCCAGGACTGAAGAATATTTTCCTGACCCGATGAACTGGGATCCCCACCGGTGGGACAGACCAACCACCATTCAGCAAATTGAGACCCCAGATGGCGACACGATTGACTATGGCTATGGAGATGTTTCTTCCAAGGCAGCCTATAGTCCCTATCTTCCCTTCGGAGCTGGTCGGCATAGATGCGTTGGTGAGATTTTTGCATATTCGCAACTTGGAGCAATTCTTGTCACATTAGTAAGACTTCTACAGTGGGAACAGGTGGACCCTGAAGCAGCCGTTCCGGCGACAGACTACTCAGTAAGTCCCTTCGTTGCACTGGTGGTTTCATGGGCAATGCCCGATATGTTGCTGATTGCCAATAATCTTAGTCCATGTTCTCTCGACCAATGCACCCAGCAACCATCAAATGGAGACGACGCGGCTAGCTTTGAACCATTGAGACTAGTTTGGGACGAACAATCAATTGCAAAAGGAACCCACTTATATCACCGAGAAAATCTTCGTCCCATTCCTCGGAAGCAGGTAGTTGGCCTGCGAAAATACTCTCTTGTGGTCTTGTGGGTTTTGAGTGTGCCGACGTATGGATTGTGGTCCCCTAAAAAGCCCGGTTAAGCTCGATCCGTGAGGATCAACTGGTGTGAGAGCCCAAACTGCAGTTTGCTGAACAAATTTTCCCCAGCCCATAGGTTGTGGAGATTTCTGCATACACTCCGAGCATGCCTCCGTAATTAGTGGTACGTGTTAGACACGAGGTACCCAATTGATCGCACGTTGTCATATAAAATTGAAGCAGAAGCATAAATACGCTGCGCGGCACGCACAACACCAAGGGTTTTACGTCCTGTTTATGTTTCAGACTGCATGCCTCAAGATTAATTGGCCTCGGTATCCGGCTGGTGCGGCTCCCGGAAGCAATTACCCCAGCTGGTTAGTTGATAAGGGGACTATCTAGGCCATCTCCAATGCCAGCGACGCCGCTGGGGTTTAATCACATCAGTAGTAATTACGGCTGGCTGACAAGCTGAACCCGAATAGGCAGTCATGCTGAGGTTAAACACCTGAGTCAGCACGCCCAAGCCGTGGAGCTCAGGTGGATGGCGTGAGTAAGGGTTCGCTTATTCACTACTAAGCCAATGCCAACAGCGCCCACCAAGTCTCCCAGTCATACTCGGAGTTCTTGGCCTCCTGTCCAACGCAGAGTTTGTTCATCTTCTGAAAGACATCATGTACTCTTCGCGGCAGGTTCTTCTTGGCTTCAAGACTTCACATGGCCATTGAACCTCCATGAACACATTTTCAGGAAACAAAGTTGACCTTCAATCTACACGGGACGGATTTCCCTGCTTAGCCAGTCTCGGTGACACTGTCCTGGGATGATGGAAGCGTTGAACAGGACATTGGCAGGCACTGAAAATGAAATTCAGAATTCATATTCGTGAGCAGTTATGCTTGCTCATTGCACTCACGAACGTTGTGGCGTTGACTATCTTGACTGTGTCTGTTTGGTTCCAAACTGTGCGGTACATGAAAGATGCAAGAAGAGAGACACTCACTGTTACCGCCAATTTAAAGGCCTCCCAGATTGCTCAGGCTACATCTCTCTTCCGAGATTCAGTTAGGTCCATCTCGACAAGGGAGAATCTGCAATCATACGTTGGACAATTTAATCATGGAAATCAATCAGCCGCGCTCGTCGAGATGATGGAGGTCAGTAGATCGGATGCAGTCTTCAGGGTGGCTTGAGGGCGCTGCTAACAAGGAAAAAGAGTAATCTCAATAATGCACTTTCTGGCGGGGCTGATGACACTATATTCCTACAAGCTGCAGTATATCCACATAATATCAACCTGGATCAAGGCAAGCAAGTAATTGCCCAGGTGACCAGAAGCAGCGTGCTCGGGCAAATTCTACTACCATACACGTACGCGAATGGTACTTTAGCATACCTTGGTGATGACGAAGTTGGATACCCACCCAACCTGTTTCCCAATTTCACATTCGGCGAGCAACTATCGAACCAAACTCACGTTCTTTACGACAACAAGACACTAACTGCCAATTCAACCTTGTTGCTGGGACCGCTTTTTCTACAGCAAAATCTTTCTTTAATTTCAATGACACTGGCTATAAATAGTGAGTGCCCCGAACTCCTCAACCCTTGGACTGTTCCCCCGGCTTCAATTATTCGAGCTGCGTGTGTGCAAGCTACCTCTCATTGCCCGCAGAACGGTGCTGATTCAATATATAGACAACACAAGTCGCAGGTATGGACAGTGCTCGGGTTGGACACCTTATTTGGGACTAACGGATATTAAACAGCGACATCGTTGGCTGGCTGACCGTCGTACTCGATGCTAGAGTGCTATATAATGTTATCACTTCCAGAGTCGGCCTTGGACGCACCGGGGAAGTGGTCATCATTGGCCCTCATGAACCCGACAACTTATTTGCTGATCAGGTTGATGGCCGTTCGGAATCGGAGAATGCTGAAGTACCACTCCAGTTTGTTTTGCCGCCAACCAGTGATCGCCACCCATCACGAGCAGAAAATCCATATTTGCCATTTCCCATGGGTGACTACCCTGCGGTACTCAAGGCTTGGTCCACAAAAAATGGCGAGCTTAACAATGCAGGGTCATTAATGTCAACGCACAATGAGGAAGATCGACATATATCAGTCGGATATGCTAGAATCCCAACTGATGTTGTTGATTGGGTCGTGGTATTAGGCCAGGCTTATGGTGAAGTTGTGTACCCTATCAACAAGCTCCGCAACACGTTCCTCATCTGCATCTTCAGCGTTGTGGGTGCCATAATCCTCATCTGTTTGTAAGTTGCATCAGACCACACTTGTCAGATCTTGCCAAGCTGAAAATAATGACTAGTCCTCTTGCTCATTATGCTGTCAAGCCGATTCGAGCACTTAAGAGTGCGACGGAGAATTCTATTACCACATACGAGACATACGTTCCTTCAGAGAAGTCCGAGACGGATACTCAAAATAGCACGCTCGATGGCGCACTGCTGAAAGAAAAAGACTTTTCTTCGGGTGTGCGCAAGAAGGGATGCAAGACTAAATCTCGTCCACGACAGATTCGATCATTTCAGATTCCGCAGAAAGTGGCAGCTAGACGACATATCATCAACGATGAACTTACCGACCTTACATCTACCTTCAATGATATGGCTGATGAACTGTCCATCCAATACACCAAGCTTGAAGAGCGTGTGAAGACGAGAACAGCTGAGCTTGAACAGAGTCGAAATGCTGCGCGGTCTGCCAACGAGGCAAAGACGCTGTTCATCGCCAACGTGTCTCACGAACTCCGTACTCCGCTGAATGGTATCATTGGCATGTGTGCTGTGGCGATGCAGGAGAAGGACGTCAAGCGAGTACGACAGTCTCTGAAGATCATTTACAAATCTTCCGACCTCCTCCTGCACCTACTCAATGACCTGTTGACATTTAGTCGAAGTTCATATGGGCAGCGACTTGCCATAGAAGAAGGCACCTTCCGCCTCGTGGACATAGGTTCACAAATTGTGTCGATTTTCGAGAAACAGGCTCGCGATGCTAATATTTCTCTGAGGGTGGTGTTCATTGGCATAGACTCGCCCCAATCGCGAAATCCCGACGACGACCCTCCTCTGGAGGATGCTATTGTGGCGCGGCAGAACTTGAGCGACAACCTACCAAGAGTCAATACCAATGTCCTTGCAACGGGCCCCGCAGACACCGGCCCGCTTCGTGAGATCGGACTTAAGGGCGATAAGAATCGGATTCTGCAAATCTTGATGAGTAAGTCTTTGTGCCTTTGGTTTGCAACTGTCTTAGTTGTGATGAGATCCACGCTTCCTCCTCAAGACTTTGTCTCTACCTCATTTTGTGAGACGGGAAATCATGCTGACCCTTCCAAGACCTTGTCAGCAATTCTCTCAAATTCACACCAGCCAGAGGTACAGTTGAGGTTCGGATTTTATATCGAAGGCTAGTGCATGCTAGTGCCATGCCTGAAGTCTCGTATTCAAATCGACCTGACTCTCATACGGAAGGCCGCAAAATGAGGGAAGCTGTCAATGGGGCAGGACCTCATGAATCATCACAGATTGGTCTAGTATTTGATTTCGAAGTCGAAGACACTGGACCAGGCATCCCTGAGCATCTGCAGCAAGAGATATTCAAGCCTTTCGTCCAAGGTGATCTGGCTCTGAGTCGAAAACATGGTGGGACAGGGCTTGGTTTAGCCATATGCTCTCAATTGGCAGAGATGATGGGTGGTTCCATCGTGGTGAAGAGCACTGTTGATATTGGGAGCACATTTACACTATCAATACCTCTTCGCTACACCAAAGAGTCTGTGCCATCGATATCTGGCTCACTTGCTCAGCCGCCCTCGACCAAAGCCGCAAGCGTAGCAAGCAGCGTTCAATTTGACACATTTAGCAGTCGATCACGACATCCTCGTGATGTACGCTCCACACGCTCAGAGAAAGCGTCCGTTTATTCTCAGGATAGAGATTCAGCCCTTGATGCACCAAGACTCGTTGGTTTCTCACAGCCTTACCTTGTAGACGAAAATATCAATGCAGAAACAGCTGATAAGGCCCCGGAACTGATGGAGAAGCGCCATTATGAGTACAGAAGAGGAAACGGATCGCCTCTGGTACCCATTCAATCCGTCGCATCACCACTAGAGACGATGGACGGGCCTAATTTCGGGGCAAGTGCACCAGCACTGGACAGTCCACAGGAGGCGAAGGAGCCTCGCTCAAGTCCTCGCCCTCTTATGTCGCAGAAGCCAAGTTACTCCAGAGTTCTCGTCGCAGAAGACAACAGTGTCAATCAGCAAGTTATCCTTCGGTTGCTCGAACTTGAAAAGGTCAACAACGTGACGATTGCCGAGAATGGTGAGGACGCTTTGAACAGAGTTCGCAATACACTTTCACCAACAGCAGACGATGGCGGTGACACGCAACCTTTTTCGCTGATATTTATGGACAGTAAGCCCTCCAAACCAAGCAAAGTTTCCATCTGCTGCAAATTTGCTAACCAAGTCTCCAGTTCAAATGCCCAAGATGGACGGCATTGAATCCACGCGGCAGATTAGAGACCTCGGGTTCAAATCACCGATAGTGGCACTGACGGCTTTTGACCACGAAACCAATCGAGATGCGTGCTTCGAAGCGGGTATGAACGGTAAGTCCTCCTTTTCTAAGCCACCGAGATACAGTGGCGCGACAAGGTTTCCACCGTGCACAATGCCGACGACGAGATGAACTTGAAACTAACCATCATCACAGAATTCCTACCCAAACCCATCAGGAGAACGGCATTGAAGAAAATCCTTGAGCAATTCCAGCCTTCTGATCCAGGAGATAAGAGCCACAGTTAGACATGTTGGTACGCCAAGCGCTGAGGAAGACCGTGAGGGACGGATCAAAATGTATCATAGTGGTCATTGGACTACAAAGAGTGGAATCACTGTAGATATCCCACGATTGATTTCATGTGAGAATAAGCAAGGTTTCGAGCACCAAAGGGTGGCGAAGCACGAGCATGATTGATGGATTTTTGGAGGACAAAGTCTACATTTCCGGAGTTGAACATGAAGATCGTGTGGTATTCAGAATGCATTTCCTGGTGTTCACAATGGACATACACTCCAACAGTTATGGGTCTTGGGCAGGCAGTCGGTTGACTATTCATGTGAGGGGACTGTGACGAAGGGACGTTGGAAAAGCCATGGTAGACCCAGCGAAAATAAAAGCAAAATTTTGGCCATCTAGACGCGACTCTTGGATTCTACACTCTGAAGAAGATCATACATGCATGTCGCCAAACTCACTTAAAGTTGCCATTATTTTGTTGCTTCGCTTACCCAAACAGGCACTCCTCGTCCTTCTTTGGTTTCGTGCCGCGTTTCCAGGTCGTACTTCAGACAGGGGATATACTGCAGTTCGCATTAAAGGTTGATCAAATAACGTTCTTCAACTCCTGTCCGGCGAGAAGTCTCCTCAGATTATACGCAATGAGCGCTTCCGCATCTTGAGGCCTTCCACCGGCAGCGTGCGGCGAGACCACCAGATTTGGTGCCTTCCACAACGAGCTGCCCTCCGGTAGCGGCTCCTTCTCGAACACATCGAGAGATGCGCCTCCAATCTCACCCTTCTCTAGAGCAGCGGTCAGAGCGTCCTCGTCCACGGAGGTTCCTCTTCCGACGTTGACGATCCACGCGTGCTTCGGCAGGAGCTTCAGGCGCTCCGCGTTAAGAGCGTGGTGCGTGCTTTCCGAGCCAGGCAGGATCATGACCAGAGCGTCCGTTTTAGGGAGCAGCTCGGGCAGTTTGTCTTCGCTGTAAACCTCAATACCATTCCTCACGCCAGCGTGGCGGGCAACGCCGCGAACTGTGGCTCCTAGTGCGGTCAACCATGGTGTGAGTTTCTTGGCGATGTTCCCGAATCCCCAGATGAGGATGTTGGCGTCGCGGAGAGTGGTGAACGCTCCTGCTGGTCGATCGGGCTGAGGGCCTCCCAAGTGTCCTGGCCATTTACCCTGGAGTTGATAGTCGCGCATCTCGTAGAATCGGCGAGCACTGTTGAGCAGCATGCCGAGAGCGTGCTCAGCCACAGTATGGTCGTGTAGGCCGGAGCCAGTGGTGACGATGATGCTGGAGTCGAAACCCGCGCTAAGGACGTCGTTAGGTCCAGCGGCAAGTGACTGGATCCAACGGAGCTTCTTGAGGCGTTTTGATGCATCTTTCAGGTTATCAGGCGTGTTAGACCATGTTACCAAGAATTCTGCATCTGTGTCCTCGTCCGCAAAAGGACTCTTGCCATCATATGGCTTCAGCTCAACCGAATACCCTTCAAGGCTCTTGATGTCGAGCTTCAAGGTTGTGGGATATAGTAGCTTTGGCATTTCGAAAGATATTGTTATATTCTGTGCGTGGGTTTGGAGATTTTCGTCGCTTGTGCTTTGTCAAAAAGAACTGGCTTGGAACGAAGTTGTAAATGAGATCTGATGCACTACGAAGCTCGTAAATGCTTTTATTCACTCGAGAAGGGAACAGCATCAAATAACGACGGTCCAACCCCCAATAAGTCCATGGTGGGCAAATGTGCAATAACCGAAGCACATCGGGAGATACTCCGATGCGCCCATCGACAAGCTTGACGTGGAGTTCTGGGGCCGCAATGGAGGGGTTTGGTTGAGCCAGCACGGATCAATTGCCGGAGAAAACCCCCACTTTCCTTGTAACGACTTGAAAACCATAATGTGGGGGCGGTGAGTGTTCAGTGTTCGCACGCTCAATATCGGAAGTTTGCAAGTCATTGCTTGCCAAAGCATTCAATACTCAGGAGAAAACACTGAAGCTTAAGTCCCGCGAATCATTGTGCGGCCGCCTTGTTCTCGCCACGTTGACAACTTGGTGATGTATTAATTGTCCAAAGTTTCTTTGATTGATTATGTCACGTGCGAGGAAATCCTTCCACCTATGGCACGTGACATGCCTACGTTAGTCTGCTTCGGGACTGGCGCAGATCCCGTTAATGATGAGCTTGGCAACATAAATGTGGCCTCAGAACCAATATCACTCGTACTTTCCATGACTTTCTGTATAGATTAGGATACGGTTGCTTTCTTGGTCCACGATACCTCGCTGAATCGGGCGAACCTACACCCTTGCCGCTCCCACGGCGGATAAGGCTTGCAATGGCAAGCATGATCGGACTGAACTTTTCCCTTTCCTATGTCGAAAACCTTTTCGTGATATACAGTTCCAGCTCTAACCGGGGAAATCCCGAAATGAAGCCGTTTTCCAGCTTTCACTATCAGCAAATCAGTCATTGCAAACTGGCCGAGCCGAACTTGTGCGGGGCAAGTCGATGTGGGACCGAGACTCGACATTGTTGCGCCCAGCCTATATGAGAACTTGCCATCAAACACTCGATTCCCTTATCTCTCAATTGATGGCCCCTGATCTAGCGGAGTGTTCAGGAGCCGGTTCGGTACTTTGATTTACTCAGTGGAGACCAGAGTTGGCACAACCCGAAGTAAAGCAACAACATGCTCAAAGTAGAAAGGAATGACAGGAGCAGGGATTTTCTCCCAAGGACCGTTTTCAATCTCATCGTAGTTGCAACTTGAATTCAATGTGTAAGAAATAGGCTCTAACATCCATCATTTCGTTACCAGGAACTGCACTTTGTGCGCCTCCTTGAGTTGCACAGAGAATGATGTCGGAGCTGCAAGCACGTTGTTCGTTCACCCGGCAACCTCCACAAAGTGTATGGTCGTGTTACATGGAAATTAACTAGCGACTTGCAGAAGGAGTCTTGGCATTCTTTCCAAAGAGCACTTCTTCTCCAAGCATTCCATCTGAGACTGTCATTTATTCCCCTGATCTGAGTGGGACACCGCTTCAGAAAGAGTAGAGATGAACACACCCAAAAAAGGTTCATGTGAGCCTAATAAGATCACGAAGGACCGAAGTTCAGTTTTGACCAGATGGCAATCCGCGCCAAACGCACAGAGACGAAGCTTAGCAGCAATTCCTGGAGCGGAGAGGTAGGTGCTGCCCTCTAGTACCAAGAAGAGAGATGAGTCGCAATGTCAATTGCACTCCGAGGGTTTGGTGCATGGAGTAACGCGGGACCTCTCTGGCTACGTCTTCTCTGCAATTTGCCAGCTCTAGCGCGAGGATCTCTGGCATCGTATTTTCCCGCAAAGGACATGAATATCTCATTGCCAGAAATCGAGACCGATACGAATAGATTGTTTTCCATCCGGATACACCGTACGAGAGGAAGACACGGGACACTAAATAGAGGCTTAATTGTCAATTTGAATTTGATCGTGGTGGAGTTGTACAGCTGCCACTGGGCGAAAATTGAGGTGGACTTGACAGCTGGGACCCAGCGCCAGGTTGTTGAACCTTGAGGTTACGGACGATTTTTATCTTGATTGCTCGACAGCTATGGGAGCTCACCTGCCACAGGCCCGGGGGATGAGGAATCCATGTAAGGCACTCTATGAGGAGCACTTGTTCTCTGTTGTGTCAGCTGAAAAGCCGATATTCCTGCAGATTTGCACACCAGGACAAATTCGATGGCCTGAGCCGCTGCAGTGAAACTCCAGCCAGCCAATGTGCAGGGTCACAGATGCACCTGTAGCCAGGTCTCATGTGAGGCAATGGTTCCTGCAGTCCAGCTTCGAAAAGTCGATGGAGGCTAGATGCAGTCGCCAGGCGGTGGGACAGAGTCCATTGATAAGATACCGAACATCAAATCCCCCAGTACAAGGCGGCCAAGCCTCGTCAAGCTCGTATTAACGAGGAGTTAAGCTTTATTATACCAACCATATTCGGCCTAAGTAGCATCTTGCCAAGCCCCTCCTTCCCTCAATTCTCCAAGCCCACCAAACAACGTCGCTCGTGCTCGCACAGCCTGAAGCTAATTAATGACCTTCCCGCCGCCCAATTTAGAATCTCGTCCTTCACTCTCGACACCTCCATCATGTTCACCACGCTCTCATGTTCTTGCTTCATGCAAACCACACCCTTCCACCAATAATTTCTTCTAAAATGTCCAGCGCACGGCTGACTCTTCGTAGCAACGGCTGTGTCGAGCTCCAGAAGGTGAGCATCCTGTTCTAGTTGACGTATGAGCCCGTCCCGATCGCCATCCTGAACTTGTTTCGTATTTAATGTCCGAAGCGGTCGCTTTCAGCTGAGCTGAGCTGAGCTGGCTTTGCATGAGCACTATATTCTGCTTTCTTCCTCCCCACTCTCGCTTCGCAAAACCGTCTTCTCTGCAGGTTTGTGAGTTTGCAACAAGCTAACACCTGCCCCTTCATCATTTGTCTCCCCAAAAGGTGGGCATGCCTCGTTCGCTGGTGCCTTTCCTTGCGGCTGTCGCCCTGGTCTCATCTTCTATCGTGTCTGCTGCACCATGGAGGAACCTTCGCACCTCTAATGCGAACCCGTGGTCCGACTGGGAGTATGAGATATGCACTCCAGATAAGGCGAGAATACGGGTCGACTTCAATAGCATGGCGCCATGGGAGCGCAAATTATATACCGACGCAGTCAAATGCTTGATGGCACAGCCGTCACAGCTTGATCCAGCGCAGTATCCCGCTGCTACCAGTCGCTACATGGATTATGCCGTCATTCATGTTGGTAGAACACAATATGTTCACCTCGATGCCTTCTTCTTGACTTGGCATCGCTATTTTCTCTGGCTATACGAGACCGACCTTCGTCACACTTGCGGCTACAGCGGCAGATTTCCCTACTGGGATTTTGCAGCCACTTCTTCTGACCCTCACAGTTTTCCCATCTTTGATGGCTCTGATTACTCCATGTCCGGAGATGGTCTCTACGTTGACAGCGGACCAATTACTCTTGGGACTGAACTTGTGATTCCACACGGCACCGGTGGTGGTTGCGTCACAACAGGGCCATTCGCCAACATGATTGCCCCATTGAAATTTATCGACCCGACTCAACTTACAACAGGTGTCCTACCGGCTGATGCGTACGCATACAATCCTATTTGTCTGATGCGCGATCTTAACGCACATGTCTCACAAACCTACACCAACAGTGCACAACTGGTCGCTGCAGCACACGCCGACAATGCCTCGCACTTCGAGCTTCTTCTTAATGGGGTCATCGGTAGTAGTAGCCTGGGAATTCACTCAGGCGCACACTTCAGCATCGGCGGCCAGATGAACAGCATCCATGTTTCGGCACAAGATCCAGTTTGGTATCCATTGCATACAATGATCGACAAAGTGTATACCAGCTGGCAGGCGAATTACCCTGATCGTGCACAACAACTTGATGGCAGTACCGGTACCGCATTGAACACTCCTCCAAGTGAGGTCGTCACTCTCGAATCGATCCTTCCTGATTGGGGCTACTTCCAGCTTAACCCGACCCAAGTGAAAACGCTGCTGAGCACGACAGGCGGTCCATTCTGCTATCAATACGACACTGTGATCGCCTAAAATCACGAAACCGAAAATTTATCATGCAACATGACGGAATGTTTAGTAACGAAATATTCCTATGAGGCTTTCTCTGCTCTGATATATGGAGGAACGGAGGCGTCATAAAGGGCCTTGAATCGATTACTTTAAGAGGCCAAAAGAAAAGCAAGGACCTATCGTAAATTTGGCTCGTCAATTGGACATATCGGTTATAGGGAGGAGTTTTGCATGCCACACAGACACAAGTAGCAAATTCTGGCAATGAAAATCTACGGAGCACTTGCTCCCAGTTTCCCCTGCTTGAATACTTTGAATAGTACGAGGTATTGCGATGCCAAAAAGTGAGGCGTACATTAGAATTAGCCCAATCGTAGATTTGAAATGGTAAGCCCTGCTGCTAGATTCTTACCGAGCCAGAGATCCAGTTTCCCTTCTTCCCCTTCTTCTGACCCCAGAGACGTGGTTGTGAGTATAAAACGAACGGAGGACCCGGGTCATCCTGACATTCGTTATCGGAATGAATATCCAGCCTACGGGTGACATCTCAGATCAGCTGTCTAGAAGGATCGAGGAGGACGAACTCGACATCCTCAGCTCACCCAGTCTCATGAGCTCTGTGTGTTTCAGAGTTCCTCTCAAATGAACATCAGCCTCCTTCCGCTGCCTGCGTCTTTGCATTCCCTGCTTAAAAATCCAGAATCCCCACACAGCGAAAGTTAAAAGCATGAGCGGGATTGTCACGGTAGCAAACGTCATCAGCCTTGGGCCCCATATCGCTCGACTTTGCCATATCTCCAGGTTCGGTTCCTGCCAATCGAAGAGTGGCATTGCAAACAGCGAGGACACGAATGTTCCAGGAAGGAAAAACATTGCCACGACTGCGAGGCACTTCATACTGGACGAGTCTCTTTGGGCGGCTAAAGCCAGGAGTCGAGAGTCTTTTGAAATCTCATGGCTGAGTACGACATCGTTCTGGGCGATGATGTGGAATAACTGGATTGTTCGGTCAATCAAATCGGAAAGATACGAGATATGATTGTAGTTAAGCAACGAGACTTACCGCCGTCAACTGCGCTTTTGTTCGTACCGCACAAACGTTCGCGTCTAGGTGATGGATGTTCGTGGTACGAACAAGTATCTCCAGATTCAACTCGAGCTGCCGTTGAACGCTGCCGTCGTGGCAACCGCTATCTCGAGTCTCAACAAGTTGCTGAGAAATGAAGGCGATCAATTGGCGAAGCACCTCCATCTTTCTGATCATTGTGGCATTTCTGGTCTCACATCCAATCATCTTTGCCGAAAGGCTCTCAAGATCACCCAAGGCGGGATTCGCACTGCGGGTCTGCCACTCGTGGTAACCGGTACGAATCTCGACCTCCCTGATCTTCTGCTTCAGAGCCTTTAGTGTTGTGTCAATCTCCCTACTTAGCAAGACAGCACTGAGAAGCCCAACTACCATTTCGTCAGAAGCTTGGTCTTGAACGAAACCGTAGTCAAGAGACTCTCGCATTGTTTGGATCTTCAACCCTTCGGCAATGCATATGGCATTCTTGGTCATCGAGCCACGTTCCCGAGACCAGCTGAGCGCAATCTTTCGACCGTTACAGAAGAAATATGACCGCGTACCACACGTGGTTTCCGGTAGACTTCCCACACCTCTGTTACACAGCGCAGCGTACTCTTGAGCCAACTCCAACTCAAAAGCTTTCGCAACTTCAGCAATAGCTGCGGGTGCCACATCGTGGACCTTATACTTCGTGACCCACACGATGCGCAGAAGACACTTGTCGTCTCGAGAACTTGCCCCATCGTTTCGAGTCTCAAGTAACCATTTAGATATGGCAGGTTGCGAGACCGTCCGATGTACGGTCCGAAGCTTCTTGGGATCAGCCTCACTTTGCCATATCTCGCTAACCTCCAATGTTTTTGTCGTTGAGGTTTGCAGCGATGCCAAGACCTTGTCCCTCTGCCCAACCTGCACAAAAAACTGATGAAGAGAACTCATGATTGTTGCATTCAGAATTTACACCTGAGTGACGAGGAGATGAGGATAACTGGGTGCAGTAATTCTTGTGACAAGGCTGTGCTTTCCTCTCGTCTGCCTCCACACCACCCCAATTAGCCTCTAGGCTAAGGCAACCCAGCCAGCATTTGTCGGATTTCGCGTAGTGACGCGCCTTCTAGGGCTGTCACTCTGCAAGGCAACCACCAGTCTCAAAAGGGCGAGAGGAACACCAGGCTGGGTGACTTGCTTATTGCGATATTTGGGCCATTTGACTTGTACAAGTCTCCCGCGAATGAGCAGCCGGCTAAGCGAATGGCAATTTACTTGATGTGAGAGATGCTGGGGCAATTTGAATAATGCTGTGCCCTACCCTTTCCCTGGAGACAGTGCGTATGGACAGACTTCACGGTCTGGCACCCTAAAGTTCCGGTCATCGATAGGGGAATTGGAATAAGAACCGAGAAACGATTGTTCTTCGACAGTGGAGACTTAGCCTGGTTTCGTGTACAGTACATGCAAGACTCATAGCAAAAGACCCGCTTGTCGACACCTGTTGCAGGCCCCATCAAAATCCTACGCTAAATCTTGCGCTAAATTGGATTGCCCAACATGAAGGAAACTTCACAGCCCGGAAGGGGAATCGGGGCAGATGGCACGTGGGGAGAGAGAGATCGAAGGCGTGACAAAACCAAGTCGAGAGCCGAGAAGCGACAGATGCAAATGGCAACACGGTGGGTAACAACTGAATTAATAAATTTCGGTCTTTGAGTGAAGATGCTGAGATCTCTCCATTAAACTCATTATCCCATAAAATATTGAAGGTAGGGCGTCTCGACTTTGAGTTAGTCCGGTAGAAGACGGCTACTGCAAACATAGGGGAGAAGCCCTCGCTTCCCCAAAGTGCAAATCTGTGAGATGGTGGATCATTGAGCCATTACATATTGAGATGATAAGTCTACTCATTGGCGAAATCTCTCTCCGTAACATTCAAGCTGGGCGCCGGGATATCAAAGACTGTGAGTTAGTCGCGCTAAAAGGCAGACACTCCAAACAGGGCGCAGGGTTTTTAATCATATCTCATCTCACTTCGCAGTTTCTCTTTCGCGATCATTGCTTTTCTCTCCTAACGGGGATTTGGGTGCTAACGGAGGACAAAAGTAGTTCTGTGGGCGGATGGAAAGTGTTTAGCTTGACTCATTGACCAAGGTAACCTGGTCAGTGACCAGCATGCCGGCAATTGAAGCTGAAGTAAGGGTCGCAAGGACACCCGAAAATAAAGCAGAAAGGGCAACGCGTGAAACGTCACCAGACCGCGAAGGTGCGATTTGAGATAGCACACCAATTTGAGTGCCAAGGGAACCAAGATTGCCGAAACCTGAAGATTGAGATCAGTATGTGATTGTGGATGTAATGTGGAAGAAAGGACTTACCGCATAGTGCATAGGTGGCAATGAGCTTGGAACGTGGGCTCATATTGATGTATTGTTCCTCTGTGGTGAGGGATAGGTAGGCAACAAACTCATTGGCAATGACCTTGACACCGATGAGTTCACCAACACGCTGCAGATCGGGTCTTGGAACGCCAAGCAGGAACGCAACTGGATAACAGATGTATCCAAGGATCAATTGGAGAGTAAGATAGGCCTCGCCATCCTTGGTGATGTTGATATATCTAAGAGTGATCGTCAGTTATGCTTCCAATTTAAGAAATACTAAACGAGACTTACCTTCCCCACCAGCCAAGGAGTCCATTGATAAGGCCGATCAACGCAATAATGCAGAGAAGTGTTGCCACAATCATACCGGCGATCTTGATACCGAGCCAAGCGCCATTGGCAAAAGCGTGGAGGGCATTGGTCGCGCGGTGTTCATCATCGTCGGGGATGACAACACGTCCGGAAGTGATGGTTTCTTCTGTCTCTGGATATCTCATCTTGGACACAGCCAATGAGGCTGGGATGGACATAATACATGAAGACACCAGGGCTTGAGGGTTGAGACCCAAGCCAATGTATGCCACCAAAACAGAGCCGGCAATGGTGGCAAACCCAGAGCACATGACTTGGTGGATTTCAGCAAGAGTCAAGTGAGCCACGAAAGGTCGAATCAACATGGCAGATTCACCCTGACCAATGAAAGGAGATGCGGCAGCAACAACGGCTTCTGCACCAGAGACTCGCAAGCTCCAGAAGAAGAAAACTGCGAACTTGCCAATGAACCACTGGATGACTCCGATATAGTACAAGACCTGGACCAGAGCCACGAAGAAGATGATGGGAGGTACCACGCCAGTCAAAAACCAGTGCAATTGAGTGACAGAGTCGGCGGTCAAGAATGCTGTACCTTGGTCGGCAAATCCGAGGAGAGAACGGGCCAAGAAAGAGATGAAGTTGAAGATATCGTATCCTGCCTTCGTTCGGAGAACGAAGACGGCAATGACGAACTGCGTCAGCATGCCACCAATAACTGTGTGCCAGCGAATCCTGCGACGGTCTCGCGAGGTGGCATAGAGGACAACGAGTAGGACTGCCAATCCAAGAAGAGAAATGGCCCGATTTCCTCGAGTGTTATCTGCGGATTCTTCGGACACAAAGGCGCCTAGAAGGATTACAGCAATGGCACCGGCTGCAGCGAGCCAGATGCGGAATTTCTCGGGAATGAAGGACACCCCTTTCACCACCGTGTTATTCCATACAAAGTGCATTGGCTTCGTGATGATCGTAATGGGTACCCAGAGGAAGATAATCCTCAGTGTGATGGCAAGGTACAGGAGGAACGGGATCAGCCATCCCAAGTCGTATCGGTGCATAACCAGACCCGCAATCCACCATCTAGAGAATATGATATTAGCAACCTGAAATCGCGTATAACTGATAGTTAGACACCCACCCAGTGAACAACAGCCAAATAAACAAGTGGACGAAGATCTTGTACTTGGAGTAATTCCTAGAGATACGATGTTTCTGTCCGTCATCTTCCGAACCACTGGACTCCAACCTAGTCGGCTCTTCCAGAGCGCCCTTTTCAGCATCCCCATGAAACTCTGATTTCTCATTGTGGGGGTCACGGAGTTGATGGTGAACATAATCTTGCGGGCCTTTGCTGTCAATATGGGGTTTGTCGTAGGTAGTGCCTTCAGAGTAGAGCACTTCATCATGTCGGCCAACGAGCGAAGCACGATTGTGGTGCAAGTGCTTATGCTGATGCTCGTGAGAGTAGTGTAGGGCGAGGTCAGGGTTCTCGTCTACGCTCTTCTGCATGGACAAGTTGTGGCCATGGTCTGGGATGTCGTGGTGAGTGTGTCGGCGCTCACCAGTTTCTCCGTGACCGTCGACTGGGTGAGACGGCTCAGTGACGACGTCCTTGGTAGGGACGTCCTTGGGGCCGATGTTGTCCTGATGTGAGGCCATGATTGTCAATGTCTCTTCTCGTGTCTATCGTCCAAATACTTAGACAACACAGTGGAGCGGAGGAAGGACAGGGCAATGAGGAGAACAGGAACAAAAGCGACGAGTGTGATCAACCATGGAGACATTGTGGAGAGGCACGAGAGGATATTACTTTATAATAATACTTGAACCCCGGCTGGTGAGCGTCCACAGGCGCAGTGGTTATCAGTGGAAAGTCGCGAAAGAGGATGGAGCTCCGAGCAAGGGCTCACCCTTGTCCATGCAGATACAGATGCCGCCTCGCCGCAGATGCAAGCAAGTATTCGCTTCACGGGAGGAGGAGCTCTTCGCGTGGAGATTCGACATTGTGTGAAACTTTTGGGAGACAGAGAGATGGATGCCCCGAGAGATTCGAATTGTGGACAAGCCATTGACGTGGAGTATGTAGTGCGATTGGGTGAGTACCCCGGCTCAGAGTTGAGCGACCGTCGATCAGCTTAACCGCGCCATGCTCCCGACCAAGTGATTGGATGGATCGACGCGGGCTTCAGAGTACAAGCAGAGAGATGTTACCAGGTCGTTTCGCTGTCGCCGCCACTGGTGTGAAGTGGGGATAAGATTTCAGTGCAACGCTGGCCGAACAAGGAAGCTGGGCAGTCCATGCCAAGATTAGGGTTAGAGATAAGCTGGACGCTCTAACCGCATCTGGCTTGTCGCCCTCCCTGACGCCGCCAAAGTCACGGGACCGAAGCTGCCCGCCCCTCGCGCTCCCCGTCGATGCAACCCAGAGATGAGGCCTTGCAGGACTAGATTGATTGCTATTGTATCTTCGCCTCGAACCTCGAATCATCGCCCTTACTTGTCCTGCAGTCGCTATCTTTCACTTTCATATCCATGTCACCTTCGGTCGCCTCCGTCGACCCCACTGTCTTTAGAGTTCTGTCTGGGCCTTCGTTCAACTGCTCCTGTGGAGTTGAACAGGGCAACTCGAGCTCACATTTTACGACTCGCAAATCGACCTCTTTGCCACTATCCAGTCAAAGACCAGTGCGCCTGCGTAACCTCGGCTCCAGCCAGGGCCCCCGTGAAACTATGGACCCCTTTTAAGTTCTTACTGAGCGGAGCACGGATATCGAAGCAAGCGTGGAATGTTCGTGTGTCCAGGACTCCCAGAGCACCAGGTAAGCAAGAGCAAGGTTTGTGTCCACCATGTGCATCCCTAGTATTAAAGTAGAAAACAGTCGAGTCCACCCTCTCTCTGAACGCCTCGCTACCTAGAAATATTACTGCAACTCCACCCACGCTTAGTCTCGGACAGGGTGAATGCCACTCACAGCTCGCTACTCATGCTCAATCCTTGCATCTGCTGTGGTAGCTTAGCACCACCTCGCGTGCTGAGAATCCCAAAACGTAGGAATACTTCCGAGCAAGTCACGAGGATAGATATGCCAATAAGCACTATGATAATCCAGGTGATCCTGGACATCTTGTTATCAGAAATGTAGTCTGACAACACTTCGGCCAGGTCGAGAAATACTCGGCAGCGTTCATTGAGCACCTGGATCCGGGGCTTGATTTCCAGGTACTCGCGCACTGCTGTGTACAACGGATGTAGGGTCGGCTCGGAATCCCAGATCAAGTTCGGTACATCAAGCACATTCGATGCTATAGACCACACGAGTTAGCTAGCCCTCACTTGACAAATACCGGGGTTGCCAAAAAAAAAAAAATACAACTTACACAAATTGACATCGACGCGACTTTTGAAGAGGCCTCCAAGTAGTTTGATGACCTCTTCTCTTTTCATACCCAGCTCTCCCGTCTTTGCCAAGCGGCCCGGAACGTCTTTAGCTGCTTCCATCTGTGCTGCCATTGCTTCCTCAAAGAAGCTCAGTTTGGTACTTTGTGCAATGGCATGGCTGATCGCCAGCTTGATCATGTGATCACCATTCCGTAACGTGATCATGTCGTTGTATACTCGTGGCCGGGCAATGTCGTTGTTGTACTCGAAATGGAATTCCTCTGTCTCGAAATCTTCCTCTTCCATTGGATTCGTCGTCAGAATAGTTGGCGCAGCAATGTTCGTGTCAGGATCAACAAGTGTTGCAAACGCAAAATCGGCCAAAACATCTTTCTCTTGTCGTTCACTGAAATTCCAGAAGACAACCACGCCATAGCGAAAGACATACATCTCTGCAAACCGATATGCATCAAAGGGTGTTGGGCCTGAAGGGCTATTAGACCTTTGTGAATTGTTGCTGTCACGTCGATGCCCATTGATTCGTGGTGGATCAATTCTCTGTTCTTCATCATTCGTCTCCACTGGTTGCTCTTCTGGGGTATAGTGTCCTCTAACGGAATGCTGTTCTTCTTCTTCGGCATAATATGGTTGTCGATAATTGCGCTGCTCACTGCGTTCTATAACTTCATCCAACACAGTCCCGCCTTTAGCACTCTTGACGGGGGGGCTGCTCCGAATCCTGTAGCCCTCTGATCCGGGCAGTAAAGGTAGATGATATGCACAGTACAAGCAGTCGTCGTAGAGTTTTGCTCGTGCGCCGTGCCGTTGGCGGACAAAAGCAGCAACATTTGCCAACTTGTATGCTTGAGCGGTACAGTATGCTGTTACTCTTGGCAGTTCTTTCTCAGTCCGCCTTGATTTAGGTAATCTCTCAGCATAACTCTTGACTCCCTCCCTCCCCAGTTTCCTGAAAGCCTCATCATCCTTGGGCGGGCCTGTGTCCCCACCAGGACCAAAGTCGCCCTTCTCGTCCTCCTCCTCTACAGCCTCCGGGAGAAGGACCAGTTTTTCCGAGGTTTTGGTTGAGCGGGAGGGGATGTGCGGAGCAGCGAATCGGCCAGTAAGTCGAGGGTCTACAGGCTTGCCTGAGCCCGTCCGAAAGGTTCGAGGTCTCTGCGGCTGTCTCTTCTGCATAGATGGAATATCGGAGGCATATTGTAGAACGTTGTCAACTGTAATCAGTCGCGAAGCCTGTCGCTTTGGACTAGGTCTCCCTTCACGGGATTCCGGCACCTGCTCAAGCTCGATATTAGCAGTGTAATCATACAATGGTGAAGACATAATGGGGGGGGGTTGGTGTACCAGAACACTCGGGCCTCTTCTTGCGGTCGAGCTCGGCGGAGCCATTGCTATCAAGCGTAACTTCCTATGGTAATCAGAAAATGTATAGGTAAGAGCGTATAGTCGCCCGATTGCAGGAGGCACGGCTGGTGCTGAGAGCAAATCCTCAAGGAGTGTATGTTGGAAGTGCAGGCCAGTTAGATCACGACTGCCGCGAACGTTTCAGTTGGTGACAATTCAGGCTTTGCACGTGCCTTGCGTCATAGACTTGGCAACATGAACCAGACGGGTACGTATGCCGAGGTTATGCTGGGTAGCCACGTGGTCACCGAGTTGCCTTCCTCGGAGACATCCATGGATTTCGATGTATTTCCTAGTATCCCTCATGCCAGCCTTGCGGTGTTGTTTGTTGCCTGTGCTGCCCATCCGCGTACATTGAACTCCTATTCCGTTGACCAGTGCCCTAGTGTAGATGCGCCATGGCCTGACTTGGTTCATCTACACATGGAGTCACTGAAAACCCGAATGTAAGGCCTGAAGGTGATTAGTACATGATTCCTATCACTCGAGACCAGAGTGCCACTTCCTACTCATGATTAATTCCAACAATATCCTTGATCCACCTGCAATCCAAGAATGGAAGACCTACCGGAAGAGATCTTGGTTGACATCCTTGACTGCCTTGAAGTTGAAGACTTAATTTCTGTCCAAGAAACATGCAGTTTCTTGTCCAAATCTGCACGTGCCAACACGTTATGGCGTTACAAATGCTTTGAGAAGTCCCCCAGTGCATCCATGATGCGGGAGAAGGACATACTCAGCTCGTTGGCTGGAGCTTTGAAGAGTCTTTCGCTCTCCGATGAACCCATGGAACCTCCTTCTTCTATACCCAACGGAGAATCCATTCGTCCAGAACCACAGACCCATGCAAGTCGAAGGGCTCAGGCAGCTAATAAATGGGATCTCTCTGCGGCTGGTGAAGCTGTTGACTGGTATTCAGAATTCAAAGCAAGGCATGCACCGCTGACTACGGAGTGGCTTACTGCTGGCCGCAGCGACCACGAGGAGATTCGAGGTATCTCAACTATAGATCATTCCTCCAAGCTAGTCGGCTATCTCGAAGACCACAGTCTACGAATTTGGGATCTCCGCGAAGAGGTCAATGGGAAAAGGTACTTTCGAGAACTTGGAAGAAGCAAGCCGGCCCTACTATCGACTCCATGTACCAATACCGTCGAGTCGTTCGTGATTGACTCCGTGGGTTCCGTCACAGCACAGCAGAAATCATTCATCGCCGTTGGCAATGTCTTGAACGAAGTGGATCTCAACACACTGCAAGTCGTCTCACGATCGAAATACGCATGGCCGATAACAGCCTTGTCACAGACCAGCGATATTGAGCTTCCCCTCACAGTTGGCACGCAATGGAGCTTACATATCCTGGACCCGCGGGCCCCGGTGAAGCCTCTTGAACACAAGCTCGACGACCGCGTTGAGGAAATCCCAGCCACTCCTGGCGCCTCTACAGCGCTCTTGCCGAATTTGACCGACGATTCTGCCCTCCTGCCTTCTCAATTTGGCATAACCTCACCCTTCGCAGCGAGTCCTGGTCCATCGATCTGGGCGCCTGGTTCGCCTAGCTGGAAACCATCCCACAGACTCCAAAATCCACATTGGATGGCATATGCTCGCGTCGAGCCCGGCCCACTAGCAATCCTCCACCACGCCGAAAACGAGATCCTCACGGGCGGCCGTTTCCCCAGCATCCTGTCATTTGACCGTCGCTACTTCCCACGCCTCCAATATGTGATTCATTCTTCTGCCAGCCTCTCAGGATTGGCGTCCATACCCCACCGCGCCGCAGGATCTTCACCCAGTCTTTCCAACACATCTACCCTCGTCGCGTGTGGAGAATACCGTGGACGCGGCTCCCTAGAGCTCTACTCACTACCCCATCTCAAACAGAACTCCGATGGTGGAGATGCAGAAGCTCTTTTCAGCTACAAAAACCGACAAGACGCGGCAAGATCCAAGCTTCTCTCGGTTTCCACCCACGGAACGAAGATCGTCTACTCAGACAGCGAAGGCGGACTCAAATGGGTGGAGCGAGATGGCCGCAGCCTGGTCAGGAAATGGAACATCAACAACTTCGATCTCGCACGACCCGTCTCGAATATGGCCTCCATCTCCGGCGACCAAGTCGCGCGGAAAATCGTCCCTCTCACGACCCATGACTCGGAGTACGGAATGCGCGGAGACGGCGATCTGTTGATCTGGACCGGGGAACGTGTCGGGATCGTAACGACCAAGACCCAACGCGTCGACCATCAACAAATGGTGAGCGAAATCGAGGACGATGAGTTCCTGGGAGAGGAGCAGAAGCAGAAGGAGCGAGAGGAGGAGTACTCCAAGGCAATGAGGCGGGCGCTCGAGCGCCAGGCTGATGAGAGGATATGGATGAGCCGCTTCCGTCTCAAGAGCGGACGATGGTGAACGTTCGCCATTGACTGGCTGGGATGGACTCTAGAAATGGGGACAAGTAAAGTACGAGACAGCGGGCACTCGCCTTGTTGTCAACGGATTCCTCAAGATATTAGACCGCAACACTACCTAGACAGCTTAGTAGACAGATATATAGATAAATACACAGATCTCACACACACACACACGCATATCTGTCTACATGCAAGAAGAAAATAACAAAGGTATTTATCGACCTAATTTATGCCATCTTATTTCATCTCTTCTAGGAGGGTATCCGAGAAGTTAAAACTAGTAGAGGTATAGTAAAGTATGATAGACAGGTAGGAAGTGACACGAGAACAGGAAGGGCATTATGCGGCTTGGACTCAGAGCGACACCCTTGATAAGCCCGTTGGCCCCTCGCTCCCTGATTCCCTCCGTCGCAAGGAGGTTGACTAATGTAAAACGAATTATTCAAGGCCATTTCATTGTATTGCATGCATGGTTATGCACTGGGGCGGCAGCGGCGTGGCTCATCTCTCTCTCATCCTCCCCTCATCTCATCTCGTCCCGACTCGAAGGGATGGAGAGAATGAAGCGTCTTCGAGACTCACAGCAATCACGATTCACAGCGGGGTCGAGCTTCCACATGAATGAGTACCACCGCCCCAATGCACCTCTTATCTCGCGACGGAGCTGATCGTGTCGCTCGCGGCACCACCATTCGCAGCATCCCCAGCGAGGAGACCAGACGCGTCGGTGTTGGATCTACTCACCACGCCCCGATCCGCAGCGATATGCTGAACGTGGGAGACTTGCCTATCCTTTTCGATCTGGCTCATCTCGCCGAAACCGTACCAGGCGATGACAGCGACGCCGAGTAAGCCGGCGATGATGCTGAAGGTTAGTGCTACGATGCCCTTGGCCTTGAATCCGCTGGGGAGCGGTCCTGAAGGCATGTTCTGGCCTGTAAGGTCGAGGTAGTCCTCCGTGTTGGCGGCGGCGTTGCCGATCGTGGGTACCGGCGGTGAGACGGCTGCGCACGCGGCGAAGTGGTCTTCTGGGATGGTGAGGGTTTCTTGGAGGACGAGTGGGGCCTGGAATTGAGGGGAACATGGGAGGTTAGTGGACGAAGAGAAGCTGGGCGAGTTGCTTTGGTTTGGGGGTTGTGCGGGAGAGGAGGAAGGAAACGTCATGATTCGAAGGAAGTCGGGTTTGTAGTAGAGAGAAGGAGAAGAGGAAGATCAAGCATGACAGCACATGAAACATACCTCGACGAAAGTCATAATCAGTCCAGAATCAACATGCCACTCGATGTGGCAATGGAAGACCCAGACACCAGGATTATCGGCCCTGAAACGCATGACGATATGGCCATTTGGCCTGACAAGGATGACATCTCGTCGCATGGGCGTGGTGGGATACACCACCGAGCCATTGGCTACGGATTCTGGGTCGAAGTCTCCCGATTCTTCCTCGCCACGGAGGATTGTCTGGAACGCGTGGCCGTGCAGATGGAAAGGATGTTTACCGGGGTCCTGGTTGTTAAGAACAATCTCCACGACGCTGTGGTGATCCAGGACGAAAGAGTTGGTGTTGGTCCCGTAGACACTTGCATTGGTGGCAAATTCTCCAGCGCTAAGTGCCGTATACAGCGAAGGAACCTTGGGAGCGACATAGGTGATGCCGCTGAAGAAAGCGTAGTTCTAAGAGGTGATCAGTCAAACCTGAAGAGTATATAGGGAGATATCAGCACATACGGCACCATCACCCAGATTGTCCATCAAGACATCTAGCTGGACGACAAGATCCGGATCGGGTAATAGTTCCTCGCCATCCGTAGGAACGAGTTCCATGTCATCAAATGGTTCAAACTCTGCAATTTCAGCCGCCTCTGGCATCGGCAATGAGTCGTCGTAGACCAGATACGATGTGACATTTGGGTTGAGGCCATCCGGGATCTGATCGAAAAGATCCTGGTCCATGGAACCCATAATGGCAAAATTGACATCCGTCTCAGTCCTAGTTGTCAGGAGGACACCATAGCGCTGCGCAGCTGTGATGTAGAGCAAGCTAGCCTCTGCAGGCTCATGATAGACACCATCAACTTCAATGATACGAAAGGTATGCCCATCGATCCAGAAGTATTGTGCTGCAAAAGCAGCCATGTTGACAATACGTAGGAAATATGTCTTGCCAGGTTGGATTAGAATTTGTAGACCCTGGGTATCATTCATTAAGGCAGATTGAGGTACTGAGAACGTAAGCAAAGGGCTCGAATTGGGATTTCGACGGGATTCTGCTTACCTGGTTCGGCGCCGGTAGGGTTGGTGACACTCAGGAATTTGGCGATCAAAGGTGGCATCTGCTCATGGTACCAGTCCGACAAGGTCAAAATCAGTTCTTCATCGAATTGGTCTTCATATGGGTTCTTTGGGTCATGAACAATGAGAGGACCGCGAAGTCCGTCGGGATATTGTCCACCAACATGAGAGTGGTACCAATACGTCCCAGGCTGGTTAATCTAGAGCTGGTCAGCATGGCCAGGATTGACTGCTGGTACGAGCTTACTGTGAAGTTATAAGTGAATGAAGCCCCAGGAGCAATCTGACACTGGGTTCCTTGAGCGACTCCATCCATGTGGTTTGTGCCGTTCTGATACATGCCATGCCAGTGAAGCGAAGTTGACTGGTTTCCCAGGTCATTCTTCACATTCACCACCAGCCGGTCACCGATGTTAACCTCGATTTTGGGAATTGGCCATTCGCCATTGATACCGATTACTGGTCGGTCTTTCTGTCCATCAGGGTTTCTAATTACCCAACCAATGGAAAAATCGTAGGTGCGTGTTTCTGCGGCAACAAACGAGGTCAAGAGGAGGATACTCGCCGTAAGGAAACTGGAGAGGGAGAGTGCCATTATGCCTTCTCCTTCTCAGATGAAGGAGACACTTCGCAAGAAAACGTGCTGATGGAGAGAGGAGACAACAGAACAATGATGGTTACCGTGATCAGATAAGATCTTTGAGACGGGGTTTGAGCTAGCGAGGCGAACTTTTCCCTGACCTGCATACAGAACTCGGTGGTTGTCGAAAATACTAGACCGTCGTTTGACTGCGGTCGTTCTGCTTGACACGAGGTCCGATACAGCTCCGGTGTGGAGCGTGCTGCAAGAGTCTGACGATGAGATTAGATTATCATGTGAGCAAGGTCTCGATCAGGAGGAGATGGCCATCGCACAGCAGATTTCAATGACTGTGCTACCGAGAGGAACTGATGGAATGTACCGCACTACTGCCAGGGTGGGGAACAATCCAGTTTGCAGTGGCCAATTGATGCTGGTAGCATGCTTACATGTGGGATGTTCCCATGATGTAGGTTTCCAGTAAGCGAACCTGGTGGATGTTTGGATCTGCAAGCTGGATCATTGGAAAGACCAAGGCGGTTGCCAAACGTCTTGGCTAAAGCGTGATTTCTGAGTGAGGGAAATCGGCTGGGATGGAGACCTCGATCTGTGCTGTGTGTGGAGTTTGGGCGTGAAGCAACCGGAAGTGGCTTGAGCTCGATCATGGACTCGGCGCGTAGAGACATGGTCTCTTGGGTTTGATGTTGGTGGTTGATTATCCGTCCTCCGTATCCGTACTCCGTACGGAGTAGCGCCAGTGCCCTGGTGGGTGCTGGGCCAAAGAGTGAGTGGTGTGATGGATATGTATGTGCACGTATGAAGATCAGATAAAAGTTTTCTCCCAAACATCTGATCTAATCTAGGCCATCTAGGCCCAATCAGCACAACATTAGCGAATGCAGCTCCCCACCCACGTTTTTGTTATCTGATAAAATCTGTCAAACTCCAACCATGACTTTGTATCTCGTATTTGCCGTCCTCTTGAAAATTCTTATCCGTACTTCATTGAATGGACGGATGATGAACCTTTCTTCGCGCGAATTGAAGATTGTCCTCGGAGAGCGCGACTTACTACAGTGCGTAGTTCCCGTGCGCCTTGTGAAAAGTCAAGCAACATCAACGCCCGGTCCAAGCATTTAGGAGAATGGTCCAAGCGAGAGCTAAGCATTAGTACCAAGTAACGTCTGGAACAAGAAAACTGGGGCCCAAGCTGCATAAACCCCCCTTCCTCTATCCGGGCCGACCTACTCGCGGTCGTAGGAGCCATGTAAAACCCAAGCGAGTGTGGGATAGGTGCATGAAGGAAGCATGGTGTTGTAGGATGTGATTTGACTGATCGTTCAAAGGATTAGCTTTTTCTGTGGGCAGGACTGCACCTTGTTGCTGATGCCCGTCTATTCGGCACTGGTGGTCAGCCCGTAACAATTCTAAACCGCAGATCGCCGTAGCAGTGAAGCTTCCGTACGCCTGATGGGACAGCAAGGTAGGCTTGCAGCTTTTGATGTGCATATCCCTCCAATTCGGGAGATTACTGGCGCATGATGGATTTTGTCAACTCGCACGAGGTAGCCGCCATGAGGAAGGAGGTCCTCCAAGCTGTCGATCGTATGGTCCCAACACGGTTCTCGTATCCAGAAGAGCGACATCGGCGGTGGACTGACAACTGGTCCAAGTTAGCATATGATGATTTTTTTCTTTTCTAGAAAACTTGAGGTGTTTCGGCTTTATTTGCGGCCTAGATCAGTCCTCACTTGTTCGACCAAAGTTTGGCTGCCGGTCGCGTTGGAATTCCCTGGCCAAGACCCCACCTAAGGTGACATATTCCCCTCCTGTTTAAGCCTTGCTTCCCGGCTCTGAATATCTTATCTGATCTAAGTCCCTCCCACTCGTCGCTCCTCTAACTTTCTTAAGAGGCAGTTTCCTAGCCATTGTCACACTTTGCACACCCACTGTTGCTGTGCCAGGCGAAGCGGAAAACCAAGTTGTCTCGCTGTCGAGCCTGTTTGTTGGATTCTATTATTCACGATGGTGAACGTCTTCGCCGTCCCTGTCTTCTTCATCGTCTTCAGGGAAACGCTTGAGACAAGTATTATTGTGTCTGTGTTGCTCTCGTTCCTGAAGCAACAACTAGGCCCAGATCGAGACAAAACAGTATACAAGAAACTCCGCAACCAGGTGGGTGCGCCTTTGACAGACGTTCGTTCTTTGATGGGAACCTTCACTTACCTCTGGATGAATACAGATTTGGTGGGGCACACTTATAGGTTTCTTGATCTGCTTGGTCGTAGGATGCGGCCTCATTGGCGCCTTCTACGGCATCGGGAAGAATAGCTGGCAAAAGGCCGAATACATCTGGGAAGGTGTATTCGGGATAGTCGCATCGCTCATCATCGCCCTGGTTGGTGCTGCCCTCTTGCGTATCTCCAAGATGCAGGCGAAATGGCGGCTGAAGCTGGCCAAAGCGCTGGAAGCGAAGGACAACAGCAACGCCAGGCTCGGCAGTCGCTTCAAGGCATGGTGTGAGAAGTATGCCATGTTTCTGCTACCCTTCATCACGATTCTTCGAGAAGGCCTAGAAGCCATTGTCTTTGTTGGTGGCGTCAGTTTGGGCTTACCGGCCTCTTCCATCCCGTTGGCAACCATCTGTGGGCTTGCAGCTGGAATCGCGGTCGGCTTCATCATCTACAAGAGTGGCAACATGGCTCCACTTCAAATCTTCCTCATTGTCAGCACTTGCTTCCTCTACCTTGTTGCCGCTGGCTTGTTCTCGCGAGGCATTTGGTATCTGGAGGCAGATAATTGGAACAAAGCAACTGGAGGCGACGCTGCCGAGAATGGATCAGGCCCAGGCTCCTATGACATCCGGCGTAGTGTGTGGCACATCAACTGCTGCAATCCTGAGTTGAATGGTGGCGGCGGCTGGGGTATTTTCAATGCCCTTTTTGGATGGCAGAACAGTGCCACATACGGCAGCGTGATCGGATACAATGTCTTCTGGATTTGTGTCATTGTTGCATTCGTCTTGTTGCGATTCAAAGAGACCAAAGGCCGCTATCCATGGGGTAAGGCCAGGGCTTCCAATACCTCAGCGCCTGCGAGAAAGGGAAGCGACGATGAGACTAGCGATGGGAGCGTTGGCCCTTCAGAGAAGCATGTACATGGCACAAAGGCTACTGAAGTACCCCCCAGGGTATAAAATGGGTTCGAAGTAGTCAATGCTCTGCACTGGCTGAAGACTTCTGAGGAGTCGAGTCAAGATGTTGCGTTCCGTCATCGAGGAGATTCAGATGAGGATGGCACGAAGGAGAAAGGGTTAGGAGGGCTTGCGAGAGCCACGTCCCACATCCTGGTGGAAGGGACACCAGTGCGCGCACTATATCTCAGATGTTTGTCAACCGGTCATTTTTGCAAGCAACAACCCTCAATTGATAGTATACTAGCATATTGTAATAAATGCAGGACCAAGAAGGCTATTCTCGTCAATGATGCGAAATACATCAATCGTCATTGGCCCACCAACAGACAAACCTCACGTGATACACCATTATTTGCCAACAGCAGCCAACAGCAGCCAACAGCAGCCACGCCCAACAGTAATTAGAGCAGAAATCAACATTCCATTAGGTGACGGGCCAAGGCCGTAATCATGATAAAGCAAGCAATGTGCCTGTTTGATAACTTGTTGTGCACATATATTCCTATTGCGATCTCAGGCTAGCGAATTCGCACAGCCTGCATGGACTAGAGTACAAAGTGCGCCATCACCACATATCTTGTCATCTCTCCATCATCAGGTTTCTGGTCGATCTTACTCTGCAGCTGATACGAGACAGAAGGTTTGACCACATATACTTAAGATCTGCAGACTGGAGAATTGCGCTAGCCTGGTCATCAATGGTGTGCATCGAAGCTAGAATGTCCTTCACATGGATAGGGCCTTTTCTGATTGAACAAGTTGCTGTTCTATCCGCTGGGCCGTGCGGTAAGCCGCAGACCCACAACCATGCCCTACAGCCATGGCTGAAATGGGTTCGAAAGATCGGCCAGGGCACAACATGCAGGCACTGGGGGCTCTTGGGAGGTCCTGTGCAGTAGGCGTATCGAGAGCTCTGCTGGGAGCGAATGCGACTGCGGCATCGCCGACAGGGCCCAAAGCTGTATTGAATGAAGCTATAAATTAGTAATACAGGGGGATCGGGGGAAATAGCAACGCTTAAAAGCAGGGTGTGCAGACGCGAGAAAAACAAGACGTGGGTCTCTGTCGTGCAGCAGGTCCGGAGGATCTACAAGTGTTGACTAGAAGTTAATGCTGTAGTGGTTAGTAATGCTCCCTCGGCTGTGGCGTAGAGTCCTTGGGGAAGGTCGTAAGTTTTCAGGGAGCGAATCCTTTTTTGTTGTTCCTCGCCGGTCTAACTCAAAGTGGTGCTACCGGATGTTGATATCGGAAATCAGAGGTAGAAGCGAATAGTCAAGACGGTCGTCGACGCTTTGGCTCCGGTGTGCTGATGTCCAAAAAGTCAAGATCATCTTCAGCCTCGGCTTTCCTTTTGGCAAGCTTGGCTTTGGATGGTGTAATGGGTGGACTTGGTACAACCGACACTTCGCCTTCCTGCTTGGCATTGACACCAGACTCGGCTTCATCATCCCAGTCATCCAGACCCACAGCAGCCATGTCATCCTTGACTGGCTCCTGATCAACCGCTGCTGGGAAGATTTGGGTATTAAATTCTTCTGGTATCAGAGTAGACATAGGTTGGCTGACTTCTTGACCAACCGCGTCTTCTGCAAAGGATGCTTCCTCGCCAAAGTTCTCGTCATACTCGGCATGCTCCTGCTGATCAACGAAGCCCTGCTGATCTGGATTCGCCACACTAAAAAGGTCTTCGCCCTCGACTTCGTCGTATAGTTCTTGGTTCCCAATATCGTCCTGGTATGCTTCAACAGTATGCGAGCTATTGGTCTCGATTTCATGGACCTGTTCATGTTTACTTTCCTCTTGGTTCGCCTCTTGATCTTCATCATCAAGCGTGCTAATATCAGCGTGTTGCTCCTGGTCTTCATAATGCAAATGGTGGGCAACGGCTGATACAGCGTCAGCCGATGCGTCTTGTTCAAGGGCTCGAACGCCGCGGTCTTGAGGTTGGGAAGGTTCATCGGCATCTTCAATGGTGTCCTCTGTGGCATGTTGAGTGTCGATACTGTCTTCATTCATTTGAACTTGGCCGTCGCTACTCGGGGCGGGCGGTAAACCATGAGAATCAGCTTCTGAAACTTTTTCACCCTGATATACAGTAGTATTCACACTTTCGTTTTGATCTTGCCGTGTCTCGACCTGCCCAGCCGAATGGGTTGAGTCTTCGAGAGGGGTATCAATGTGGTCGGCTGCTATTTCGGCATAAGTCTTCCCGTCGGCACCAGCAGAAGCAAGGTAAGCGTATTGCGATGCAAGGCTCACCCGACTGCTGAGATGGCAGTACAAAGGTTCAGACGGGCCATCCACATCATTGTGGCAGAGATTCAGATATACTTCGAGCACATCGGCCAAAGTGATCTTCGCAGAGTGTTTGGAATCCTCGCAGATGTGAAGACCTAAGCCGGGGACATCAAGGACAAGCTCATCGTGATGATCAAGTGTACCGGTCAAGATTTCACGGCACGCAGCTAGGAGTTTGTCAAGAGGTTCAAAGGCAAGTGAAGGATCAGAGAGGAAGTAGACTGTGGATTCATCTCCAAGCATCGGGGGAAATAAAGACATCTCTTCCTCCAGATAGACCAAAGTAACAGGATGGACATTACTGGTCTTTTGGATTTGAGTTTCATTTGTGTCGTGGACAACCTCTGAATGGGCATCTGCATCGTCACGCGTAATGTCCTGTGGAATCAGTGGCTCGTGCTTGCCTGTTCCAGGTGCAGGATTGTCTTCTTGTGGTTCGGAATTTTTCGAGATCTGCTCTGGATAACCGGAGGAGGATTCCGCATCTTGCTCCTCGTCGAGTTGAGGTGGAACGAAATCGGTCGAGTCCTGTATGTGATCCAGATTATCAATTGCGGAGGAACTATCTTGGGGCTTGTCGTGAGTGGGATCTTGAGTAGTCAATTCGTCATCGTTCTGGAGGGCATTGATAGAATCGAGTCCACCGGGGTTGGTTTGATCATCGGTGGCTGCGACATTGGCTTCAACTTGGTCTACGTCCGGCTGGGCCTCAACATCGTCGTTATTCTCCTCGTCATCCTCGTACAGGATATCATCCTCCTCCGCCGGAAGCTGCTCGACAAACGAAGCCATATTGTAATCGAAATCGTGTGCTGTGGTACTTGCCTGGTCAATCATATCGTCGTCGGGCAGATCTTGCATTAAGCCATCGTTTTGATCCACCAGATCGGCCTGGTAATCAATCATCTCATCTTCGATGACAGAAGGATCGCGAAACGGGTCGAGGTCGACATCAGGATCATCTGGTTCTGGTCGTTGAAACGGCGAAGAACCCACGTCCATTATGTCAGGTAGATGCGACGCGTCCATGTCTGGGAAAGCAAGGGAGGGAATTGCACTGCCCATGATTTACAGGTGGTGGCACGGAGCCCGAGGCAGTTGGGCGGTCGCTCTCGCAGCAGCAGACTGTTCGTCTTGTCTTACAGGGAGGTTGAGGATTCTGAAGTGAATGGGGGGGGTGATTGGGGTGAAGAGAGTGGGTGATCGGAGGATGAGTTTGAGTTCAAGGTGTTGGGCTAGTTACACTGGCTGAATCAAGACAGTGAACGTTAGTATTTTGTGTATGTCGGGGAGTTGTTCGGTGTCCAGGACAGCCTAGAACAATCAACAGTAACCGATAACAAGATGGGGTGGCGGAGGTCTTGATGAGGGAAAACTGCAGGCAGCAAGAGGGATTCGAAGGAGACGGGAAGACGAGGAGAAGAAGCCAAGCGCCAAGCGCCAAGACTCGACGATTCTGTTCGTAGACAGAAGACAAGCTCCTTCAGTGTTCACGTGTCCGCCGCTTGCAAAAACAAAAATCGCACTCAACTTGAGTCACGTGAATCAGCAGCTAATAAAGCAGCATTTCTGAACTCTGGCTGCGATATCTATTAAGATGAAGATTAAATGGTCATGCTAATAATTTCGCCCCAAATTCCATCAGGCTCTGATCTAGGAAATGCGTGGTGGAGCACAGAACACGATATAAGAGACCCGTTCTATTACACGGGGGCAGTACTACCTTTTAGATGGAGTTGTAGATGGATACGTTATGCTCTTGAACAACGTAAGTTGAACACTGCTTATGACATGCTTTCCTACATAGGTACCTAGTTCCTTTCTCCTAAGACCCAAGTTGTCATAGACACGTTGGGTACAATGGTGTCCTCGCAAGGATACGGAAAGGCACCGTTGCGTTATATCCTTTCAGTCTGACATCGATATTTCAGTCACGGAATGCACGAGTCACTCCTAAAGCGCACTCCCCCCCTTCACTCTCTCGTCAGACAGTCGTTTATCCTGGGCATTCATGAACCGTGGCCTCTCAGAAATAACTGCGGATGTCCACATTGGCTCTCCCTCAATTACGACGGTTCCAGCATCGACTCTCGACAACACTTCTCTCGTTCTCCCACCACAACTCGCCGAAATGGTCGTCTTAGCAGCCTCCATTTGCACGCGAGGCGGCAAGGCCCTCCTCTCTCGTCAGTATGTTGAAATCCAAAAGTCTCGAGTCGAAGCACTCTTGGCTTCATTTCCCAAACTTGCAGACTCCTCGACCCAGCACACAACCGTCGAGAGTGAGAATGTCCGCTTTGTCTACCAGCCACTTGACGAGCTCTACCTTGTCCTCATCACCAACAAACAGTCCAATATTCTGCAGGACATAGACAGTCTTCACCTGTTTGGCCAGGTCGTCACCTCCATTTGCAGAAAGCCCGACGAGCGCGAAATCCTCCGCTATGCCTTTGAGTTACTCTCGGCTTTCGACGAGCTCGTCACCATGGGCTACCGAGAAAACCTCTCCCTCTCCCAAATAAAGACTTTCTTGGAGATGGAGTCGCACGAAGAACGCATCCAAGAGATCATCGCCCGTAACAAGGAACTCGAAGCCTCCGAGGAGCGGAAACGCAAGGCAAAGCAACTCGAACTACAAAGGAAGGAAGCCGCTCGAGCTGCCGCTTATGGACGCGGTATTGCTCCCAAGATGCCTACACAGCCAACCTACACCCCCCCATCCCGTCCTGAAACTTACGACTCGTATGAGGCCGAGAAAAATAAGACTGCCAGCAAATTTACCCCCAGCCGGTCTACGAAGGGCATGCAATTAGGAAAGAAATCCAAAACATCCAACGCTTTCGCCAAAGTCCAACAAGAGCTTGGTCCAGAGGAAACAGAAGCAGCACACCCCACAGCTGACTCGACCACCCTTCCAGACCGAACGGTCTCCGCATCTCATGCCCACCATAATTCAGTCCACTCTAACACCAATCCCATAACAATCACCGTCAACGAAACCCTCTCGGCAAAGCTCTCACGAGAAGGTGCTCTAAAGTCCTTCGAGGTCAAAGGCGACCTGCAACTCAAAATAACCGATCCTGCACTTGCCAAGCTTTCCCTTTCCGTGCATGCTATTGAAGGGCCGCTGAAAGCCCAGTTTCGCACCCATCCCAACGTAGATCGCAACCTCTTCACGTCCAATAAAGTCCTCCAACTGAAAGACACCACAAAACGCTTCCCCGCCAATAACAGCATCGGTGTCTTAAGGTGGCGAGCCACCGCTCCTGCAGATTCGAACGATGTCCTACCCATCACATTTACCGCCTGGGTCAATAAGTCCGACGACTCATATACCATCACCCTTGAGTACGAACTTGTCAATCCCGATGCCCACTCCCTGCAAAACGTCAGCGTTACTATTCCCTATAGCTCTGCAGAACCCGCCGTCTCGTCCTTTGATGCCATATACCAGGTCACTGGTGACAGCCTGGAATGGACGATCGGTTCGGTTGACGCAAGTAACCCGACCGGTGCCTTCGAATTCGAGGCCCAGACAGACGATGAGAGCGAATTCTTCCCCATAAGTGTCAGCTTCGAGCTGGAGAAGCCGTTTGTGGACGTGGATGTTCTTGGCGCAAAATTATTGGAGATGGATGAGGATGTAGATTTCGAGAAGACCATCAAGGCCGTTGCAGATGGCTTTTTGATCGAGTAAAAGAGGAATGACCGCTTACAGCTTGATTCGGCAGTGTGAATCCTGATCCGATCATGAGAACGCTGTGTCTTCGGTACAAAGCGTGAAGCCATGGTGTTGATCAGGAATGAAAGAAGTGGGATTGACAGTCTCACGGATATGACATATGATGGAATGGCACAAGAGGAACTGCGGAGAACTGTAATCTACCATGCAATCACAGCCCTGGGGACAGCGTCACCTTCCGGAACGAATTCGGTATCGAGATAGAACGAACAAGTGAAACGAGATCTAGTCTACGATCTACGTACAGGTTCTGCGTGAAACGCAATAGGCATGCAGCATACCTCAGCTTGCGACCTAAGCACTCAAGTGAAGCAGACTCATCAATGCCAATCAATACCACCTTATATAGGTAGTAGCAGCGATATGATTTTGACGTAGTAGGCTTTATTTATACGTATATGAGAATGCAAATGCCACCTGGTCCCTACCTATGCTACTTAGTATGCATGCGGCTCTCAAGCGGTACCAACGTCCTCCCCATTCACCCATTAATTTAGGGACCAGAAGATACCCCGTTTCTCGAAAGCAAGATGCCGACATGTGTGATGCTTCCTTGTTCTTCGGTTAAAAGGCTTTTAAAGCTAGTGAGCGAGCGAGCTGACCAAAAGAGGCGGCGGGGGCATCAGATTCAAATCCGGTCCAAGATCATGCCTCCTGTGCTACGTACTGGGCTAGTACGTTTCAGGAAGAGCCGGCCCGTTGGGAAAGAGGAGGGGGCAGATATGGGAAAGCCGCCTCCACCTCCTTCGCGTCGTCATGTATGTGTGTCTGTTAAGTGGTAATGCCAGTTGCGGACATTAATTTTCCGTACCGTGCGATTAGTGCTTCACCCGGGAATTGATTAACGGTCATCTGTGTGCGTATGTGTCGCTAATGTTGTTTCGGTCGTAGATGTTTCTGATGGCCCTTTCCATCAAGTAAGAGATGGAGGTTGAAGTCTGATGAGCGTGACTGAATGGCGATAGTCAAGGTGCTGAAAGAGATGGAAGGTCATGAAGTCGTGATGATGCTCTTATACTGCCAGGGTGTCCGCCGCCGCTTCCCACCAAGCAAAGAAACGACTACCACCGGCCATGAATTGTGGGCAGTGGACATATCTTCAGCGAACGTCTATCCCAGCGCTGGGTGACATGAATCTCGTCAAGCAAAGCCATTTGTCTGTCAAGGCCCCCTCGTTAAGAACTGGGCCAGACGCCACTATCAATAAGCTTGAAAAGATCCCACTCGGCGGCCGCCTCGGTCTTGAAGTTCCAGAAGATCCAACCCTGTACCTTGCTCTCGAAGACGTCGAGCTGGGCGCGGATGTAATTCGCATACGAACTCTTCTGATAGTCGGACCATTGATCGATCAAATTCACATTCGCACACGACCCAATATACTCCGAGGAGTCATACGAGCCGTCGGGCTGGCGCTTGGAGTAGGTTCCGTCGTAGCGGGCGCCAATGCCCAAGCCGTTGAGCGCGGGTGCGCAGTCGGTCATGGCCGCGGACCATTCGCCGACGACGATGAACTTGTCCTGGCCCTGGCCCCACGTGTTGGCGTGCGAGTACACGTATCCAACGTGGTCTTCTGGCGATAGTTTGAGGAGCTCTGGGATGAATGCTTGGTACTCGTGGTGGTCGACGATCGCCCCTAAGCTGCCCTGCCCTGTCAGGAAGCTGTTCCACTGCGATGGGTTCTGGAATCCGTCGTGAATCACCACGGAGGTTTGGCCTGATTCGCGCACTATGTTGAACCCTGCCTATTTTGGTTTCAACGTGACGGCCCCCAACGTCAGCATAAGCACTCATCCATGAGATTTCTACTTCGTCCACGTGGGGATTGGAAACACTCACCTCATAATACCCTTGCGTTGCGTCTCTACCGCCACTCAGACCAGCCATGTATGGCTCATTCAACAGCTGAATGCCGACAACCACATCCGCGTACTCTTGCGTACCATAATGTTTCGCGATAATTCCAATGACGTCTAGGGTGGCTCCGACTGAGTCTCCTCTCGTCCATCCAGGGTCTGAGGTCAACTGGCCTGAGTTATCATATCCGTTTTGTGATAGTGGTGTGCCTGGGGTTCACGTAAGTACTCACACTTTCTTCAGAGCAGGGGAAACAGAATTCAAAGACGAAACAATATGCGGGAGAACGAGTAGAACGGAGAAGAACGCACCATGCAGGTCGATCCAGACCTTGAGGCCAGTCGCTCTGGCCCAACTAACTGCCTTCTCCAGATAATCTGCTGCGCCTTGGATATAGGGATCTCCTTGATACTTCTGAAACGCCCAGTACCCAACAGGAATCCGAACGAGGTTGAATCCGCTATCTGCGATCTTCTGGAAATCGCCCTGGGAGACCCAAGTCTCCCAGTGACTGCGCAGGATGTCACCGGCATTGGGGACGTTCTTGGTCAGTGTATACTCGTCCACGACACTGCCGTCAAATTGCTGGAATATGGATGGCGTTATCCAGGGCTCCAGAACTAGCCAGCCTCCGATGTTGGCCCCCCGCACAGGAGTGTTTCCATATGGAAAGTCCCGTTTTCGTACTGGAGACCTGGCCGTTCAGGACGGTCAGAGATTTGGTCAATGATACGATTGTTGTTTACTTACGCAGTAGACGCAGTTGCCAACAGAGCAGTGAGAATTGTTTTCCCCAGCATATTGCTACGACGCTGGAGATAGGATCCTGAGGATAAACAATCAGGCGCGACTCAATTGCTCACCACATAGGTCCGCCGTTAATTTGTCGTGGAAGGGAGAGGGGTGAGAAGCTCGAGTACTTTCAACGATGTACCTTGGCTTTTAATGGCGTGCAGGGAAAGAGAATCGTGACAATCAGAGAGAGGACCAACTCAGAGGAGAGGGTGCCTTTCGGAAGGAAGTATTTCACTAGTATAACTAGAAGGAGCGGGGTTAGGAGAGATGAGGTGCCAGTGACACAAACAGGTGGTATATGAAAGACCTACAGTGAGGAGAAGTATGCACATGAAGATCGGGAATTAGCCAGGCATGGTCAAATATGTGTCGATCTGGAGAAAGCTCATACGATCCACACCGAATGCAGGCAAAGATCCTTCTGTTGGTAGATGGGCTCATGAATGTGACGACTGCGGGTTGTTTCTTTCACGTAACTTGAAGTGAATTTCGGCCTTGATACCTGAACATGAGAGGGGGGTAGAGCATGCTGCAGCATGGAGTTCGTGGGTTCAATGACTGGAGTCTTGCAAGGTATGAGGTGTTGGCTGGTCAAGTGGTGGAAGTGGAGCACAAGCGCACAGCATAGCTTCGAGCTTGAGCCGAGGAAGCACATCAAAGGCTGTTTGGTAATATGGAGCATATTATGGGACTCCTCACAGGGTACTCTATAGCACAAGCCTGGACCTGAGCAAGAAAAGCAAATCAAGACTTGATCGCTGAGGGGCCCCTGGCGCCAATGAGTAGACACGATCTCGGTGTGAGTTCTGCGTGGAACAATAAAAAGAGGATCAGGAAAGGTGTGGTGGACCATTCCGCCGATGGTCAAATTGAAAATTGAAAGACATGGCTAGGGAAAGCAAAGAATCCTTTGTTACAAGCACAACCTACCAGAAGCTCATAAAGGTGTGGCGAAAGAAATTCCAAAGTGGGTAGTGTTGAAGGCCGAAAGTGGTACGGGGAGAAATCTAAATTGAGACTAGGAGGGAGTAGTTGACCCTGGCGTGCTATGTCTTGCAACAGCTAACAGAGGACAGACTGGACAGCGTTCCTGATCAAGCACACAGGGCGGATCGACCGTGATCTGGCAATGTCGATCGATGATGCGGAATGGGCAAGCATTCCGCTCCTTGGCTATTCCTCGTCGGGTGACCATGGGGAAGTCTAGCATTCACAGTCCTGGTCCTCTACTAGAGGGCTATTTTGCGGGTTTGTTAAGTGCTTAGTGTGGCACTTGGTATGTCTTGAACTGGCCAGATGTTGCTCCATGACACAATGTCGCATCGGTAACGGCGACGGGTGGCGCCAATCGGCTCGCATTCCAAGTCAGGCACACTTAGTGTCTGTGACTCTCTGCCGGCCAGCCATGAGGAGTTGTGGTACATCAATTCCACGGAACCGAAGCTGAAACTGCTGCTGACTACATCGTATGCATGTCTTGCATTCACATGTTCCTGTTGATGCCTCGGGTTCCTGGCATTCCCCAAATCCCACATCCCAGCAATCGGCAGCATACGCACAGCCAGGGTACCTTTTCGGGGGTGGGCGGCTAAGTCCTCTCTGGTCGAATCGCAAGCCTCCTCGGTTTGTCAGGGTTGAGGCTTCCCGCCTCCGCCACTGTGGCTTCAACCACGATCCCTTTTCGCCCCCGGCTTCCCACACCTCAAATCAATAAAGAAGAACTTCACAGGCATCTGGAGCGCTGAGACCTTGTTTAACGCCTTGTTGGCTCCCAACAGAGTCACAATGACCGTTAACGTGTCCTGATATACTCCGCACCATGATCACCGCCATGGCCACGTAAGCAAGAGCCACTGTTTCAGGCGTCCCATCCATTCCAGGTTGTTGGGCACGGCCGATCATCAGGTGGATGTGTTGCCTGCCAGGTCCCATGCAGGTCCCGCCAAATAGGATCGCACCACGAATACACGAGTCTACCACCTCTTATAAGACTTCTGCAATTCTCTGTCTCTCAATAACAGAATCCGCAGTGGTGTCCCTCGAGATTCGATAGTAGTTATCGGTGAATTCTCCACAGTTCATTTCGCGTAAAAACTCCTCGTCGTGCGTAATGACCAACAGTTGGAAATTTGATTGCGCGGATCGGTCTCTGATGATATCGTTCAGCGACCTAGCCAGACTGACAATGTTGTCTCTGTCCAGATTTGTGGTTGGTTCGTCCAACGCAATGATGCCGCATTTGTCACTGAAGCACTCGGCTAGAGCAAGGCGGATAATAATGCTCGCCAGCACCTTCTGTCCAGCACTGCAGCGTCCTCTCATGTCCATTTCCGCATCTCTCTTGACCATAACCACTCGATAGTTGTATGAACGGTTACCGCGCCCCATCTCATTATCTGCACGAATCATAATAGTATCAACGTCTGACCCACGGTAAGTTTTCCGCCACAATTCTTCGATGATGCTGTTGATTTCCTCCATCTTGAGACCGTGATATTTCATAATGGCCTTGTCCAACGCCCCACCATAGCGCCCTAGGTCTTCAACCGCGGCTTTGGTGGCCTCCACCTTGATATGGGCTTCTTTGTAGCGCCGAGGTGCATCTTTGAGATTGGTATTGTAGTCGTCCAGAAGCTCACCAAGTTGTGCATCTTTCGACTTCATCTCTCCCATAAGGCCTGACTGTTTCGCACTAAGCGCATTATACTCGTGGGTATGCTTCTTGGATTCCTCCTGGAACCTATCACGGTCTGCCTCGGCGGTATGATCTGCCAGTTCGTCGATCTCTTCGTTTAAGCGAGACAGTGCACGAGTTTCGCGACGATACAGAAGATTGTCTGAATATCGTCGTCGAGTCGCTTCACTATCCCGAATCTCCTCCTGGACCTTGTTGATTTCTCGTGTCACTCGGATTTCTTCGCTTTGTACAGTGTTCATCTCATGTTCCACACGACTGAGTTCGCGATTGATTCGGCTAAGCTGTGCCGGACCATCTCGATCCACATAGGACCGGATCTGGCCATTCAATAATTCCAGACCATTCACACTCTCGCTGAGTCTAGATTGCTCATTCGACATATCTCGCTCTCTCTCACTCGTACGTTGATCAATGTCATCATACTCGGATTTAGCGGTCAATATCTCTGGACCAAGATTCTCGATATCACTATCAAGTATGTCAAGGTTCTCTCTATGCTTCTGGTTCGATGCTCGAAATTCCTCAACTCGTGCCGCAAGTGATGCTTTCTTGTCGAGTTGATATCTGACGGTGTTCAATTCGCCCTTGAGATCACGCAACTCTATTTCCAAAGTTGACAAACTGATGCGAGATTGTTCTTGCTCTGTGCGAAGTGATGCAATCAACTTCTGCATGGTCCGGCTTTTCTCGGAGGTCAAAGACATCTCTTCCCTGATATCCTCAAGTGTACGGTCCACACTATTCTGACTCTGCTTTGCAGTGAGTTCTTCCAGCTGAATAGTCAAGGACTTGATATCGCTGTCACACGTGGCAATTGAAGTGACGGTTCGAGTCATCGAGTCGATGTCGCGTCGTTTTTCTTGATGTTGTTCCACAATTTTGTCATGCTTCTCCAACTGAGCCACAAGCTTCTCTCGCTGCTCTGACAGGTTGGCTAGATCTTTCTCCAATGCTGGGATCTCTGTGCGTGTTAAGGTGTTCCAGCTCTCAACTACCATACCAAGATCAGAGACGCGTTTGTAGTAGGCTTCAACTTCTTTGACATTGATCTCTTCAACCTCAGTCAAAGCTTTGTCCACCAATCCTTTGATACGAATCTTGAACTGTTCCAGCTGTGGGTCGCTAGGATCGGCTTTGAACGCTCGCAAGCATGTGCGACAACAGCGTTGTGTTTGAGCTGTCTTCAATACAGTCTCGAAATATTCATGAAGAGCTCCGCAACTTTCGCTGCTGGCGCGGGCTTTTTGCGTCTCGCTCTCGGCTTCTTCGAGGGCCTTTTCGTATCCATCGGGACCATCTTCAACAACGGCACAGATCTGCTTTTCATGCTTGTCTGCCCGTGCCTTCTTCTGGGAAAGGTCTGCTCTAGCAATGGTTTGTTTGTGTTGTAAAAGCTCTAGATCCTTGCCCACGGAGTCCCTCTTCTGCTCAACGACTGATGACTCGCTCTTCGCATCGGCCAATGCATCTTGATGGACTGATTCTATCGTGGTAGCATTCCAACTTTGTCCAATGAGCTTACTGATCCGGTCACTATGAGTTTTTAGCAGAGTTTCCAAGCTGCGTTGACGCTCTTTGAGTTCTTGCTTGAGATGGGACAGCCTGGCTAATTCACCCGCCCTTTTGGTTGATTGAACGATCTCGTCGTTGAGACGAGCATGAACCTCCTCATTCGAACCAAGTTCAAAGTTAGCTTCCTGCAGTTTCTTATCCCATTCTGCAGTTCTTGCAATTTCCTGAGCGGCGTTCAATTTTGCATTGAGGTCATCGATTCTTGACTCGACCACTGCTTTGCTGCCCTCGTCAACTCTAATCTCATCAGTCTTTCGCTGGAAATCTCTGGCGTCTCGGTCGTTAGAGTCTATTTGCCGCTTGATATTGATCTTGTTGTCTTGAAGCGCAGCCTTTCGTTCGGTGAGTTTATTGACCAGCGTCTGGGCATCTCGTCTTTCAGTGGCATGTTCAAGCTTGGCACGATCAAGCGCAATTTTCTGATCCTTTGAGATCTTATTGATCTTGAACAGGAATTCTTCGACGAGTCTTTCATCATCGACATCATTGAAACCACGTATCCGATGCTTTGCAGCCACCTCTTTGACCATATCCTTCCGTCTAACGAGCTGGCGTTCGTGCTCTTCCTTCTCCTGCTCATATTTTCCCTTCAGCTTCACCTTGTCTTCTCTCTCTTTGCTCAAGTTCTTTTTGTTATCTTGGTAGTCGAGATACTGCTCCTGTTGTCGACGCATTTGGTCTTTGAGCTCCGCCTGTCTAGCCTCGAATTGTTCGAGAACTCTCGTTAACCACTCGTCGGATTCGGTGACCTCTACAATGTGTGCTTGGAGGCTCTCAATGGTACTCTGCTTACTGCGGGCTTCTATCCGCTTGCCTTGAAGGGTGCCCAGGATCTTAGCGTGATCTTCACCCTTCCTCCACGCCTCGTCCGCGAGATTTCTGGCATTGGAGATTCGACGCTCAAGGTTCTCGACTTGGTCCCGAAGAAGTTCAATATCCTTTTGAAGCCGCTCTGCCTTCTTCTGAGAGGACAAGGCACGATCTTTATCACCTCGAGCATGTTCCTCTAGGAGCTTGAACTTGGCCAATTCCTCGTTGTGTTTCTTGCGAATTTGTTTGATGTTCTCGATTGCTTTGGTGTATTTTTGTGCTTCGAAGATCTCATCAAAACGTTTCTTTAAGGTTGAAGCGTCACTCAACGGCCACAGGCTCTCATCTTGGTGACAGAAGATGACGTTGTCGAGTACAGCAGTAGAGACACCAAGGTATTGCGGGAGGAGGAGGTCAAGCTCTGCAACGCGAGAAGATATCGCAAGCTTTTCTCCGTTCTTTGCCATGAGAAGTGAGCCTTCCAAGGACTTCAGAGAGCGAGACAACTTCTTCACAGTCAGTTGCAGCCGTCTAGCAACGACGAGTCTTGCACCCTCTGCCGATGTAAATTCAACTTTGACCATCGCCCTGACTTCAGTCTCGTTTTTCATCTTGGGATCATGGACGAAGGCCCCTCCCACTTTCGTGTTTGGTGGCTGCATCCCGGTGAAGGCGAATTTGAGACACTCGATGATTGTAGTCTTGCCCGAGCCATTGAAGCCAACAATAAGAGTCAGTGGATTCTCGAACCTTATTGTTTGACGGTGATTGGGCTGGAACGAGCGTACGCCAGAGATCTGCATCTGGAGTAATTTCGACATCTTGTCTGGCGGTGGGGGGTGGAGAACAGTGCTTTACCAACTCAATTCGACGCGGAAGGGAAAAGAATCATTTGTAGGATTGTAGGAGGAATGGCCATCTGCAGATGAGGCAGTGGAAAAACAGGCAGTGCGAGACCCCTAGGGAGATCAGACGCATCAAGACTATTAGCCAGCCGCTATGTGAATACCCGGACAGCAGTTACGGCGTGATGATGGTCGGCTCTATTTTCAATATGATACCAGTGATTTAAGAAGACCGAAGTCCACATCCACATCAATCAGAACGCGGTTGTCATATGGTCCGTGAGGCCTTGACGTGACGTTAGCGGGAAACTGGAGAGCGCTGCCTGCGCTAGTGCTAGCGTCGCGGCGCGATCTCACGTGATCTAGCTCTGTCTTGGCACCTCAGCCGCTTCCCCTCCAGGTCGCTCGGCTCGATCTCGATGCTGCGTATTCACGCCATCAACAACCATCTGTCACTGGCCACTGGTGGCATGACCCTGTGTCAATAAGAAAAGCCCATCGTTCTTAGCTGGCTTTCGGTTGTTTTCTCCGGTCTTCAACGTTGCAGCCTTAAGTTCTCCGCGCCTACTTTCCGGGCGTGCCAACCATTGAGAGTGGCAGGAAGTTCTGTTCATCAATTCCAGCACCCATTGGCCGCTGCCTACGCGGGAGTACCAAAGCGCAGTAAACGGCCCATTGGAAGCCCATTATAATGGATACCTTCCAGACTGAATCAGCTTCCAATATAGACCCTTACAATCTTCAGTCGGCCATCTTTGATCATTCTCTCGTCGGCAATGTTCAGGATATGACGAATATCGGCGTCTTTACTGACGGCATGCAAATGGATATGACACCCTTGACACCCACGAATTATGAGGACCTAATGCCAGGTGTTCCAAGTCTCAGCAAGGAAGCCTCAAGTAAGACTAATTCTTCTGATAACGTACCGCTAAACACTGCCGGTGCTGGCCCTCTCCCTACCGGGTTTTCCACACAAAGCATCCAGCCGTCTGGTTCGAGCAGTGTATTGACAGAGTTCACAAAGAGGAGGAACTGGTCGCAGAGGGTTCTAGATGAGCTCAAAGATTTGCTTTATATCCTCACGTCGAACGGTAGACTGCTCTATTTATCTCCGTCTGCCAAATATCTCACTGGTTACGAACCTGCAGAGCTCATGGGCAAGTCTATATCAGACTTTGTGCATCCAGACGACGCTTCTTTGTTCATTCGCGAATTTAACGAGAGCATAGCAACTGGCAACAATCTTCGCCTTTTCCACCGCTTCCGTACTGCAGAAGACAAATATCGCATATTCGAATGTCACGGCCACCCACATCTTACGAATGATAATCCTCAGGGTGATATGGCCGCTGGGCCGGCAGCATCTGCGCCATTCTGTCGAGGGTTCTTCATGATGGCTCGCCCGTACCCATCCAAGAACTCCGAGCTTCTCGATTCTTTTCTCGAACATAAGATTGAAAATGTTCGGCTGCAAGCACGGATTGCTGCATTAAAACGAGAAGAAGCCGAGGATGCTGAAACCCACAATGACCCATTTCACAAGCAACCAGGCGCAAATGGTGCCAAGTCCCGTTCGAATTCTGCAGATATGGCTCCACTTTCTCCATCAATTACTTCGAAGGGCGATGCGACTGAGCCATCAAGTATGCCACCTCCAGCGAAGCCGACAATCTCAAACGTAGCTCTCACACGTGAGGCACTCGACGAAGCAAACGCTCAGGCCCGGCCAGATAGTATCAGGGACAAGATGGCACGTTATGAGGGCTCGTCACATGTCGATTCTATCGAGATGTTCACAGGATTGCGCTACCGCGAAGGGGAGAGATCACAGGGAATATCTACTGGAGGCACCTCCCCTGCGCTCATTCGAGGTGACGCCGGTATCCATATTCCCATTGACAAAGCCGATGCAAGATATGGGGGTTCTGCATATTCAGACAAAAAAACCAAAAAGGTCAAGAGCGTTGATGAATATGTTTGCACAGACTGTGGAACACTAGACAGCCCTGAATGGCGCAAGGGACCAAATGGCCCCAAAACGCTCTGTAACGCCTGTGGCTTACGATGGGCTAAGAAGGAAAAGAAACGATCTGGGGATGGTGGTGCAGACAATCTCGGAACAACAGGTAGTGCTGGCGGTGTCACTATTGCCAGCTAAGCACTTCCAGCCGGGTACACCCCATGTTGATGATCAGACTTTGGGATTTCCTGCAGACCAATAGTGTCGCAATATTCTGGCAGATTTGGGCCATTCAGAAGCAGAAAGCGGAAAAAAATGCCCGAGTGATCTACCTGAAGATCAGAACACCCTACAGAGGCTAAATCAGGCGTAACACGCTGGTTGTCGCTCGACCACAGCATACTCCAGGCACATGCTTTCCGCCACTCCCCTGTGGCACTGGCGGAAGAGTCTAAGTTGCCCGAACACATCTCAGGTCTCAGAACACCCTCGATTCGATCTACAATCACTATACACTGACTGCAAACTGCATGGCCAACTAAGTAAAGACAGAAGGACTTTTCTAAGGTGTCCATCCTTCCAGGACAAAGGGTACCAAACTGTGTCGCCCCAGGCAATATCGTTCCGACCGTCCGAGCCCAGATATACTGCTGCCCCTTCATGCGCCATGCAGGACATCGTGCAACTAAGTATTTCGACGACTTCAGCGAAGGAAGTCCGATGGTATCTAATCGGTCGATTCAACGTCAACAAAGCCACACCACACTCAAAGCCCACATGACACGCTGACGTAACAAGCAATATGGGATCGGTTATTAGTGGGGAGCCAGTGCGGAACCCACATCATGAAGAACGACGTTATGACAAATTACATATACGTGTTATAAAAATAAGACTCGAGGCATACATGCGAGCAATCAATCACGATTGGGTACATTTATACAGGTAGATGGTCTATCGCAGTTGCAGGGACATGGATATCCGTTGTACGCCATTTCTTTTGGACTGCCCTAACTCTGAGGGCTTCGTCTCTCCTTGATCTGCTTCGAGCTTGATCGAACTGGATTCTGATACGGCATTTCCTGTATAACAAGGAAGCAAAGGCTCCGTGGTAGTCGACCGCGCGGTATTTGAGGCCGAGGACGCCCTGCATGGTGGAAGGTCGCATCGTGATCTAGCTTCACGCTACTATTCTCATCCTTCTGGCAGTCGTCGGTCATCGGTCATCGATCATCGTAATCTCGTGATTCGGGGGGCCCCTGCGTAAAGTCGCCCCAGGGTATCAGCACCGCATGTCCTTAACCGCTGACGCTGTGGACATAAATTTGATGTGTTTCATGTCTCTTGCTCAAAGGTGCCAGTAAATCCTAAGTGGAGGCGTCAATTCCCCACGTCACTCTGCCTTTACGTCAACGACGGCACGTGTATCTCCTGATGGTGTCGACACACTAAGTCAATGTCGGTGCAGCCGAGGCACTAGAACTTCCATTCTCTGCCGATGCGCGATCCTTGCTCGCGTCGTCGTCGGTTTTGTCATCCGCGTCGACAAGCACGATATCTCCATCCTGCTCTTCTGCTGCCGGAGTTGGCTCCGAGTTGGATAACGGTGTGTCCTTGTCTTTCGTTGTCGTCGTGCTAGTAGAATCGTCAAGCTGCATTGCATCCTCTTCATCCGCACACTCTTTGTGCACGATTTCGAAGTCCTCCGAGTCTACCGTCGAGGATGACCCAGTTATAGAATCAGAGACGCCCGTGACTGTGGAAGCGCTGGTGTTGTTCTGCGAGCTCTCTGTGGCAAGCACATCCCGGGCGTTGTTGAGATCGGCTGCCTGCTTTTGTTCCCCGGTCGGCGGGCTCCCGATGTGGAGTTCAACGTCTTTGCCATCCACACGACCCATATCCACGGAGCCCACGACGTCTGGACCGCGCGCATGGGGAATTACTTCGCCCTCGTCCAGATATCCATCGTCACCGTCAGGATCAATCATAGTTCTCGTCACGCTTGTGTCCTCCCGGTTCTGCGTCAACGGCACCACACCCGCCTCTTGCTCCATTCGCATCAATTCGCCTTGTGTCACAGCTCCATCTTCTCTTTCGGGTACCAAGGGGTCACCGTTCCCGGACACTCCCACTAGGCCGATTGGCTCGCCGAGACCGTCGCTGCTCGCGCTACTGTTTGAATCAAGGTGGGCCGAGTGTTCGCCCGAATCTTCTACACTGCTGATACCATTTCTCAACCAGGGGATCGGGGTTAGCAGCGCGCCACCCAAGCTCTCGTCACTACCCAGAGAATCCCCATCATATCCATTGCGTGTGTCGTTGTTGTTCCACAGTATCCCTAATCCGCCATCTCCGTTCACACCGTTCACCGTCGTCGGAACTTCTGTGAGTGGGAAAATGTCGGCCGTACTACTCACGCTGACTATGCGATCCATGGCGCGCAGGTACGCTGGAAGGGTCTTGTAATGTTTCGTGGGGTACAGTAGCAGCTCCGCTAGTCGTTGGACTGTATGAGGCGGTCTGTGAACAAATGCCTTCCGCAGGGTCTGGGTGATGCTGTGCACTAGATGCAGCAGAATAGCGGGGACTTCGTTGATGAAATCCCCGCTGAGGTCAAGGGCGAGCTCTTGTGTAGGTAGCAGATTCTGCACGCGAGACTCGGGGACTGCGGAGGGGAAAGGAGGGACAGGTGGAAGAGTTCGGATTGGAGTCGTCGGTGCCTGTGGTGTGAGATTGTTGTCTCGCATCGGCGTTGCTTGCGTTTGGGTCGGTGAGGTGAGGAGCGGTTGTCGATTGATGGGAAAATATAGGTGCGGCACGAGAAATTCGTTAGACACAATCTGTACTTGTTGTTAGCAGTGATCTGGAGGCAGTGGGCCAGCAGTTGCGCACTTCGTGGAAGCGTTGGACGAGTGCATCGATCATCTCCGGCCATGTTTCGCTGACGGCCACGGTTAGTATGAATGATGCTACCGAGAAGAACTTGCGCATACTAATCCATCTCGCCGGTCTTTACGACACGCTCTAGCACTTCCTCGTCTGCCATTATATCAACCTAGCGTTCTGTTCGCATTCATGGGTGGGTAGAATCTTGATCTCGGGTTTGTGTGTTCCTTTGCGAAAGTTGTGCAACTCACCGAAAGACATGATGCTAGTGTATTCAAGAAGTCATGTGTCGGGAGCTACCAGCACCGAGTAGAAAGTTATTCTAGCAAATATGTACCAGGCGGCGCCAGATAACAAGATGGTGGGGTATCAGGTAATTTGTCGAGAGTGCAATATTTAAGAATGATCGAAATCGGGCCTTGAGTTTTGGGGGTGACACCAACAATAATGACGCGGAGGAGAGGGCATGTGATGTGAGGCAACCCAAGCCTAAACTATAACCTTGATTTTAACATTAAGTGGAAGCCCCTTCTCATTGACTACCTTTCAAGCTACTACCAGTATTCCATTATTATACCGTCATCCGTAGGAGTATATTGGATCAAGTCTAATTTATGCCTATGTGATCCCTGTGCTGGACTACATGACAGTTTCTCGTATGTACATTGCGCAGTGCATTTCACGTAGCGCCTTCCAAAGTCCTCCAACTGGAGGACGCGTTCTGCTTCGGCTAGGAGAAGATCTGGATCAAATGAGAAACCTGGTATATAGGCAAATAGCTCGATTCATAGACAAGTTAAGCCCATCAACTCCTCATATGCCACGATTGAACTCAATCATGCCGTCTTCGCCACCTTTGTCCCAATACTCCTCCTCCAAGCTCCTGGCATTGATTGCCTGGCGCTGGGGAAACGCGCCGAGTGCCAGGGGTAGCGCGAAGATACTAGTTGTCAGGATGAGCCCGAGATTGATAGGTAGGGTCATTCTGGGCCGTTGTTTCAGCCATTCCGTCTTCTGTAGGCGCACAAGCACCAGGGGTGGGATGACCATAATTGGGGTTGCGTTCAGGACTCTGGAGATGGCCGTCTCGCCAACCGCCAGCACAGCAGCTTTACGGGACTTGCCTAGGCTAGCGACCTCTTTGCCGGATTTCTCCCGCTCAGCTTTCTCCGCTGCTGACTCTACAGGGAAGATGTCGATGCCGCGACGGATCTCCTCGCCGCGCATGAGGAACACGTTGAGAACGCCCGCTGAGGCGACGGCGGCAAAGGGTACGAGTCGCCCCAGGATCAATTTGGTATTGGGCGAGACTCGCTTCAAACGTGGTACGCTGGCGTTCAAGCCAACTGCGACAGAGCAGGATGCGGAAACTGCCAGGAGGTAGCTTTGTACCAAAGTCTTGGTGGACAAGGGCGAGGATTTATTCGAGTTGGCGTTGTTGATCCCGACATTCAGCGACTGGTTGATGATTTGCCATGCCACTGTTCCAGTGGTCTGTCCAGGTTAGTCTTACTGGTGTCTCTGAAGGCTTGATTTGTGATGGTATTACAGTCATATTTGGTGTGAGCATGCCTGCCGTCACAACCAGATTCGAGATGACAAAGCAGGACATTCGAAATGGCAGGAAGACTGATTCACCCGTGTCTATCCGCCGTTAGACTCAATCTGAACAGTGTTACGCATCTTGAATACCTGGATGAAGCGTCGAGTCGACGATTTTCTTTGCTTGCCATATTTCCGATGTCATGGTCCTTGCCTCCCCCGTCTTGTATGATGTGACGAGTTTCTTCGCATTTTCAAGTCCAGAGGCAGAAACGAAGAGTGTCCTGCAGCGTAGAAGTCAGACTTGATCTAAGGAATCGAACGTGCTACGCCTATGCCGAGGTATTGCTGTACCTTCAACACCGGTTGAAATCGAGCTCGGTTGCTTTGGCAGGTAGATCTAGAGCAGATACCTGATGCATTCGTATTGCATGGGCTTCATCTTTTTGTATGTTCTCACCTAGGATCTGCTATTTGTGCCGACTGCTGCACACGACCCCAATACGTGGAGAGATCATATTGAGAGGCTGGGAGATCGCGGTTCCCGGGGAGGGATGCCGACATGATGGGCCACAAAGGCCGGGGGCGGAGGGGAGACTCGAAGACGAGGAAACTTGTCGACTGAGAAGGCTGTGCTCGAACTGGTACAATCCGTAAACTGGTCGTGTGCAGATAACACTTAATTGCGGTGTTGGACCTTTTCAGAATTGGCAGGTTTCGCGAGAAATCTCCGCGTCTAACCGATAATAAGCGGACCCTTGCAACTCGGCCTAGTTAATAATTGTCACAGTGCACCCCTTGAGCTTTCTGAGTCACCCGTAATCAAAAGCACCTAACTTTCACATTGATCGCGTGTTCGAGGAGGACCAAACACTTTGACGGAGGATAGCATCGAAGTAAGGCTCAGCTAGTCTTGCGCGAAAAATGTTGACTCAGCCTCGTTTCATCTGCCCTCCACAGCCCATCTCTGACGTCTGTCCTCTCTGGGTTGCGTAGACCAACCCAACCAGTACAACCTGCCACTCGTTTTTATCATTTCGCCTCTTCCTTTGTGGTAGCTGAAAACTTTGCTGAACGCATTGTTCCCACCTGCTAAGTAATAGGCTTCTAGAACCAGCAGAGCTAGAAATTGATAGAAGAAATATAGTGTCCAAAAGAAATTGATGGAGTGTTCTTCGCGACGCCACTGGTCTGTTTCCAGGAGCGTACATCTCTTGGCGGATTAGGAACCGCATAGTAGCGTCGTTGATCGTGTCCACAGTTCACTTGATCCTGTGACAGGAGTAGTTGGTATAGCCTGAGCGACACCGTGTCGAATCTGATTGGACCTTGTTTGGTATAGAGTCAATCCATGGTTCCAAGAAGCAAAATAACGCCTCATCACTGACGGTCTCACCTCTTGAGGGTGCCTTGCAGATCGTAGATGGGATCATCATTTCTAAGAGGTGAAGCCATAGTAGCAAGTGAGGGAGGGTTAGAGAAGACACCACTTTCTCGCCGAGCAGATAGAACCAACATTGCCAAGACGATCACAGCGATCACAGCAAGAAATCTTTCAAAGCTCCGAGCCACTGGACGATTGAGATACCACATTGGATTGCAGCGTAGCGGGCTAGTTGCAGAGCCGCACCACTCGATTGCCCCGACGATGGTAGATTGCATTGCGCAAGAAGTAATAGATGTTGGGATTCCACCATTTGAGTCAATGGACATTAGTGTTCTGACCACTAATACTGCGCTCGCTGGATAGTAGGAGGTCCAGGGAGTAACGTAATGGATGGTGAGATCCCGTCAGTTGAGTCGGTGAATTTTGAAGTGCGAATCACTATAGAGGGGACAGAACTTGTTAGTAAGGATCTGAGATGCCTCCGGAAGGGGTAAGTGTTGACCCAGTTGCGTGCTGTAGACAATTTGAAGAATCCTGGACACCTGTAGAACCAACAGTTGTCGACATAGGTATTGTGCGATCACCATTGGCAGTAATAGCTAAGGAAGCTCCAGATGATGTTTTTGATCGGGTATTGTAAGCTCCGGATGCAGTGGATGAATGAATGATTTCAACTGCAGTGGAGGGAGGGCATTTTGTTGTAGAGTTCGATCTGACTGCGTACACTGCAGATGTTGTGCTGACTAGGAAAGGTGCACTCGTCGTGTTGGGGGTAATGATCTGTTTCGAGGTTGTAGTACTCGATTGTCCTATATAGGCTGTAGCACCACCAGCAACTGGACTCGAAATAATCTCACCCTGATTCGTTTTGGGATGTAGAACCAGCAGCAACTGTAGTCGTAATACTCTGAGTCGTCGTTGGCGATATGGTTATGGGAATTGTGATTGCCGCTGGGCTTTGTGCTTCAAAGCTAGTAGTAGACGACTAAGGTGACACCTTCGTAGTCCTTATGGCGCTGTCGGATGAAGTAATGCTTGTCGCTACCGAGACACTCGATGTCTCCTGTCGTTAGAGCATGCGGGCCTGTGCCTGAACCTGCTCCTCATTTCTCCGTCAAGCTGGCTGCTGGTCCCATCCCGCAGCCTCTACTCAAGCACTGCAAAGCCACCCAACATTGCCCTTATAATAAGGGTCAAGATCGGCTATCTTGTGACTGCTTGGGCGTAGTATGCACGAGGGCGTCCTGACCCATGTGGTTGCTTGGTCCTTGTAGTTTCAGCCTTGTGTAACATAGCTTCGCGCAAATGCCAACTTGCCCCAACCTTTGATGGCACATGACAACGTTTTCGGTTGTATTTACTACCATTGAACAAGATAGATGATGAAATCAGTCCGGGGCTTCCGTGATGTAGAAGAAAGCGATGTGGAGGCTATCATGGTGGGAGATATTGCATCAAACCGACGTACTCGTGAATTCCCGTCACTGAGGGTTCTGTCTGCAGAGAACACGAAATTGAATAACTGCGAAGTCAAAAAATATGGTTGGTGATTGTCATTGAGCTGAGGCTGATCAGCGCCTGGGTGGTAGCAGGCAATCGAAAGGAAGCTAGGTGGTAGTAACTTCGAGGCGGATTTTTGGAAAGGTTCTGGATCCCCAGCAAACGTTTTCGCGAGATTGTGATAGGATCAAGTAGTTTCTAATCGTTGCATCTATGTTGACCACACCATCCCTTTCTCAACAAGTTTCAAATGATTGGCTGATATCTTTAGGTGAGGTGTGAAGGAGGCGGGAAATTTACTTCAGCCCTGTTACACTTCTGCCAAAACCGTACGCTAGGGCTGCTTCATCAACAAACAGGTTCTGAGCGAGATCATGACTTGAAATAAACGATGGTCACCACTTGTCATCAGATTCATTCGACAATGGCCTCAAGTCTCTTAGGATTCTTGACCTAGGTGAGTTGCGACTAGCCCTCATCCAACTGCGGGACTGACAACTTCATAGTAAAACAAAGCGTCGAGTTGGGTTTGGAAGAATCTCGATTGTGGTATTGTCATTTCACACAGTGGGGTTAGAACCACTCCTAGCACAGCCCATTACCGTGGGTGCAGTTAAAGTTCGTATCCTAGACGAAGGCCGACAATTTGCAAGCACACTTTCGTTTGACGGCGACATGATCACCTTCATGAGTTCAACTTGATTCAAGAAAATCAATTAGAGGGGGGCATTATCGCCAGATAGCCGGCCCCAGGACTAAAAGGCGACCATCGTCGGGCTTTCAATCATAACCAAATCAGCTTGTGGTGTGTATGAACACAGTAAAGGTGCGGGTACCATACAACTAATTATCCAGCCCATCTCTTTAAGAGTTCAGAAAAGCTTTCGCTAAGCCCTGCTCCGAAGGCCCGCAAGAGAGAGCAACTCAAAAAGATAAGTTAGTCCACACCAAGGCTTCTGAGTATGAGACTAAAGACGATGGAAAATAACGCTATTCACGAGAAAATTGACGTGAAAGTCTGCAATTTTCTGTTTTCTATATCATTATACCCTCTTCAACGTTCGAATTAGACTCCTTCAGATGTATCTCCTTGCAAATTGGATGCAGACGTATGCTGCCGCAGCGTACTTGCAACGAAACCCACAATGTGATCATGCCATGCCCTGAAATGAGTTCGCAACGAACATAGTGTTCGATGGATGCGTGCGACATATCAGTCCCAAACCTCACCAGCCTCCTAAAAATCACGTAGTGCTTTGGTATCCTGCTCCTCGTCCTTCGAGCCCTTCTTGACCGCACCATCCAGCGCTCAATTCTGGTTCTTTCAATGGCACAAGGGGGGCGGGGGAGGAGACTGAGTCGATATGCTTCTGTATTGTTGATCATTAATACCACTCACAACTGGGTGCGTCTCAAGGTTGTCTAGGGAATAGACCTCTCGTGGTCTGATCAAGCTGGGGAACCACCACAGCAGTATTCCCATGACATGAGCCATTAATACCGCGTCGAAAACATAGAGTGTCCATTCGTGTGAGAGCAGATAGCCTTCACGACCGCCAGCATACTCAATGACACGAAAAATATTTCGAACCATGATGAGAAGACTCACACCGTAAAGGACGTAGAGCATAGTTGCCCAGTGTATTGTTGAACGATGTGAACTCTTCGTAGGGTTTTTGCGGAGGCGCAAATGGAAGACGAGAGCAATAATGACGAATATACCAAACAGGATGATCTGAAGGATTAGACCACCCAGAATGACGTATTTGCCTAAGTCACTTTTTGACTTATCGTTGTCGGCACCAGAGAGAATGCCTCCGCCTGCGCCTTGGACTGAGAAACAGAGTACATCCCCTGCCACGAATATCTTGGTCAACCTTGCCGGGCAGATCAGAGACAGGCCGTCGCCTTGGACAGCCCGGATCGTTCGTCCCAAAATCATATAAATAGTGGCCGAGAAGATTGACGGAGCCAGAAGTATTAAAACATATTGTAGTATGTAGACAATTTTGAGGCAAGGGTCATTGTGTCCCGCGATTCGGATGATGAAGCCGATAATTTCAACTTTATGCTGTCAGAAAGCAACCTATATATAATGAGGGACATGTGAGAGACTTACACACACCGCCAACTATGAACGCGGTCATGAACCATTGTTTCGATCTGATCATTCGAAACAAGTGCGCCGCGGTCAAGGCGACGAAAATAGATGTGAAGAGAATCGCAGCTACGAGGGATGGGGTGTACTTGTAAAGGTTCGTTTTTCCATTTTCGCAGAATACTTTAGCCATTTGACCTAGAGAGATTCAAATTGAATGCCGAACTTTCACTGAGAAGATCAAATTTTGGGTAAAATAAAGAGATCTAAGTATAATGAGGTGAAAGCTACTGTTATGGTGAGTTCAAAAGTCGTAGATGATCTTGGTATAGCCACCACTTCATGATAGAGGATTGTTTGATGTTTTATAAGCACTCTGAAGGACGCAAGGAGGTGTTCTGTTGAAGGTGAAACAGGTATCTCGACGATCTACGCGTATTGCAGACCATGACAGACAATTATCGCGGCCTAGCGACAATCCCATTCGTGGCAGTGCAAAATTATGAATCTGTAAGACATTGGAGAGAGGACAACAACCCAATGCTACAATCAGGGGGAAAGCTTGGCGTCCGCAAGGCTGTGACTTGAGGCCTGAATGCCGTCCAATAACAACAGAAGAATCAGCACGGCAGACTGCAACTTAGCCGAATACGGCGACGCTAGGGGACGAGTTTCTCGAATACGCGCATAGTGAAGGATGCCCAATTGTACCAGTCTCAGCAGCTTGCAAGGCTTCCCCGTGTCGCCGCGGAATCTTGTACAGGAACGTCATTCCCGTCTCGAGTCCAAGAAGCATCCTGGCAGCACATACGTCTACCGAAGTGAAGCCTAGTTATGCACGCACAAGTCTATATGTATTCAGCGATCCACTATTTTGTGCCCTTTAAGTTACTTGCCTGCTCAGACACGAGCTATTGGCTTTTGGCGGAAGATGATTTCGAGTTTTGCTTCTGGTGCTCTACTACGAAGTAGTTCCTCATTTAGTGGTTAGAGGCACTTTAGCGGATGCCCGGCCGCACAGTGTTTCACTGACTCGCAATACGGAAAGTTTTAGGCGTGTGCCAATACATGTTTCTTATGCTAACAGGCTCTTACGGAATGGAGAGAGTGGCAGTGAAAGGTCAAAATGACTGTTGCCTGGTCGAAAATCTGGGAGAACTCCTCCACGTCTCGCTCATAGGCTCCCTCACGGAGGCTTAGGCCAATATTCAATGTTCTATTCTTATCAGAGGACTGAAGGGCTACGAAAATATTTTGGGGATTTCTCAGATTGCAGAATTTTATGTTTTCTGAGATCGGAACGAGTTGGGGAGGAACAAACAATTCTTCCAACCTCTTTTCGGAGTTCTAGCTCACATACCAGCTCTCACTGACAGCTTTTAAGTGTCGGACCTAGCGGTCCACCCGCCTCTAGAGTCATCACCATTGACTCTTTTCGCTCAAGTCAAACCTAGCTTCGACTATGCTAACTCTAAGGAGTTTCTCTGTATAAGGTCTGAAAAATCTGTGGTCTTACACCAGTCTTCGAATGATGTCAACGGGCAGGGATATTTTAACTAAATCTTTATAAGTCGAGTGTTGAATGGTAGAGGAGCCAGGGGGGATACAAACATCTTTTGGAAAAATGACAGAATCGCCCCCACCATTATACCCTGGACTATCCATGAATGCGAACATCTCGCCAAACTCCAGGCCAAGTTCAGTGCCCATGCCTGAGTGCTGGATAAAGTCCTCAACTGAAATCTCGTCGAAGCCACCATAATCGAGACCCTGAGTCTTGCACCAGACGTGAAGACATTCCTTCCATGAAAGGATATCACCCGCTCCTGACAGAACTGTGCCAGGTGACAATTGTAGAAGAGCGTGAACCAAGAATCCTGTGTCCTTTGACGTGAAAAGGTGTGGAATTGGAGTATCACCCTTACCGACAAGGGACAGCCGCCATGTTTTGTTCAGGTGCTGTGACAAATGTTAGGGAAGCTGAGTCATCAAAGTCTAGGGACTTTATGCACTTGTCTTGGTTGAATACCTTGTCCCCAATTCGTCATGTAAGATCCTATATAGAGAACCGACATCTTTTTGGCGAGGGTAGGAAGGCTTCGTTTGACGTACTCGACCACTGCGGCCTTACTATCGAAGTGATAAACATGCTTCAATCTGCCATTGGTACAGGCCCTAGCATTGGGTAAGGCGCTAGTGATGAATCTCTCAACGCTCTCCGTCTCCGCTGCAGCTTCGGCAATATTCTTTCCACGTTGTACTTCGCAATTGAAGGCGTACTCGTTGATCTTCTGCCCACTCCCGAGCTTTAACTTGCTTGCAGGGTCGGAAACTGGCCCCCAAAAGTCCGTCGTCCCAAATACTGCATATGCTCCTTCAAAAGCTTTCATAAGTGAGCTTTTGTCATCTAAATCCCCTTCGACAACATCAACGCCTCGCTTGCTCCAACCTGTGGCCTTAGTTGGATCACGGGTGACGCCTCGGACTTTCCAGCCTTTCTCTTCGAGGAAAGCATCGGCGACAGATCCGCCCTAATATGCTTCGGATTAGACTTGCTGGAATGAAAGCTTAGGATGCGGTTATACTGACCTGCTGCCCAGTCAAACCAATAACGACAATAATTTTCGACATTCTCGACTTGAACACTGCGATGGTGCTGAATTGCTACGACCATGATTGAATGATGCAAGAAGTACTTCATTTATATATCGAGCAGAAGGGCCTCATCGGCCTAGAGGGTACATCGTCGGCCTATGTTATTCCGCTTGGGTGTTGGTCGGTGTACCATTGTTCTCCTCATATCCGGAATCCGGCATAAATTGTTGCCGAGTTGTATCGAACGAGGCTGGCGCCAAGAACCCAGTCAAGACCTGCTTTGGCTTAGGACGGCTGCTCCAATCAAGATCAGAGTACTCGTAGCGAAACAGTTCCAATCATAGGTAGCATGAGTCATAGTGCGAACTCGCTACTAGTTATTGGTCAGAGGATGATGTGGATATGCCACCGAGCCAGAGTCACCAGAGGCCTAAGCAAATGTCTGAGAGCTTCGAAACATGTCTGGATTTCCACGACCATAAAAAGGAGGAGCATCGAATCAACAGTCGATATACATTTTTCAATCGTGAACTGAAGCGAAGCCCAGGTGAAAGTGGAAACTGGGAAGCGGTGAACTGCGCCCTGGAGACCGTGATGGCATACTCCCAGTCGAGACCTGGCCTGCTCTTTGTGTGGCTTGGGAGGACACTGAAAAATTCGTGCCTGAACGCTGACACTGCCGCTTTACCAAACAGACGTCAAAAACTTAGGCAAGTAAATCATGTCATTGGGAAGAAGAAGTCGACGAGTTTGCATCTGGACACAGTTGGACCTGCTTGGCTGAGACTGTGGCCCAAGGCGCAGGATGCCGAAGAGTTAGACAGACTTGGAGGCTTTAGCATCTGAACGCCAGAGGAAACATCACTCCCTTCCTGTTCTCTAAAATTCTTTAGAAAGGTACTGTGGCACGCGGAAGGCTTTGCGCTTCACAATGCAAATGGCATCCTGCCCAAGGCTCAGCTTCAAGCCTTGGCACCTGTACAAGGTTGAGCAACAACTCAAATGAGGCAAGTGAGCGGCGGCGGATCTTGAGATCTAGCAGTCCCCCTTCTTTAGAATACTGTCATCCTGAACGGTTGCATCAAAATCCATGTTATTGTTCACACTATAGACGTGGGGTTCTCACCCCACCTGCAGGCTATAAATTCGGATTGTGCATACCACTATACTCAGGAAAAAACATTGACCTCTGCGAAGTCCATTTCGCTTCCAGACCTGAGCACCTGCCATTTCACCTGAGGCATGACCAAGCAATTTTGAACCGTTGGAGCCATTGCTGTGCAGCCCTGCGCTCGGCTTTGCGAGCCGAATCCTGAGGCGTGTCGTGAGCAACGTGAGCAGTGTGAGCGAAGTTGTGAGTCCATCCACAGGCAATCACAACTTCCCCCCCCGGGTTCCCAATTTTCGTCGGTTCGCGTACTCCTAAGCCCTAGCGCTATTTCCGGGCTTCCGTGCTCAGTTATTGTTGGTTAGGAGTGCACTCTTGGGCCCGTTTTCCGGCCAAGCTGCCGCGCGGAACTGACACCTTATAATCGACCAAGGATGTAACCGCCTCTTGTCTCTCTGTGCAGTACGAAGTAAACCTACGAGTAGAGACCACGAATAAAATCAAGCTTAGTTCTACGTCCCGTAGTAGCCTAGCGTCTATTTCTAATATCCGCGAATACTTAACCAAAGTTTTCTGATTCATCCAAGGATTCTCAAATGTGCCGCTATGCAATTTCGCAGCTCCATTCGATAGTCTGTATAAGGGGATTTCTGTATTCGAAGTAAAGCGACACTTATGTCATAACTCTCGTATCCACAGGTTATACACTCATGACAATACAACCGAAAAGTCGCTGTACCTCATCTTTGGACGTAGGTTTTGAATCTAGTCCCATATTTCTCCATATTTAACCGCTGATTAACGAAACATCGAGCTTGTCACGGTTTGCGGGCAGGTAGGAAGATAGCCATCGACCAGGCCTTGTATTCTCTACGTATAGCTATTCAACAGGCACAGGTAGCTCGCTGACTAGGTCAGGGTGATTGACGGGACGTAGCTCGAGGAGCTACCGACTAGATGGCGGATACGCGATGCGTATCTCAATACTCTGCAAACCTTCCAGGCAAGGGGTAATACCACGGGGCCCACGGCACAGCCACGTGACAGTTGCTATAAGGCTTCGATTCAGCACCGTCCATTGCCAGTAGCAGAGATAGTCTCAAGTATTGACACCTAGTTACGGGATTTAGTTGCCTTTTGGGACAAGATGCTGTTGTTGAGTTTCCAAGGACTCTGTGATTACTACACACGCCCAGAGCGACTCCAGTCTCGATCATACTGTATACTTTCTTCTACTGAAAAGAATATCACTCTTTGATAACCTTAAAGTTATAGAACCATGCTTCAAGGGCCTTAGAGGTAGTCAAATTGACGCACTTTGTAAAGATTTTTCCACCTACCTTAGAGCGAATATCAGGGTGACATTAGATAAATCGTGATTTCTAGTTCTGTCTAATCTTTTCAAGGCCGCTAGAAGCCTTACTCATCACAGCCGCAAGTTCTCATATGCAGTAAATATATGCGCGCCCGTGCGCCTTAGGTCGAGTATCCACCTCTCCAGTAGTCTCTCTTATTCCTTTGATAACAGATGTTGGGACTCATGATATATATTGGCCGAAAGAGAGCCCCCCAATCTGCGACTTAAGGCGGTGTGCCGACATCGCCTGCAGCCGCGTCAGCGCGAATAGAGGTATATCGACAAGAGCTCCAGTCGTAGACAGGCCGTCAGAGCCAAACATCTTTATTTGATTGCATTAGAGCTTTAATTAAGTGTAAAATGGTTAAGAAATGAGTCGATCAAGTCGTCAGGGGGTGGTGGGATAGGATTACGGAAACGCGTGGTGGAAAGACTTGTTGCCCGGACTGATATACATATATATACTAGACATTTTTTGGTCAAATGCGTCTTTCAGGAATATGGATGCATTGCGCGGTCGTCTACGAGGCTACGGTTTTCCGCGCTCAACATTTCTACTTACCTCATCTCAGCACGTGTTCTCGCATCTATGTTCTACCCTAACCCTCACCAAGTTCATCAACACAAGAACATTGATTCTTTTCCTTGAGTAAATCTCTATTTTGCATGATCTTATCTTAGAGTTTGCCTCGGCTCTATGTCATAGGAAAGGTAGAGCCTCTGTGAAGGGTTTCCCTTCACAGAGCCGAAAAGAACCCCTCACTCGCTGAAACACCAACTAATTAGTTTCGTACTTTCTAACCCATTCTTTGGGAACTTAAATTTACTGGTAAGGTCTCAAGTATTCGCGCATTAGAAGGAAGGACTCCATCATTCGGATGCATAGCTTGGCGCCCTTCATGGCAAATGAAAGCGATGTTCTGGTATTGTGGCAGTAGATGCTTGTTCTGTGGCCAACAAGCAGGCGAGTAGCGGCACAGCCTCGCAATGAGAGGGGTTCGAGGCTCCTATACTGCCCCTTCGATTATGAAACTAACTACCGGATAGCCGAGCCTCATTTGCACCCAGGACTGACTGAGGAACTGACAAAAAACAAAGCACAAAACTACGCACTGCAAGCGGCCTCCCTGCTGACTTCAGACGTAGGAGGTTTGCTCTGGCTGGTGCTGCTCCATCACAGATGGGTCAAGAGAGGTGCTATGCTTGGTCAAGTCTAGCTGGCAGAGTCTGGGTACCTTGTCGGTTTCAGTGCGCATATCTGTATGATAGGCGGAATCACCCTTGACCCGCGCCTGCTCCGGGCTGAGGCTATCCCGCAGCATCGCAGCATCTCCTCGCGCTATGCAGCCCCCGCCATAATTCCCCCCAGATCTTAAGTGCCCCTCATTTGCTCAGCCTAATGCTCAATTCTAGAGAGAGGAAACGACGAAGATCATCTTGCTTTTATTCTATTTCGTGCCCCGAGTGCTCTATCGATCGATCAGTGGTCCATATCCCTAACATTTGGTCAGATTGCAAGTTTACCACCTTGGAAGCGCGAGCTTTCCCCTACGTCAACTGCTTCTGGATCCAGTAGTCCCCAGAGAAAGTCCTTCAGATCATTCAAATTGTTGTTTGGCACCAAATACTGCTTTTCAATGGCCCCAGTACCACCCGAGGATCTGTTAGTTGCCATCGTGGTCTGGCTCTGAACATGACATTAGCTGACAGCATTGGAGCAACAACGCTGCCGAAGTTTTTCGGACAGCCGCAGACTCCTTTCGCAAAACATTGTCTGATTATAATACGTTAGAATTTCCTGAATACAAAGATGCTTAGTCAATGATCACCTCTATCCGGGATATGGCAAAGCAACATCCCATCCATCGAAGTCGTATGACTGCTGCGTGCGGGAAGCTTCAGCGATTTGCAGCCTCATTGGAGCCATATTTCGATATTATCAACATTTTCATACAAGCGAAACCAGAATATGCTGCCCTTGTCTGGGTCGGTGCGAACGATTTTCCAGGTAAGTTATTAGTAATTCAATAGTTGTTCTCGGTATCAAGTGCCTAATCGCCCACTACGAAGCTGAGTTCCAATTATATAACATTTCTCGAAAAGGTCTGCGGCATGTTTGAGACCTTGGATCAACCTTACTGGTTTACGAAGACTTTGTGCAGATCCTTCAAACTCGTGCACATAAGCAAGGGAAATCATACCCCCATCTTCTAAAATCCTTGTCCTATGTCTACCTTGATATCCTGAAAGTCTGTCATCGCATCTACACTCTCTACCCACAAAAATGCGAAGGTAGCATTTAGTTCTTACTTGGAAATATTGTATGTGTAAAACTCTGATACAAGTGCTCTAGGTCTGAGGTCGAAGGTCAGCTTCATTCGCCAACTCATCTGGCAACCATTTGACCATCAATTTGAGGGCCTGTTGAGGAGGCTCGAAGAACACAAAACGCTTTTCCACTACGAAGTATCTGTAATCACAACTGAGGAGGCCATCACCTTTTACAGCAAATATGAAGCCAACATGCTTGAAGCGGAGAGGCAGGCAGGCTCAGATAACCACTATAATGCGATTGAGGGTAGGTCATTGGGTTAGTAATTCCACTCAGGTATATCATTTCTGTACTGACCGATGCCTCGCAGATGAGAGAGTAAAGCAGCTTCGCATGTGGATCAATCCACCAACTTGGATGGACAAATTTGAGCAAGCTCAAAAACACAGAACCGCAGGAACTACTGATTACATCTTGGATAATCAGATCTATCTAGACTGGAAGAACAAGATTGATAATTCGGCTGTGAAATTTCCAAGCAAAACCCTTTCGATCCGAAGTTCGTGTTATACTATAGTTCATGCTACGAATATGTTCATTTGCACTGACGACAAAGCAGCGAAACCGGGTTACGCAAAACAGTATTGTGCGCAACTACTATCGATGACCTGATACAGGGAGAGTATGACGTGTATTTTCGAAGAGCTCCCAGAGACCCTGCTACCACTGTTGCCTTTTACTTCTTTGATAGTAGACGTGTGGTCTCAAACCGGCTTGTCGATGCTGGAAGAGCCTTATTGGCTCAGTTAATCCATCTCCATCAATACAAAATGGATTTTGTCGACATCGCCTCTACAGTTTTTGCCAAGAACGTAACAGGCTAATCCACCGCGACAGAAACCGAAATTATTGAAGTTCTGAGCATGTTACTGAACCGAGTCAGTAATGCCTTCCTGGTCTTGGATGGAGTCGACGAATGTTCGGATTATGCCGTCCTACTCAGGCAACTCAACAAAGTGGCGAGTCACCAAGTTGCGGAGCTTTGTTACTCAGTCGGCCGACGATCCAGTTGCCTTTGCTTCTGGAGAAAAACTGCATGCAAATCCATCTCACGCATCTCGAGAACATTAGAGACATCAAGTTATTTCTACAGCCTAAATTTGAAGAAATGGTCGAAGTGGGGTTATTACCTGATAATTACTATGCAGACGAGATCGTGGACAAGGTATCTCAAAGAGCCAATGGCATGTTTCTATGGGTTCGGTTGTTTATCGACTTTTTACAACTACCTGCCTCGACTCTTCGAGAAAGGATAGACGCCATTGAAAACCTCAATCGCCTCGATGGTTTGGATTCCCTCTATTGCGCAATCTTGGATCGTATAGCTGTGAAATTCCCCGGAAAATCTCGGAAAAATGTTCAACGAATGTTTCAGTGGGTAGCATTTGCGCTTCGGCCTCTTCATACCAACGATCTTCAGATAGCTGTCGCGATACCATTCGGCAGGGTGCAAACGCCACAAGACATCATCCCCAACTTTGGAAAGTCATTGGGAGTCCTATTAGGGTCACTGATCGAGGTCACGTCCCACGGAAGGGCTCAATTCATCCATTCCTCGGCCCAAGAATTCTTCATCAGCATCTATGACGACTCCGCAAGCGGCTTTCAATGTCAAGCTGAACCATATCGGACTTGTGCAAATCGGTCCATTGCCTCAGCATGCTTAACATATCTATGCTACACCGCCCCTGCAAGACCACTGGGCAACTCTTCACAGGTAACACCGGATGCAGCGGTCACAAACCACCGGTTTCCACTCCTGATGTACAGTGTCCTGTTCTGGTCCGACTATTTGGTGCATGCTCTTCGAGAGACCGAGACCAAGCAGAATAAAACATGTGCCGATGGCTCATGGGAACAACTTGTGAGCCTGGCAGCTAAATTCCTCTATAATCCGCAGAAAGTCACCTTGTGGATCGAGGCAGCTTTCCTTTTTGGCTCCCCGAGGATTCAACTTCCACCACAGGACTGCATCATCTCTTCAGCTCTCCCAAATATCTCTGATCACGTCCTTAAACTACTCTCTACACTGTTTACAGACCTTGGCCACTTTTGCCAAGATCTGGCAGGTCTAGAGAGGTCTTGGGCGTTCTTGCTTGAGTCTGAGCCTAATGAGATCTGGGAGCCTAGCATCTCCACATTTACCAAGTCCCGGTTTTGGGAGGATAACCCGCATGCTCGTTTGGTACGCCTCGTCCCTCTCGATCCTGACCTCACAAGGCATATCACAATTCAGTCTCAAGTCTCCAACAGCGGTAGCGAAATCGGGATTGTCAAGTTGATTCCACCAGAGTGAGTAAAATCTCCATTCCATCCTTACATGCTTCTACGTGCTAACTAACCTTTTCGCAGATCATGGTTCAACCCCCCACTTAACCCCCTCCATGACTGGAGAGTATGTTATGAGCTATGGTCTGTTGCTTCTAGCACGAATTTATGCTCGACGGAGATATCCCTTCCTGGTAGCGCAATATCAGCCTTCCTTACCAATTCGACTTCTGATCGTGACAATGAGGTAAAAGAAGGACCATCGTTGATAACATCGATAAGTCCGATTACAGATAGAGAAGCAGAGCAACCAGAACAACCAGAACAACCAGAGGGCGCAACGAAACCCAGGGACCGTGTATCACTCCCGTTAGCCATCAGCTCCGACCTTCGTCGTGTAATGATCGTGGATACTGTAATTGAAGTTTCACCATCAGATATACACAGCCCGCATGAGCCATCGAACGAGGCGCCTTCAGTTGTCTCGCAGACCATTGACCTGAAACCTGAAATCCCGAACCTGTCAGATTTGTACTCAGAATTTTACTACATCAAATTCAGCCCGTCGGGAGATTTTATCGTTGTGATTCACGAAACACGCGAAAGTCAACGAAAAGGCACGCAAACATATGGCGTCCGCTGGCTAATGCAAGTCTTCCGCTATGAAGACATCAAGCAGCTGCAGGGTCTCAACTATCGCCGTTATGCTTCAATGACATGCTGGGCAGTACCAGAAATCTCGATTCTGTCACCCTGTAGAGGGCTTGTCTTCCACCCCACTGAACCACAGCTTGCGTTTGCTCAGATCTGTGATGGACTACCTCAGACATATGTCTGGGATATGGATGCACCGATAACACGGCTTGAAGATATACCACCCTACAGCAATCCTTTCCCTGTACACGAGCCTCCGATTTTTGACCTCTCATTTGCGAACGACGGTCGCTATTTATACGCACCGATGCCCCAATAGGATTTGGGTGGGTCTGTGATCACATTTCCATCAACAGCATCCCTTTCATTGTTGAAGTACCAAAGCGCGCCCCAATAAACATGCTGGACAGTACCACTCCAAGCAGAATCCAATCAAATCCGTGCCAGACTGAGGAACTGGCCGTTCGCAGAGCGTTTGAGCTCTCTAAGCAGCCAAAATCACCGGTCCAAAAGGCCAACAGCCTTATTTTCGACCAGAAAGAAGGCGGAATCATCCATGTCTCTCACTTGCAGCATCTGGAGCAGGATGGTGCTGTTGTCGTACGAACCTTCGGCACTGATGGAAGACTTCAATTCGCCACAATCAGTCGACCACCCAAGAAACTCAACCACTGTGTTGATGTGTCGCTCTCGACATCCAGCATCGCGGAAGGTCAAGTCCGCATTTTGCTCAACAAGGGTCTTCAACCACATTATACATCCCGTGATGTTGGAAACGCCAGTCTCCCAGTCATTATGGAGCGGAGCAAGGGGAGTATACCCTCCGTAGTAACAACCGTCCCCGTGCCGGTGAGCACACTAGAGCCCAGGAGCGATGGTGGCGGATTACAGCGCCTTCCTTGGCGTTGATGGACAATTCTGGATTTTAAGATAAACATTCTCTCTCCTGGCGAGAATGAGTCATCATTCGTCCGATATTGAAAGCGCCCAGGGTGGACCACGAGATAGCAGCAACAATTCTTGAGCGTCGATAATCCTGACACACACCGCTTTCCTCCAAAGCAGCATAGAAAACTGCAAATAATATTATTAAGTAGCTTTCGAATACCACCAATGTTCCTACCTGACCCTGGGGTACTTATCTGGTTACCAGTGTCGGTGTCAACAGCTCTTACGGCAAGATTTCATCAGACAGACAACTACCCAGCACCTCTTCAAGTCTAATTCGGAAACCTCGCAAAATGGGTTAGAGGACTCGGTTCTGGAGCTGTCATTATTATATTATTCGTGTCTTTATTTAGATTCCTCGGGCACTATAAGAGTTCTTGGATGTCCTAATTATTGCTATCACTATCATCGTTGTCGTAGGACCTAAAGATTTACCTCTAGCTGCAACACTTAGTAGCCCTATAACTCGAATCCTAAGGAGAATAACTTAGTAGGTAAACTTCGTATCTATACTGCTATAGGTGATACTATAATGATTTACTCGACAAAACTAGAAGATAGTTAGTCATATAGAACAAAATAACCTTGGTAAGGAGTACTATTAGCTTTAAAGAGAAGTTTATATCTTTATATAGTAATACTCGGAGGAGAAATTTAAGGCCTAAATACCTAGCTTAATATTCGGAAAGCTCAATATAGAAGTAAGGTAGTATCACGGGATGCCAAAGAATACGTATAGATAGTGGATTGCCTGTGATATCGACATTCGTGTCGATACTCCACGTTCTTTTAGCTTAATGGCTAGGGGCTATAGCACCCGCTCTGACAGGGTCACAGGGAGCTTTCTAAGCTCCTAAAATCAAATTCAACACTAAACAGCACTACCTTTATCGGTAAAGGAAAAAGTACTCTGATATATATTATTGATAAGTTCGAAGATAGAAGTTATGGCTCTTCAATCCGATTCTAGCCGAAATATTCATCTGGTATGTAGTGTTTCTCGTCGTTAAATGATAGCCAGCTGCTCCAAGAGTCACATGGGCAAAATTTTTGGACAGACACGTGTGTTGTATCGAGACCTACATGTGCAGTGATAGTTTCACTGTTGCGATAGTATTGAAGCCGTAACAATGGCAATAACCAATAGATACTACCAGACGCATCTGACCAATGATTTTGCAGTCCGAGAGTTATATTCCTTCGAGGCTCTGCTAGAGATTGTCTTCAAGAGAGATTTGCCGTTTATAGTTCATTTCGTCCCCAGCAGCTAGCCATGCTCGAGCACTTGCGTCCCAAGTTGCAAAGTCCTGTGTAGAAAGATCGGAATGAGCAGCGAACAAGGTGTAGATGGGAGTAGGGGCCTGCACATCTTCTTTGACTAACTTAATGCGTCGATCCACGATCTGCTCCCACAAGGCTGTTGCAGTAGCAGCTGAAAATAGTCGAGCTAGAACACATGCCAGGAGATTCGCGGCGAAGGCTGCATTTTCACTGGTAGCAGCTGCGAGAATTGTAGTCGCGTCAATACCAGCGTAGTGAGAGAAAGGCCCACTACGCTGCGATGAATTTGAAGAGGCTGAGTACTCAGTGGCAATTTCTGACGCGCGTTTGCCATATTTTTTTTTGAAAAGCTCAACAAAGTTGCCTAAAGGGAGGAGACGAGCGAATAACGCTTCGATTTTGAAGGTTATTTGGCGCAATGGCCATAATCGGCAGCGTCACGGCGCTTTGGAGGTAGGGCATTCCGGAGAGGCTGGTATTCAACCGACGCCTCGCATTTCCAAATGGCAAAGCTAATGTTGATGTCAACCAAAGGTCGCCGTTGCTTGCTGCTGGAGGCTAGCCACAGAGTTAGTGATTGATAGCTGCGAGGTCATTCTGAAAACGCCAATCCGCGCATAGAGGTGTTCCCGTGTAGCGACTACCCCGCAAAATGTCATTTACACTGAGCCGGTGTCTTGTGCCTTTGATGTCTACGTTCCTACAAGGTGCCATCGAGAGCTTAGCTGAAGGGATAAATTGCTTCTATCTGGACATATGTGGAGCAATCTGGGTTGCCAAATTGCCTGATCACCTGATCCTATGAGTTTCTGGGAGCTTTTATTGACCCGGGGAACCTGCAGCATTGGCATTTCAGTGTCCTCGAAGCTCGTGCATGGAGAGTTTTGAGGATCTGCTAACCAGCTGAGCCCAATTCGAGATATGACGCGTCTTGGAGCGTGAAGCACGCTGAGCAGCGTAAGATGATGCTGAGGCTAAGCCAGATAACATAACACCTGAGTAAAGTGCTAAGGCGGCTATCCCACATGGGTTCGAAGGCACTGTATGATAGTTTCGCGGCTGAATGCCATTAAGGTTATGCGAGAATTCAACTCTTCTTGAGTCTTTATGATATTCGCGTAGTAATCAGGGTGATAGAGAGCATCCGGGATGGTTACGAGGTACCGAGCTCTCAGTTCCTGCCTCAATTACTAATTATGATACGCTAATCGAGAAGAGAACTGAAGCTTTGCACGACGTATATGAGCGGAAAATGTCCCAAACTGCTGGACATACTACCCATATTTGAGAATTAGAGCGCGCCAAGAAAATGGAAACGCTATGTTACACAGGTACATATCTAGGTACTTAGGTATATAGGTACATAGATATGGATATGTCGGCCTGGTCAGCATTGTGTTGCATTTCGGTTCAGTCGAGCCGTTTCAAAGTTGATTGCTTCGGGGTCAGCGGGAATTTTCCTAGTACCCTAGTCAGACCCGTATCCAGCCTGCAAGTTGCCACAATAGTGCATTTCAATTTAACATTTTGACAGGCCAGACTTACAGTTGTCCTGTTTTATGAGAGTTGATCGAGATGGTAGTGCCCAATTAATTCCTATGCCTGAAACTGTGAAGTTGCCCGAGCCGGCACCAGGTCGAGTATTTGCCCATATTGCGAAGCTTACCATTTTGATTTTTGGAAAGTAGACCCATGTAGCCCGACTTGTGTACCTGGTCTGATCTAGCCTGAGATGCATCAGCCAGACAACCCGACAAAGTCCACGTCTCTGGTCACTGGTCTAGCCCCCAATCATCTATTCAGAACACAATTTCCAAGCAGGCTGTCACCTGTTCACGACTATGCACCTAGTTTCCACGCTCTCGCGGTGAGGTGAACTATCATTTGCTGTCGGATTGGAAAACGAAACGTGGGGACAGACTGAAGCAGTCAACGGTCAGCTCGACGCAGTCAAGAATATACGTGAGACCTTACATCGTGCTCCGTCTTCAGGGTGTGTGTCGTACATCAGCATCAAGACCCCTTCGTCAGGCTGTTGTGCAGAGATCGAGTACCACCGCTGCCTCGGATTGTAGTGCAGAAAGTAAAATTGATTCACCCGATGGGGGCACACTCGATATGTAACTATTATATCGTCGTCGACGTCGATCGAGCGGTAGTCACACATTGCTAGCGGTTGGCGTTCAGCTGAGCTGCTAACGGGGCGCCAAGTACTGCGGCAGGGTTAGTTCTTCGGTTCGGGCAGAAAGCAAGAAGCAGGGGGATGCATACTTCACAACTCGTATTCTCGAGCCCGGCTGCAGACAGTCCAACTTTCCATGCGCTTGCAATATGGTTCGTAGTATCTCGGGCGCATAACTGACACTCAAATCTGGAAGCGGTAAGTGGTTAGGGATTCAACTTGACTGAAGCGTAGAAAGACAAACCAACTGCGTTTTGATTAGCCTGAAAGTTGCACTTGCGATGAAGCTCGCCTACCATGAGCACCAGTAGGGAGGCCTTCCACCCGAAGCGGATCGTTCAAGTTCACGGAAGTCCGCACAAGAGGTGCCGTCGTTCGATACTGCGCCTTTAGACAATGACCAATAGAACATAATAGGTTCCACAAACCTTGAAATCATAGCATATCACTTCGTGCGCGCCAAAATACTCTTTCAAAATAGCTTCAGTGTGCGATCGATATGGCTGAACCCAGCTGTCCGCGAGTTCGAACGGCTCCTGGTAGGGCATTGCCAATGGAACAAAGCCTTGTGTTGAAATATCCCAGTCGGACCTAGAGCGTATGTCATGGATTTGCACTGGGTGTTTGGAGAAGCTCAAGTTGGTCAGCCTTTCATCGCCATTATCAACGAAGTGAGCGTTGTCAGTCTCGACCATGGCAACGAAAGGCTTCTGCGCTGCATAGAGGGACTGGCGATCGAGGAACTCAATTTGACCATCAATGGGTAGTAAAGTAGCCATTTCCATCAGGTAAAAGAATCAGTGGTGTTGGCATCAACCATGTTGTCGATAGTGATAGAACGGGGCCATCTTATGGCTTTGGTCAGTTCTGCTGCCACTTTGTGTCAAACCTCGACAGCGTAATACAGTGCATGGACAACACTCTGGGTCTCGGATCAAGCTTACCTTGATACAGAATTCTCAGAAAATTGCGGCTCAAAAGGATCATGTGAACTAGGAGATGAACCTTGTCAGTCCAGTCAAGGGGGCCATGGACGACAGGCCAGGATGCTTGGCAGGCAAGCCTGCAGGAGAGCAAAAGGATATGCATCGAGCCGCAACCAAACAGGGTACTTTATGTGGTGATAGAATGAGTTGTGACATGTACATGCATGGTTCGAGCTTGGCCGCCTTATCTGCGAGCACCCCTAACTCCGAAATCAAGAGAAACGGTGAAATTGAAATTGAAGCGAAATTCAAGAACACATGTACGGTACTGACCTAAGGTCGGGTCTTGTAATGACAGGACGTACCTGCGTAGCTAAATCCTCATGGTGTAATCTCGGCTCAGGTGTCATTTGATATGCCCACACGATAGGGACTAACCCGGTCAGACGAAAAGCAAGCTACCCCACCACGAAGAGTGATGTGTCAGCAAGCGCGACTCAACGTGAGGATAGAACCGCATTGGAGGCGCATGCTCGTGATTGGAAGGGGGCGGGGGTTGTGTGCCTAGTTTGAGGCTTGGATCCAGGTTGCCTCCAACGCATAACAAGGCTCAGCCTAATGGTGTCTGGAAGTTAATCTTCATGGATATCGAGAGAATGAAATGATCATCAATCACAGTTCTGCTCCTCGACTCCTCCGCTTCTTCTGGGTCTCGGCGATTGCCGTTGGTTGCATCTTTTCTTTCACTCAAGTCTCAAGGCATCTTTTTTGTCCGTCTAACGTCCTTAGAGACAACCAGTGGAAATCCTCATTCGGCACCCATACTGGGACAATGGGCTCGCAAGGTACTGCCTCACGTCTACAGAGGATCGCGAGACAGCTGATGGCCTTGCTGACTCACCCTCGTCAAGGCGTAGGAGAAGTCGATGTGCTGCAAAGCACAGCAGCAGAGCTTCAAGACCAGCTTTCAAGCGGTTCACTCACTTCGGAAGACCTGGTCTTGTATTATCTAGATCAGATCGAGAAGCACAACTCGAAAGGGACTGCACTGCATGCATTAACCTCAGTCACGGGCAAGGAAAGACTGCTCACTCGAGCCCGTGAACTCGATGAAGAACGTCGGAATACCAAAGTCCCTCTGGGGCCCCTGCATGGGATTCCAATTTTAGTGAAAGTGAGTGTCCTAGGAGTCCCGTAACATCTGACGATTGACATTGCTGTAAGGATACCATGGCCACTCCAAGCCTCGGCTTAGAGACCACATGCGGCTCCCTTGCACTCAAAGGCGCAAAAGGCCAGGAGGATGCTGCTGTCATCAAGCAGCTGCTCGGTGCTGGTTCAATCATTCTTGGCAAAACTAACCCAACGGTATAAAGTCCCTCAGACTATCAGGATTTCTCTAAGTGATAGCAGGAATGGAGTGCGTTTCGAGGCTTGACAATATCGGGCTGGTCAGCGGTTGGAGGACAGGTAGATACGGATCCCTGCCCTATATGACTCAAATATTGACTTTCTCAGACTCAATCTCCCTATGTCCGTGGAGGTCTAGTACCTGGGGACACCTTCATGGGCCACAGTGTAAGTTGGATCATTGCGTATTGAAAGTCACTGACGCCCACAGGCACCCTGTGGTTCGTCGGCTGGCAGTGCCGTTGCAGTAGCTGCTGGTTTTGCACCTGTTTCGATTGGTTGTGAAACCGATGGATCACTGGTTCAGCCAGCAAATCGCGCTGCGTTGTACGCCATTAAGCTGACCCCCGGCGCGGTTGATATGACCGGCGCACAGCCGGGCAACCCAGACTTCGACAGCCTTGGTCCTCTAGCCAAGACCACAATTGACGTGCTCAACTTGGTAAATACTGTATCCAACCCTGGTCGAGCTCAAATCAAAGCATCAGAACTCCCCAATAGCTGGAACGGACTGAAGGTCGGATTCGTAGACCCTCACGAATGGCAGCCAGCAGACTTCGTGACCAAGCCAAACCAATCTTTTACTGCCCAGTCGGTAAGTAATGTAATCTGGTACCCCTGAGTACTCAGGATCAACAACCACTGACCAAAGACACTAGATCTCAGAATTTGAAGACGCTCGCCGCAGAATCGAAAAGGGGGGTGCCAAAATTGCAAAAGACCTACCGCTAAAGAAGCTTGTGCCTGAGCTCGATATCCTCTTACGTATGGACACTGATATCATGCCTGTTGCTTAGGAAATCACTAACTCCCAAATGCAGGCGCAAAGCTCAAAGACAACCTAGAGAGTTTTCTGTCGTTTCTGGAAGCACCAAATATCAAGACCATCAAAGATATCGTCCAATTCAACAAAGACCATGCTGAAAAAGAGCTCCCACCTGGTAAGTCACAGGGACAACAAGTCCTCTTCCTTTCCCTATTCTTTGTTGCTCTAATCTGGCTATGCAGGCTATGATAACCAAAGCAACTTTGAAAACGCGGTCAAGAATGAACCAATGTCGGCGATCGTTTATAATGAAACTTTCGACCGCATGCGCAAGACCCAACTCTCTGATGTCATCCTTAATCTTGACGGCAATGACGTGGACGTGATCATCGCGCCTGCTGGAGGACGCCTTGCAAGTGTGGCTGCAGCTGCAGGTTGCCCTGTGGCCAATTATCCCCTCGGTTTCGCAGAGTTCAACGGAAGGGCACACGGTGTGAACGTGATCGCGAGACCTAATGATGAGAGGGCACTCGTCAACGTTATGGCCATGTGGGAGAAGACCTTTCCCGAGGCGAGAAAGCCACCACCGAGTTTGTTGTGACCATCCCGCCGTCGATGAGCATGTGGACGTCACTGGAGACAAATTAGAAGGCATGCACGTCGAGACACAGCCATGACTGAGATAGAAGATCAATGTTGTACCGCTCTGTAGTTTCTTCATTGCACCAAATAGGTCAGCGACAGCGCAGCGCGCTGGCCACTTGGTACAACAACATCACAAGATGATGACTTTACAAGTACCTCTCACTCATTCCAAATGGCTCCTCTCATGCTACAAAACGGCAGACCTCCGCTTATCAACCGCTACTCTGATACTGCGCAATAATTTGCACAATCATTCCAATTATTTGTATGAAAGCCAACAAGAGGGCAGACACGCCGAAGATCAATGCAGCCCAGAATGCGTAGAATTCTCTGGGATTTCGCCTGTCCAGCCACAACGTGGTCCAATTATTGGGCGCCTGCATCAGGGTGTAATCCTGCAGCACTGAAAGTCGCTTGCCGAAAAAAGGAAAGTCGTCTTCTGGGGAGTAGGACAACTTGAGGTCGCCAAAGTTGAGTTCTGGGGAAGACTCCTTGAGCCAGTCGGTGACGCAAAGGCGCCGGAGAAGGGGGTCTGGGGCTAAGGAAGGAAACTCTATATTCCCCTTCCTGAGGTCTTGCGCAAGTGCATCACGACTGAGTCCATCGCAGCCAAATATCACGGTGTATGTGTACAAAATCTCTTGGAGATAGTCTTGCGACGTCAAGGGCGTAGTTTGGTGAGCATCTCGCTCATCGTCGTCATCCTCACAAGATTTGTAGATACTGTATTGAAGTCAGCGAATCTCAGCTTCCAATATGTTGATCTCACTTTACCTCTGGATAAATGTCCTCTCAGACGTTCCTAGGCTCAGAAGTGCGCAGAAAGAAGGGAAACGGAACAGTTTCAACGTCCCGCTGATCTTATTGAGCTCGAGATGTCGTCCGAGCGACTCTGTCCAATGGATCCTGAGTCCAGCAAGCTTCGAAAGCGTATAATAGCTTAGATTGCAACCTTTAAGTGGGTCTGACGGAGCTGTGAAGGGCTGGGGAAAGGGCGATCCTCTCAGCATGTGGTGGACAGTATCAACAAGCGGTCTCTCATCATAGAACTTGACTGCAATAGGGCGAGGTGTCCAGGTATTTGCTCTTCTCAATCCCGGTTGAGGCACCTTCGATGAGTCTTTTGTTGGCGAAAAAGAGGTCTCCCCATTTTCTTCATACTCGAGAGGTGGCTCAAACAGCATCGTCAACCAACCGAAAACGCGGAGCACAAGTTGAGAGGCTCTTTGAAGGTCTACGTCTGCTTTAAGAACCCCCTTTCCGATGAGACCATCTCGTATAGCGTTCAGCTCGGGCCCTCGCCGATACGTCTCTGGGCTATAAGATAGGATGTCCAGCATCACTCTTAGCAACTTGAACCACGTTTCAGGCCATGGTTTGAGCAATCTAGGAGATGCATCTGAGCCAGGTCTTGAATCCTGTGTCACTTGCGCCTCCGTACTCGAACTTAAGACAGTACCATTCTCCGCAGGTGATTCGTTCAGAATAGTAAGCAGCTCGGATGGCAGATGTTCCAAGTTGCTCATTATAAAATTTACATATGCACCAAGATAGGGCTCAATGTGAGCGCGCTGCTCAGCAAAATCTCGCTCGCTCAGCTGAAGTATGCTTTTCAAAAGCTCAACGGAGTGCGAATTCGAGTCCCTACTTGGAAGATCAATCTCTTCTTCGTCAACTGGCTTTCCCTTCTTGCGCCCAACCTAGAATTGTCAATCCTGTATAAGTTCAGTCTGATAGGGAACACGATCTTACAAGCAGTATACCTTTCCAATTCAACAGGAGGCTTTTCATGAGGGATAGACAAGAACCCGGTGAGCTTCTCACAGGTCCGAAGTGTGAGCCACAAGCTAGTCAATTGAAGAGGCCGTAATCGAGTCATTGGTATAACAAGTAGGGTAAGCATGGAGACCTTTCACATACCTCAGGAAACAATTTCTAGTCCTACAGTTGCATTTGTGAAAATGGCTCAGCAGCTACATAGCGTCGCCAGCCTCGAGTCCTCGACATGGATTTCTCTGAAGATTCAGCCTGGGCGAGGCTTGTAGTAGCGCCCGGTTGAACTCTCAGCTGGATGCCACACAACATTCTGGCAAACTACGTAGTCAGGCGATCCACTGCGCACCGCGCCGGGATGTGTCAGTGCTCTTAGGCTTTGCTCTTGACAGTACAGCAGTATACTGTCTAGCCGAGCTACCGCTTTCACAGGAGTTCACAAGCAAACTAAAGTCTCGGGAGGGGTGGCACAGCGTCAGAAGCAAAGTGTTCTCGTTGACGACGTAGTGGCTAACTAGGTAGTACGGGGTAGTTGACCAACTCCTCACTGACTAGGGTTTGGACTCTTGTCAGGAGGCTGAAAACCTAGACCCACAGTTTACAATACCGTAGTACGAGGTCCTAGGTACGCTTGATTAGGACACTACAAACCCACGAGGTGCAGGTGATAGGTCGAAGAAAGACACTGCAGGAGTCCAACCAGGCCCAAACTGTTTATTTGGCGATTGATCGGCGATCCCCAGAAGGAGGTAATTTATTGCTGGCGAGCAACCGGGACAGAGACTCTGGCGTCTCGGCCCTCGAACTCCCGGATGCAAGGCAGCCGCTAGCAGGGAACGCGCAGACGGAGCTATGCCAGTTGAACAAGGCTATAAACACGGCACGCTTCCAGCCCAACTCACGCTCGACATCACTCTTCCGCAGGTCCAAGAATGGCTGAAGCAGTCTCCCACGTAGGCTAATCGCCTCACTTACACGTTTGGTTCAAGGGGCGAGGGGAAGTTACCAACTCTGCTGTATGTGTATGGTCAGGTAACTCACTTATCCTCGCAATACAGTATCTTTCACTCCAGCGCTCGGACCGGCTCGCATTCTCTGGGGAATACAAAAGCCTGCTGGCTACACCTCCGCTGTCTCATCAGGTAGATTGAGGACAGTCTACACAGCCTTCACACGGCCAAGTTCAAACTTCAAGACAATCACTCTGTCATCCCATCGCTGAAGCCACGCATTAGGAATCCTAGCTACAGTCAGGATGATTAAAGACAGCATTCAGCCCAAGGGCACACGGGCTGCCGACATCTTCGATACCATCACCTCAAAGCCGCTCTCCGCCGACCTAGCTGCTAAGAGCAAGATTGAACCATGGAAACTGTTGGGCCTTGAACCAGGAAAAGAAATTCACCCTGCCTCCTGGAACTTGCCCGGGAACAAGCAAGTCGACGTCATTGCAAGGCTAGGCCAGATGGACAGCTATGGCACTGACAGCAATGGTGCACATTAGGTTGCTAAGAGGAAAGGTACAATGGTCAAAGGACTGTACTTGAGGTAACAAAGTCATGTACAGGGCAGGGCTCCTACACTGGTTGAGAGACGCGACATGTCTCGACTCGGGGTTGGCAGCAACGTCTTCTATGCTAGGAAACTTGCAGGGGATGTGGGCGTGTGATGTCGGATAGATCGAAACTAGCGGAAACTCAGCAATCATGATTATGCTGTCAATCAGGTAGAAAGTATCACCGCCCAATTTTGTACCGGGGCCTAGGTAGTCCTAAATGACTCCCAATTTCCTGCCCTCACTGGTAATAACCACTGAGCAAGCGGTCAAATTCCTCTTGCTCGGTCTCCGGAAGCTTCACATGTATGCCTCTATTGGTCAATGACAGCTCATTCTTCAACCTAGTAGCTCTCTCTTCCAGCTCCAGTACTTCTACTCTCTCCGCATCCGTTGCTTTTGGGTCCTGAGCGAAGATCTGAGCCTTTAGTCTCAAAGCTCGCGGCTCCTGGCCAGACAGCTTGCACGCCCCACTCAGGTGGTCCAAGCGTGCCCGCTCTATCACTTCGTCCAGCCCCTTTCTAGCTGCAGCATAGTCTCCCAGATGGAAGTATGCAAGAGATGTCTTATACGAAAGTACTCCTGCAATAGGATGTTTTGCCTGGTCTCGCTCAGCTGCAGTTTGACCAGATTCAAAGTACTTTAATGCTTCTTGGAACTGTTTTCGTTGAAGGGCAAGATTGCCTTGGTCTACCGCCAGACTGAACCAACGGTCAGCATAAACTAGGTAAAGCAGTGAGGCATACTGTATCAGGACCAACTTACAAGAGAAGCATGAAAGCCGCGTTTAGACTTTCCAGTACGGGTCGTGCTTTGTCAAACCACCTCTCAGCATCGTCAAGCTGGCGCTCGCGGAGGTATGTCCTTCCCATCATCATCCATCGCATCGCGAGGTAAGAGCGGTCTTCCCGTCGGTCCTCGCTCAATGGCTTCATTGCCAGACTTATCAAGTTTCTCGCATCTTCAAATTGACCAATAGCTGTGAATAGGTTAGCTAAATTGGATCGGCAGTTGGCAATATCCGGGTCATTTTCATCTAAATGGATTTGACGGATCCGCAAGCATTCTTTGTTCCACTTCTCACACTCCTTGAGGTGATTGAGCTGTAAATATACGCAGGCGTATCCTTGACATATAGTGGCGTACTCTTTGCTCTCCTTGTCCAAGGAGATCTTTTCAGCGAAGTCGAGAAGTTTCAGAGCACCACTTGCCTTTCCAAGCTCAACTTGGTACCAGGAACAGCTTTTCATCAGCTCATCCATTGCTTTCGAAGACTTTAGCTTCCGTCGCCCGGTTATTGTTGATTTTTGCTCCGATTCTTCGAATATCTGCACCAGGGCTTCTATATGCTTCATGTATTTCGAGCACATATCCCATTTTTCCCACAGGGGGTTGCTTCCTTCGTGCTTTGGAAAGAGGCGATTCAAGATAATCGCGGCTGTATCTGCTGCAAGTTGTAATGCATCTGCAGACTGGAGACCGTGAGTGCTGTTTCGAAAGGCAGCTGAGAGTACTCGATGAATCGTTGCACTGTTGGATGATAGGTTGTCGACATCAATCAATCCAAGGTCTCTCAACCCTCTTAAAGACTTCATACGCTCCAGTCTCGATCCACTTTCGAGAAATTTGAAATCTGCATCAAGAGCCTGATTGGGACTGAACAATTCTTGCACTGGGATATCGTCTGCAGCCATGAGACACAAGATTCCAAACAATTTTCGGGCATTGGAGTATGATTCATTTGAGAGCCTTGTAAAAGGAAGTTCCCAAATGGTGTTGAGCTTCTGGTGGAGTGACATGCTATCGTTTTCTTCCAGAAATTCGTCCTCTAATGCCACGTATTCGTCAAGGAAAATCTTCACTCCACCCAAGTCATTGATATACCGTGCGGCGACTTTCATTGCGAGGGGGAGACCGTCGAATCGCTCTAGTAATTCCCGACTGTGCTCTTCTTCGGTCGAAGTGTCAACGCTCGAATTGTACAAGCGTCTGTAGGTATTGAAGACTAAAAGACTTTCTTCCGGATCCAGCTTTAAAATGTGGAATCCTCGGATGATGGCATGCTGAAAGAAGTATCGAGTTGTAACTATGACGTGGCCTGAACCAGTTGGCATCAGTTTCTGGAACATTTCTATTTTCTCCTTGCTCCTCTTCTCATCAGGATCTGTTACATCCACATTGTCGAGCACTATAAGCCATTGGTGCTTATTTGCTGCATCATTGTCAGTTAAAATGTTTTCCAAGGCAGACAAACTTACCTTTAGTATTGAGCCACCGCATCACTTCCACATATGCTTCCTGCGCATTCGAAACAGGAAGACGAAGCGAAAGAGCCATGTCATGTAAGGACTGGTCAACCGAATACTGTGATTCTGCGTTGATCCAGAAGCCATACGAATACCGTGGATGTGAACTTGAATCTGTCCGTTGTGTCTCGTAGTATTGCATTGCAAGGGTTGTCTTCCCGACGCCGCCCATGCCGTAGAACATGGCCACCGAAGGACCTTTACTTCTTTGGAAATCAGAAAAGAATTTCTCAACAGACTCAAGATCACGTTCCCGACCCACAAAACGGCCATGCTGTAACGAAGGGGTATTCATCCATACAGGATCTGACTTGGGAAGGGCGCTTTTGTCCAATGGCTGGGTCGTAATACTCTCGCTGTCACTGCTTAAAAACTGCATTCTGATTTGCAAAGCTTTTATTGCTTCCTCCATATCCTGGTGGAATCGATCTTGTGGGATCCGAAGCTTCTTTTCAAGTGTATTAGGGTCTGGGCAATTGTCAGTGGCTGTGGCTCAATACTTGTCTAAATGATATTGTACCTAATGCATGTTTGCCAAAATAGACAGTGGAGATCGACAACAGCTGAATAATTGCAATGCAAGACTCAGTTAACGGACGGCTATATTGCTCCAATGGGACCGATGTCAATGTGTGCAGATTGCTGATGTGGTCGACGACAAATTTCAGCAGAGATCGAGCTTTCTTGACAGCTTCTTGATCCGCGCTGCTATTCTGCTCGACCTCAGCCTCGAATTTCAGGGTCCACACCGTACTCACCCACAAGATTATATATCCGCCACCATCAAGTAACTCTGATTTGAGCTGCGGTTGTTGTCCAGGTAGCTTCAAGGCCTCCTGCAGCTTTTGGACAAGAATCTTCGCATGCTCGAAGAAAGGCCGGACATCGATGGTTACTGAGTCGGGGAGTTTCCATTCCCTGAAATCGTGCCCCAGGCTTGTGGCGAGATTCTCCCGGTCAAAGGCATGAAGCTTTTTACGCTCACCGTCCGAAAGTTTCTGCAAGCATTCCTCGAAGATCTCTGTCCACTGTTCTACCAAGCTTTTGATGTCGGCACTGTAGTGATGATTAGTCCAGATGATGATATAGGTGTCTCTCTACGTACGTAGATGGGTCAGAAGTTGTATTGCCTACACTAGAACTTGATGATGCAAGCGGTCTTGTTGGCAGATTGCTGTCGGCGGTTGATTTCTTTATTTGAGTCATGATTGCGCTTTCGCTTTGGGTGGAAATGAGAGGGGATGCTGCTCACAAGACACACAGTTGGTGGCGTGTCATCCTCACTTTTGCTGAGAAGTATGTTGATCGTACCTATCGACTTCGACTTGGACTCAGTTGGAATCAGGCTGTCTCACTGTGGTGTGGTCTATCATGTGCGCCCGTGCCCACGCGACGCTGTAGAGAGTTGTCGTTTTGTTATTCGTCGGAATTGTCACTTCACCGCAGCTTCCTGTATCAGGGTAATGTAACAACTTGTGCGGTATGAAACAAATGTTATACTGAAAATTACAGCATGCCGGTTTCAGGTAGGATTTGCTGCAGCCAAGTCTCGTATTGTTTTTTGCGCCCGATCTTTGTGACACCTCTAGGTGTCACAATAATTCACGATTCCAGCCGAGGTATGCACCATGTAGTGACCCTTGGATGCTCACCGGTTAGACATCGTGCTACAAACTACCTAAGTATCTGGTATCATGTAAGGCTCTTCCAGGGCCTGGATTTTCTTGTACATGCTTACCTCAGCAAAAAGTAGCGATCGGGAGTCAATTACAGTCAGTGAACGCCAGTGTAGAAACTCATTTCACTCTCGATAGGCTCTAGGCATCATTTTTCACGGCCAAGCTAAACACCACACAAACGGTTCTAGACGGTGAGTTAGTAATATTCTATATTCGAAACATTCTGTCTACCAACAGCTCAGCGTGATACTAAATTATCGGCACATGGAACCGTCACCTCCTGACAAAAATTCAAGTCTCTCATTCACTGCAGCCCTCCAAGATCTCTCAGTCTGAAGCGAGGTTTGCACAATATCGGTTCATACTGTACCTCATCTCATTCATAGGACCTAAACCCCTGAGGGCATCGATACTAAATATTATAGGAGCCGGCCCGTACCGACACCCAAAAATATTCAAAGTGGTAGTACGACCTGATTGATCGAAATTTAGGTCTATAGAATTGCCTGAAGGAGGTATAGTAGAAGAAAATCATACTGTCGACATTGCCATCACCAGAGCCTCAGTGCTAGCACATTGTTAAATCACCGATTATCAATGCTCTTGAAGGAAGTGCTCCATTCTTCGATCTGGTAAGGATTTGATCCGCGAATTTTGTTTTATTCTAAGGTTCAGCCTCGAACCAGCGGCGAAGGCTGTTCCGCAAGGGAAACTAAGCAGGGACGCAGTTGTTTCGAGTCTACATGATAAGCCACAAAGTCATCCATCAACTCCGGCCTTTCAGCTGTAAGGATGATGGCGAAGACTCAAAAAGCCAGGCTATCCTTGCACCTATCACCTTGGAGAGTGAGCGGAAGAGCATATTATTGGTGGGGAAAATGTATGCACAAGTAGTAAGGGGTAGCTCTGAACGGCTTTGACCTCAAAGACTGACCTCACTGTCGCTGATATCACAAAGAAACAATGCTATCGAAACTTGAATGTTTCGAGTTACGGGCCAACCTGGACCTCGATAGCGCTCAAAGCCTTTAAGATAGTTGCCTTTCGAAGACTAAAGTCCTTCATACAGATGAAATCGCCTCATTGTTTCGTCATAAGCAGCCCCCTTTTGATATAATATCCCCTGTATAGGATGCAAAAGCGTATTGAGATAGATTCTATGGTTGCTCGTGAGTTCTGGCTGAGCTGGTTCGAGTTTCGATGGATTGAAATTTGAGGCACTGGTCAATATTGATATAAAGCTTGCGAGCCTCTGGCTAGCGTGTCTTGGCAGCAAATCCACTTAACATCATTTAACTATCATGTGGTATTTTCATGTCTCATAAAGTTAATCCCTGGCACGTTGCATACTTTATCCTTGCATCTTCTAAAGCGATATATCGAATGGCGGGTAGCGTCACTATCATCGTAGCCTACCTAGATCTTTAAACCCAGTGATGCATCGCTACGATAAGCAAAAGCGGAAGGGCCCTTGAAGCCTTCGTGAAACTACCTAGGTAACTACTAAGTAGGTCCTCCACGCGCAATGATCTCTCTGAATCTAACGCGCCTATCTGAATTTCGTATTTGAATGGTATACAGCCATTGGGATTCTCAGACCTTGCAGTGCAGAAGCTTGCCATCATGCATCGACCGTTGTAACCATTACAAAATTACTCCCCCTTTCTTGGTCTCAAGTTGCCATTCTTCAGGTGAGACTTCTCAAATGTCCGTGAGACTGGTATGACCATGTCTCGGAGTACCAAGCCGTAACAATGTCAATATCAAGATATAAGTTTACTGGCTGGCGGAAACCAGGTTTCAGCATGCAGTGTCAGGTTCAGGCAAAATAAGATGATTGTCATGCTCAGGCTACTTTTCTTGATCTCTATCATAGGGTGTCTATCTTTATGTCTCGCCTCAAAGCCACACATCCTTCAGGTAGTGACAGACTTGCAGGCCGATTTGGAGGCCCTCAAACAGATTCAAAGCCAATATGTGTCTGATATTGCACCCCGAGATCGACAATTTTTCCGCCCGGGATCTGGACCACCATTTGGTAATGGTGGATTTCGACGACCACCTCGACCACTTCCTCCTCCACCCCCACCACCTGCTATTGACATAGAAAAACTATCAGCGCTGATAGAAAGCTTTGGCAAATCTCTGGGAATTCTGATTGAATTCATTAAAAACAACGTACCCGATCCATCGGCCACAAGCAGCTTGACAGGTTTACCTGGAACTTCCACTCCACAGTCCACCGCCAGTACTACCTCGACATCTCCGACAAAAAGCTCCCGTTCGATGACATATTTGACTCACACGACCACAGGAGCGCCCACCGGATCCCTTGCTACCACAGAGCTGGGTTCCACGGCTTCGGATGCAAGCACTTCAACGACCGCTCTTAACTCAGTTGCAACTACTTTGGCTCCTACGACCATAACCACAACAACTGACTCGACTTCTGTTAGTGATTCAACCGCGAGGACACCGTCTTTGACCACATCGAGCAGTAACTCGACTCCAACAGCAACGGATGGTACAATCACAGCTACTACGATCACACCTGCCTGGGCTGCTTCAAGTGATTATACTACGTCTACGTCAACAAGCATTAGCGAAACGACAGGATCCATCTCCGGCGTTCCGGAAGCCACATCCACTGGAAGCGAAACCTCCACAACGGCAGATACTAGTTCCAATACTTATATCACAACCACTTCCACCTTATCATTCATCAGTACGTCGGCAGGTACTGCCTCACCTGCGACAACAGGTACTACTACAACCGGCGGTAGTTTCACGACAACTGAATCTACGACATCTGAATACACTAAGTCCACTTCGCTTGAGACTATAACAATTGAATCTACCACATACACTTCATTTGAGACCACTACGACTGAAAGTCCTCCTCCTCCGGACTCGTCCACCACACCGGAGACCACGACCAAGCTAACTACCAGTATCGACATCACAGCAACGACCAGCATTAAAACGACCGCTGACACAGGTTTTACAAGGACAAGTAGTCTAGTCACAACCACTACTACCACCACCACTGCGACTCCCGCGGGCCCAACTTACTTTTTCGACCCAGCCGCGCGCAATCTCAATCTTGTATATTATGGCCAAACCACCAGCGATGCGAGTCTCACCTCAGTGTGTGCTGATGATAGTGTCGACATCATAACGGTGAGTTTGCATGAATTTTCGCTCAAACAGATGATATTGACCGCTCCTCATTTGTTGGTTTTCTGGTAAAAGCACGATGACAAACGCTGCAAAGTCCGCTGCCGTCACAAGTGCTAACATCTACGGACCTTCTATAGATCGGCTTCATAACAAGGTTCTTCCTCGGGGGCGAAGTCAACATTACGATGAACCAAGGTTCACACTGCTGGGCACCGAATCAAGGTCAACAGGGCGCGGGCGCATGGGGCTTGAAGGACTGTGTGGGCGACGGATTTGCAGCGGAGATAAAGGACTGCCAGGACAAGGGCAAGAAGGTTCTCATAAGTGCCGGTGGAGTCTTCGCCGACCTGAACATCCCTAGCGAGCCTGACGCTGAAATATTGGCGGATAGGCTGTGGAATCTGTTCCTAGGCGGTGTCGATACTGGTATCGCTCCGACGCGGCCGTATGGGCCTGTCGTGCTTGATGGGATTGATTTCGGTGAGTTTCTGGACTCAGCGAACCTCGACAACCTCGCCGACTCGCTCAACTCGCTGCTCCTTCTGCTAACGACTTCCTCTACCTGGTTTTGCTCTAGATAACGAAAAGCCCGAGAATAAGCAATACCTTCCGAAGCTAGCATCAACACTGCGCCAGCTGATGGCCAGCGACTCCACCAAGGCTTACTATTTGACCGCCGCGCCACAGTGCCCACTGCCAGACTTATCCAACCCGATCGCGGAGCTTCTCCCGTCCATCGACTTCTTCAGCGTGCAATTCTACAACAATCCACCCTGCCAATTGAACGCAGGCCAGGGATTCTTGGACTCGCTACAGGACTGGTCGGACATTCTGTCTGGCACGAAACCCGTCCCTGCAAAGACGAAACTGGCGATGAAGAAACGCCGGGCTGGTGGCCCAACAACTTCGCCACGCCGGCTCGGCAGCGGCAGCGGCAGCGAGAAGGTACGGAACGGTGCATTCTCGCGGCGCATGCTTAGGAACGGGAAGCGTCAGCAACCCGGCGACACGATCGACATTGGCTTCTTCCAGCTGAACAACGGCATTTCGATGCCGTTGATGCTCATCGGCACCCCTGCGTTTAATTGGACGGAAACCCAAGACATCGGCTATGTGACCATCGCGACGTACAAGGAGCTTCTCGTGGCGGCCAGGGAGAAGAACCTGCCTAATCTCGCCGGTGCGATGTTCTGGGACGGCGGATATCAGAGTCGGTCGGCGCAAGAGGTCGACGGTGAGCTGCAGACATATGCAGAAGTCGCTAGGGACATCTTGCGGATTCCGCATGTGTGAGCGAAATCTTCAGACTTTTTGATGATTAATGCTTGGGGGAGAGGACTAGCACCCACTGGGAGGTGGGAAATTAGTAGCGTTCTGGCGATTCTGTCTTCTGGCAGGGGTGGCGGATGCTCCTTTCTTTTTCTCTTAATACCTTCCTGCCTTTGGCGTTTTCGGACGCAAAGGTGAGACAGACCAATAGACTCGAAAGATCATTTTCATTATGATTAGATATATGCTATTGGTTTTCCCTCTTCTGACGCTCTCCATAAATGTATTCGTACGATCGGCATGCTGCTATTAATAAGCTATTTACTCTGCTCATGTGCATTGAATCGTATTAACTGTATATGTTTTATTGGAGATATTCATCTCTGTTCATAAACGTGTTTCTTTCCCTGGCCAGGTGCGCCCTCCTGGGTAGGGTTCCTATCAGTATAAATAACGCAGTTAGATCATAGCGACTGCTGCTCAGGTGGCATGGTGATAAGTGGCCAACCGATTGAGCCATGGCCATCGAAATAATGGGTGGGACTAAAGTTCATTGTCGGATCACCTCCATGAAGCGTGGGCTGCGTATGAGGCGGTGTTGGATAGCTAACGTACATGCTAGCTCGAGGCTCATTCAGCAAAGATGCAAGCGAAGTGGGTATTGACTGCGACTGTGAATGTACGGACGTAGAAGCCGAGCTTGGAGGTTGAGTATGACCGAATGAGATTGCGTAAAGGGGAGAAGATGGGCTGCGATGTGCTTGAGATGAAGCTTGATTGACCGTGTTTGGTTGGGGAAGAAAAGCGAGTTGTGACGATGGCCATTGGGATGGACCTTGCTGCTGTGATGAAGACGAATTCAGTGGAGACTGGTTCGGATGGTTTATTGGTGATTGCGGTTGCATTTGGCCACGCAAGGAGTTCTGTGAATGCATGAAAATTGGCTGTGGAAGGTTCTTTGAATGTGAATCCGGATATGCTAATACTGCTGGAGACGCGGCCTCCTGCTTGAATTGGAGGGAGAAATTTGGACCGTTAACAGGCGTAAAAGGCCCCTGCGCGGGGGGTGATTTGGTGGAGTTGTCGCTGATTAATCTTCTGTATTCATCCTCGAGGGTTTGTACACGAGGCTGAAACAGTCTCTGCAGGTGGTTGCCAGTTCCTGGAACCAGGCAATTAGCCAATCTCATTCACTAAGCACACAGTGGGAACGTACTCAGCACTAGGTCAGCGTAAGCCATCAACGATATCCAGCCCTTTAACTCGTTCCGCATTGTCTCAAACTGCTCACTACTGACACGACCTAGTCGTCGCTTGTAATAATACAAGGTAATCCCGAAGCCAGTGGCATAAGCCGATGTTGAATGCCAAGTGAAATCGACGCCTTTGTACTTGCTAGAAAGGGTGTGAAATGTTTGCAGGAGTCGTCTGGCGGATTTCAGACACATTTCGAGGTTTCGGTCCTGCACTTCCGGATCATTACTTGTGCAGCAAGCAGGATGGTGTAGGTTCAGCTGGTATTCAGCGGCCCAAGTTTCAAACAACAACGTTGCTACCAAGAGATTGACATGTTTGGGCTCAGATTTGATGGATTCATCCCAATCCTGTCTCCAGGCAACGATTTTACTGTTCAAGACCTCGACAGTCTTGACATAATCCGAGGGTGCTCTCCGCACAGCATGGACGTTGTTATGCAGCTCCGTAAGTAAAGGCAGGAGTTTTGCGAGGTGTAGGCACGGCCAGAAATCACATAGCCCAGATAGCTCGGAAACAATGCCCTTCTTAGAGATTTCCGAATCTTTGATGGCTTTTGGGAGTGGCAAGTCGATGTGCTGGAATTGCCATGGTGCTGGTAAGCCTACCCTACACCCTGTAGTTACACAGACACCAAGAATGGAATGGAAGATTCGTTTTCGTAACTCTTTTGAGAGTGGATCGTCTTCCCCTGGAGGCAATGTGATCTTGTCCGGATCACGATGATACTCTAGATCAATCGCCCTTACAAGGACCTTATGGCTATAGGTCCAAGAGATGCCAGGCTTCGGCAGGTTCCTCAAGTGAATGATGATCAAGGCCATGGCTTGCATTGAGGCTATTGAACGATCATGGAAGAGTTCGCGGTAGAACCCTAGTGCATAGTGGAGGTATCGATGAGCATCCTCAAATTTCTCCGCTGAGTACTGATGATTCCTGACCGCGGTTTGGTGGGCAATAATGGCAAATACCATGGCTACCTGCGCGCGCTCGGCAGGCCGTATAGACGCAGGCCGGTCGTATAACTTGGTAACAAGTTCGAGGAAGCTGGTTCGGTGGACGACTGGTATATACTGAGACACGATGACAAGAAAGTGATTGGCATCTTTTAGTGCGTCTTCCTTGGAAGGCAGACCGGGGTCCTCGATTTTCTGATACCCAGCTATCGTGTTGATGATTGAGGTCCCGGACAGGTTGAACCTCCCGATTTCATCCTTATCTCCATCCTGCATCATTTCACATGGCCAATCTGCAATATCAATTGTACCATCCATAACATCTACTAGTGTTCCCTTGACTGGCCCAGAGTGCAAGGGATCCGAATGATCTGGGGAGGGCCATCCAACATATATCGAATCGGGGATTGAGGAGAATGACTGCACGGTAGGAGCCACGGGAGGGGGAGGAGGAGGAGGAGGAGGAGGAGCAAGAGACAAAGCGGGCGCCGGTGTAGTAGAAACAACCCCATTTGTGTCTAGTCGTTGCAAAGCCCCGTATCTGTGCTGGTATGCAGCCAGTTGGTCTCGCAAGTAAACCAGCTCGTTCTCGGTCCGGTTGGACTCCCCTCTTTCTCGTGCTTGACCTGTGACGCGATCTGTTGTGTAGCACCGGAGGCCTTTCTGCCGACAGGGCTGACAGGCTATGGGATCTGTGTCGCATTTCATCTTGCGTTCCTTGCATCTATCGCAGGCTTGTCCCGTACGGGAGGTCGCCGCCAATTTCTTTCGTACGGCATCGCTGTATTGCGCAGGCTCTTCAGCAACATTCTTGACTTTCTTTGAAGGAGGTCCATTGTCTTCGGAGGAGGGGGATGGCCGTTTGATCGCTGGAGGCGTATCCATAAGAGCATTCGGCTCGAGGCAGTGGAACGTTATAAAGAGGCAATCGGAGGGCGAACTAATGGCAAATACCGTAAGACGAAACAGCGAGGCGACGCCCCCCAGACTGGAGTCGACGGGATGCAAGGTGAACGACGATGAAACCTGAGTCTAGCAGGTCTAGTCCTGTCGAAAAAGGCAAACTTCTGGGAGCATCAGGGGGGGAGTTCGGGACGTGACGTAAAAGGCCTTAGCGAGCGATGCCACCAGTGGGCTTGCCGATAGCCGAACTTGCAGGTACAGTATGTAATACACTACCGAGTAGGTCGACCCGATCGATCGTGCTGATTGGCAGTACGGAATACTCGGTACCTTGTACTCTCGATGTTTGCTTGGTCGAAATTCGATAGTTGTCAGAAGTCTCAGTTCGCGGTGGCTTCGATCTAGCCAGTGGAGAGGGATGCCGTAGGCATGCTCGCTTATGTTAAGGGATTTTGCCTTGATCCACAAGCTTGGAAGCTGGGAGAGGTCAGGAGGATTTGGTCGAGTCGAGCTTTGGTTCGGTGCAGCGGACGGGTGTCTTGAGTCACGTGATTGATGTCTTGGCATTACCATGGCTCTTTCCTGCTTTGACTTCGTTTCCTTTCGCTCCTTCCTTCAGGGGTTAGAGTGACATCAATAGCCTGGTCCACGACGTGATTGCATCACCGCTGGCACTGCACCCTCCATGTGCTATTACCTAGGTAGCCTTTGCCTCGGTGATTTAAATGCTTGATTGAATATGCCTTCATCTAGACATAATCACTCTCCACACGACCATAGAATCCCTCGTCGCAGGTCGGCTTCGCATAGACAAGAAGCCAGAATAGAACGACATGCTGCTTCAGAACCGCAACTCGGAAACCATGGAAGCTCTCTGTTTGTGGTAGACCGCCAAGGTGATCGTCGAAATCTCGAGTACGGTGCGCCCGATCGTTATGCTGTCCCGCGTTTCCGTTCAGCTGGAAAGGGTTCCGTCCTAGGTCTCGCTCGCAACCATCGTATCACCGATGCATCCGAAACGCGGAGAGTTGTCGAAGATGCTGAGAACGATTCAAGCCGTAGATACCACAAGCAATCCCTACTTGCCTTTGTTCCACCTGAGGACGACAAACCAAGTACGCTACCAGGGGTTCAAGACGATTGGCACGATGTCCAACGGGACTACATACCGTTTATTGATGCACACAGACGAAAACGTACAAGACTATCAGAGGCATTTGAAGCAGCATCTTCCGAAGGAGAAGGGAGCGATGCATCGGCTACCGAAATGAGTGGCAAAGCATCGCATCTCGAAGTCTTTGACGCCTTCAAGAGCGACCCGATCCACCAGCGCCAGCTCCAGTTATCAAAAGCCACAGAGAATAACCCTGGAGATGTTCGTGCATGGCTCGATCTGATTAGACATCAAGATGCTACTTTCAAAAATCAAAGCAACGTCCCACTGCCAAGTTCAGCTTCGTCTCGAAGCCTGGCCGATCTCAAGATATCACTTTACAGGGAAGCACTTCAGCAAGTCAAAGACCAAGAGGGAAAAGAAGCCTTGCTCATTGGCTTGATGCATGAGGGGGCCAAGGTATGGGGTGTCCATAAGCAGATGTCTGAATGGGACCACGTCCTTCAAACATGCCATTCCGTGGAGCTCTGGACTCTCTATCTGAATTTCAAACAGACAAATGTCTTTGATTACAGTTCTCAAGAGTGCTTAAAAGTATATCAAGGATTCTTACAGGTTTTGAATGCTTTAGACCCCGGGAGAGCCAGAGATGAGAGTTGCATCTACATCATCTTGCGCCTATCCTTATATCTTTGGCAGATAGACATGACAGAACTTGCTATTGGTATATGGCAAGCTCTCCTTGAGCTTAATTTCTGCAGTCCTCGATACCAATCGCCAAGTCAAAGCTTAGCTTCATTCGAAGAGTTCTGGGACAGCGAAGGCGCCCGGATTGGCGAGGACAAAACAAGCGGGTGGGGTTCTGGTCTTCATGCAGAAGTTGACCGGAAGATTGAGCGGAACCTAAAGAGCAACCAGAACCTAGATTTGGACACCTGGGCCCAGATTGAGACAGACCTCTGGCACAGCTCTGGTCTGCCTGCAAGGTCTTTAGACGATACAAACGACGAAGATCCTTATCGCATTGTCTTGTTCTCAGACATACAACCGTACCTTTTATACCCTACGACAGAGGAGGGTACCATTTTACTCTTGGATGCATTTTTGTTGTTCAGTGGACTCGATCCAATTTCTACCCTTTCTGCGGCAGGGAGATGGCAGACTGACCCCTTCATTTATAGCCATTTTCCCAGCTCCAAATCCTCTCGAATGTCTCCTGTAGCCACAAGCGATACTGCCATGCCACCAGATAGTCAGTCGAGCACCCTTGAATTGAAGATGCACAAGACAGAACACACAAGTCTGATCTCTCCGAGCAACTTGCCAATTGCCATGTATCCCGACCTCATTCATCGGGCACTGTCCCAACTCACGCATATCGGTCACGAAATTATCCCCAGAGATATCATAATGCAATATGTTATCAGTCTAGAGGCAAGTATCGATCTCAAGGCGGCACGCAAACAGGCCAAGTCATTTTTGAAACGTATGCCCAACAGTCTGAGACTGTACAATTCCTACGCTCTGATAGAGTACCAATTAGGCAACTTTGAACTGGCTGAAAAGGTTTGGTCGACAGCACTATCCCTGCAAGCATCTCTGAACGCCCGGAAGGATGATTTTACCTTTACTGCGTGGCGTGACTGGGTGTGGAGCTATATGTCTCTCAGGCTTTTCCACAAAGCTGGGCTGCTTTTGGCATTGATTGCAGATGGACAAGTTCATCTGTCCCAACTGCAAATTCGGGAGTCGAGTCTGGCCGTAGCTGCCCGGATCAAGGCCGAGCGATTTCTTGTCAAGGAACTTGAGTCTTGTCTTACTGATCGACATCCGCGCAATCTGGTACCCGTGATTGATTTATTGGCCTTTCACATGTATTTGAACTACGACTGTCAGCTAGACAGAGCCTTACAGATTTTCTCTAGGTACCTATTGTCCATCGAAAGACTTGCTGCAGAATGGGTGCCAGAGATTTTGGAACTTGTGCACGAACGTCGCGCTATATTGGTACATGCGCATGCAACCACCTTTGGCAGGCCTTTCAAGCCCAAGCAACTGTTCACTGCCTTGAAAGAATCTATCCACAAATTCCCTGGCAGTTGCTTTCTTTTAGGGAAACATCACATTTATAATCAACAGTCGGGGGCAGTGGATCGGTTGCGGGAGCTGGATCTGAAATCCCACCATCACGAGCAATCTAACGACAGATCACTTAGCGTGGCTTCAATCTGCTTGGAAGTTTCCATCGAACTAGCGCGCCCTTCTTATTCGGGGAGCACAAACCACAGCGTCCGAATGGCTTTCCAAAGGGCTGTCAGCGAACGCTCAAGCGGTATTTACTGTGTCACTCTATGGAAGTCATATATTCTATGGGAGCTGACAATTGCCCAACACAGCAATGACACGCTCATAAGCATGTCTCGACCAGTGAAGCAACCCGCTCGCAATGTGAAGGATGTTTTTCATGCAGCCTTGAAGGCATGTCCTTGGTCCAAGGAGATCTACATGTTACCCTTCCGAGAGAGCTTGCTGAAATCTTTTTTCAGTAAAGAGGAATTGAAGCAGCTGTATCACAGTATTGTTGAACGGGGCTTGCGCGTCCGATTTGACATCAGCGACATGGTGGTGTAGCTTGATTGTCGAGGTTGCTGTTTGAAACGCTCGTCATTGTCATGCCCTCTAGGAGAATTTCATCCCACGTGACATCGTCTTCGGCTCTTCATTTAACTTTGTCGATTCGAATTTTCCTTCTAGTATCGCCTGCCGATGATTATGCAACCATATAGTCTCCGTAGCCTTGCAGAACTGCAAATATCTTTGCTCAGCACTCAGATTAATGCTGCTAGATAACAGCGGTGTAACGTGTGTTCCCCTTGGCAAGGCTGGGGCCACCCGACGAGGCTGAACTGAGCTTGGCATCGGGGAGTATCTCCGCAGCAAATTCCGACTCCAACTTTTTTTTGTTCACCATTCGCAGCCCCCCAAACGGACGATAGATTTCTTTCCAAGCGAATTTTCACAGGCATATACCCTCTCAATAGTCCGGAACCAGTGAAATATCTAGCTGCAATAGTTACGGGCCGTCCATCATTGCATCAAATGCTGCCTTAATACTTCTCTTACGGCAGCCGCAAAGCCTGCAATGTCGTCAGCCTTTGCTGCGCAGTTGCGCACCATCGCCGAGAATTCCACAAACGTGTTGAACCTCCGAGCACGTCGCGAAGCCCATGGCGAATCCCTAATATTCGAAAAATCTGTTGCCGTTAAGCAAGACTGGGATACCATATACCAAATTTGCATTGAGGGATTCCAAGAACTGTGCGCTCTGGATTCGAGGCTGAATGAGTTTAACCAGAATCTCTTCAGCCGTCAGGCAAAAGACCAGGACAGAGACCAACTGAGCAGACCGCAGAATGAGGCTTTGGATGTGGTAATAGAGAAATGCTTGGCTCTCATCGGCGGCAAACTTCTACTCCGGCCTGGAGTCAAAGCAGTCGAATGGCTCATAAGGCGATTCCGGGTGCACTTCTACAACGCTGGTGCGCTTCTCGCGACCTTCCTTCCATATCACGAAAGCCCAGTATTCCGAAATCTCCTGAGCATCATTCCCGCAAACAAGATCACAACTGAATGGAAATTCTTGGGACCATACCACAAGACCATGTCCAACGTACCAAGACACGCTCTTGTATACAATGCCACCCATAATGAGGGGTTTTTCTCGACTTTCAACGGCTATGTCATCCGCGCATGTCAAGAAGGAGCAGGCAACACCATTCTTCTTCGTTTCTGGGGAAGCATGATTGTGGAGGCAGTTACAGGCCGGATGAACCGAGCCAAGAGTGGTCGCAAAGAGGTTCAAAAGCAAAGACAGGAAGATGTTTTGCTCAAGGTTTTGCCGCTTTTAATTGAAGGGTTTGAGATAAGAGACTGCCACGAATTGACGATGATCTGCTTTACGATTTCAATTGTTCTGGGGAGTAATGCAGATCTCGAGGACGCAGTGATCGATTCATTGATGGGAGCTGTTGCTCCTTTTCTAACTTCGGCTGGAGTGGAGTCGACTTCCGCTCTCACCTGTCTAGCAATCATGACTGCACAGAAATCGATATGTCGAGTCTCTAGAGAGGTACTCCAGGCGTCTATCAAGGTGAAGAACCTCGATGCACGACTCCTAGAACTACAGTCGCAGATCCCTGTACACCACCTGCTGGAGGCCCTGATAACCTCGTCTCTGGTTGGTCTAAAGAAGAAAACTCTTGATGCAAGGCTACCTTTCGCACGGCAACTGCTCCAAATCTCACCCCAGATACTGGATTCTTCGACCATGAGCAAACTCCTTGCTTTGCTACTCAATAAAGCACAAGGCACTAACGCATCCGATGCCCCAGACTCAATTATTAGAGTACGCGTAATTGAGATCTTGCGAATGTTGAACGACTTACCCACCTTTTCGAATGTTTTCTCTAGTGCTGCAGCACTGACTGGAAGCTCCCTCCCAGAAGTTGAAGCTATCATCGGAGAAGTCATAGAAACCTCTGTCGAGCCGAAACCTCTAAGCTCTGATTTGATGGATGTCGACTCTGATTCTCTTTCAGGAACGACGGAAAATGGGATCGAGGACGTGTTGGCTAACCTTCCGTCGCAATCTAACGAAAAATCGTTCATTGAAGATAAAAGTCCCCTTTTCATAAATCTCGCTCAAGCCTTTACAGCCTGTCAGAAGAAGCAGAACCATTTGCAACTATTTACGAAGCTACCAATTTGGCGAATTGAGTCAGGACCATCTTTACATCTTTATGAAAGCTTTGTCTTGAGGTATGCTTCTGGCCCTTTCCCGCCGTCGGAGCGTGCGACTGCCATTGCCAGCATTTCTCAAAGGGTAGAGACGTACACCCGATCAACATGTCAAGACTTTCTTCCATTCTTGACTATTCTTCTTGCCGATCCTGCGAAGCCCATTAGGCGAGCAGCTGCGACTGTCATGTTCACAATGCATCAACATATCACTGGAGAATTATCCGAACTGGGAACTGGACACGATGAAGACACGGAACCTGGATACGATGCCATAGCATTTTCACATACGAAGCGAATTCCCACCCGAAACCTTGAAAAACTGATGCAACAGGCATACATTCCTGTATTAGAAGAATGTATCCTCGATCCGGCGCACATCAGCAAAGTTCTACAGTTAGCCCTCGACAGTACCTCACCCTCAATCTCTAGTGACACCAAACTCAACTTGGAGCTGAAGAAGCCACTGCGGCATAATTTGTTTGACCTCTTAACCAGCTACGCCGTCACATGTCCATTGTTAAAGATCAAAACAGCTATTGTTGAACTTCTCCATGGCGTTCATAAGGTGGGAAGTTTGACCACTTCTAACGTGCTCTCACCAATTCTCAAAGCATGGGCTGCACTTTCGGAGGAGGAAGCGCTAGCCGCGGCTTTTGCCGAGGGGATCCTCATGTCTCGCGTTGATCACACTTTGGTCCAGCTTATCGATGCTCAAGACAAAGAAGCAGTAGACCGTGTACTTATAATGTTAACCGGAGGGCAGAAAATTCCTCGACCTGCTCTTGTGGCTGCCTTTTTCGATCGTATAGGAGCGGTCTGGAAAGATATGCGTCCTGAAGCTCAGGTCTCGGCCACGATTTTGCTTTTCGAAATGTCCTTCTCCAAGGACGCCTCTCTTGCACGGGGGAGTCGCAACGTGTTGCAGACCAGCACACTCTCTACCGCTGTTCTGGCTACAATTCTTGGGCATGCTCTCACACGACTAACACAAATGCGACCTGAAGGGCCGCCAAGGAAGAGGAGAAGAACCAGCCAGGGCCGTGAAAGTTTTACCAAAGACTTCGTGAACGAATTTGACGCAGCAGTCTCGAGTTTGACCTTCGCTCTGGAGATTGTCGATAACTCTAAGCCAGAGAATCATCCCCAGCTGCTTGCTAATCTCTTTGACCTTCTCGTCACACTGAGGCGCCTCAAGGACAAGAGCACTTCTGATTCCCCCTATCTGCTTACGCTCTGTCTCAGCAGCATTTTAGCGATTCTCTCCAAGGCTCACACGTCGCGCAAACCAAATATTGACATGTCTAGTATTCGCGCTGATCTCGTCATTGAGTGCGTTCGATCATCAGACAGTCCTCAAGTCCAATCGACAGCTCTGCTTGTTGCAGCTTCCTTAGCCTCATTAGCCCCTGACCGAATCTTACACAACATTATGCCCATATTCACCTTCATGGGCCATAATCTCTTTTCGCAGGATGATGAACGTTCAATTTATGTCACCAATCAGGCCATCGATCAAATCATTCCTCCTTTGGTGAGCACCATACAAAAGCAAGATGCCAGGAATCTCATCAGCTCAACCTCGAGCTTGCTCTCCAGTTTTGTGACTGCTTACAGCCATGTTCCCCATCACCGACGTGTCGACTTTTACCAACGTTTATTAGCACGGTTAGGCGTGGACGATTTTGCATTCGCAGTCATCTCGCTGCTTGCGACATCCAAAAACCACAGCGAAGATTTACCAAAGTTCTTCAGTATTCTCATGGGCGATTCAGCAGCTTATAGTCAGCTCCTGACCTCCAGAAAGATCGTGAATCTATCTCGGGATATCTTTTCGGCCAGGCCGCATGATGCTGAAGCCCTGTTGAGTGTCGCTGCGAAATCCAAAGCAGAAAAGGAGTTTATCGCACAAGCTCTACTTGAAACTGCTAGTACTCTACTCAAGTCTAACACTTTGAGAGCGCAAGCACGAAGGTTGAACAAAACCGAAAAGGTCAATGCAGAGCGGTTCCGACAAGAATATAATGAGAGCATTCGCCAGTTTTTAGCACTCATACGAGACCAGAAGGTCAATCATCCGCACCTGACACCTTCTACGAGGAACTGTTTGAGTTCTCTGCTTGACCTGCCTTCGCTCCAGGATTTCCTGAACACCATGCCCAGCCTCCTTCAAGATCTGGAACAATCGGGCGACCAAGAATTACAGGTGCTTGCTCTACGAGTATTAGCCACTCAGCTGCAACATAATGCAGCTAAAGATTCAAAGACGAACTCTGAAGCCGTCGCATTCCTTCCCACACTGGAACTGATTCTAACGACCACGGTTAATGAAGCTTACAGACACGCCGCAATTGCATGCCTGGACAGAATTGTGGAACTTTATGGCCGCAAGAACCCTGACTCAATTCTCAAGATGGCCCATATCCTTGTAGAAGGTGATCACGGTCTCAGTTCGACCGACTTCAGAACTCAGGTCATGTCTATGCTTTGCCTAGCTTCAATGATGGAGGTCCTAAAGGAGACAGCAGTCCCGATAATACCACCTTCGATGTCTAAAGTCCTTGCTATTCTGAAAAACACAACTGCAGAAGATGGGAAAAACACGGAATTGCACACCGGAGCATTTGCATTGTTATCAGAGTTCGTCTCTCACATACCCTTCATGTTATCCGACGAGAATGTTGTAGAGATCCTTAGAGTCTCGTATGACTCTGCCCGAGCTGACCTGGAGGCTTCTTGTACCGAGTCGAGAAAGGAGGCTCTGTCCCTCGTCGCACACAAGCTGGACATCAATATTGTGACCACGGGCTTAAACCAGGCATCCCAGCAGGTCATTTCTGAATCTGCTGTTGAGGCCAATGCGTTCTCAGAATTTCTGGACGTTTTGCAACAAGCCATCGAACGGTCGCCAAAATCTTTGGTCGTGAAATCTGCCGACTCGATATCGACATTCCTTCAACGGACTCTAGATCTCCGTCGACTCAGTCAGATCACAGAGAGGAGCTCAGCCAGCGACGTCGACGATGGGATCGAATTATCTGACAACGACATCTCCAGTATCGAATCCAAGCTCCATACTACTAGTATCGCCTTCATCTATAAACTAAACGACACTGCCTTCCGACCTGTATTCGAAAGCTGGATAGACTGGGCCACCAAAGGTGCCGACTTGCAGGAAGTGGAGGAGTACAGCTCCAGCTCTGCGGCCAGAGTGGCTCGTATGGCCAGCCTCTTCAACCTCCTCGGTCATTTCTTCAACACCCTCAAGAGCATCGTGACAAGCTACACATCCTACATTCTAGAACCAGCAAATGAAGTGCTCCAGGAGACACTGAACTTATCATCCGCAGCAGCAGTCAAGCCAAGGGCGGACTCGAACACATCTAACGGACCATTGGGATTATACATGTCGACACTAACCCTCCTCACCGCAACGCTCACCCATGATGCGGACGGCTTCTTCACGGCCCCTTCACACTTCCAACCCTTGTGCACCAACCTAGTCTCCCAATTTACACTCCTCAACCGCGCTACGAAATCCAAAGCACACGCCCTCCGCAACATCATCCAAACACACGTGCCCACGACTCTGATCGCGCTCGCCAAAGCCACGATCGACACGCCCGCGCACCACCACGCGCTCAACCATCTCCTCTGCCAGATGCGGCACAACGACTCCGCGGCGGTTCGGCTGGCCGGCATCCGCCTGCAGGTTGCGCTAACGGAGGACGAGGACGTCGGTGACGAGTGGGTGAGTAACGTCGTGGTCGGCACGGCGACGGAGGGTGTCGGTGGGAGTGGTGAAACGATGGTCTATGTCAACGAGAGTCTCGAGGACGATGACGAATCCGTCGAGGCTGAGGTGCGGAAATGGGTGAGACTCGTGAGGGAGAGGGCTGGGGAAGATGTTTTCGAGGTGTGATGTTTTTTATGAGTGGCAAGAGTGGGCGGAGAAAGGGAGGAAGGAGTTGGGCGAAGAGTATTCAGTAGAGTCAAAAGTTTCGAGAGGGGGGGGGGGGGCAACTATGTTTTGTTAAAAACATGCGTATGTGCACTGTTCATGAGAGGACTAGACTTGGAAAAGGTTGAGTTAGGAAGGGAGTTGTTCTTCATCATGTCAACAGCCACGCCACAATGAGCAACCCAAAAGGTAATTGATTAGCGCTGAAGGAGTGAATGTGTCAACGCCATTGCCAAGTAAGTAGTCCAAAAGTAAAGGTTGGGTGTCACTGCCGCCACAATTGAACCTATGTAGTCTATCCGTCTAAGTAGCAATTTGCTCAAACCAAACCAGAGCAAGAAAGAGAAGAACAAAACAAGTAATCATTCGTGCCAATTCATGAGCCGCAATAAAGGTCCCTGGACGGGGGAAGTCGGGAGTCGGTGCCGGTGCAGGCCTCGGGGGTGCATCGGTGCGCCGATGCATCAAACCAAACCAGTCCTCGCCTCCAAACGTGGAACAACCTTTGGCTCCCCCTTTTTGGAAACAAGAGGAAATAACAAAAAATTCAAATCGTTGTTGAGTGCTTCTTTTCTTTCTACCGGTTTCTGCGAAATATGTCATTGCAATTATTTTCGCCGTTCTGGTGATGATCCAAAAGATGAAGGCAAAGAGAGCTCTCGAGGAAACAAAAGAAACGTCCTCCTGGAAAGAAGAAAGGAAGAAGAGGAAGACTTTCTGGTAGCTGTATGAGTGGGCCAGGAGGAAGCGGAAAGATACGCCAGCAGATTGATTTTTGGCCGTGGTTGTCGTCGTACGACATGACAATCATGTGGCAAGTTGAGGCGCGAATATCTCTCAACCTCATGGGCTGTTCTTCGGTCTCGATGAGGTTGTAATAGATGGGTCGTGCTGCGCCCTTGATAGCGTTCTGACTAATAAGGAAGAAGTCCTGCCCCAGGCCGTACGTACCTCTCTCCCTGACCACGGTATCAGGCGCAGGTTTTCCATGACTGACGACCCAGTCATCAGGTTTCTTGTCGGCCTTTTGGGAACACTCTGGATACAGGCGAGTATGATGGCGCTTGACACAGCATACAAGAGTAATTGGTGGTGATTTTGGACGGTGACCGGGACGGCTCTCAATCTCGGCGAGAAATTTCGTTCTCGCTGTTTGAATGCATTGGTACTCTTGGCTGGCGCATATGCTGAACTGGCCTTCTGAAAGCTCATCCCTGTATACGAGGATTCGACCTGGGACACTCTTGTTCCGTTGCTCGTAGCAGCGGAGTCTTTCGAGGACCATGGCTTCTAGATCAAAGACTCGTTCCATGGACTGCTTTTCATTTGCATCTTTTCCTGCGACGGGGTTTGCTCTGAAGCTGGCAGGCCACTGAGAAACTCTGCGTTCACACTACCAACAACAGCAGCAATACTCGGTGCATTTTTCATGGATGCACTGCCCGGCTGCGTGACATCGATGCCAAGAATCATCGTGGACGCTTCCAGGAGCTCAGGCCGGGATTCAAGAGCCTAATTGACTGAATTGCACCCAATCTTGAGATTGATTGAGGCAAAGGTTAGCAAGTAAGCCAAGGTTGGTGCTTGGGGAAAGGAGAATTCCCTTTCTCTGCACGACATGGCAGATAGTTGAGATACCGATCTCCACGTCACCCAACAGTTTAATAGAGGCGTGGAGCTCTTGGTCTTTCGCAGGAAGCAAACAGACTACCAGATTGATATTTTGCTTCTTCAATTTTTCAAAATGCTTCCTCACCAAAGCAGTATTTGCGTCAACCTTTGCGCGCTCTTGATAGCTCGGAAGGTCAGAGCTGCTGAGCGTGCACACATAAGATTTCTCGTCCAAAAATGTCGCGTCTCTAAACGTTGCGCCCTTGATACCTGAGCTACTCATAGCACTTTGAAGCAAAGTTTTTATGTTCCCCAATATTAGACTTTTGCCTGGTCGCATCACGCACAAATTCGACAACGGTCCATTGAAACGTAGGAGCAGGCCGCACAAAATTCATACCTTTCAAATTCCAGGATCCAGCTTTGAGGTGAGAAGCATTCATAGTCAGTTTTGCGGGGGAGAACTTGTTTCCGCGAGTGCTCGGTTCGTTGTATATGAGAGTTGGTGGAGCAAGGAGCAAGGAAGGAACTTGTAACAGCCCGGCTTAGAGTGTGATGTCGAAATCTCTCAGTCCATGCCTCGAAGGATACTTGTCACAAAACAAACACCGTCCCGTGCCCATGACCTCCTGACGATGTGCGCTCGGCAATGTGTGGGCGTTTTCAGGGGCAGCCAAGATGTTTGCATACGCCTGGCCAGGCAGCATCAGAAGCTCGGTTGCAGGAAATGATTCTTCTCCTTCACGCATTTCGACAATAACCATGTACACATCCTCCCGCACGGCTGGGTCTGCAAGTCTCAACACTTTGACAATCATGTTTGAGCCTCCATCTTTATGAGTCGTTCTCACTCGGACATTTTTCATGAAAGTAGATATTTTAGATACAGGAGCCCCATTAGTCGGTCCCCTATGGTAGTCTCTGACCAATTGTTCAATAGTTCCAGGCTTATAAAAGTTTGACGTAGTTATGTTGACATTAAGGTCAATATACCCATCTTTTTCGAAAGTTGTACGAATAGTCCGGAAAAAGCCAGGGATACCATGAAGTCCAGCAAGGCTCGCGTGGGTTTTCCAGTGTCGGTCAGACTCTGACCGTTAACTTGCGCGACACCATGAAATTTATTTCCATTGAGGGTGGTGAGTCGTGCATTTCCAGGGGGGAAACATTGCTGGTATGGGAGGTAGCTGGATATAATGTTCAGTGCTTGGACAACTGCAGCAAAGTCCTCGTAAGTTTCAGCATAGTTATGTGCATCTCTCTTTTGCAGGTGCAGCAAAAATTCATTGAGATTCAAGACATGGGCGGCTTTGACCTCTACCCTGTAGACCTTAGGATCCCGTGGGGTCGATTGATACTCGTCATAATAGTTAAAGGAAAACATTCCCGGCACCTGGGGATGTTCCAACCTGTCTGCTGCGATAATCAGAGAGTTGTGATCGGTTGCACGTGGAACATTGAGCTTAGGTGGACATGGAACTTCAGGATCAGTCACACGTCGAATCTCGTTCTCATTACGATCCAATTCTTCCATCAGCATTCGGACAATCGCTCTCCTTACAAGGCGAGGAATTGTTTTTTTTCTCGGCGTTCCGGGGCTTTTTCTTTTCGACAAGCTCAATCTCAAGTTGGTACTGATACAGCTCTTGAAATTTGCCTAGTTTTAAGTTGAAATAATCCGTCTCAATCTTCCGAGGTCCTGCAAACTGGGGTCCAAACAGCTCTTTCTGCACTGACTCAGGTACCGGTGGGTTCAGTGATAGTTTTGTCATGGGTAAATCTGCTGAATTGGACTGTGCTGGAAGAGTGGCAGAGCGAGAAGTAGCTCCAACTCCCAGCCGAGTTACATCTTCATTTGCCCTCTTGGCTTGCTCAGACTGTCGCTGCATTTCATCCAAATCCACAGCTGAGTCTCCAGGCCCTCTAGACGTTTCAACGGGAGGTTGAGAGGGTGCAGGGTTCGGAGTAGGAGTTTGAGTCTGAGTGAAAGTGGCAGATGGAGGGCGAAGACTTGAAGTAGAAATGGGTTGTGTTGGACGAGCAGCCACGCGGAAGTTGGGATGTTGCTGTTGCGAGCAGCACTCTCTGCTTGTTCTGCCTGACGGCGATTATCCTGAGCCTGGTGTCAACGACACATGATCGAAGTATGACATACTGATGCTGTTATCGTCAAGTTGGCTGGAGAGGAAGGGGTCCATGGTAATTTTGGCTATAAGCAGTGCTATATACCCATAGACATCCTCTCTGGATGATTGACCAATCTCAATATGGAATGAGCCTGCATTTGTTTCGGATACCTGGCCAAACGAAGCACGTTGTGCGTGTGTGTTTGCCAGATTGTATGAAACAAAGAAGTTCGATCAACACAGGCTGCTGATAGGACCAGGTTGTAGCATCTGAGGACAAGAGTAAACGCTGCACAGCCCAAGGTTGTCATGCAATGCAGCTGAATGGGTTTTGAAAGAAGAGAATTACTGGTTGCAGGTGAACAAGCTCCAACTGAGGACATAGATAATGTTCAGTATGCTTGGAGTGAATGCTTGAAAGCAACCCATGAGAAGGATTGTATGAGACTTTGCTGAGAGACAAAGGGCGGAAATCACTGGGACAAACATTACGATTTTGGATGCTGCAGATGTGATTGTAGAGTTTCGCTGAGCAAACGCGCAGATCACATCCATTGACCGTAATCTAAGAATGTTTGATTGTTGTCTTTGGAGATCCATCATCTTCAAGAAACGAGTCGACAATCAGGCGCCAATTTTGGTGCTGGAAGTTGTTCCTCGCTTTGAATCTACTTCGTGAGCATCGATGCTAGAAAGGTGAGTGGAAGGGTGAATTGAATGAAATAGACCGTAACGCAAACCATAGGGTCTTACCAGTGCTGTTCAAGAATCTCAAGCAATTCTCATGCCATCTGAATCAAGGCCAAATGAGATTCTACTCGGCACTCACTATACCTTGCGCGTTGAACATAAGAGCTGGCTCCACAGCCACGATTTCATCAGGCTCCAAAAAATGAGTATCCAGACGCATCTTCCGGAGTGTCTGGAATGACGCCCACTTCGATAGTTCAATCCAGACCTCTCATACCGAGTAGGCTTCCTGTTCGATTAACTTATCCGGTTCCACACTCATGACATCTGCAATTGAGCCTCGTTGGCCGCTTCTTGCCTTGTCACGAATGGCATCTGCAAATCAAAATGTCGAGCCAGGGTTTCCGTTGATACTTTCATAGCTTGATGATTGTATATCAGACTCACCCTCTGGGATGATCAAAGCACGCAAAACTAGTTTCTGGGCGAGCTTTCTCATTACTACTTCCAGGCCAGAGAATGCTAGCAGGTTTGTCGTTGATCAGTATGTCGAAATAGCTGTTGCAATGGTATCTCAAGTCGACAACAGTGGCGAATGACACATGTGCTCAGCTAGGTTGGAGCCAGCACGGAATGTGTTTGTCTGATGACTTGTTGCCATAGGGCATCATAGTGCTGGTTCAGGTATTTGTGCCATCAATACCTAGCACCAGAGCATCGTGCTGAGATAGAGTACGTGACTTAAAGACAAATAGAAAGAGGCATGGTCGAGAAACCCTCGGCAGACATGATATGGGAGCCTTTGCGGCCTTGTCTAGCAGTCGCGAGAGTTGTTGTTGAGAAGTAGAAGATCGAAGACGGGAATCCGCGTGCTTGGGTGATCCGTTTTAGCCCATCCAGAGCCATTAATTATGTGAGCTGGGATCAGCCTTGGCTTCCATGGGCTCTAGGCTTTGACGTCTCTCCTTGAATCGGGACCTACCGTAGCTAAGAGTTTACAACGTCGGTATACAGTAGTAGCCTTTGGGCCCACCAGCGGGTACAAATGTACTGCCTTCTTTTTTAAAGGTCGAGCTTCCTGCGAACGTCTACGTGGCATATTCTAGGAGATATTAGCCAGCGGCTTTAAGAAAGCGAAAAGAGGGTGGCAACCGCCGCTCTCGATCATCTCTAGTGGAAGAGGAACAGTCTTGAAAATTAACATATTGTAGCTCATCGCGAGGGAGACACCTATATCTTAGTCCTTTGTGCTATGGACAGTAACAAATGGATGCTCGTTCACATGGAAGCCATTGCCACACAAGGTCCATCTGCCAGACATTTCTACAGTTTCAAACGCTAGTTAGAGTGTCCATCAACTTTCGCTGTATCCTTGACGAGACACTTGTCTCTGGTTTTCTCTTAAATGGCGGGCGGACTTCTCTTCGATGGTGTTGGTTCCTTCCCTTGCTTTTGACGACAGTTTCGCTCCTTGCCTCCGACGGAGGCGAAGGCTCGTCTCGTTCTTGCTCCTCCCGTGGCTCAGAATTCGCATCCTTCACGCCTGATGGTTCTCGGAAAGGTCCTCATCAACCTTGTCGTCACTTTCTTCCTTATTCTACCGGATAGGATGGATAAATTGAATGTTCCTCCATCCTAGGGATGGAGAAGGAGAGTGCGTATAATGGACTTAGAGTAGAGGCTGGGAATGCCTGAATATCCAGAAGTCCTACACATTCTCCTGTGCGTCTTCGATCTCGGTTGCCTCCCTCTTTCGTCGCGAGGTTGGACTGCTGCTCCCAAGATCATTTTCCTCCATCTCCGCATCATCCTCGTCAGTATCCGCTTCAGTGTACTTGATCGCATTGGACACCCGGGAGCTTTTCCGAGAGGGCTCGACTGGACTGGAAATGTCCACACTTTTACGTGCTTGCTTCGGTGACTTTCTGATTGCTAGGGCGGCCTTCTTCGGTTTCTTCGATTGCTTTGGCTTCTCATCGCCTTCGCCATCGAGATCATACACCTCACTCTTTCGCTTCTTCTCAACGGTGGCTGATTTCTTCACTGGCTGATTAGGATTCTTCAACTGTTTGGTATATGTTCTAACCAGTTTCTCTAGACCGCTAGCAACATCCTCGGGCAGGTAATTTTTCTCAGCAATTTCTTGCGCAACCTCGTGACTTGGCAATGCTTTGAACAAGCTTCGAGGAAGAGTGACCTGACCAGGCCAAGTTTGCAGGAGATTAGTGCCCTTAGCATGCGCCGGAATAAGGTCTGCATAATTTCGAATCACTGTTTGTGCCAGATCGCTTAGCACATATAATCGCTCGCTTGCGTCCTCACTCCCGACGATACCATCTCTCGCGCCCTTTACTCTTTGGCCAACGTGGAAGATCAACGACAAGTTATCTTCAGTAGCCACGGTCACAAGGTAGAAAATGATGTATCTGGAAAAGTCCAGTAACTCTCCGTCGAAATCCTCCGCCTCTTTGCTCGGATAATCTGGATGATGAGCTAATAGACTCAAAAGGCGAGAAAAGATGGATTCCATGACATTCGGCGGAGGCTTCTTGTCACCATTCTTAGCCTGTAGTTGCTGCTTTGCGAAATATTGCACTCTTGATTTGAGCCAAGTCATGGTCGAAGCCTTCAAGTCATTGTCCGGTTCGAAAGCCAGGAGAAACAGTGGCGTAAACCACCTATGTGCTAGCCGTCCATGACCGAGGTATTTTTTGAGCTGATAAACAAATCTTGCACGTACAGCGTTTGGTGGATTGATAATGATCATTGCCATGGTGTTGAACATTGCCGCACTGACCAACTCTTCGCATTTTCTTTTGTGGCTACAAAGTTTCAGAACAAAGCAAGCAGCTGTCAATCGTAGGCGATTCCTCTGTGCTAGAGGCGTATTCTTTGAAGTGCTCACCTCTCCATCATCTCCTATCAGTTTTAGTAGGTATTTGAATGCCTCATTTGCGAATCGCTGAAATTGATTCTCTTGAGCCTTTTCATCTTGAGATCTCACGAGGTTGACAAGGATCTTTAATGCCAAAGTTTTCGAGTTAGCCTCGGAGTCAGCAACTTCTTCCCAAGGGTTCGCGTTGTCTTCGGTGTCGTGAGAGCGGTTCTTGAGTAAAATTTCCGTGACTGCAAGCTTGTGGATTGCATCCTGCTGGGGAGTCGCCGTACCGGGTGCAAGTAAACATATTTGTGATATAGATGCCAGCCGGCCCAAGAATTGATTGGAGCTTGATTTACAATCCTTGAGTGCCTTTGTGAGAATGTCTTTGGCATACATTTCCTTCTTGTCCGCCACGCGTAAGAGGATAGAAACAGCATGCTTCGCGGCTCGCGGCGATTGAGAATAGAGTGCAAAGTTCGTCAATGAGGTCATGAACTTGCGCTCTTTGGGAACATCAGCAGGGTACTTTCGAGCAAAAGCGGCACAGGCCTTGAGCGTATTAGCAGTGCCTGCATCCTCGGATTTTGTATTGGTTGGAGCTTCATCTTCGAGCTCCTTGCAAAGCGCCTGGATATGATATTTCAGGACCTCTGGGTTTCGGGCTGAGATTTCTTGAAGAACTTCATGCGCGACTTCGGCCAATCCGGCTTCATCACTTCTAGAAATTTCCATGATACTTGGAACATGACTTCTATTGAACAAAAGCAGGCTGCACTTGTATACAAGCGGCATGACTGTGTCCAATAGTGAATGTAAGCTCGATGAACTTTCCCGGATACGCTTTTGAAGCTCCTTGATTGCTTTTGTCACAGTGCGATAGTCATTCTCAGGTCCGGTAGCAAACCTTATCAATTGATACCAGCGCCTATTATGTTGCTTTGCGAATCGCCAAAGATTCGCTGCAACATCTCCAGCATCCGGAAAAGGTCTGGACAAGTTTTCAATCTGGCGAGTTAATTGGCTCTTGACTGCGGCCTCAGAAGTTCCTTCCTCGACTACTCCACCATTGTATTCCTCGCATTTCTGTAGAAACACGACCACGGCTTTGCTTATCTGGGCTTGCAGATTTTGGAGGTGAAAAAAGATGGGCCTTGACTTAGAATCCAGGCCTTGTACCAAAGTGAGGATGCGGCGAGCTCTGATGGCGTCGGGATCAGACACTGGTCCCTCCTGTGAGCTGTTTTCTTTATCTTTAGCTTTTTGTTTCCGGCTGTCAGATCTTGGAATCTGGACCTTGATTGGCGGAAATGACAGTGGTAAGAGGCTCTCGTGGAATGCGTTATCAATCAAGGCGTGAATATGTTTGTCGTTGGTGTAATACGCGCGAAGGAGTCGATTGGGAAAATCGCCGACTGTTGATTTTACCAACTCCACGCCGTTTTCGACATCGCGAGAAGCAACACCCCAAATTTGGGCTAGAATTTGGATAGCCTCCTCCCGAACATTTTGTTTTCTGTCGGTTACTCGCTCAGCTAGGGTCGAAAAAACAGTGTTTGGCTTCGAAAGGCCTCCGTCAGCGCCCAATGTGGTGATAAGTGCTTGGTACCCAAAGTCATGCATAGATTGGAGGGCCGCCAGGCGGACGTGCTCCTCATGGTCACGGAGTGCATGGGCAAACCCCGACAACAGGTCTTGTAGCTCATTGTCATTCAACCCGATACCACCTGCAGATGTGAGAAGAATTCGAGATGCGGCGATTGCCCATGCAGTACGAACAGTAGGTATTTTATCTTGTCGCCTGCCATAGAAGACTTGATACGCGGAAGCATGGACAGTGGCAAACGGTTTGGGGGACGCTGGATTTAATAGGGGATTGGTCGTTTGAAATGGTGGGTCGGGTTGCTCGATTGAGGGCAAAGGATAAGCAGCTGGGTCAAGAGGTGTTGGTGGAACAAGTCCAGCAATACCAATGCCAGCAGTCATGTCACCAATTGTTTCCGTGGCAAGTTGGCGTAACATTGGAGAGTCAGCAGAGAATTCGGCCTCAATCTGAGGCACAACATTGATCAAAACGTCTGGACATGCGCGCCACAGTTCCCGAAGGAGACGATGAGCTTTGCGCAAGTCGGCTAACCCTTCATGGTCATCTTCAGAATCCTCCAGATCAGAGATTCTTCGGTGAGATGCTTTCCCCGCGCCATTTGATGAAATAGTTGAGGTCGCATCAACGATGACTGTTCCGAAATACTGCGTCACATGAGCAGTCATCTTGTCGGGGCACGTTGTGCATAGAGATTTTGCCATGTTGTAAGCGGGAGGATACTCTTTAAGAAGGAGAGTGGCTTGCTTGGTGTCCTGGGTGTCTCGTCTCTTCGTCTTATTGGAAGGTTTGTCTCCGGTTCGAGCGTCAACTCGCATGAATTGAGAGATTATAATATCAGTCACATCCTGAGGCAAGGTCACCTCGTCCACAACTGATGCGAGCAGGTTCTTCAAGTGGTATTCCACGCTCTTCGAGACTTCCACTCCAGTGGCATTATTACCTGACCCAGAGACAATATCAAAAGCAGTGGTGAACAGAGACACGATAAGATTCTCGTGGTTGGGGATATCCGTGACAAGCAGAATACTCTGTGACTCTGCGAGCGAGTGTAGGATGTAGACATGCTGGGCATTGTACGCGTTTGTAGGATCGGCTAGCGCAGGAAGTATTGAGTTGATGATGACGGTGAATATGTCCTATGGGGCTACGTGAGTATTTCCTAGTTGCTGGGACTTTGGCAGCTGTGCGCACCTTGAGTTGGCCCTCGATGAACGGCGCATCGGGGGCGCAGAGTCTTAGAACATCGACAATGCATGCAACGGTCCACGCCCTCACACCTTTGTCTTTGTGGCCCAGAAGATTGGCATTGGCCAGGTCGTGCGCGAGAGTGGTGAAGCTGCGCGAGTCAACCTGATCATCTTCAAAATTGCGCAATTCGTTCCCCAGCTTTTGGAGTCGGTTCAAGAGATCAGCGACAGCTATAGGCTTGCCAGCGCGCCATGTTAGAGTATCGCTGAAGCTCAGACCAGGGATGTTATAGCGAAGTTCCTTCTGCGCAGCGTTCGCAGTCGCGACAGAGTCTCGTCGCCGAGGCGGCATCTCAATGTACCCAGGGACTACCGAATGCGCATGGTTTCATGGATGATTAGGAGATGTCGAGCAGGCGAGGATGTAGTTGGTACACAGGAGTATCGCGATGGAGAGGCAATGGGTGTGACAAGGTTAGTACCAGGTAGCCTGGGAGAGGGAGCACATCACAAGCAGACAGTCAAGGTTTCTGCGTAATGTAATTTGGTTGGAGGTGCGGGACAACTTTACGCGTCCAGGCACGCGTAAAAAACGTGTAGTACAAACCACGAAACTCCAACACAATGTGCGGGAGCTGCTTTCTAGTCGCCACTACCTCTCAAGAATGGTGACTCTTCTGCTAAGTGGTGACATTAAATGCCGAAGCACAATCAAGATGCATCGTGCGATTCATCGGAATGGAAGGCGGAATAATTTTAGGTCTGCGCTTGGATAGTTTTGGTTATTCAACTGAGCTCTATTAGTGCGTGCCCTCCAACGATAAAAGACACCATCCACACCTACAACCACCACCGTTTCGAACGCGCCCTTAATCCGCCGGACAAGCTACATATGTTGGTGCTGAAGGCATTTCATCACCTGGTTTCGATAGCCAAACCCTCAAAGTCGACGATCAGGTCATCTTTCTCCCCGTTGGGGGCAGGTTTGGCAACATAGACCCCAACCCATACTTCCACACTCTTGTCCAGACTGGCATACCAAGTCACTTCTCTCAATGCATGCTTCTTACCATCTGAGCCAACGAGCCATACCCACAAGCTGCCGTCATCGACAACTTCCATTTGTATCGTGGCTTTGTCCGTCGACTCAGGGAGTAGTGGACGAAGACTCCAGTCTGACCACTGGTCTTTGGCCACCGTGCTGATATTGGGGATTCCATATTCAAACTCGATGCCAGTCTTGACCCAACGAGTGGTGTCAGGCGTCTTTACCACGAGAACTAAACCCCCCTGGTCATATCGGTCCTTCCAAGGGGCAGAGACGGTGACCTGGGCAGCCCTGAATGCGCTTGCGGTTGTGGTTTGATAGACGATTGGAGCGTTGAAAGAGTGCGTGGAAGGAGGCTTATCCCATATATCGGTTCCGGGAGGCGATGTAATCTCAAATGGGCCTGAAGTGTCAGGAATTGGTCGATCAAAATGCACAGCCGTGTAATTCGCCGCCATCCTCGGGAAAACAATTAACGCAGTAATAGACGAACAGAGTTCAAGCTCGAGGGTGACAGTGAGCACCGATTCTGAGGGTACAAAGAGAAGCGAGTACGCCTTATCTTGCTCATCAGTGCACTTTGATCATGAACTTGAACATGCCAAAGGAATAAACCATTGCAATGGTGATGTGGCATGTCGGCTCTGAAGCGGGACACCCTGAATGTGGCACACAAGCCGCTAGAAACGACCTAACTGGGAGCGGCCCGCATTTGCAGGGAGGGGAGGCGCAGGTGTTCGGAATACGGAGATACAGAGTCGCCGCGGAGCATTGGGAGTCGTTCCAGCTGACTCAGATGTTAGCTAAGCCACGGACACCATCGGGTTGGGTGCCAGGCACCACCAGGTACAAGGTAGGGAGTACAGAGTACAGCTTTACAACGTGCCTTTGATGCACTGGCAGGCACCAGAATTTGGGGGGGGCCACTTTATGCCGTCAACTGGACGAGGTACTCCGTCCTCGTACGCGTTCAGAGTGTGTGAATGTGGTTATCGAGAAGCATTTTAAATTTCTCTGAGCAGCCAAATGCGGATCTCGATCAGCCTCAGGCTCCATTCGGGTAACCTTGCGAGGCACTGACGGGAAGGCGAAGCTTAAGTTGCGAGGGACGTACTCGTATCTAGGACAACTATAGCAACAGCGGAAAGATTATTATGTCAGACGGTTTCAATTGGCACGAGAGTGGGTTGTTTCAGCTGTTTAATCTGCAGACCGAGGTGGCCTGAATTGTTTGCGCGTGCGTGTTAGGAAGGCTGTGGCGCTCAGCCCAATCACCACCTTCTGTGGCATGCTTGAAGACGCCTGGCGCGCCTGTGGTGTGGTCTCGGTCCAATATGTCACTCAAGTTTCAACTACTCGTACAGTACGTGTACAGTACAGTGTACAGAGTACTGGGCGGTATATTCGGTAGGAGTGTGCCATTGAATTCAGACTTTCGGCTAGGAGTTCAGCTTCGGCCGCCACGTGATCGGCCAACGGTTGTGGGTTTTCCCCTTCGCAAACTTGGGAGCCAGTCCCCTTAACCGAGTCACTTGCTGGGGCTTGGATCTGGCAGACGGCAGTACCCCTTCGCAGCCCCTGGTCGTCGGTCTGGTCGTCTGGTTGTCTGGTCGTCTGGTCGTCTGGTCCGCCCTGGCGTCCCCTCCCCTGCTAACCTCCTCGGCTCTCGACATTTTAGCCTACTACAGTACGCCTACCCATCCGTGCACGCGGGGCTAAATTGCATTTTCCCACCTCGTGGTCCGCCGATCGACTGGTTTGATTGATTGATTGCAGGGGACAGAGACGCAACCAAGAAACCCTGGCTGCAGCCGATCGTCTCGTCCACCCGCCGCCCCCATCCCCAACTCAGTTTAGCCTTCTCGAAGCAGGTCCAGATTTTGGCTTGAGCCAACTTCGGGGACGGTGGTCGCTCCGTGGAGCTGCCAATAGTCCGTCGTTCATCTTTTTGCTTGGGGTGAAAGAGGCTGTGCACCTGTAGGCTGTGGCCTGCTTGAGCAGAACCGAAACCCTCGGTCGCTCTCTTCCACTCTCGCCTACCGAATGGCTGTGATGGTTTAGGGAAAATGCTTGCGAGCGTCTTCTTCCCGTTAGCAGATTCAAGTAGGACTGGCAGCCCTGAAACCTCCCGTTTTCTGAACGCCATCCTCTCCACGCGTCCAACTGCGTTTCTTGCGTCCTCCGCCCTCTCACCATTGCACTGCATTGCGTTCACCACCCACCCTTCCACTCCCTCAATACTACTCACTCATCCGACCGCCCTTCTCATTCGCCTCTCTTATACTCTGTCGCTCTGAATACCTTGCCCACCTGCACAAATGCGGCACTATTCATAATTAATAGAGAACTATATCAAGCATATGGCGCCGCAACCTCTGCGACTGCCACGCCCGCCTTCCACAGGTTCCACTGGCATTGACAATTTCCTCTCCTCTGCTGTCCCTCCCATAAATCATGACCTCTCAATGCCTGCCATATGATGAGTATGAGCTGTCAAGGACCAGTACGCACACCTCAGACAATTATGAACCCTCACTACCCCTGGACGACAACCAAGATGAACACCAACTCCACCTCCTTTCCGATCGACTCTTGTCAGACGGATCCAAATCTCTTTTCTCGACACGCTTTACCTCCCTGACCCCTACTTGGCTGCGCAAGAACTGTCGGCCCCGAAGATCGAGAAGGCGAGTCCGACGGATATCACGTCTTTGCTCCTGTTCTTTAAGATCATTTTACCGAAAACTCGCTCTTATACTATACGCCTTTGTCGCGACCATCCTCACCGTGGTAGTTGTCGGCGGAATATTTTTCCCCGGATATACTCACCCTCCCCCTCACTACGAAGCCCTCCGAAAAGCAGCAGAGGACTCTGACACTCCGGGACGTGCAAATGTTCACCACGAGAAGGTCTACATAGCAGCAAGTATATTTGACAAAGGTGGAAAGCTCGCAAGTGGGCCATGGGCCGAGAATGTACTTGGCCTGATCGACTTGTTGGGCCCCGAGAATGCCTTTTTGTCAATCTATGTCAATGATGCAGGACCGGAGGCCAAAGAAGCACTGGAAATCCTCGAGGAGCGAGTCCCCTGTGAGCATGCCCTGGTATTTGAGGAGCACCTCGGCCTTGACCAGGTTCCGCACGTCACGTTACCTGATGGGACTGACAGGGTAAAACGCATCGACTACCTGGCTGAAGTTCGAAACAGGGCTTTGCGACCGCTTGACGAGCTGGTCACCAGATTCGACAAACTCCTTTACCTAAATGATGTCGTGTTTCACCCGGTCGAGGCAGCGAACCTCTTATTCTCGACACATACCACGTCCAGTGGCCGGGCTGATTACAGAGCTGCTTGTGCAGTAGACTTCATCAACCCATTCAAATTCTACGACACCTTCGCGACCAGAGACATGGAGGGATATCGCATGGGAATTCCATTCTATCCTTGGTTTTCAGCAGGGGGATCTGAACAGACCCACCAAGATGTACTGGATGGAATTGATTCTGTGCGAGTCAGGAGCTGTTGGGGTGGTATGGTTGCATTCGATGCGCAATTCTTCCAGAACCCATCTGAGGGCCGTTACGAAAAGATTACTGCCGGAAACCAGAGTCCTAGCAACCTGTCGGCGCCATACCATTTCCGAGCCGAGCAAGATCTATTCTGGGACGCCTCAGAATGTTGTCTGATACAGGCAGACATCCAGAATCCTGAACCTGGAAATTCAGAAATCTATATGAATCCCTTTATCCGGGTTGCTTACGACACACGAACGCTGTCTTGGCTGGGATTTACACGACGCTTTGAACGTCTGTATACCCCAGTTCATTTTCTGCTCGACATCTTTGCATCGGCTCCAAAGTACAACCCTAGAAGAGATGAGGAGCCTTGGCGACATGTGGAAGAGACTGTTTGGATTCGGGATGACGAGCTCAAGCTCGGCGGCTCCTTCCAGCGTGTCACAAGAATTGCTTCTCATGCGGGATTTTGCGGTATGAGGAAGTTATCAGTCATCAAAGAAAATATCACAGAAGGAGAGCGTAACTGGGAAACACTCCCCGTCCCTCCATTATGAATCAAGCATAGCGATGGCGTTTTGGGGCATAGGCACAGGTATGGACCCGTGATCTGGTAAGCCACATCAGGCTTGAATTTCCTGTATAAAAAAAGAATTTTGGGAGTGCCACCAGTCTGGCGTTGCTCAATCTGAAGAATTCGAGCAGAATTTGACCAAATGAAAGAGGAAGATAGACGATTGACCAGTCCAGCTACTGTCGCATCAGATCTTCGAATCGCTGACCTGGACAATTAGTTATTGCATCTTGACTGTCACTGTTCGTTTATGTCGTGCATCACCCTCTTCCTCACTCGCGTGTTGGTGCCATCATGCTCTCTCCAGGTTCCCGCCGTACCCCCTTCCTTCACTTTTCCCTCACAGACCCTTCACTTTCCATCACAGACTCCTCTTGGCGCTTGTCGCGCGTTGCCTCCCGTCGTTGCCATCCCTCAGATTTACCACCCTCACGACAGGCTCCAAATCTTCGTTGGTGTGTCTTTGTTTCAAGTTTGATTCAGGGCTCATCGTGTCCGTAATGGCGCGCACCAAGCAAAATGATACTGATGACCCTGCTCACATGGCGCGGTTTCTGGCTATCATCAACGGCGAACCTGAAGAACGAATCATTGGTCCATCGTCTGCTTACAATGTCCAGGTCTGCATCACACACCCACCATCTTCAATACTCCATTGTTAACCAGTGCCAGGATTCAACTGCACCCGGTAACGTTACGCTGGCCGATACCGCAGTTAATCTAAGTGACCTTGGTCCCTCTTCGATTCCTCAGTCAGAGTCAGTTGCAGCAATGAGTACTCCGCCTGTCAGTACCCCAGATATGATTGGCAAGGCATTGGGAGAGATCATCAACGGTGACGAAGGCCAATCTCACCGTGAGCAGAACCCCGAGACAGCTATGGCATCAAGTGTCCAGAAAGATTATGATGCTCAAATCACTGGAAATCATGGCGAGGGCCACCGTGCTTGGACATCAACTCAGAAAGCTCTGCTCGCTAGACAGGCTGAAATGGCAAAGAACACGAAAGGTTGGATGGATAACGTCGTTGCCAGTTTTCGCAAAGCCAACCAAGGTGAACTGGTTCAAGGAAAATGTGCTAATACGGTCGGGATGGCACTCACTACCGGTGAGCAGGAGTCGTCTGGCATTGGCTTGTAACTAAATCTGCTCAGAAGATCAGGCATCACACTCACAGTCCCCGGAAACCGAGGCCTTCCCAACCTTCGACGAATCAGTGCAACCCAACGCACTTGGAGGAGTGCAGCTTGTTAATGACACCTCCTCTAGTCAAGCTGATCGGGAAAACTCGAGTGTTGATGGCAATGCATCTGACGGTGAATCCCCAAGTCCCGAGCGTCCCCATTCTCGACAAGAAGATCACAGTACTGGAGTCAAGGTCCCTAGTGAACCCTCTAAAATAGTGCAGTCCCCTACTATTGTGGTCACGACTAGCACAGATACTGAGGAGAGTGATGTTGGGCCTGACAGTCAAAGTGAGGGAGATCGTCAGCATCCTGCGCACTTCAAATCATGGGGTACTCCTGCAGCAAGAAACCAACCAAGTAAGTACTGTTTGTCATCCTGCTGACAACATTTGCTGAATCTCACAGGATCTCATATCCGCACTGTCCTCCTCGTGGGTCTTCCTGGCACTGCAGACCTGACGCTCGTCCAATCTCTCATTCATGGTGGTACTATCGAGACGATGAGACTGTTGCCAGGCGATACCGAGACTGGAACCACAACTGCGTATGTTACCTTTACAAGCCCAGAAGCCTTCAAACAATACTATTCAAAGTACCCCAATGGATTCGAACTTCGACACAAGGGCAAGAAATACAACGTCCTTGTGGACAAGCAAAAGCGGGTTGATGTCATGAGCAGTGCTATGAATGCATACCTCGAATGTGGAGCTACCCGTGTCCTCAAGGTCAGCGGCGCAGAGGATGATTGGGGAGTTGTGGCTTTACACAAGATTGCCACCGGCAAGTCCAACACCCGTCAAATCGAAGCTATCACAGATACCTATAGCAATTTGGTAAGGTTGCACAGGTTCTTCCAGTACAGTAGTCAGCTAACAGAGACAGGTCCGCACGATTTTCTTCCGCTTCACCAATATTCCAGATGCCGTGAAGTTCAAAGCGCACCTTGTACGAGATGTCGACTGGGAATCATGCAGGTTCGAATTTGTGGAGGATCCATGTGCGAAGGCATCTGGCTTTCACTGCGGTCGGGTCTAGAAAAAGAGACGGTACTGAAGTTTCAATGTTGTAATCGCACAGACAGAGCTGCACCTCAGTAGTGGGCGGATGACCGAGAAGACAGTCTAGAGAACTGCGCGCATGGAATGGATGGTGCCTTGTCGAGTTTGACAACATGTCCAAGGGGTCGAGCACGAATGGGCCAGCAGCTAGGTTTAGCTTGAATAGCTATCTAGATCATTGCCAGATGGGGAGGTCTTGTTCGAACTGATGACGTTTCCAGCACTGTTCATGGAGAATGACACATGAAATTGGGGCTTGCTGTTACCCAGTTGTCCAGCAAGATAGCAGGCTACATGACAAACCAAAGAAAATCCAATCCTTTCAATTCGGAAGGCCGTGGTGATTCCGCCACTGGCACCCCCAACGTCAAAGCCCCCCACGTGATTGAGATTCTCGTACAATCGTTCGGCGCAGAGTTCGCGAACGGACGATGACTCGATGGGCCACTTCCCTCCCGATCTGGAGATCCTGAACCAACCCCACATTGGCCGAAGCTCTCATTGCGACATTTTTTTTCTTCCTTTCTCTTCTGGCGAATCTTGCTTCACGACCGCCGGTACAAGATTGTTTTCGTCCGTCTTCGACATTCACTCTCTCAGTCCCAATTCTCCATATTTCCAATAACCAGTCTCCCAGTCAAAGACCCAAGGACCTAGGTATCCCTCGCAGAAGCTATGGGTCAACCATCGCAACCTGCCTCTAACGGCATTCTCTATACGACCTATGCAGTATTCCTGTGCGATGAATATGCCCTGCTCTTCCTACAGGGCTTCCATATCTGACTGAAATCCGCTCTAGGTTGGCCGGTCTCTTCATCGCATGGAGGCTGCGCCATCAATCCAAGGGCGAATACCTTGCGAGCTTGCGAACACAGAAGGGTCAGCATCTCATCTGGACATGGGTGTTAATATCAAAACATCTATTTTCGCATGCTTCCGACTCTCTCCTTTTGGAAAGATGTTAACAAAAAGATCGTTCTAACCACTTTCTGTAGGCATTCCATTGGCCCTCAACTTCATCGCCTCGGGTGAGTGCACTCGAAGGGCAGCTGTGGCATGAAGCAAGTAGCCGGGGAGCCGGGGCACGCGAAAAATAGCAACAGCAAAGACTCCGAGTTTCGAGATCGAGAAATTGACATCATCGCATGATGATCAACTACTGATTTGCCCGATGACGCTTCTGCTCATCGCTATCTGAGGTTCGTACGCTCGCATCAACGACATTGGCCTTTCTTGGGCTCCCTCGGTTTGAAGATCGCCTCTCGCCGGTGAAAGGTGCCGCTTGCTTCCGAGGCGGCGGCATCTTCTCCTTTTGGAGGTGCTTCAGGCTGAGGAGCGCAAGAAAGGGTCAATGTGCAGCACTACGGGCGCTCTATGCGGGAAGATTAAGATCCACGTACTCTATGCATTCGAACCCGGTGACTTCGTGTTCATCCAACTGTTTCTTCAAGGGCCGCAAGACAGTCCTCGACAACTCAGAGATGAACTCAGATTGTTTTCCGTGGCTCAAATGCTAGAGTCCACCGCATAGATGCTGAGATTGTACCGTTAAGACTCGATCAAGTTAATGCTTGCGTGGGAAACGTGCTGCCACTTCTGTCCCTTTCCCTTTTGTTTTCGACTGCCCACTCAACCTCCCCGCTTTCCAATCCACTCATTCGCGCTTCCATCGAATGAGCGTACTGACAGTCATTTCTCTTTTACCGATGTATAGCTCTAGGATCCGGTATTCTCTTCACCTACCCGCAGATTGCGACCATCGCAGGCGTGCAGGGCCTCGTCGTCTATGCATTGTCTTCTGCACTGCCACTACTGGTCTTTGCCTACCTTGGTCCGAAGATCCGCAGGAAATGTCCTGAAGGATTCGTCCTGACTGAGTGGACGAGACAACGATATGGTACTTTCACCGCCCTATATCTTTCTGCCTTGACGTACGTGGACATGCCTCTTTTCCTCGGTCCCGTTCAACCTGACCTGACATTCGCTTGTGAATAAATTCTAGTTTGATTACGATTTTCCTGTACATGGTGGCGGAACTCTCGGCTCTACAGCAGATCGTCAATTCGCTGACAGGGCTCAACGGGCTGCCGCCAGTCATCGTTCAGTGCGCGGTGACCACCATCTACACATCCCTCGGCGGATTCAAAGTAAGCTTCATCACGGACAATATTCAAGGAGCCATGGTTGTTGGTTTAATCATCATTGGCTGCATCACGGTGGGGGTCAAGACCGAGGTCCAGCGCGATCTGATCGACAAGAGCGGCTATCTCAACGCCAGCTTGCTCGGCTGGCAACTCATTTATATCCTCCCCGTGGCGATCTTGACCAACGACTTCTTCCTCTCGGGTTTCTGGATGCGAACGTTCGCCGCAAAGACTGACAAAGACCTCTACGTCGGGGTCGGCCTCGCCACCGGCGCCGTAGCCGTCATCCTGACTCTGGTCGGTGTTTCGGGCCTCCTGGCAGGATGGTCCGGCGCACTGGGCGACCCGCCGGAGCAGTCTTCGATCGCGCTCTTCCTCCTCCTGGAACAGCTTCCAGCGTGGGTTGTCGGCATCGTCCTGGTAATGGTAGTGTGCCTTTCGACGGCAGCATTCGACTCATTCCAGTCCGCAATGGTCTCCACCGGCTCGAACGACATCTTCCGCAACCGCCTCAACTTCTGGTACATCCGCGCGGCCGTCGTGCTCCTGATATTCCCCGTCGTGGTCGTGGCCCTCAAGAGCCCGAGTGTGCTGCAGATCTACCTGATCAGCGACCTGATCTCCGCGAGCTCCATCCCTGTCCTGGTCATCGGGCTCAACGACCGCGCCTACGCCTGGCGCGGCTTCGAGGTCGTCGTCGGCGGCCTCGGCGGCCTCTTCACCGTCTTCCTGTTCGGCCTCGTCTACTACGATGGCGACGTCTCGTCCGCCGGCTCGCTCCTGCTGCTCGAACAGGGCCTCTATGCGAACGACTGGAGTGCCTTTGGCGCTTTTGTCGCTGCGCCCGTCGGTGGCCTGCTTTGGGCTGCGGCCGCGTTTGCCGGCCGGTTGGGTGTCCAGTGGTTCCTCGCCCGCATGAGGCGCGAGCCCTTCACGGCGCTAGACAAGCCTGCCGCTCCGTCAGCTAGCTTCTATACTGGCCGCCCTTCGGAGGAGGCGGTGAGGGACGTCTATACCGATCCGGAAGGTGTTGAGAGGAGCGACGTCCAGATCAAGGGTAAGTTCTTCTAGGTGCGAGACACACCAGGTGCTTGAAAGAGATGGTGGTGAGGCTGGTGAGGCTGGTGAGGCTGGGAGGCAGCGGCGAGCGGGATAGAGGAGCGGCTTTCATCACAAGGACAATAAGGAACAGAGAACGTGCGACCTGGAAGAAAGCAGGGGACCAACACTTGGTGGGAGTGGGAACGGAGTGATGGGGAAGTAGAGAGCGTGTGTGAAAGCGAGGAAGGGAGGTATAAGAACCAACATAGTGATGCACGAAGTTCCTCGGTATGGTTCTTATACATAATCCGTCCCGAGGACTTGGGTGGCGGGGTTTCAGTCTCCCTCCGTGCCACGGTTACTGCAAAGCTGCTAGGAGGACTGTACCGGCTGTGTGTAGATATGGAGGATGAGGAGGCTAGGTCCCCAGGGATGCCTGCCGCCTGAGCGTACAGCGTGCAGAGGAGTCATCCATAATACAGAGATCCACTAAGCGATGGAACGGAGGTGGTAACTGGGTTTGGTAAACATCTAACTAGATTCCGGACTACCTAATACATTATGTTGCCCTCAACGGTGGACTTTGTGTTTGGTTTTCTTTGCGATGCAGTCCTCTAACCACGGGGATACAGTCCAGTAGTTAGGTTAGGGCTGGCCAGGTCTTATTGCCTCAAGGGGGTTGTTGCATCTATTCTAGGACTCTCGAAAAGTAAGAACGAGGACTTTTCATCTTGTAATCGTTACTTTCCAGAGTTAATGTAATTAGCATGGGAGCATGGAGCCCCGCCCGCGCGTCCAAATTGAGCTTCCGAATAGCCAGAGGGTCAACATCATCATCAGGGACCTACAAATCCTATGCATATCCACGTCTCCCAACATAGACTAGCCACTCTCAGGGGCCTGCTTCTTCCTCCCATTGCCTCGCCAGCCACCCCCAACGCCATAGCAGCAGACACCGTTGGCCTCACACCAGTCACGGACGTCAAGAGCAGTGACCTGGCGGTCTTCCTTGATGGAGCGGAAACCGTCTGTATTGAGCCACGCTGTCAGGTCTTCTAGCACTATTGGATCGTACATGAGGATCTTCTCGCGCCAGGTAGGCGTTATGGCCAAACCAGTCGGAGCTTTGCTGTGGTTGGAGGAAGCTGCTTTTGACCCGGAGGACTTCGAGGCGGGATCCGAAAATTGCTTGTGGCTTGAAGGAGGAGGATTCTTGAACATGATCGCAGTGCGGATTTGAGATTGGAGGTCTGGGAGGAGAGGAGTCTGGATGGGTGAGAGGATTGTTGGTTGCGTCCCGGAGACCTTGAGCGTGAGACCGTCTGGATTTATGTCTTCGTCTTCTTTGCGAGTTTCAAAGGTTGGTGACGAGGGAACATCGGGTGTGAGCGTAGGCAGAGGCATAGCTAGCTTAGAGGACTTCTTTGGCTTGGCTGCTTTGACTTCTTTTGTGACAGCCTCTGTCGCAGGCTTGGATTCATGATGCCCAACGTTTTCAATATCATCGACATCATGAACGATTTCTTCGGATGATTCGGAAGTCTTGCTCTTTCGTTTTGCGGCGGCAGGCTTCTTTGGCGCCTTCTCTTTGGGGGCCTTTACTTTAGGCTCGGCGTTCTTTCTCCTCTTTGGCTCTTTCGGGGTTGTGGATGGATCATTCTCAGATTTCCGCTTTGCCCTCGGTTTCTTGACTTTAGGCACAGGTCGAGTGGAGACATCATGGACTTTACTAAGGAAGTCTGCATGAGTCATGGCATCAGCTGTTTCCTTTCCAGCTGGTTTGGGGTTTGAGTCTTTCCCAATGTCGGGACCATATTTATCTTCCCAGCACATTTCAAGGAGTTCAATCATTTTCTCACGTTTCTTAATTGGCTTGAAGCCATAGGCGGATATCTGACGTTGTAGGTCGTGATCTGACAAACCCATGAAGGAAGGCTTCGTTGGAGCAGCTGTAGACTTTGGCCGTAGTGCCTTTTTAGCGGCAGGTTCCATCAGATCCTCAGCTACAGGAGTAGGAGATTTCCTTGATGCTCCCAACGAAGCTGACGTATGATAAGCCCTTGTCTGTAGCTGAATTGGCGATTTGAGGTGCTTGAATGCAGGTGCAGTGATATCATCGATATCAACGAGAAGATTTCCCTTGTGAGCCAAAGGTGTTCTGTGCATACGGTTCTCTCCTGTTAAGACAGGTCCATGCTTCTTGTCAGTTACAGATGCCGGCTGAAGAAGGACATCCTTCCCAGCAAAAGCAAAACGGATTGCGGGTGAGTCGCTGAGATCTATCGTGTCAACATGGAGAAGGGCGTTGTCCGGATCTCTACCGGCCGCGGCCCATAAATTTCTTCGTTTGACATAGCGACTGGTACCCTTACACAGTTCCTGGGAGCTTGCCTCAATTGATGTCAATTGTGTCCTCTGGGGTGAAATATTGTCAGACGAGAGGAACAATTCAGATTGTTTCGTGGGCTTAAGAGTATCACGAATGAGGGATGGGGATTCCTCGCGAGCAAGTTGACTTGCAGACCCAAATATCATACTCTGGTCATTCAATGACTTCATCGCTGACGCTGGAGACACCAGCCGACTTTTCGATGGAGCTTTTTTGGAGACTCGGCTCTTCTTCGTGCCGGGTTTTGGCCTCACCTTCTTACTGCTGCCTTCTTCCACCGAGCATACTTCAGCAGGACGAACTTGCGTGGCAGTCAAGAACTCCAACATTGATGCAGGCTTGCCCTGATTGAGGTGTTCTTCGCCATAGTTTGTAGTTGCTAAATGTGTGATGGTAAGAGCTTTCTTCACAGAAGGCTTAGTCTTCTTCATCGACAACGTCTTTTCTTGCTTTGCCGTGTTTCGACCTTTTGTGACTGGCAGAGATATTTTGGTTTGCAACGCTGAGGTGTGCAACATATCAATGCGGCGTCGTTTCAGTGGTATACCATTGATATTTTGTCCTTCAGATATGGAGTCTTTGACAGGGCCCTCAAATGTGTAACTTTGCATCAGGGCATGCGCAAAGGCAGAATTTTCAGTCTCAGCCACTTCAAGTGGCACACCAGCGGACTTGGTCGGAGTCCAGTCCAATTTCCTGGGCAATGCTTTTTCCCTATAACCAGATTCCGAGTTCACCTCGGGGCGAAGGCTCTCCACGAGGATTGAATCACGTTCAGGCACAGTCTTGGCTTGAAGACTGGATGGATTGTATTCTGGTGACAAGGATCCCGCTCTAGTCGCTTCACCATATACGAAAAGTAGACGATCGGCACTTCTGGATGGTGAATGTGACGGCAGATCATGATGTCCTTCGTCGCGGCGTTCGTTTTCGGCATTTTGCAGTGGCTCTTCTTGAGACCGATATCCAGGTTGTTTGAACTTCGTCCGCCCCAGCGAGCCCACCAGTATGTTTTCTGCACCGGGCTTGGGATTCAGCATTGAACGGCCATTGCTGAACACACCGGAGACTCCATCTCTTGTTCTATCCGCTGACTTGAACCGTAAAGAACCTATGCAAGGTTCACGAAGGACTGCGCCGGGCGAGGGCAATGAGGGAGAACTGTCAGCAGGGGTTGGTGAATGTGCAAATAATCTGGGTGGCGACGAAGAGAGGAAGACGATTGTCGCCATGGTGGGAATGCCAGCGGCTGCCCATTGGCGGGATCTGACGACAGCCAATTTGAGTCAATGAAAGAGCATTTAACATTGATAGAGCATAGTTAAGGCGCTTGTGGGGTCTTTGCACAGGTGTTGCTGTTCACTTGTGCCTCATACATACGGTGGCTCAAGTTCAAATCGTCAAGACTCTGGATGAAGGCCGTAAACAAAGGCGCATTGAGTCAGTGCTTGGCACTTGAAGTGGGGATAGTGGTGCGGTGCATGACTCGAACCTTGACACGAGAGCACGTGATCCATCCGCTATCTAGGTACGTTTCTGGACGCCAAAAACGAGAAAAAAAATCCCAGGTGACTAGGATAGCCCAATTAAAACCCGGGTAAACTCCAAGGCTAGGTTCGCATAGTGCTGTGACATGAACTTTGCCGGAAGATATCGCATAAACGCCTTGCCAAAGCCCCCACCCGGTGATGCAGTCCTATTCCGGTTCGCTTGAATCAACTCCGCATTTTCCTGCCAGATCTTTCATCAATATTCCTTTTGCTATGGTTGGCTAAATATAACTGTCATCGGAAAAGCTGCCGCCCAGGTGCTGCAGGTCCTCCCCAGGATCAGGCACGATCTGTGCAGGGGGAGGAGATTCGGGCGGTCTTCTCGAAGGTGTTGATCGATCGGAGCGGTTTGTGGTAGTACTTGAGTCGGACTCTTCTGCGGTAGAAGTATTGCTTTCTTGGTCGACATGCGGTGGGTGGGGTGGCGGGGAGGGATTTTCGCTAGGGCTCCGCAATGCTGTTGAGGTCAGATGTGCCATCAACTCGGAGGGATCAAAGTCTACTCACATTGAACGAGGCTGATGCATAGCCTGCCACTGGTCTCCAGGCATTCAAAGAAGCCGCGCACGAACCAGCGAGCAGCAATAAGAACGTAGTTGAACAAAGCCGTGAACGGAGTCACGAGACCGAAACCCTGTCGCATACTAGGAGCTCTGATATGAATGCCTGAAGAATGGAGTCAATTCTCTACGCAATTTAGTAGGATCGCTCTCCCCGACAGTCAATGGCATTTCAGCTAGGCAGTGGCGAGTCCTGGGATTAAGTATCCTCGTCCTCTATCACAATCGGCCAAATCACCAGCGAAAAAATCGCGCACATTGTATCAACGAGCACAGTTTGCTTTCCAGAATTGCATGGGAAAGCAGAACACAAAATCCAGGTGATGGGTGATTTGGCCAATTTGGGCTTCATTTACAGGACATAAAGACCCTGGACAAAGCGCAGAGGGAGTTTGACAACATAGCCCAAAGTCGCATTTGGTCATGCAGAGACATCACCTCAAGAGAGCTGTGAGCCAGGCAGAAGTTGCCCTAGCGTCTCTCAAGTTAATCGTAAAGGAGATAGAAACGAGGCTTGGATTTGGGACGAGGATGTGATTTGGGTAGTGAACAGGACGGATCGGAAAATATATGATGCGGAAGCTGATGGGGACGGTTGGCTGATGACTCAGGGGTCACGGCCTGTGGACACTGGAAGCTGTTCAGGTGTCGGTGCATCGCTCGCGGCGCAGTCGATTGCCAGAAAACTACCATTCCAGAGTCGAGGAAGGCTTGTGGACAGGCATGCGGCGACGAATCCTGTTGGGTGCTCAGAAGAAACAAGTCGAGGGGATTTAAAAGCCACCCAACCTTTACGGGTACAGAGCTGGGAAGTTTATCCCCACCACTGGTCAGCCGCAAAGCCCCACGGCCCTGCCTTCCATTGGGGCCGACTAACACGGGCCACGGGAATCCGCGAGGCCCTGGTCACTTGTGTATGAGTAGTTAGACCGTTCGAGCCTAGAAACAGTCACGCACAGCTTCAATTAGCGCCCAGCTTCGGCTGAGCATCGACGATGAACATCTAAATGTCCTACGTCGTGCAGCATGAAAGATCTTTTCCCTTTTGACAATCTCATTGAAACCATTATTCATTGTTAGCATCTGAGAAATCCCTGATCACCCATTGGCGTGGAAGGTTCAACTCCTTGATTCATCAGATCAGGCTGAGAGGCCTTGAGTTTGCTCCCCAAAAGCCACCGACGTGCTCGCCCTTAACGAGTACCGGAATGGCTTCTGAGGACGAGTCGCAAGGTAATGATCATCATCACGATGAGACCGAATGGGAAGCGCACAAGGAGAACTTTCGAAGATGTTACATGGACAACAACATGACTCGCAAGGAAGCAGCACTGTTCATGAAGAACGTCTTCGGCTTCGACGCAACTCCACGACAGTGGGAACGCAGAATCAAACAATGGGGCTTTCAAAAATACTCCACTCGCGAAGAGAGAATGCATCAGATCGCCCAAACGGGCAAAACAGTCCTCGATGTCAGTAAACCTGGACGACGGCCTCGCGCGCAGAGCAACAACAGCCTCCATCCTCGTGAGGATAGAAATCTTCGCCGATTTGCCCGTCGAGAAGTGAGTCGTTCGAGGTCAAGAACGAGGTCTAACTCTTTCACCAACTCTTCGCGGCCTGACTTAGGGGACGAATTTCAAGAGGCTGGGCAATCCACCTTTGATGAACAACCCTTCAATCCGAACTTTGCGAGCCCTCCATTATTACAGCCTCAAACCAGTGTTGGATACATTCCTACCATTACAGCGACCGGACCACATCCAGAACATCTGATGCAGTTGAATTATACTCAGGGACAAAAAGCGCCTGACCTCGATAGAACTGCCGGTCACGACGGGCTATTCACGGTCGACAATAGAAAATGGAATGGTCCACAGGTCCCTTCATCAACAAACCAATGGAATTCCTCTGAAAGCCGCGCTCACATGCAACAATTTCCTCCTAATTTGTTATCTCAGACCTCCATGGATCGGACTGTACGGAATCCAAATGGATCCTACCTGAATGAAGCCGAGCCTCCACTCGGCTTTCAGATGGGTGGCTCAACAGCACTTTCGAATGCACAATATGACTTTGGCGTTTCAAGGGATAGTATTGGAATAAATCCGAACGTGCTCAGTAACAATTCGATGTCTGAACAGCAATTGTACGACCAGAACTTACAACATACACAAGTTTCAACAGTCGTCGATGAGACAGACTTTAACTCGATTAACTTTCAGTTCGATGTTGTTGATGTCGACTCTGTACCGTCACAGCTTAACATTAACGAGGACAATTTTAACCCGATTCCACCTGTGTCAGGAGGGTTTTCCGGCACGAACGCATCAGTATTCGGTATCAATTTTACCGGACCGCTGCAGAACGATGTTGGTCCATTGGTGGAAGAACTCATCAGAAACATGCGAGACGTTGCTATAATGGGAGACGGTACCGGACTTGAACACAAATTAAGCGCAGAAGGTAAGTAGAGTGATCCAATTATCGAACTATACTGACGAGATCGTGGTAGCCCAATTTTTTACCGATCGATTGGCTATTGTGTTGGACAACTTCACGAAGTCACAGCAGCGGGCAGTTCAAGACATGCGGCGGACTTGTAGCAACTTACGGGAAAGGAACAAAATTCTCGAGACTATGCTTGCTGGTGAGTATACTCTCGTACTGCCGCTGGATTGATGATTGACTGTGTATATAGCATCGCAAATACAGCCCAGCATTCCACCAGAAGCGCATCCTCACCACTCGTCACTTCCACTCCAACCCTCGAACTACGGGAACCTGTACCATCAGCCCTTGGGATCCAGTGAAGACAACATTTACATGGACTCTCACACCCTCCTCTAAGGTGTCACGTGGCCTTGCACGCTCACGCTAATTAGCGGCACGGCCCTATGAACCGCGCACAATTGGAGTCACTTTAAAAGTCACCCCAATATCAGCACAGCTTCAATTTGTTGGCAGAGGCGGCCGAGGCTTCCTTTCCTGGGCACCATCACTGACACCTATCATGTCCTTCGTCAGCCGAGCATCTAAAAATCCCTATGAAGATGTTGGTGATCCTTTACGACTCTGACTGTCTCCTGCACCAGACCGTTGAACTCCTTGGTTCGAAATTAATCCCTGCTCTGGAGTCCCCTGCACGGCTGGAGGCGATACTAAAGACCTTACGCCTCTCAAGCTATGAACTTCGTTTGGTGCAATCGAGTGCAATCGAGGATAAGACCTGGACAAATCGGCTGATCGAAATTACGTCAAATACCCATGATGAAGCATATTTGCAGCATTTACGCACGGTGTATGATGAATGGCTGTCAGCTGGCCTGATCGAGGCTGATGGCCACGTTCTCCCAGAATGTTTCCCTTTTCCAAACTCGACAAGAGACCCACCGCGGGTCCCAAAAGATCTGTTCGCCCGGGCAGGATACTATGCTTTCGATATGAGTTCTGGAATCATGTCGGAAAGCTATCAAGCCATTGTCGCATCGGCTAATCTTGCCTGGGAAGGCGCCGATATGCTGACCGGCCTTTCAGCCAGTCAAACCTCCGAGCCCGATACTGTTTTTGCACTGTGCCGACCACCAGGACATCATTGCGATGGCCAAAGGGTCGGAGGTTATTGCTACATCAACAACGCAGCGCTTGCAGTCAGCACTTGGCGATCAAAATATCCTGGCTCAAGGATCGGCATACTAGATGTTGACTTCCACCATGGGAATGGAACTCAGGAAATATTCTATGCTGATCCCAAGGTCTTCTACGCGAGCATTCATGGAGAAGATGAGTATCCTTACTACACAGGAGCAGAAAATGAAGTTGGTATCGGCGAAGGCGCGGGCTTCAATGTCAACCTTCCACTGAAGGTTGGAAGTCCGATCGAGGAGTATCTTGAGAAGCTTGAATATTGTCTCACACGATTGGTCGCGTATGGCCCAGAGTTCCTGGTGGTAAGCCTCGGCTTCGATACATTTCACAGTGACCCTTTGGGCTCATTCCAGATTCATACTGAGGACTATGCAACGATTGCAAGGAGAACAAGGGAGTCTCTGCGAGATATCCCGGCCTTGATCCTGCTGGAAGGAGGTTATGTGATAGAGCATTTGGGAAAGAATGTCTTGTCATTTTTGGATGGGTGGAAATCTGTTTCAGGTACTTGATCAGGTGTTTTAACCGGCCTCTTGTATCTTTGGGGAGCTTTGCGCCTTTTTCAGGAAATATAACACGGTAGGGAACAACCTTGCGAGGTAGAAACATACCATTGTGAATCACAATAAATTCAGTTATGGGTAAAATCCCTCTTCCCATTGTCTCCATCTGTTCGCCGCTGCAGGCAAGGCTTCTACCACCACGACATGTTATGAACCGCCATTGAAACATGAGATACTTTCAACTTCTGTTCATAATTTAGAATCTTGTGGTATCGTACTAGAATAACGTCATTGTCACCAAGATGGGGTGGGTTTAGGAGTGTTGTCTTGGCCATCCATCTCCTTTTCCAGCGTATCATAAGCGTGCTTAAGAATGCCTGTAATTTTCTTCAACTCTTCCTCGGTGACATTATATGGGGGTGATACAATCGCATGATCGCCGTTGGTGCCATCCACAGTGCCGGCTCCAGGATAAACTGCTACACCTAACTCAAAGGCTGTCGTTTGGAACCTGGCTCCAAAGCGCACGGTTGGTGAGAATGACTTTCTCGTAGCTTTGTCTTGGACGAATTCTAGACTCCAGAACAGACCTTTGCCTCGGATGTCACCCACATACTTGGTTGACGCGAATGTCTCAACGAGAAGGCGGTGCAGGATCACGCCCATTCGGGCGCAATTCTCAATGAGGCCATCTCGGCTTAATATCCTTTGAACAGCGAGAGTCGACGCACATGCCACGGGGTGCGCTTGGTAGGTGTGTCCGTGGTTGAAACTGCTCGTGCCCTTCTTCAAGACGTCGATGACCTTCTTGTGAGCCAGCACACCCGCGATGGGGGAATAGCCGCCTCCCAGGCCCTTACCGATGGTCATGATATCGGGAACAATGTCTTCCTGTTCAAAGGCAAAGTAGGTCCCTGTTCGACCCATGCCACTCATGACTTCATCCAGAATCAAGAGGATAGAATACTTATCACACACTTTCCTGACCCCCTTGAAATATCCCCTCGGAGCAGGAGTGCATGCACTGGTGGCTCCGACAACCGGCTCAGCGACAAAGGCAACAATACTCTCCGGACCGAGTTTCTGAAAATGCTGATCCAACTCCTCGACAAGCCTCTCGGCAAACTGATCCTCGGTCTCTCCGTCCTGCCACCTCGAATACTGATACTGGTACGCGGGGCTCACCCAGCTGCAATTATTGGACTGGAAGCAGGTATACTGCACCTTTCTAGGCAAATTGCTACTTATATTCATGGCCCCGATAGTCGTACCATGATAGCCCTGTTTACGGGCGACGAAGTTAGTCCTGTCGAGCCGGCCCAGCTCGAAGAAATATTGTCTCGCGAGCTTCAGGGCCGCGTCCATGGCCTCGCTGCCGCTGCCGACGAAATACGCACGGTCGAGGCCAAACCGCCGGCCGCCATGTGGTCCGTCGATCAGATGACTCGCCAGCTTCTCCGCGGCGTCTGTCGTGTATGTCAGGGAGTGGAGGTAGCTCACGCCGGTGCTCATCTGGCGCTGCACCGCGGCCATCACTTCCTCGTTGCCGTGCCCGATGCATGCTACCGCTGCACCACCGCAGGCGTCCATCACGACTCGTCCGTCTGATAGATTGAGATAGATGCCTTTGGCTGAATCGACCATGTAGGGTCGTTGGAGTAGCGACCGATGGAATAGTGCTGCTGGTGGGGAGTCTTCCAGTGGAGCAAGAATGCTCTCTGCCATGTTCTCCACCCCGCCGCTGGAGGGCTGCTCTTTCTGCGAGTCGTTTAGGACCATGGCTGGCTTTTAGTCTCTGTTCTTGGGTTATGAACAACTAAAAATAACTGAAAGGCGTACTTCAGAGATATTTCATCAGGTCTTAATGAATATTGTACAGTACAAGGATGGTTTGTCTGTAATCAGCGTTCTCAAGGAGAACAGCCCATCTGTTCCAATGTACACGTATTTATATATCCTGGGCTGATCGGTAGTTCACGAGCAACAAGACGCAGGCAATGCTTTGGAAGGCGTGTCTTGGGTATTCGTATCTTCATCGACCTATGAGGGTTAGAGTTCGGCTCCGCTCCGCGAGGCAAGGCAATCGAGAACGAACATCGCTGAACTCCGTGACTTGGACACGGCAACCCATAACGAATCTGGTGCACAGGCAGAAATAAATCCGGAGTCTTGAATCCTCTGTGCTTTGGCCACTCTGCAGATGTGGTTTCTGACAACACAAAGAAGCCAAAGGCTGAAGACCATAACTGAAGCTGCTTTGGAATTGCCTTTGCCTTACCCTTGCGTACAAGTAATTACTCATTGTGTCAGATACAAGGCGCACAGATGGATTGTTGATGATGATGCCTAATGGACTGGCCCTGACTGGACAACAGAATGGCTGGAGCGCCAACCCCGAAGTCGGCGGGTCGGCCAAACTCGCTTCCGGTGAAAAATAATTTGGGGAATTCGCTTGGGCGAGGAGCCACAATGAATCTAATGAACATGGAGCTTCAACTCTCCCGATCTTTCGAAGATTGCGAGTTCACCACACAGTGCAAACATGTCTGCACTACTGCAACGGGCACCCGCCCTTCGTCTCCGGTCGACCCCTCTGGACCTCAGAGTAGCTGGATCTCGTAGCTACGCAGTCCACGCTACAGCACCCACTATCCCTCGACGAAAGGCTGCGGTCCCTCCGTACCAGAAGATTCTGAAAAACTTTGAGAATGTCAGAAGTATTCTAGGATCCCGAAAACTCACTCTGGCCGAAAAAATCCTTTACGCACATCTTGAAAATGCGGAAGAATCGCTCCTGACTGGTACCCACAATGGGCAAAATATCCGTGGAGTTGCAAACCTCAAGCTCAGGCCCGACAGGGTGGCCATGCAGGATGCTTCTGCTCAAATGGCTATCTTGCAGTTCATGACCTGCAACCTCCCATCCACTGCCGTCCCTGCCAGCATACACTGTGACCATATGATTGTGGGCGAGAAGGGTGCGGACACGGATCTACCCAACTCGATAGCAGGCAATAAAGAGGTTTTTGACTTCCTTGAGTCGGCGGGGAAGAAATATGGCATGGAATTCTGGCCACCAGGCGCAGGTATCATCCATCAGACAGTATTGGAGAACTATGCTGCACCAGGTCTCATGATGCTTGGAACTGACAGCCACACACCAAATGCTGGTGGCTTGGGGGCCATTGCAATTGGTGTCGGTGGTGCCGATGCTGTTGATGCTCTGGTTGACGCGCCCTGGGAATTGAAAGCACCCAAAATCCTTGGTGTGCGGCTTGAGGGCAAACTCAGTGGCTGGGCGTCTCCCAAAGACTTGATCCTCCACCTTGCCGGTCTGCTCACGGTTCGTGGCGGCACTGGATCCATTATCGAGTACCATGGTCCGGGCGTCGAGACCCTGAGCTGCAGTGGCATGGCAACTTCCTGCAATATGGGAGCGGAAGTTGGAGCGACGACGTCGATATTCCCGTTCTCAGAGAATCATATTCCATATCTGCAAGCCACTGGAAGAGAATCGATCATTGATGCGGTCAAGGGAATTGCATATGGGTCCGAGCAGTACAATTTCCTGCGTGCCGATGCTGGAGCACAGTACGATCAAGAAATAACGATCAATCTATCCACACTCGAGCCTCATATCAACGGGCCTTTTACGCCGGATTTGTCCACCCCGTTGTCGAAATTCAAGGAAGCTGTCAAGACCAATAGCTGGCCCGATACCTTCTCCGCGGGCCTGATTGGCAGTTGCACAAATAGCTCCTATGAAGACATGACACGAGCTGAGGATCTCGTGAAACAGGCACAGGCCGCTGGACTGAAACCAAAATCCGACTTTTTCATTACCCCTGGAAGTGAACAAATACGTGCCACTCTAGAAGAGAGCAAGACATTGCAAACTTTCACAAGTGCCGGTGGGACTGTTCTCGCAAATGCTTGTGGACCCTGTATTGGGCAGTGGAAACGGACCGATGGCATCAAAAAGGGCGAAGAAAATGCCATTCTCTGCTCATACAACCGAAATTTCCCTGGGAGAAATGATGGAAATCCTCGTACGATGAGCTTCTTGGCATCTCCGGAAATTGTCACGGCGATGTCGTATGGTGGCTCCACTTCTTTCAACCCTTTGATCGATGAAATCCCATTACCATCTGGTGAGAAGTTCAAGTTTGAGCCTCCCAAGGGTACTCAACTTCCGGCTTCTGGTTTTGCAATGGGTAATCCTGCCTTCCTGCCTTTGTCTGCTGAGCCGGATTCGAATATTCAAGTCGTGGTCGATCCTGAATCTGACCGCTTGGCTATTCTGGAACCATTCGAAGCATTCCCCTTGGGTGAGCTCCAGAGATTGAAAGTCCTATACAAGGTCAAAGGCCAATGTACGACCGACACGATCTCGGCTGCCGGCCCGTGGTTGAAATACAAGGGACATTTGCCCAACATCGCCGAGAACACCTTGATCGGTGCCATCAACGCAGCAACAGGAGAAACCAATGTCGCTTATGACAGTGATGGTAGTAAATCCACCATCCCTGAGCTTGCAAAGAAATGGAAGGCACAAGGCCAGAACTGGTTGGTAGTTGCAGAAGATAACTACGGTGAAGGATCTGCTAGAGAACACGCTGCATTACAGCCCAGATATCTGGGAGGACAGGTGATTTTGGCCAAAAGCTTTGCGCGTATCCATGAGACCAATTTGAAGAAGCAAGGAGTTGTTCCATTGACGTTCGGTAACAAGCAAGACTACGACCGCATGGACGCGAATGATAAGGTGGACACCGAGGGTCTCTGGGACGTACTGCAGAATCACGGCAAGGGCGAGATCAACCTGAAAGTGTGGAAAGAATCTGGTGAAAGTTTCACTATTCCCGTCAAACACACTTTGAGCAAGGATCAATGTGCTTTCATCCTGGCAGGAAGCGCACTGAATCTTCTTGCAAAGCGTCACCAATCTGGTTAAGCTGCCTCTGATCGATCATTTTCTCTGCACGTGTTTGCAGAGCCTCGCTGGGCTGCGTCAAGATTAAAATGAGGCTCGGCTTTGGGTTTCAGTCTTGGCACTTATGGATGCGATGATTGGTTGCTGGGAGGCCCCGTCCCGGGAGATTGGGGCTTCTTACATCTATCCAATGTTCTCACAGCCACTTTGTCTGTGCCACACAAAGATCGACACCAACTTATCGAGGGACGTGGGAAAGCTCGTTGCGCTCAGCTGATAAGTCAAGATGAAGTGGACGACCATACTTCTTGAAACCAAGCTTGGTTCTTGCTTAAATTCTCCCGGAGCAAAGGCTTGGATGGATCTGCCGTGGATCCAGTACTTTTGAGATATATCGGGCGACCACTTCGTCGTCTCTCCGTCTCTGATATTGTCCTCGCGGTGTGCACAAGTCTCAACCTTAGCAGAGAAGATGCTTACCAGAGTGATTCTAGCAGCAATCCTACTTTCTGGCTCCTCGAGCAAGGTCGCTTATGGTTGGGGTACTCTCGGCCACGAGACGATCGCTTGGATAGCGCAATCATACGTTGCCTCCGCCACAGAAACGGCAATACGGGCTGCCTTGGATTCTAATACGGCCGACTACATGGCGAACGTGTCAACTTGGGCGGACTCTTATCGTTACACCAGTGCTGGTGGATGGTCTAGATCTCTTCACTATATTGACGCCAATGACAGCCCCCCTACTACATGCTCGGTGGACTATGAGCGAGACTGTGGCAATTCCGGTTGTAGTGTCAGTGCCATTGTCAACTATACCTCAATTTTATTGGACGGTAATACGAGCGAGCCGCTCAAGAAGGATGCTGTCAGGTTCCTGATCCATTTCATTGGCGACCTCCACCAACCACTGCACGACGAGGGCCTAGAAGAAGGCGGGAACGGCATCAATGTAACCTACGATGGAGACGAGACCAATCTACACCACATCTGGGATACGGAAATAGTCGAGCAACTAGCGGCTGGGGCTGACGCCGAGGCATTCGCCAAAACCCTGACGGCATCGATCAAGGCTGGAGAGTACGGTTGGGACAGCGATTCGTGGCTCCAGGGAGCAGGCCTGAACGACACACTCGCGACAGCCATGATTTGGGCCAGTGAGGCCAACGGTTACGTGTGTAGCGAGGTCTTGAACGGAGGCGTCGATGCGGTGGAAAATGAAGATCTGAGTGGAAGTTATTACGCTGCACACTTTGATGTGGCTCGCATTCAGCTGGCGCGTGCGGGATTCCGCTTGGGCGCGTGGTTGAATCTCATCGTTACTGGAAAGGAGCAGTAAAAGCCCAGGAGTGACAAAAGAACACACCTCAGGCATGCCTTGTTTGGCCTGAGTTTGAGTGAGGGACAAGGGTCTCCTTGGTAGCACCCACGTCCACTAAGTGTTCCTTCGGGATTCGGCTTCGGCTCGCGGAGGAAGAAATGGAGAAGGATTCCCGGGCTTTGTTTTTCATTCGATACGAGCAGGTTGAGCCCGTTTAGGCGAACCGTTTCGACGTCACACGTGCAACGGGAAGGATTCAGGCCCGGCGTTCTGGATCCGAGCTTTTTATAACTACTTTGGCCAGCCAATCTTCTGCAATGAGGAAAGGAGAAATCCGTGTTACTACACCCCCTCAGCGCGTCGGACGCTGGTCTCCGGTCAACTCTTCTTTTTGTGATGTGGATTGGATGTGCTGAGTCACTTCTCTTGAAATTTGCGTGTCTTTTGCATGAGTTGATATCGTCTACAGTTTGTGAGCGCTTCGACCTTTGCCTTGACGGGACGCAGCGCTGGCACCCCATTCCCAGAAATCAGCCTTGCCAAGTCTCAATCCCGATCTAAGCGTTTGGCGGCTATCTTTCATGCGGGGGATGGTCTTTTTCTGGGTATTTCATCACCCTGGTATGCATGTGTTTCGTGGCTTGGTCAACCTTGTAAACAACGACCAACCACATCAGGGTGGAAGCCAATAGAATAGCGACCCTTACAGACCGTATACGAAGAATCACTCTGACTGTTCAGGCAAGATTGGGGCGCTTTGGTGGATGGCGATGGCGGGACACGAATGGAAGATTGGCTTGAGCTTGAGAAAAGGACACTCTCAAAGGGAGTTGACTACGGCGGCGACCAGGCACCGTGGCCATTGTTGACCCGGTTGAGACGGTCTGTCGCTGATGTCTCAGACCGGTATATGTACTGCTTTATCTCTTCAAATGTGTCCTTCTGGGCATATGCGTGCCCCATAGAGGACGGTTTTCTGTTGATTTAAGTTGGGGCAGAATATACCGGGGGACATATGTGTAGGTGGTATGCGTGGCTTTTGTGAAGGTATTCCCTTCCCACAAACATCGTACAGTCAACAATTTGAGGTGGGACCTTAAATGAGGATGGATCCAGGGCGGCATGGTCGGTGGATGGATGTTGATCACTTGGTGCGTAGGTATGTACTTGCAACAACATCAGTGCTTCCTGTCTACGCAAGCCCAAGCCGTAGCAAGCGTTGCCTGTTTTCCATTGACGGCCAGGATATGGAGTAGAGGCTGATTTGCAATGGTAAATAGGCACATACGTTGCATTCGTGATGGATGCTCAAGATCCCCGAACTCCTCCGGGACTGCCGCAGCGCCGTAATGCTATCCATACAAACGTGTAGATAGATCGTCATCCCAGGGCTTACGAGTGTGCCCTATCCATAATTATCAAGTCCACCTGCGACTCAGGCTCATGCGATCAACACCGACCACCCAGCCGAATACGGCGCGCAGGGCTTACGTAGACATTTTCGTAGATACTTGCGTAGGGCCCTTGGGGCCCTCCAACCAAACAGACCAGAGAGAACAGAGTTTGGGTTCGTATATACTTCAGCCGTTTCCCCAAGAACGCCCGTCGAAAGTTGAAATTGGCAGTTCGTGCTCAGGAACGGGCCTTGGACAGCCCTGGAGTTTTGGACGCATCCTTGCGCCATTCTCGTATCTGTAGATCCCCTGCGGAGTGGAGGACTCCCTCTCCCTCTCCCTATCCTCATTGATTGTTTCTCAATCTATTATTATTAGTTGGTCCACAGCCACAATCATCAGCACGACTCCGGACCAGCACCCTCACCTCAGGCTTTACCTGCGACAATCGAAACACCAGGCTGCAGCTTCGTTATTTGACGAGTGCATTGAAAGACCTTTGCAGCGATCGGGACCCGCGTTGATTGTCTTAATCTCTAACTGATTCAGCCTGCCAACAGCCTGAGTCCGTAACCGCGTCTCGGCCCCTCCATCCCACCTCTTCAAACAACGAATCACCATCATCGCCCGTTTTCTGCATCCGTCCTTTTGGGGGCCAAACTGTGCGGGTGTAGCACAGTAGCACCTGGAATCGAAAAACCCTCGAATTGTCGCACATTGGTGCATACAGTTGATTCTTGAATGGCTCACTGTGGCTCTGTCGAGAAATAGAAAACCACCCAACCCACGTGTCCTGTCCGCTCGGTCGTCACGAGTCAAAAAGAAAACACTTACTCCGACCTACGAGGCCACGACCATCTCGCTCGTCTCCTCTCTGAAAATCACACAGCACACTCCCTCCCCAAGATCTAAACGACCAAATCTATTTTCGACCCTATCTCTACCTCAAATCCCACACAGAAGGGCCTCCCGGTGCCTTTTATGTACTGTGCAGTAGTACTCCGTACTCCGTACTCCGTGCCGACTACCCTTACCCTCCGCAGCTGCAGCCACCCCGAAGACCAGCTTGCGACCAAAGATCCACAGTCAGCACTCTGTTGCTCAACTCCGACCATTCACACCACCACCTCTCGCCTCTGGACGTCTACGATTGGAGTAGGTCAAGGAGCACAACAGCAACAAGAGAGAAGCCCTGAAGCCCTGAAGCCCTGCCGCAATCACCCCCAATCATCCGCAATCCAGCGCGGCCTGGCCCTGTCGGGAAGAAGATTCCGTCCGTGCCTGCCTCATCATCCTCGTCTGCTCGAAGCTCGCTCCTCTCTCCTCCCCTCTTTGAACCATGTCGCCGTACGCGGCACCAAAGACCAAAAACATCCTCATCATCGGGTCGACAGGCACGATAGGAACATACATCACGAGAGCCATTGTAGACCAGAGGGAACACTTTGAGCGGATATGCATCTTGACGAGTGAGAAGACGCTGGTACAAAAAGTTCAAGACATCGCAGCCTTGGAAGCATGGGGGGTGGAGATCTTTACCGGTCGGCTGGAGAGTGAATCCGCCGTCAAAAGAGCGTACGAAGGTATGTCACACCAGAAGACGCGATGTGGAGAGCTGCTGCAGGAAATGGGGACGCATCGAGTCCTACGGTGCACAGCATTGGGTTTGTGTTCGATCTTATATGGCTGACTGTCGAGTGTCGCACCACAGGCATAGATACCATTGTTTCTTGCGTGGGCCGCGCCGGCATCGAAAAGCAGATCAAGTTGATCACCTGGGCCGAACAGGTTGGTGTCCGCAGGTTCTTTACCTCGGAATATGGCACCGACATCGAGTACTGGCCCGAATCGTCAAAAGAGCCTCCCCACCAGCTCAAGTTGAAGGTTCGAGCGCACATGAAGACCATGAAGAGACTGGAATACACATACCTGGTCACCGGACCGTATAGTGATCTCTATTTTGGAGCCATGAAAACGAAACCCGAAATCGGCCATTTCGACGTCAAGGAGAAGACGGCCGTGCTCCTGGGCGACGGGGAAGGTCCCGTCAGTTTCACCGCCATGGCTGAGTATGCACACCTTGATATCTGACTCAACCTTCTTCTTGCGATGCCAAACTAGTACTGACAGCCACTTTCACACCAGTGTCGGAAAATTCGTCGTTGCTGCGCTCCTCAACACCCGAGAATCCCGAAACACTACGTTAGTGGTCCATTCATTCACAGCCACGCCGAACGAGATCCTCGCCGAGTACGAAGAACAAACCGGAGCAAAGTGGGACGTCTCATATACTTCGATGGAGCGGTTGAAAGAGATCGAAAAGGAGGAGTACCAAGTCTATTCGCCCATGGCCGCGGTGGTAACGTTACGACGGATCTGGACCGACGGTGGCACGTTGTACAAGTTCTACGATGACAGCCTGCTCGGTGAGATCGAGACCGAGACTCTGCAGAGCCAGGTCGCCGCTCAGATCATAAAACAGGAGGAAGGTGAAGGTAACTTCCCCAGTCTGCTGAGGAAATTGAGTCTGGTTTGAGATATCTCTGGGGAGCGGATGGTGATCACAGTCACGCCATATTGGTCCATGCTCAGTCTAATATTCTCTTCATCATTTTATTTCTCACGACGCATGAATTTTCTCATGAGGCAGCAACAGCCGCCGATTTTTGATGGGACTTGGACCACATCAGCCAGCATCAGCATGTAGCCAAAGGTGTCCTTGGAAATGGGGAGGGGTTAATGGGGCACAACTTGTGTATAGTTTGGGATGGATGGATGAAAGAAAGAAAGCAAGCATGTAAGGCTGTAACTGTTGGGGATGAGCCTGCAGAACTCCTCTTCTGGCAAACTACCTACCACTTGTACAAAGCCGCTTGGTCTGTTTCTTGCATTTACCCTTTGACTTTAAACTTGCGTTTTCGAGCGAGGACAGCAACACCCACTGAAATTCACCTGTACTACCGAACAGATAATTTGCATCAGTGTACTGTATATCATTTCTTCTTAATCTTCACCCGTCTCTTGGAATCCTGGTCGAGCCAACGTCACATCCGCTACCTAGCAACAAGTACCGACATCAGACACTTCCCCACCAAAAATTCCACGAAGTCAACCACCAGACACCCGGCAAAGGACGGCCCATGAGCCGTGCCAGAGCCCCTCGGCCGTAGACAACGCTCGAATAGACATCAAGATCGAGATATGGATGAACATCACACACTATATCAAGGGCGGAAGTGGCTGGGCAGGTAAAAGAGATAACCGAAAGGTACCGTAACTTGGTACTTGATTTCATCTCCACCCCTAGCAACAGTTGCAACTTGTCACTTTAAGGGCGCGAACCGCGCCGGGGTCAAAGGGCTCAGATTCTAGTCGTCTTTCTCGTAGGTGGAGTTTGCCCGTGTGCGGAGACATGATAAGTTCAGAACTACTACATAATTTACTCGGCTCACTCTTCAGGTACTTTAGAGAGGTACATCGTCCTTGGTGGGCTTCTTCACCTTTTTACGTTTTATATGTGTCTATGTACCGGCGGACGCACACCCCGATAGACTTTGGAGATTCTTCGCCTTCGTTGTATTATACCCATCATATACTTCCTTCCAAAGGCCCCGTTGGCGAGAGTGCAGGAGAAGCGAGTGGGGTGGTTTTGACTGGTATTAGACGACTAGGACGGGATAGAACGCCTTTCCCTATCTCTCTCTCTCTCTCTCTCTCTCTCTCTCTCTCCTTCTTCCTTATCTTCTTCTTCTTATTGTGGTCGGGGCCTCTGCACTGCGCGAGAAAGGAAAGGAACGGTTGGGTAAACGTCGGACTGGGCTATACTCCTGCAATCTTTCTTGATTCAGCCATTTTCCTTCGGAGCGCGCCGAACATACTGAAGTCACAAAAGAACTTTCTCGTGGTTTCATGCCGAGGAGTCTAGCATACGCAAAACTTTGCGGCCAAGCAACGAGCACGACGAAGAAGACGAGGAGTTTTGCCTGTCTTGTTGGAAATCAGTCGGGAGTTCCATTTCGAGATATACGAGCGAGCTGCGTCCCGGAGCTCTCTCCATTAACCAGCACAGGCGATACTGCTCGTCACTTCCACACCTCGCACGTGGTGAACGGGTCTTGGAAGAAGATATCTGCAACACAAACAATAGCAGCAGCAACAGCATCCAGTACCTTCACCACCTCCAGCAAGATGTCGCTACCGCCCTTCCCAGCAAGCCCACCTCCTCTGCCTCCAGGCAAGGACAAGCACCACATCGTGGTCCTGGAAGGGATCCACGCAAAGATGCCATCGTTCGACTTCCCACACCACATCGACATCTACCCGCGCACGCATCCGTCCGAAGTCGCGGAGCGCATCCAGCACGCCACGATTGTCATCGCCTGTGTCGTCCCCGTCGGCCCCAAGGAAATGGACGCCGCACCTAACCTAGGCATCCTAGCCGTCATGGCCGTTGGTATTGGCTGGGTCGACAAAGAAGATTGCGCCCGGCGTGGCGTCACCGTGACCAAGTGTCCTGCCGGCAATGTCGATGCCGTGAGCGAGCATTTCCTCGGCCTGTACTTCGGCTCCAGAAAGCGGATTGTGCAGGTGCATAACTCCGTCACCACGAGCAGTGAGTGGGTAGACAAAGGCACGCTCACGAAACTCTGGCCCTCGGGCCCTCCTCTCGGGTGTAGTCAGGAGACGTTGGCGATCCTGGGGTACGGAACGTTGGGGACGCGGATCGCGAAGCTGGCGAAGGACATCGGGTTCAAAGAAGTCGTTATCAGCGAGCGTAAGAATGGAAGCTCGGTCCGCCCCGGCCGTGTGACTTTCCGGGAGGCGCTCGAGCGCGGCACCGTCTTCTGCGTCAGCCTCCCAAAGGAGAACAACACGGTTGATCTCATCTCGGAGACAGAACTGCGGATGATGAGGCCGGAGGCGCTGATCATCAACGTCGCCCGGGGTGGGATCGTCAATGAGACTGCCCTTGCTCGCGCCTTGCGCGAGGGTTGGATAGCGGGTGCTGCTACTGATGTGCTCGAAACAGAACCTGGGGGGCCAGGCTCAAGTCCTCTGCTTCCCGACGCCAGCAAGGGCGAGCCGGAGGTGCCGAATCTAACGGTGTCGAGCCATATCGCTTGGTTCTCGCAGAGCACGATTGCGAATTATCAGAGACTGTTGAAAGAGGGTGTTGAGGGTTGGGCCGCTGGCACGTTGCAGGAGACTGAAGATAAGGTCCACGTTGCCGTCGTGGTACATAACGGCAAGATCTGGAACTGACCAACTTTGAGACCGTTTGCTCCTTTACTCGTTGTGTAGTCTGGTATGGTCTGCCACGCTCGGTTCAGTGATCCGCATCAAAATGACTGTGCACGATTGAAAACCGCCAAAGATTCATTCGACGCAAAATAGGAAACAGGCAGCCAGTTTTTGGTCGTAAGGCCGATAGCTGTTCCCTTGACTTTTTCGGCCACGATCAATCGTGCGTCACCAAGAATACCAAGGAAAGCGACCACACTTATCTATCCAGCCGATGAGAATTGTAGCGGGCGACCAAAATTTTCGACATTAACCATGGCACTGCTCGGAGACTAGAGTGCCACTCTGAGTCAATGGATACGCATCTGATACATCGAAGAAGCACAAGAGTGCGCCGGGGCCAGGACGAAAGACATTGAATGGAAAGACCAGAGGCCCAGATACCATTCTATAACATTGGTGAGGGTTCAGGGAGAATAACTAGGTCAAATGGAAGAGTTCATAGATCTGCTATCAATGTTGAGAACAAATGCGTTTCAAAGCCTGCGGCCTTCTATTCCTTCAGAAGAGAAATGATCTCCATCATCCGCCGAAGCGACCTATGATAAACACTCGCCAATTGACAGACAGTTGACAAAACATAGGTATCAGGGCCACATATTGCTTTATATTCGATTAATGCATTCCCTTTCATCTCTCAACCAATCCATCTATACCAAATCCTGAATCGTTCTCACGGTGTCCCAACATCTACACCCAGCTGATTGTAATATCTTGTAGGAGAGAAGGTCAGCAGCATCCTCGAAGACGACGAGAAATCCCCTCAAAGCTGGGTAATGCAGGGGGAACTATTTTGAAAGCTCACCTGATCAAGTCCTGATGGCTTCGAACCTCTTTCACTACGCCGTCGCAGCGATCTAGCACGAAGATGTCGGTTCCGTTGTACGAGATGGCCGTGCCAGGCGCAGCAGTCCTGTTGTAAAAGTAGTTGAGTGAGCAAAGCTGGCAAACGACAAAGAGAAGGCAAATTAAAAAGGAAAAAAGGTCGCGAAACAACAACGTACCCCTGACCAGATTCAACAATCGCGTTGAGCGTCCACTCAAGCGCCACGAGATCGTCCTCTCCAAAATACCTCGTCGCCTCAAAGGCATACTTACTAAATCCGGCGCGCGAGCCTTCCACGAACCTCTGAAAGGCTGTCACATTGTTGACGGGGAACTCAATCGAGCCGTTGCCCGTCCCCGTCGCAAAGCGGTCTTGGTAGATGACGATCTCCGGGGAGACGGTCACGTCCAGCAGCGAGAAGTCGACGTCGTTCCAGATCGTGAGCCAGTTCGAGATGATGGTTTCGCGCCACTCGGCGGAAATCTCGACGGACTGACATGGGCTGGCGATTGAGGTCGGGCCCCAGCGGGAATGCGCGAGCGCTGACCCTGCGGAGAGGAGTGGGAGGAGGAGGGATGTGGCTCTGAGGGAATGCATGGTGATGAAGAGAAGAATCACGGTTGGCGTCTGGAAACGAGTGGCTGAAGTGACTGTTTAACGGCAAGAGGGAAAAGCTCTACACAGCTATCATTATTATACATCGTATATATATGGCCTGCTTGATGAGGCCTCCTGACCTCATCAGCCCTTGGAACCTTGTCATTGTAAGGCACGAATGATGAAATGAGACTGTGCCACAATGCAAAGTATTGTATATATCTCACCAAGTTCGCATTACATGGACATCTTGGGTTAGTCCTCATGTCAGCAAAGAGATGGACTTGTCGCTTGGCGGCTGGTCTATTGAACAGCCTTGATCCCACGGCTGGCAAGGTGCCGAGAACATAGCATTTCCGCCGTGGAGAATGTTGCGCATCATAATGGGTCATTGTTTGCTAGACCTTGTATATGGTCAATCCATATTGCGATTTTGTCTCAGGATCGACCGGTGTAGCATCGGTCATCCCGGGCTTCCGGTACGAAACTCCCTACTGAGTGCTTTGGTTGTCGATTAACCTGATCGCCTGATGCGCCCGCTGCACAAAAGTCCGGTCAGTAAGAAAATAAGGCATTTCGTCCTCGTATCACAATAATGAAGCCGCGAGCGGTACCCTTTATCTGCTTGTCGAAGGCGCCAGGGAAAGAACCGTCCCTAGAGGCCTTTTAAGAACAGGGCTACTTCGCGCCTTGCTTTGAAGTTCGCATACTTGCACAAATCTAGCTTCCCCTATATATCAGCACTCCTTGTAGCGAAGGGAAAAACGGAAGAGAGAACGTATTCGTGCGGAAGGTTCGATGCATTCTATGTACTGCAAGAACCCCCGCGAGGCTGCTGAATTCAGGGGCTTGGCGGCGTAACAAAAGGTGTTTCAGGTGAACCCTGTCCACCAACATTTCCCAAACTCCATTCATATTTTTGACTGACACATGCCTAAACTATGATCGAATGCCCAGTCGCTGGGGAAAGGAACGTGAATCTTGCTAATAAACATCAACATATGCCCAAAGAACCCGAAAGCCGTTATCCCCGTCCCTCGAAATACATTCCCGCACAAACGTGAGCTTAACCTCCCTCCTTAGTCCACACCGAATTGTAGCTGTATTCACTTTGCTGTACTCGCGATTGATACAGTCTCGCATCTGTTATCCCTAGTGATTCGAATCCATTTCCATGTCATCGTTCAATCGTTTCCAGGTAGGAGCATCGCCCAACCTGTCGACCGTCAAGCCGGAGCGGCCTGGATTTCGGAGCCCGGCTTTCAACTGTCTCTCATAACTGACCACCCTCAACCTTTCACTCTCAGCAGGTGTCAATGCCAAGTATAGCTCAACGGCGATCGCATGGATTATGAACGCGAGCCAGACGCTCATACCAAAGGTGAGATGAAACGCCGCGGTGGAGTACTCTGGCCCCGGGCCATTGTTGTCGGCCTTTACAATGACAGGAACCGTCGAACTCCCATTGAGACACTGGGGATAAATCTCTAGCACGGGGTTTCCTTCTCCGTCAGGAGCGCCGTACACCACGTACTGCTTCCAGATCAGGGAGCAGGTTTGGACAGTGTACCAGTTGCCTTCAGGATGCTCTGTGATCCAAGTGTTCGCTGCCATCAGAATCACACGCAAGGTGATAATGCTACCTGCATAGAACCACGTGCGTAACATCCAAGCGCGATGCTGGTCAATCTGCAGGCGTTTAATATTGATGTAAGATAGTGTAATGGTCACCGTTGTTGCCGTCGCAAGCGTGCCGAGACCAACTTGCGTAGCTGGAGATCCTCCAGCGGCCTCTGGAGTGATCATATAAGCACCCGCATTGGCGACCAGGAATAGTAGAATGACCACGTATCCATTGAGCCGGTGGAACATTATGATTTTGTGACGGATAACTGGGACGAATTGAAAGCACGCCAGCAACCCCGCTGGTAGAATAGCTCCGAGGTGTAGCATCATGCCGATACGCATATGTCCTGAAAGATAGTGGGTGGCGTCACCAGGAATTGCTTCCTATTGGGAAGTTCATCAAAGTTAGCAAGGAATCATTGTGCAATATGACATTCTGTGGAGTGGCTTGTAAGAACCAGGCCTACCTTGAGGAAAACGCCGTCGAAATCCAAGTACTTGAATCTTGAGAGCACAAAGTACATCAAGATGCCAACACATATGACGAAAAGTGGGAAATTGTACCCTTTCTTGAATCCGAGGGGGTGGTAGATCTTGCGCCATGTTTTGACCCATCCCTTTCCGGCAGTAGACTTGGGGTGGTGCCAGGAATCATTGGGATCATCGTTCGGCATTGTGAGAATGCGCGGGGGTCCTCAAAAATGAAAATATGGGATCTAGTACACAATTCAAAATAAAATTGATGAGGAGTACAATGGGTGAAGGACCGAAGATTTGCGGACGCAGGAATAGTGCTTTGCACGCGTACTTATCTTATATCCGGAAGGAGAAAGGCGAATTTTCGATAGTTTCGCCGTGCGTGTGGGTTGCCTGAATGAAGAAGTGCAACGTTCTAACTTTGGAACGTTCTTCATATGTACGACAAGAGCTGGAGCACCCTATCACAGATCGCGTTCTATTTGCTCTTATCAGGGAGGAGGAGCTCCAGGTACCGACGAAGCTTGAGGCGACACGCACCCTGCCGCGAAGTTGATGGAGACAGGTTCTTGAGACAAGGCCACCAGCCGTAGGGCAGAGAGCAAACTCAGGACAACGTATGTCACTGTAACAGCGGTGTACGATTATGGCCGTGGCAATACATGTATACTGGTTGCCTCCTAGGCGACTGTCGAGATTGGTAATGGTCCTTGATTCGCACCTTGCTTCCAGAGGACAGGGGATGACGATGAGCTTTTCTGATGCCTCGTATTGGCTGACTAGTCTCAGAGGAAGTGCCTCCAGCCAGAACACACGCCCGGTTTCGTCAACAGGGACGGGGTTACCTCTCTGGACCATGGCGCAGCATATGCAAGGTCTGCGAACACCATGTAGAAAGATGAACAGATCGGCCCACCATGTAGCTGAAGATTGGTCTTGATGGAGCCTCAGGTTGCTACAAAGGGGATTTGGTGGCAACTTTGCGTACGCAACCTTCTCACCGGCGAACGAGTGGAAGAGTTATTTAAAACAATCTTCTAGAGGAAAAGCGCGTACGCCTTGGCCGATTCATGGGCCCGCCAGTAGGAATTTATGTTTGAGAACATGCCTTACCAGACAAACTGAGTAAAGGCGAAGCAAATTCCGGAGCCCAGCGAAGGTGAAACCATAAGTCAACCTAAGGCTGGCGGGCCAATATACAGAGGACTTTGATAATGTGGCCAGAAGTAGAATGGTGTCATGCAGCCTCGCAGGCATTTCCCCAAAATTGCTAAGCATTGTGGAGCCCTTGAAGCCTAAATGGCTAGGCAGTGTGGATATCGATGCCCGGCGATTATGTGTCCGAGCTGCGAATCACCGTAGAGCATCGAACTCCGTAGAGAAATTTCACAGATATTTTATATCGTACTAGTGAACGAAAAGCCCCATCAAATAGTATTTCGGATGATGGTCGAGATTGAGACTCAGTTGCGGGCCCGTATTGTGGTGGAAAAGTCCGAGGCACCGTCTCAGTGCTATTTTACTTAGGACGGATATGCAGTAGATCTTAGAGCAGCCATGGTAACATTCTATCATGTAAATAAATAATGACTATCAAATTTGTGGACGCCTGATCTGCCATATCTTGTTGCCATTTGTACCAACCTGAGCAACGCAGTGTGTACTATCTCCACAATCAGAGGAATGGTTTGACCTGCGCCTCGCTCCACTCCCAGTACTTCCTCCCAAGCTCCTTGTCTTTCATATCTCCTCGCACAGCTTCAATCTTTCCGAATGGGGAGACTGAGTATAATGATTAGCAGGCTTCATCTTGAAAGCATGTTGGTGTTTTCGGGCAAATCCCTTACTCCATCCACCATTGACTGCGCTGGTGATCGCAGGGGACAAGCCAGCGAAGAGTTCCGTATAGGCTCCTTTCTTGGGATCATGTGCTAAAAGCCTCTATGTGATGTTTCAGTGTCATATACATATCTTTCACAGTGAGAGACGGAGGAAACTAACAAACATTGCCAGTTGGACTGCTGGCATATTCTGCTGGAGATCTGTTACGAAATTTCCCGGATTGAGTGCCTGCAAGTGATACTGTCAGGTATGCCTATAGAAAGATTCAACAAAAGCAAGTAATTACTCACGATGCTTAGTATGCCAGACCCTGCCGTACGGCGGGCGAACTCAACAGAGTGGATGACACTCCCTGCTTTGCTTCGCATATATAGTGTCCACGTCCCCTCTTTCCGGTGGTAGTCCATATTGGAGAAATCAACTGCAGGGCGAGGGGCTGCGTCAGCAGCACTTGAAGATACCCAAATGACTCGTACTGAGTTTGGAGCGGATGTCTGTGCCGTCTTCTCGAGAAGAGGTGTCAAAAAATGTGTGAAGAGAAAGTGTCCGAGATTGTTGATACCGAGCTGCAGCTCGTAACCCTGTTTGGTTTTGGACCCTTCAGGTGGGATCATCACACCTGCATTATTCCATAACACGTCCAGGCGACTCTCTTTGGCTATAAACTCCTCGGCCGATGCTTTAATCGTGGCCAGATCGTCCAGTTCCAACTTGAGGAAAATAAGAGCGCCTTTGGATTTGGGAAATGCACTTTCAAGCTCTTCGACGAGTGCCTGCGTTTTGTTACTTGAGCGAGCAGCAACATAAATTCTCGCGTTCTTCTGGTAGAGAATTTGGACGAGCCCCTTGCCAATTCCACCAGTCCCTCCTGTTACAATGAAGGTTTTTCCAGACTGGTCTCCAATGTTCGTCTCTGTTAGGACTGGTTTGTGGGGTATAATTGAAGTGCACCGAACTCCTAGCATCTTGCATCTAATTCCAACGGAACGTGTTGTAGGTGACAGGAGACTCCCTAGAGAATAAGGCCAGAGTTGAAGGCTCAGGTTGACTTATAAGTTAAGTTATAACGGCCCGCATTTCACCTTTCAGACATGACTAATGATTACTACGAATGGAGAGGTTCGTTGCTAATCATTCGCAGCCTATTTGATCTTAAGTATAGAATGAATGTACGTTCAAAACCTCAATGCACAGCATCTACAGCACGGATAGATGTGTTGGGGGTGGGGCAAAGATCGCGGATATCGCGGCCGCGCCGGTAGTGAGCGAGATACAGTGTAATCACTTTCCCGTACAAAGTACCAAATACTGAATTAAGTACCTACTCCATGTTGACCCTGGGGTATGAGAAGTTGTGCAGTACCCATTACCTAATCAACAAGGGAATAGGATCAAGTCCTAGGGTCATTGTTTATGGAGATTATCTGAGAAATCACTGGCTTCAATCCTTCCCATCCTCTTGCTACTCGAAGTGAGACCCGATTGTTTATGTTGGTATAGAATCTATGTCATGTAGCTGAGGAAGTCTGGTCGCATGCTGCTGTCATGGTATCTCGCAAGAAGAAGATACTCGTGACCTAACCTCCAGCGTGTGCCTATTTTCTCCAGAAATTGGCGTAAGTTAGTGATCCGGTATCTATACACGCCGTCACCTTCTTCTGCCGCAAACCAGTAATATGTTGCTAAAGCCCAGTATACTACATCAAGTAGCTGTGGGCTTATCTGCGAGTAATGGTTGCCCGAAGCCTCGTCGTTATCCAGAAAAGGCGCAAGCATCAGAACCAATGAGTGAATCTGATCAGCGAGCTCCTTCGTCAGCCTCATTGCACGATGTTGCAAACTTATCTCCTCCGCATTCTTGGCTCCTGGCTCCATGACATATCCTGGCTGACTACTCCGTTTCTCGGGGCACGTAAAGAGATCAAGAACAACGAAAATGGCTGACCGACAAATAGCTCGAGGTCCAAACCAGGAGAAATCAAGTTGGCCGTTCCTCGTACCCTCAGCGTCGACAACAGACATAAACCTGTATATCTGGTCCATGAGAGCAGGGCAATTAGAGACTGCAGAACGATCCATCTCAACAGACCACGTAGTTCTAATTGCGGACTCCACCAGTAAAGCAGCTTGACACAGCTGTGCAAATGGGGGATAATTTCTGTCATCATTCGAAGAGATTGCTCGTGGTTGGGCTCGTGAGACATCGCCGTGATCCTTCTCATTCTGTCAAATTGCCCCCTAGCAGGTCACAGCTCTTGACTTACCCACGCAACGTCGTCTACCGGGAACAATCCATCTTCTGGTGGCCCTGATAAGCAAAAGTTCTTCCGATTACCAATGGATACAACACGATCTAAGATGAAGACTCCCCACCACAGCCTTCTTCTTTCTTCCACCTCGGTCCACGTTGTCTATCGGCAAAGGTCAGTACGGTTATACTGACCAAATTTCAAGTCAGTGGAGAATAGCCTTACCGTTGGTGTAAGCTCCATTCCCCTCGCCATAGAGCAAGACAGACCGAGTAATTCAACATAGCGAGCACAAGCTCCCACAGTCATCCATGCAGCCGGATATATCGCATGGCTGTACTCGTATAGCGCAACCAGTAATAGTGCTTGAAGATACAGATATGAAGCACAGCCATCGGCTTCTAGGTTTGCCAGAAAGCTTTTGGATAGTTTGTACAGATGACTGGCGTTGTCAATACCAGGTGGTGATGTTATCAATCGCATAGCCAAAAATAACATTGCACTATCGGGACCGCGGTGGTGGACAGCGATCCCAAGATTCAAGCGCTTTTTGGATATGACTGGCATCCAGGTATGGATAGTATTGAAGTACTCTTCCGAAGTCTCTACAATGATATTATCCTGCGTAAGTAAGGAGAGGACGTCCTGGCTATAGCGTCAGTCACCATTTACACCAAACAGACTGGACGTACCTCAGGAATCTCGGCTGAGGGAAGGGGCATCTGCATCCGAGTCCATTTGTAGCAATCTATGTCAAGAAATAGAGCGGTAGGAAACTCCCTCATACCACTGCCTTGGTCTCCACCCCCATCGTTACGAGAAACGGTGGGACCGGAGGAGGAAGTTGCGGCCTGCTGAGTAGTCAGAGGCGCGGTTGCGAGCCTTTGCTCTAGATCCGCAAGGCGCTCGCGTAGAAAACTTAGGTCGCCAGCGGTGGGCGTGGGGCTTAGAGTTGTATACTCGCAATTTCGGCCAGTGCGTTGGCATAGAGCACATTGTGGCAGTAATTTGTCGCATTTACGCTTTAATTTCTTGCATGCGGCGCAAGTTTGGTCCGCTCGAGATTGTGAGTCCATTGAAAATGGTTTCCGCTACGAGTTAGCAGATACCGAATTTTGCTGAGGAAGTGGTTGTGGCTGGGTAGGACTCTCACCTACGAAGTGTACTTACGGCTATTCCTATCCTTATCAGAGTGAGAGCGGCTTTGTCAGGCGTCGGTCGGTGACTTGGCATCGCGGCCGTCAAACCCGCGCTCGAAACAGTCGTAGCGAGTTAGTGCTTCAACCAGCCGGGGCAGCCGGGGCAGCCTGTTTGATCTTATTGCTCGACGGTGAGTCACTTTTTACCATCTTGATTGTTGAAAGTGATTGCGATAGATTGGCTCCGGGTATGTCAGAGATGACACGGAGCGATATGCATCTTTTTGTTAGGCATTAATCTCTGCTTAGGTAATTGAATCACTCCTTTTATTTTAGCGCTGAGAAATATCTAGATAAATCCCAGAGCCCTAGTAAGTCGACAGAACTGACGTTACGAACGCCTGTTCCATTCCCGGACCTTTAAACTTATGACTTCAGCTCGTCCCTTCGGCAAGGTTCAGATCATGCTGGGATGCACGGAGATAATCTTTGTTCTGACCGAATACATGGTTGCTACCTCCTCGGGGCCACAATTGAGACAAATACCGAAACAGTGGCAATCCGATCATATCCGACACCATTGTTGGCGGAATTGAAGAGCCCACTCACCGCTTACTCTTTCGCTGAATTTCCAATGGCTACAGTAGCATCCAGGCACTCTTCCCCACAGAAATATGGGATAAACTGGTAACAGCGGGGTTTTCAACCTAGTTACCCTGTTTTCCGCCTCCCCTTACCATGTTTTCCGACGCTTCGCCCGATCGGATACTTAATCGCTGGCATCAAACTCAATTGTATTGCCCCCCATGATGAGCTTTTATGAGTCGATATATAGTTGAACAAGTTATCTATCTATTCGCACCGTTCAAGATGACTTCGCAAACAGCTATGGGTTCAATGGCAGTCTCCTCGCCTCTCGGTACAAGCCAGCCTCGAGTTAAATGTGAGCTTGTGAGGCCTCTCACGGAAAGGGCTTGTGAAAATTCAACTAACGGCCTCATAGCCATTGTTGCCGACGGCAACTCATTTGCTCTCAATGGCAAGAACATGTCTTACCGTTTCCACGTTGACGAAAAGACTGGCGACCTCATGTCCGACCACTTCGGGGGCTTGGTCACTGAGGATCCTGCAATCCCTGGGACCACTCCACCAAACGGTTGGTCGACGACGAGCCATCTCCGTCGTGAATTCCCCGAGCTCGGCAAGGGCGACTTTCGCAATCCTGCCATCTTCATCAAACACCACGAGGGTTTTACTGTTAGCCACTTCAAGTATCAGTCCTACGAGGTGATCGATGGCAAGCCAGAGTTTGCTGGCCTCCCTGCCACTTTTGGTCACGCGGACGAGGTCAAATCCCTAATTATCCATATGTACGACCCACACTCGCATGTTGCGGCGGATCTTATCTACTCAATATTCGTGGATCATGATGCAATTGTTCGTCGGGTTGTGCTCACCAACAAGAGCAATAACCCTGTTACAATTGATAAAATGGCTAGCATGAGTATTGATCTCCCATATGCAGACTATGATATGATCGGTCTGCGTGGCGAATGGTCGCGGGAACGTTCGCAATTTCGTCGTAAGGTTGACTACGGCATGCAAAGGTGCGTGGAGCCAGGAGAATGTGGACTGAATTATGCTAATGAGAAACCTGTACAGCTTTGGCAGCAACACTGGGTACTCCTCCCATTTCTACAACCCTTTCCTTGGTATCACATCGCAAACCACGACTGAATCGCATGGCGATGCTTGGGGCTTCTCTCTGGTATATTCCGGCTCCTTCCTCGCAGAAGTCGAGAAGAGCCCTCACGGTCTTGTACGCGCCTCCATAGGCATGAATAAGTATCAGCTCTCCTGGCCTCTGCAGCCAGGCGAGACTCTCGCCTCTCCTGAATGCGTCGCCGTCTACTCGTGCTCGGGCATGGGAGGGATGTCGCGTAATTTTCACCAGTTGTATCGCCATAGTTTGATCAAGAGCAAGTTCGTTAACGAGACGAGACCATCCCTTCTGAATAGCTGGGAAGGTCTTTACTTTGACTTCGATGAGAAGAAGATCGAGAAGCTCTCAGTGACAGCAGCTGGTCTTGGTGTAAAACTCTTTGTGCTCGATGATGGCTGGTTTGGCGTCAAACATCCCCGTATCAACGACAAGGCTGGCCTGGGTGACTGGACTGCCAACCCAGCCAAATTCCCCTCTGGCCTTAAATCCGTCGTTGACAAGATCACCCAGCTCCCTGTGGCAGGGTCCCACGACAAACTGCAGTTCGGCATCTGGATTGAGCCAGAGATGGTGAGCCGCAATTCGGAATTATACGCCAAACATCCCGACTGGGTGATGAGCGCCGGCCCCCACGATCGAAGCGAGACGCGGAACCAACTTGTCCTTAACATGGGCCTCCCGGAGGTGCAGGTTTCAATCATAGCCACTATCTCGACATTGCTCGAGGGCTCAAACGTGTCCTATGTCAAGTGGGACCACAACCGCGCGATTCACGAGAGCTCAGCACCACATAATTACCACAGGTACATTCTCGGCATGTACAAAGTCTTCGATGCCCTCACAACCCGCTTCCCCAACATTCTCTGGGAAGGCTGCGCAGCGGGTGGTGGGCGCTTTGACCCAGGCGTGTTGCAATATTTCCCTCAGATTTGGGCATCCGATAACATGGATGGCGTGGACCGCATCAACATCCACTTTGGCACATCGGTCGTTTACCCTCTATCCTCAATAAGCGCACACGTTGGAGCTGCTCCCAGTCACACAACCAAACGTACTCAGTCACTCGAATTTCGGGCCCACGTGGCCATGATGGGCGGCTCCTTCGGATTCGAACTCGACCCTGATCAGCTAGCCGAGGACGAGAGGGCAAAAATCCCCAGTCTCATCGCCCTGGCGGAGAGAATCAACCCCATTGTCATCACCGGCGACCTCTGGCGGTTGAGATTACCCGAGGGATCGAACCACCCGGCTGCCATGGTCGTATCACCCGATGGTAGCCGTGCTGTGCTGTTTGCGTTCCAGATGCTGTCGACCACGATGCACGAGATCCCAGTACTGAAGCTGCAGGGACTTGATGCTGCCGAATGGTATAGACTAGATGGCGAGACGGTGTACTCTGGCGCTACTTTGATGAATGGTGGTATTCAGTTTCCATTCCAGGGAGACTATGACTCTCGCATTGTATTCCTAGAGAGGCTTTGAGCTGCTGTGATGAACTAAAACAGATTTCTAAATACTGGCGCCACGAAAATTGCTTGATATATGGTGAGACATGCAAGGAATCATATTGTCAAACGAAACTCATAAAGTCATAGTCAGATATCTACAATTCTTGCAATTATATTTACGTCACGATTGAGTCTGCGTTTTCCTAGTTCAAATCCAAAAATCAGGTACGCTCACTAATGGAGCAGGTGAGACATTCTTAAAATAGCCAGGTCTCCTGTCGTGCACTATGAAGTCAATAGACATTTACTATCGGCCTGTAAAGCATTAACTCTTCTGCCCGTGCAATAAAAATTGCGTGCACTTCTGGATGGCGGGTTCCCTTTGCAAATATCAAAGCTGTGTCGAGTTCTTTTTCCCTCTCTTGTATAAAGATGGATTTCGCATGGTCTCAGCCTGCTCCTAGTATCCCTGAGCGGCCCAATCCCGAAGTAGGGGCCTAGAAGCTAACAATCCTAACCTAATTAAGCTAAGATAATAGAGCTTTTCGTGACTATAGAAGCCTAACAGATTTTTAGACTAGATTATAAAAAGTTAGATTAGGTCTATAAACATCGCTCCTCGTACGATGGCTGGACAGACTTCTTCTTTCTTCAGCTTGATCTTCAGCTCGCCACTGGGTGCATTAGTAAGCGATACAAATATTAAGGACTTACTTTATATAATTTCAGTAGAAAGGCATCAGTTTCTCTAGTAGCTCATCGTTCACGAAACTAACTATCTAATGCTCTAAGTTTTGTAGTCTCACATTATCCTCGTCAATAAGTAACAGTTTCTTCTCTATTTCTTCCCTCGCTATACCGACACATTGTACAGCTTTCTCTTTTGCGCTCTGCCCTTGTGGCTATACGGATTTAGCCGCACTTGCGAACGACACAGTCCCTTTTTCGTCTTTGGAGCGATTTACCTCGATCTCTTTGCGAATCCACTGCTTCTCGAACTCTTCTGCGCAAGGGGCGAGGAACATAGTCCCTTTAATACTAGCAATCGCCGTCTTAACGGCAACCATGGCCCATAGACATATTACGGAGAGTGATAAAACTGTTCCAAGAACTTTGAAAAACCTGCTAGGCAACTCCTCGGAAATCGTCGTTGTCAAGACCGAGTATACACCTAGAGGGAAGGTAAATCCCCACCAACCTAGTCATAAATTAGTTCTCGGGACACTGGATGGAGGCAATGAAAGCCGGTGGATAGTGATGTACTTGCCCATGTTAAATGGAAATCGACTCCGGGACACGCTAGCCAGAGCAAAGAACATCCACACGAGGCCGTATCCCCACATGAATAAAGCGACAACAAAACCAAATGTGTGAAATGCCCCCCCTGCTTGATCTCCCAAGCTATTCAGAACACTCGGGATTTTGGGGAACAATTCTCGAGCCATCCGGCCCAGTTGTACAATGGCAAACCCGCCCTGGCCCAATGGACCGAGAGGCAAGAAGACCGAGACAATAACCTCCCGCGTTGGGAGGCGATGTACAGTCAGTCGGTGGAAGTGCATGACCAAAATCACCATGGCTAGAGGCAGACCCGTACCAAGAATGCAGTAGGATGTGATCAAAGTCCACAGACTGTGTGCGTATCGACCTTGAGATTCCAGTGCTTTAGCTACAATTGCTCCCGACGCAGATGCGACGATTGTGCTAACGACGGGTAGCAACCACACAGCTGTCATGGTCTGCAGTTTCGGCTTGGTGCTGTCTGCTGGGTGGATTTGCATTATGGCGAATGGGAGGAACATACAGCACATGACAGAGACGACCACGTCGATCCACCAGATGGCCCAGATGAAGTCAACCACCCAGTCTCCCCCCGTGGGGACACAGACGTAACAAGCCATGTTGATGAGTGTGGCTAGACCCATGGGAAATGTGCCCAGGAACAGACTCTGGACCGGATGTCGCAACATGGCGAAGACTATCCCGCGATATACTGTGTACCTGGCCACTGAGATGGTGGTGAACGTCAGGAAGAGCAGTACATTGAGGGCGAAGATCGAGATAGACACCCAGCGCAGCCAGGCGCCGTTGTATGGGAGGTTATGGAGGAGAATGGAGACAATTCCCGTGCCCATAATGACTGAGAACCACGAGGGTGTGAAGTGTAGGACAATTTTCCGCCATCCTCGTTGATTTCGCTCGTGTAGCCTACGCTCTAGCTTACGCTCTAGCATCACTCTCATCTCTTCATTGCTGCCATTTCTGCTTCGGGACGTTCCAGTTGTTGGAATAGGCGTTGGTTGGCATTCTGGAAGGGTGGCGTCGCCGCTTGGATATACGCCCGAAGGATCCATGTTTGTAAGCGACAAGTTTAGGCTTCTATCTGAATGTCTCACTTCTCAAGTCGAGATGTTGACCCCGAAGCGTCCATGAAACGGCGAGTTGTTGGTGTAATGAAAGTGAAAAATAGAGAATAGATCGGGGGTTCGCTAAATGACACTTATTCACCTCCGACTGTGTAGTCCAAGTGAGCTGGTCGAGATCGTAACAGTACTTTATGAGAGATTTTCCCTTTTCTCTACTATGCATGATACCCTGTGTGAGGGATGTACCTGTCATTCAGAATACATGCGCCCGGAGAAATTCGCGGAGCGCATACCGGAGGACCCACCCGGGACTTCTCTCGGACTCTGCCATACTCCAGAACCTTCAACATCGATAAGGATGTCCAGGAGTAAAGGGGGTGTTTCAAGTAGCTCAATTACCGGAACGTCAACTGAGCCACGCGCCATGCTGTAAAAGATGAATCGTTCAGATCACTCAGCAAGGAAGAAGGACCATATTGATGCTGAGACCATGGGGGCGCAGCAGACGGATAAGGGCTGAGATGATGTTGAGCAGTAGCTCAAGTTGGGTCGAGGGTGATCTGATGCTCAATCGATACTATGAATTGCTGACTCGCGGACTGGTAAATGGACCACCTATATATTGTGCTCTAAGAGGAAGATTTCTACCAGCATTCAGTTATTATTGTCATGGTTATTCCGACATTCTGAATAATGTTTTATCTTCCACACCTTACAGTGGCGAGCTCACCAAGAACCAGAGCCTGAATTGATTCAACCCCTATCCTGTCTACCCCTTCAACTGAGATTCCACTAGCATCATTTAGTACTTAAATTTGAATTCCAATCTGTCATTCCCATCCTTCTCTCTTTCTGCAACATCATTTTGATATTCCAACTGCTGTTCGACTGTCATGCCTTCCCAGACGCATTCCTTTCTCTGATTCAACCTCTTTAACCATAGGTTCTGGATAAGCAGAACGCAAAGAGCCAAGCAACAGATCGCTATGAGCACCTTATTGCCACGGTAGTAATATGGCGAGTCGTCAGCCCTATAGATCTGACTCCCCACCACACTCCCGACCTGTACTATAACGTTATACGTTGCGGCCGTCAATGCACGTTTCTTCACGTCGAAGCTGTTTTCGGAGATCCATGCGCCAATGATGGGGTGAAAATAGGGGTATCCTGAGATCATAGTCGTGAGTGTGAATCGGGGCCAGGCATAGCCGTGGGCCGGCAGTGCCAACAAAGCAGCAAGGAGGGGCAAGATCCAGAATTCGCCGATAAAGCAGTGCAGGGTGCGCTCCTCGAAGTATTCGCTGCTCTTGGCCAAGGCGAGCATCAGAATCACCTGCAAAGCTGCGGATGGGATCGAGAGCATGTTTGAATCGAAGGTGGAGAACCCGATTCGCTTCAGCGTAAGGGAGAGATAGCCTTGTACCGGTGTAGCCGGAATGTAAGCGATCAGACCTAGGAGATACATCCCCCACATGCTGTTATCGGCCCAGGCTGCTTTAACGTCTTTCCAGGTCGCAGGTTCTTTGATAGCGGTAATGCCCTTGGCTGGATCGTCGCGCAAAAGACAGTTGATCATGATTTTCTCTTCGTGCTCAGTGTACCATTGGTGGGGGCAGAGGACACTCTTGGTTGCGACAGGGGACTGCGGCAGGTAGAGGAGACTCACCAACCCGAGTACAACAGTCAACAATCCTTCCAGGAGGAACAGCCAGAACCAGCCTGGTTTGCCGCCGACGCCTCGCATCTTCAAGATCCCCGCGGCAAGAAGGGCGGAAATAACTCGCGCGATGTTCAGCGTGGACCAGAAGACAGCCAGGCGGGTGGCGAGTTCGCGAGATTTATAAAAGTATGTAGAGAACAGGATAACGCCAGGAATGAACCCGCCCTCACAGGCTCCGATGAAGGCACGGGTCACGTAAAATGAGGACCGGTTAGTCATGAATGCCTGCGCCCAGCTAACCATTCCCCATGCCATCATGAGTGTAGGCAAGATCGTCTTGAAACCGTACCGTTTAGTCAGCATCTGGACGGGGAATTCCGCTGCGAGGAAGCACAACAGCTGGATCGTTGTGCCGTTATTGTAGTCGTCGCTCGTCAGGTGCATGTCCTTGAGAAAGTCGTCTGTGAGTGCGTTCTGAATATTTCCGCGGTCGAGTTGTAAGCCGAAGAACATGACGCAGAGCCATGAGAGGAGATAGAGGTCGGTCTTCCTAACAAGCCGCCTCTCTTCAGCTTCGGTCCAAGTGAATGAGGGATCCCATCGGTGGCGACCTTCGTACGACTCGTGGGGTGGGAGAGCTGTGGAGAGGTTCTCGCGCCCGGCAGGCACGAATTCGACTTGGTCCCCGGTTCTCTTGAGGGAGCTCTGTGAATGGTTAATCATGTTGCCCTTCTCAATTTCATCTGGAGAGTCGGCCATAGTCGCGAACTGATTAAGAAGCAGTCCTTTCTTTAGGATGAGAGGTAGACTTGGTCAAGTATAAATGGCTCCTTTCCCAGTTCGATTGGGGATTGCACGAGAGACAAACGAGGAGATATGTGTGAAATATGAACTCCAGCGGAAGTAGTCACAGGTTAGTTTGTGGCTTTTTGGCGTCGCCCAAGGCAAAGCTCATTGGTAGCTGAATGGCGTGCTAAGCAGGGTAGCGTTAATCAATAGGATTGTTCAACTCCATATGGGCATGGACCCCGGACTGGGGACAATTCTGGGGTTGGCCGAAAGCTGATCCGGGGGGTGGAACAAAAGTTTAAGTGTCGTCGCCTCCGAGGCCGTCTCCGAGGCGTCTCCGATATAGACTCCGCAGAACCTCAAGGAACCCACTGCCCTCTGGAAATAAGGCCTTCAAGGGCAAATCTCGGAATTTAGGAGTCGTTACAATGGGCCAGGTTCTCGCCTCACATTGCGAAATTTACAACATCATGGCGATGAAGATTGCATTTGGCTAGAGCCAGAAGATCATTCAATGGCACTGTAAGTGTACCACTGTTTTCTCCTCGCAAGCCAATTATTCCTGTTGTCCTTTCAAACCTCTCTATCCCTACATGACGACCAAGATGGCGTGGGAAGAACCAAGAAAGACTGGGATGTTATATCGCAGAGTGGGCAATTCAGGCCTCCATGTCTCCGTCATTGGCCTGGGGGGTTGGTTGACCTTCGGTGGTCATGTCGAGGATGAGAAGACATTTGCATGCATGAAACAAGCATACGACTGCGGCATCAACTTCTTCGATACCGCAGAAAGCTATGCCGGCGGTCAGTCAGAGATCGTGATGGGAAAAGCCATTCGCAAATACGGTTGGAACCGAAATGACTTGGTCATCAGTACTAAACTGAATTGGGGTGTGGCGAACGGTGAAGTTTTGGTAAACAATCACGGCCTATCGAGGAAGCACATCATAGAAGGGCTAAATGCATCCTTGCAAAGGCTTGACTTGGACTACGTCGACATCGTATACGCCCACCGACCCGAGCGCCTTACGCCTATGGAGGAAACCGTCCGAGCTTTCAATCATGCCATCCATCAGGGCTGGGTCTTCTACTGGGGAACTTCGGAATGGTCTGCCGACGAGATTAGCGAGGCGTGTGGCATTGCAAAGAGCTTGGGTCTCATCGCTCCCATCGTCGAGCAGCCGCTGTACAACATCCTTGACCGCAAGAAGGTGGAAGGGGATTTCCAAAGATTATATCCACGCTGTGGACTTGGGTTGACGACCTTTTCGCCCATGAAAATGGGTCTGTTGAGCGGGAAATACAACGATTCCAAGTCGAAGCCGCTTCGCGGTTCTCGGTTCTCTGAGAGCAATGACAAGTTTTCCCAGTCCATTCGAGATAGTTATGGCAATGACGAGTGGTCCAGAAACATTGCCAAGGTGACGAGGCTGAAGGTGAGTTGTGTTGCTCAGACCCAAGTGAGAGAGCTAATCTGACGAATTTGGAAGCCCATTGCGGACAATCTTGGTTGCACCATGCCACAACTAGCGCTTGCATGGTGTTTAAAAAATGAAAATGTCTCGGCCATCATCACGGGCGCTTCCTCGCCGGAGCAAATCGTAGGGAATGTACAATGCTTGGGCTTTCTGGATGACCTCACACCCGTTGTCATGAAGCAGATTGATGAAGCAGTCGGTGAACATGTCGAGTTGGATCCAGCGCGACAAGACTAGCAAGGGCACTGGATGTTCATCCGGCAAAGCACGATGTTGCCTCACACTTGATGTATCCACCCTTCGAAGTGTTATAGAATTGAGGTGGGGGACAAAAGATATGTCTGCCAAATGGCCTGAGTGTCGAATGGCCTGAATGTCGAATGGACATAACAACCCTCGTTGTTCCTATTTCATGTACCAGAGATTGAGCTGCGACACATCAAGTGGTTCAGAGTAAACAGATGATCTATGTGTGTGACTGACATCAACGCCGGTGGTGTCTCCCAGCTGTCCAGGAAGGATTGACGCATTGGATTCGAGTGCGTTTGTATTGAAATTGATGTCTTGCCACGATCGGAAGCGATTCTGTGCATCCACAAAACCCAAGTCCGCCGTTGGGCCTTGATTAGAGCCCCACACCGGGTTAGGAGCTTGTTGTCCAAACACTTCCTGTAGCTGAGTAGAATTCGACGGGGATACCTGAGCTGACGAATCATCCGCCAAGGATTCCGTGTCAGGACTGTCGACCGGGCCCAGAACGTTGGTGAAATCGAAGCCGTCGACCTGCAGTTGCTTCTCAATCTCCATATTCTCCAACGTCGGATCGTCGTGGGGGTGTGCGGGCGAAAATCTGAGACTCGACTCGAAATAACCCTGTTGTTGGAGCCTTGCGATCTTGGTCCGGAGCTTACTGTCGAGCCATTGTTGCGACCAAGAAGCCTTTGTAATCGTAGCAGTGCATCTTGAGCCATGTCCGGGTCTGGCTGAGCAAGCTGGTTGAACCCTGTAAATCCCAGTGCCATAGCGTCTGCTACGGAGCTTGCAATTTCAAACACTTTAGTTTCCTAGCTATGGGCTTAGCCGTGGCGGGAATTCAAAGTAGGGTCAAAATGTCTTACCAGAGCTGGACCGTGGGATTCAATGGCCGTTTCAGGCATCTGGCATATAACTTGGAGAAATTCTCTCGCGATAAATATGGGTTCATTCAGCGAGCTGGCGGCACTCTTCGCGCCCTGTGAGAAGAACCCATGGCTTTGAGAAAGACGCCAGATTATTATACGCATCCACTGTCGTGTGACTAATATGTCTAGTGCTTGGATATCATTCATCCGATGAGAGGATTTTCCAGCCTCTTCGTCAAGCTGTTTGCGCATTGCCGCCAAAGCTTTCGTCTGAACTGGTTCGCTTAGCGGTGTGGCATTTGAGAAATCAAAATCCTGGCTGTCAAGATGCTCGAATACACCTGCTTGATCGAAGGACCAAAACATAGTAATCAGCCTCTGATAAGCCAACAAAACGTCACGTTCGTCTGTGTCATTTGTGCTAGGGAATGCGATTTTTGTCTTGATGACTACTAGCAACTTGTGAAGGATGGATACCCCTCTGCGCGCGTTAGAAGCAGTCCCAGACTTAGAAGGTCGAGCGCCTACCGTTCAGTGACAAAGAGAAGCCACAGGGTCCGTCGTCGAATTTCCTGCTCTTCTGGTTGCACATTCACGTAGTATGATTCGCGGTGCAGCCCAATCATATGAGCAATCGCAATCGCTTCACGTAAATGGGTAATGGACTGCAGTCCACCCGGTTCCAGGTTCTCGTAATAAATATGCAAGAAGAAGGGAATGCGAACCGTAGTTAGGTCTGGAGGTTGATTCTTGTTCCTTTGGGCTTTTGCATATTGGCACTGAGCTTCCATCATCTCAGCCGTCACTTGGCCAGGTTGGTTTGAGGTTATTGTCCTAATCTGTGCAATGGTAGCAGCAGCGACGGCATAGGCCAATGCAAAGACCTCAATGTCTGGCTCTGGCTTCTGCAACGAGGCAACAAGCCTCTCCACCTTGATGACTGGCCATACTGGGTACATGCGCAAACGATAGACACAGAGCTGTAAGACCAAGGCGGCAACCTTATTGGGCGCAAAGACTGATTCCGAGTCGAGCTTGGTATGAACAACGGGAACAGGAGGTGCGGCTTCAGCCAATCCGAGATCCTCCCATTCCCGCTGTGTTCGACGTATTTCGTCCAACGTGCTCTTTCTCGGCCTTCTCGGACCTCTGGTGGATGCATGCTTGACAAAGGTACAAGCAATGCCGGCGGCTATGCAACCGTCGCATGGAGCGAGCTCGGTGCACTTGATCTTCCTGATTTTGCAGCCATCACAAGCTCGCTTCGCAAGCTTCCGACCTGACATCCCGTGTAAGTGATAGGAAACATGAGCGGACGTTTGTCGGTCAGTCATGATTACCGGCAAGCAGTAATGGCGGTGGCAATTCGTTGGTTGGCTCCGGTCATAATGGGAGAGCGGGGTAGAGAGTTAAGTCACGTGTAATAATACACGTGCAAGTCTCTTCTTCCCACATACTTCACCACGTCTCCTCTATCCCATCCATTGTCTCCATGAACGCACCTCCTTTGACAATCTGCCGGACAAAATGGAGAAACCTGACAAAACAGAGCCAGAGATACCATTTCAGATTCCGAAGATATGATTCTTGCTGATATCCAAGGCGTGGCCATTCGGTCCTTGCGAACTGAGCGGTCCCGAGAATTTCTCCAGACGCCCGAAATGTTGATCTACAGACTTGAATCCCCCAAAAGGCTTAGCCGCTTGAGGGTTCTCTCGGATGGCAAAATTCTCGGAGCATACCAATGACTGCAGACCATCAGAATCACTATAGCACCAGGTCGAGGTCTAACACCAGTGTATATATACCCGCCAATATGGATGGCTACCATAGGTACTCTGTATTCATCCTCCAATCAATTAAATTTCTCTTTGACTCGTCCATTTTGAAAAGACAGCACTTTTCTAGCTTTGAAAATGCCTTCCCGAATAGATGCAGCTGCTGATATGGCCACTTACAACATGAACGGTGTCCAAACCAAAACCATTCCTGGAGTCCCAAAAACTATCCTTGGTGGCCACCCTACAGCCCAGACTCGATGCACAACCCCTCTGAAGTATTCTGGTACCCTAGATCACTATGATTTCAAAGATATCACTCCTGCTATCGGGCGGGAATATGAAGGTCTTCAAGCGCGGGCCCTTCTGAATTCCCCGAACCGCCATCAGCGCATTAAAGATCTTGCTACTACTATCTCACAGCGCGGCGTTGTCTTTCTTCGTAACCAGGATATTACCCCAACGGAAATGCGAGAACTGAGCGAAATCATAACATCTGTCGCCGGTTGCCCCGAATCATCCGGTCTACATATCCATCCCTTGACAGAAGAAACATCTGAACTCGGTGACCAAATCAGTGTCATCTCCTCCGAAAAGCAGGCCAAGGGTGGTGGTCTGACGCATCAACTGAGTGACACATCTCGCTACGCCTCCGTCGGGTGGCATGCGGACATCACATTTGAGCCGGTTCCGTCTGACTATGCCATGCTCAAGATACACACGCTACCACCTACAGGCGGCGACACTCTCTGGGCATCCGGATACGAAATTTACGATCGGCTGTCACCTGCAATGCAGACCTTTCTCGAAGGTCTCACTGCTACACACGATGCCAAATTCTTTCTAGAGGAGGCTGAGCGGTTGGGCAATCCCTTACGAAAAGGCCTCCGAGGCCATCCACTGAACCAAGGCGACGGACTGACGGCTACACATCCTGTCATCCGCACAAATCCCGTAACGGGCTGGAAGAGTGTTTTTGTCAACAAGGGCTTCACAAGGCGGATCAACGGCGTGACAAGGGATGAGAGCGACTTGCTTCTTAAATACCTATTTGATCTAATCGTCCATAACCACGATGCCCAAGTTCGGTTCAAATGGAACAAAAATGACCTGGCTATCTGGGACAATCGCAGTAATTGGCACTGTGCGACGTACGACTATGCTGGGGCTAGGGCTGGAGATTGAGTTTGTTCGCTAGGGGAGGCGCCGTATTTGGATTTGAACTCGAAAAGCCGCAGGGAGGCCATGACCGAGCAGTGAGTAGCTTGAAAGAGTGTTATGTGAATATGGTTCCTGTTCGCGGAGGTGCTGTGGGAGAAGGTACTAAAGGTAGGCGGGAGACATTGAAAATGTAAAAAAAGTTGTATGCTACTATTTGAGATACTTCTAAGCTTCACATCTGTCCCTATCAACGAGATCATAAATGCCAAGTTGTCGCTATATAGAGACTGATACTGCTAGAAGTATCCGGTCCGTCTTTTACCATCAGAGCTATTCCTCGCCGTTTTATACCTTCCCTTGATATCGAACTGTTCGACTTCAGGCCCGACAGTGAAGCGCTCCACAAGGTACAACTGGAGAAAGAAGCTGTTCTAGAGGTTTAAACTGATCGCATCTTCCCATTGTACCGCACACATAACCATCAGCCAACATTGTGGGAGGCATACAAGACGCCGGTCAACATCCCAGGTGTCGGTGTTAGGCGCATTATGGTATGGTATTTGCCCTTAGCTTGCATTGTGTTGAGTACTTACTCATACAAGTATCAGAGGTTGTCCCCAAGCCAGCAGAATACTCAGCCCACCTATATTATAAAGAATCATTCGAATCTTGTCAATATTCTTCTCGAGATGATTTTGAATATGTCACGGTGTCGATAGCATTGCTTCTTGAAGCCAAAGAATTATCTCAATAAACACTGGATAAGATGGAACAGTGGGCTAAGTATGCTTTCGTGGGGACATTGATGATCTAGCAACTAATTTTGTTTCCCTGACACTTACACCGCCTAATACAGATTCCTTCACGAACAATAACGACAAACTGGCCGTATCCACCGGATCAACTCTCCAAAAGTAGAGAGCCTGAAGTCCTACAACTAGAAAACTCCCGGAACGGCCATAAAAATTTTCGTGCCGCATTCGTAACAGGTCCTAGTGGTGTAGGAAAGACGTCCCTCGTGCTACACTGTACCTATAACCTATACGCGACAAAAGAATAACTTATTTATCGTCTGGACAAATGCAAGATTCAGCTCATCCACCGAGGACAGCTTTATCTGGGTATTGCAACAACTCGTGAGATTGGCAGCAAAACTCTAACTTGGCACAGGTCACTAGGGATCTTCATATCCAAGGCCTACTCGATTCGCGGGGAAAATTCCCGATCCAGGAAGAGGCGCAAGAACAGAAAACTCAAGTATTATCAAACATCAACGGTGGCTCGAGAGGCAGACGGACCATTCGAGGCTGGTTGTGTTCAATGAACATGACAATCTTGATTTTTGCCTCCGAAATTTCAATGCCACTTGTAGTTAGGGCCAGCACATCATTACCAGCAGGAGGCCCGAGGTGGAGGACTACGCCAACGTGTTCTTAAGTTGGGAGGTCTGGCAGAAGAGGATACCCTGGCACTCATTCTTCAAGAATTGCAACGCGACGGAGAGGATCCGGATGGTGAGTACCTAAGTCTGGAATATCACCTAGCACTTGGTGACCTGGTCCTTCGTATCTCGAACGGAAGTTTCAGCATGTTAGAATTCCACTCACTTGCAATTGATAGCACCGCGGTATAAGTTCATCGCAAACCATATCTCCCGATGGAGAGGTACATAGGAATATTTCGCAACAATCTGGCAGAGATTAGACCACAGGAGATACTCGGTCGAAATGATCGTCTTTGGCCTGATAACACGCTCACGTGTATGACTATTTTTGAAATATTTCACGAGGCCATTTATTCTGAAAGTCCTAATGCGGCGAAGCTACTGCAGCTACTATAATCAAGTCGAAAAGGGGTCGGAAAATAGGAGAGAGAGCAAGAAAGAATATAAGGAGTAGAGCCGTAGGCAATAGAGTAAGAAACAAGAACAACTCATTGTATATGAGCGCACTAAAACAGTACGTGTCCTAACAGGCACATTCAGCACGCAAATTCTTTACCTATTCTGTAAGCATAGTCTTGTCGGTGCGCAGAATACTCAGTCTCAACTCCGTACGTGTATGATTATCTGTTCGATCTTGTGTTTTTCTCTAAGTAAGAAGAATACTTATGACCCCTTTATGCACAGCCTCAGTTTCGGCCTTGGCATTCTTGAAATTATGCACATCGAATTGTATTCCACTAAGTTGCCGGCTAGAAAAAGATAATATCTGGACTTCACGCCTTAGAGGGCACCCCAAAGCACTGGGAGAAACCACCCCTGGTAAGCATCATCACTGCTTGTCTCAATGGGACCTGTTACTGACGAAGAGAACAGAAGAAGATGTCGATAACGACGTTGAGCTGCTCTACTCCTATTCTATAGTGAGGCCGAGAATAGGAAGGATACTTTCTCGATCCACGCCATTGTTCATGTATGAGGAAGGGAGGGTTTAACTTCTCATGATCGAGTGGGCGCTTCAATGCATTCGGCAGCCTCCTCCATGCACCATACCGAGTTGAAGAAGCCGGAATCATTGAGCTCTTAACTGAAAATAAGTATTCCATGCAAAGAAGCGCCCTTGCACAGTTGGAGCATGCTGTGGAGATTGCGGACGAGCATTTCGGGATTGGAAACTTGCGTTGGACAGTCGAATATGACCTTCTTATTGACAACACATTCTGGTCAAGCATTCTGTCGGCGCTTAACGCATCTCTTAGGCGGAGGAGTTCCAGAGTCTCCAGAAAAGGGCGCTTGAAGTTTTTGCAAACGATTATTGGAATAATGCTTGAACAAGGCCGATATAAATCTGCAGCACTTTTATAGTTAAGGCTCCTTTTTCTGAACTATCATATGAGAAAGCACCGTTGAAATAGATCGCCAGCCCAGAAACATTCCTTTGGTGTATCACCAGCGGCTCGGTATTCCTCAGCCAACTACTTCGACTTATAGGCGAAATTCTAACAGCAAAAGACCTTCTTCAATTTGTGGTACTTACGCTTGCGCAAGACTATGCGACTATGCGGCGGTAGGCGAGATTCGTCAGCAAGTGCAAGCAATACTTGCTCTCTGTAAGCGGGATCTGGGCAAGTTGCTTGGCGTTGAAGACAGTGAGAATCTCCCCAATGTAGATTCGTGGACAAAATTGCTTAGTTTTACAACATCTATCGTCGATGAGGAAGGAAATGAGCAGTACGTGACAGCCGTTCTCGAAAGTGCCAAGGTGGTCGCCCACAGCTTAATCGATCAACAGAGTTTTGAGGATGCTCAAATGATATTCCAGAAGCTTAAGGGGAAAGGAGAGGATGCTCTGCTCCAGAGGGTTGGCTGACTATCTTGTCTCATGCTCAGCTCTCGCTGATGCTATGAGGCTTGATGGAGCTTACCTCAACTAGACCTCTACCCTCAACGAGGCAAGGATGTTGTTAGAAGAGATTTTGCAGGAAATGGAGAGACTTTTGGGGAAACGACTCCCGAACTATTTCCTGTACGATTTATCGCAGACTGGCACATGGCTCCCTATCCAATGTCAACGAAGGGGAGCGACTTCTCTCAAAATCACTCATGCTATACAAAGATGTCGACGCAACCCGACTCAACAAGCTTGCATTCCAGGAAAAGCTTGCATCTGTGCGGTTCTCACAAAACAGATGAGCGTTAGCGGAATGACAGCAGCGCTAGTGCTTGTCTTCCTCCCTCAAGTTGCGCTCCATGACTGACCATGGAACTTTGGAAATCATCATTTCCTGGGCGCAAACTTTGCTGAAGCTGGGATATCACATTGGAGCAGGAAATCTATTCATATTCGCGCTTGATGAGAAATGTCGTGATGATTCCTTTGACAGGGCAGCACAAAGAGCATGTTCAGGTCTGGCCGAGCAAGGCGGCTTCACCGAGAGGGCTGTGCTCAATCAAACCATAAAGCAACGTTACGATATAACCATCCTGTTTTCTATCATAAAACAAGGCAGAATCACCGATGACGGGTTGAGCATCCCGGAATTGGGAAACGTGTCCCCTCTTTAAGTGGTACGGCCTCCCAATGAGATTCAGTCCGAGGCCAGCTTCCCCGAGGGTGGGGGTGCCAGTCAGCCAGCTGCATAGTGTTCTTGACCAGTGTTAGTGAAGGTTAAGGTGGTCAAGTTGTCTTTGAAGCAAAGGATAGCCTTCGTCATAAGTTTAGCAATCATTTGTCTCGGGGTTGTCATTCTCGTTCCAGATCTTGCAGGACCATAACATTTCACCGAATCGATGTAAGATTTGAAGCTGATATTTCTATTTCATACCCAGCGTGTCTCGAACCTCCAACTCTAGTCTCTAGATGTTCTTCTTGTCATGGTCTGAGGCCGTGAGTAATGATAGATAGACTAGAGGGGAGAAGCACCCAACTGGTATCGTACACGAAGGTGGCTCTGAGATCATTGAACAGACGGTAGGCCGAAGCTGAACTCGGTGCAGGGAGGACAAGCAGTACAAGCGTCTTGACTTGGATAGATTCGTTTTAGTGTCTGGATATTCCTGCGCTTGCCGGGCTTGTTGTGCGGCCTAGGCAACCTAGGATGATATCGCTTCCAACTTTCTGTGTATGGTATCAAGGGGGTTTTCCTTCCCTGGCTCTTGACGCCGCCTCGAGAGCAAGCGCATGCGAGCTGAAAGGGCTAATCGACTCTGGTCCTCCTCCTGTGTCACAAGTTGCTGTCCAACTCCTGTTTTTAGTAAGTGGAAGGTGGTCTAGAGAGCTAGGAGCCTCATTTCATTGCCTGAGAGAAGATAAGGTTGCCAATGCTTCCACGGCACAGTAACCACGGTTGACTTAGTTGATTTCAGTGTCAATTTCCAGTTTGAATCAGCCTCTGATTCTAGCAATTCTCTAAGGTTCACGGCAGCAATTTTGTTACAGTAGCCATACCGGGCCATCGTGACTCTCATGTAACGATATAGAAGATGGGATATGAGTTGATCGCTACGCAGTTGGTCCTAGGCCCTTGAGTTATGGAAAGTATTTGACCTCTGAACGAATACAGCAACAAAGAAGCAACAGGAGTAACAGGTAGGACGTTCTCCAAATCCATCTTTCTCAGGACTTTGCGTGTGATCTCCTTTGAGAGCTGGTCAAGCGCCCAGGGTTCACATAAAGGGTGTGTGGCTTTTTCTTCAGCAGTCGACGTTTTCAATGGACTGACTTTCTGGCAGTAAGCAATCATCGTCGACTGAGCAAATCAAGGTATTGGAAAATGTGCTCATCTCCTTATTGGGCCAATATTAGACCGTACTCTAGAAAGCAATCAAATTCATGAGCAGCTTGCCAGGTGTCAATGCCTTTCGAACTTGGTTGCCGCCGTTTCATTTAGTAGACGGATGAAGCCAACATAAGAATGTCAAGCTCAGGGGTGGCTCTTCGGGTTAAAACTAGTGAGCTCTTGCCAGGCCGATACATTTGACAGGTAGTCCTTTACGGTCCTGTGGAGAAGTTCAACCCATGGGTCCGAGTACCGACCATGTTTGGTATTCCACCGACTTGCAATCAGCCCGCAGCATCGATTTCGCATTCTGCCATCCATGGACTTTACACCTAAAGACTCCACCGTGGAAGAGATCAAGGTAGCCTTGGTGGTGAGAGCATCCTGCAAATTAGTCTCCGTTATAAAGTTTAGCTGTATGGCTGTTAATGGCGTCAAATGGGATTCATTGACCTGGAGTCCTGGACGCTTCGCTCTCTCAATGGCCGCAGGAGTTGAGCCATTTGGCTGAGTGCAGGCCAGCAGGAACTGGTTGGGTCTTCTACTTGGCCCAAATACGGGCCTTTTATCTGCGCAAATCCTTGGTTTGCTTCCATACTCAGTTCCTGGTCTCCAAAACGTTTCTTAATATTCGTTGGCACATTCACGCTCAACATAGGTAGTTCACTCAAACGCTACGAGACAAGGCCATTATATTGTTCAATAGAGTCGGCAACCATGCGCGGTCCTTCAATCTCCTCTAATTTTCATGGTTATGAACCCGCTGCTTCACGGTATATTGTGTAGTTCTAAGTTAGGAGGGTGGTGTATACAATATAGTGTCTATAGTAACTACCGAAACTAGGCAGCCAGTGAAATATGGTAGAAGGCTAGAGAAGGAGTTCCAAAGCCTCCTACAGCTGTAAGATACTAAGACATATACCAAAGTTTGAAACTACTCCTAACCGCGAGCAGAGGCAGATGTGAAGCCGAGCGTTTATGATCTAACGGAAAATGTGATATGTGACGTCACATTATTATAAGGGACTTCACTATACGCCTAGGCCTAGATACATAGTCCATACCTAATCAAGTTGGACAGTCCATAGTCTTTCTACCTATTATTGCCATACTCTCCTCAGACTCGTGCAGCTCACAGTACACTTGCCATCGCAATGTCCACAAGGACAGACAATGCCCAAACGGGGCGACCGTTTCTCACGCGAGCCTACAAGTTGACCAGCGTCGACGAGGCTCGCGCTCTGTACAACGAATGGGCGGCAACCTACAACCAGGACTTGGCTGACCCTTCTCATGACTGGGTTGCGCCCGCTCTCACCGCGGCTGCTTTGCTAGACTTCTTCAGCAATTCAAGACAGGCTCGTGGCAACGGAGCCCTTGAAATCCTCGACGCTGGTTGTGGAACTGGGATCGTCGGGGCTGCTTTGGCCTCACAGTCTGTTGCTAAGCATCTCCCGCTCGAGATTGACGGAATTGATTTGAGCACGGGTATGCTTGATGTCGCGCAAAAAACAGGCGCGTATAGGCGTTTTGACACAGCCGATATGTCTAAATCCCTCGCGATTGACGATCGGGCGTATGATGGTGTTATTTGCGTGGGGGTGCTGACCGAAGGTCACGTTGGACCGGACGTGCTGCAAGAATTCTTGAGGGTGCTCAGACCCGGTGGGTGTGCTGCGGTAACGGTGAGGGAGGACATATGGGAGACAGGCGGGTATAAGAGGCAAGTTGAGGAACTGGAGAAGGAAAGCAAGGTGCAGGTGGTAAGTGCCAAGTCGGAGGATTCACTGAAGGGCGCAAGCATTAAGATGAAGCTACTGTTATTGAAGCGTGTGCTCAACTAGCTCACCACGCTGTGAGCGTCGTGAGTACAGGGCTCTAAATGAAAGGGCGTAGCGGACTGCTCAGGCAGTTGAAAGCACATAATGGTATTAGTCCGTGACAGCTTGGATAAAGTAATGCTTCGTCAATGCTGTGCCCTTGAGGGTTCTGAAGAAAGACCCACACATTTGCGCATGGCATGGTTGATGAAAGGTGGGCACCACAGAACAGTTGAGCTCAGAAGGTTGCAAACAATGTGACTTTGGTCTATTCGCTCGTAGCTGGCATATCAATCAATAATCTTACATAATCATTTACTGGTACCAACGGATGCAAGCGAGCAATCCCAAGGCAGCGTTGTTGGCAAATCAACAGCCAACTTTACATATTGGCCATGGCTAGTGCCTCGAAAGGTCAATTCCAATTCCAGCAAGAATGTCGAATATCGACTTTGATGGCTTCCTATGGGCCAAAGGTTTCTTCCAATGCCCCTGAAACACCCTCTCAATCAATTCATGATTTTCCTTCAGCGCTTGAGGACACTATTTGAGGTGGAGGACTGATGCCTAATCCAGCAGGAGCCATAGATGGTATTTCTTGTGATTTCTGATTTCTGGGCGAGGCGTGCACTGATTCCGTGTGGTACAGAGGTTGAGGTGACGACTGCTTACTGGGGGTGGGGACAGGTTCATTACTGCTCATGTTTCTCATTTGTTCAGGGCTTGGTCTCAAATTTTCGACTGGTGGCAGTATAGGTGTACCACTGACAGATCGCTTCTGAGCTTGGGGCATCCCTGAACCAGTCGAAGCATTGAGTGTCGCATGCTGTGAAGTCCCCAGAGGCGTCGAAACTCCACCCGCCTTCTGCACATTGAGCGGAGCGGGGAATGAGACTGGTGTTTGTTGCTTCTTTGGCGAAAGGCCGGAGAGTGGTAATGTATTGGGAGTTTGAGCTGATGGTGGATTGCTTGGTGCGCGGGGCGTAGCTTGTGGATATTGTGGCATACCGTTCAAGTAACGAGCCTTACCGTTGGTACTCTGATTATGGTCAGAGGGCTTTTGAGGTATTCCCGCCACAGGTCCGACATCCATGTTGCCTTGTGTCGGTGACATTGTGGGTCGATTGAACACAGGAGATGGAAGGCGGGTACCATTGCCGGCTCCATGAGGATGGACATGGCCCTGACCTTGGACTGTCGAATTTTGAGCGGCTGCTGCTATAGGCTGTGGTCTGGGCGATGCAATATGGTTCTGTTGTGGTGTGTCATGTCGCAAAGATTGAGTTGGCGCCTGGGAGCCAGGAGTCCCATGGGTATGGTTTGGACCACCGTAATAAGAAAGGTGAGGTTGTTGGAGAGAAAAACCTGGTGACGGAGCAGGGTTCCTGTAGGCCATTGAGTTTGGGGATTGTTGCGAGCTTGACGATGTCGGACGTGCTTGCTGAACAACTGCATACGCTGGACGGGGAGGTGAGTTGGCTGAATGTGGAAGGTTGTAGTGATGAAATGTTCCAGTTTGCGTAGGGTGCTGACGGTAGGGCGAACTGGCTGGTAATGTTGGAGGCGAGGATTGGTGATTTTGAGTTCCGTTCAACGTTCTACCTTGACTTGGTGGCCGATTTGTGTCATTTCCGGGTAGTTCGACTCCCACAAATCGGGACTGAGTCGGCGCAGGACTGGGTGGTGTGGGAGATGAGGAAGTCCCAACTTTGAACTTGAGGGAAATCTTTGGCTTCTTCGCATCTTCCTCCTTCTGCTTGCAATCTTGACAAATGAAATGAAAGTCTTCTTTTTCTGCGGCAACTTTAGAAATTCCCAAGCACTTGCTATGCTGCCAAACATTACAACGTTCACAAGCAACGCTGTGAGAACCATCATCCTAGAAAAGGTTAGTAAAGGTATATCTTGAAATTCGACAAAGTACCCACGTAATTCTTCCCATGTTTGCCACACCGCGAGCAGTCAAAGGTCCAATCTTCCTCTGCGGCGAGATCCTCAAGCTCCTTCTTATTCTTCTCGATGCGTTCTTTCAAATATCGGCCCGAACCACGGATTTCGCCTTGTTCAATTCTTCTCTGCTCGGCGGCATCTCGTTCTAGCTCCTCCTCCTTAAGGAGACGCCTGTATTCGCGTTCTTTAATTCGTTGCTCTCGAGTCATCATGCGGAATTGCCTCTCCTTTTCCATCTTTTCCTGCTTCTCCTGCTCTCGATGCGCTGCTGCGAGTTCGGCCTGGCGCTTGCGGTCAGCCTCAATGGCTTCAGCCTCTCTTCGCTCTTTGTCTTGCTTATCGGCTAGTCGACTCGACCGCTTTGCCCCCACCATCTTCTCCATCATCATCAATTCTCTTTCGCGACGCTCTACTTTCCGTCGTTGTCGTTCCTCGGCATTTTGAATGATGGGTATAACTTCCTCCTCAATGCGATCCTTGAGAGCCTTCTCATTCGGATCCTTGCTCTTCGCAAATGACTGACACAGCTCCTCATAGTCTTTCAGAGTGATCGCGAGACACTCCCACTTGAACCCCCCAAATGTGTCAATCTGGGATGGATCGCGAAACCTTTTGTCCACGGGCCCATTCTCGACGTCCAAATTCTCAGAACCTTCTTCTGGCTCGGGTGTCTCGGATTCTATCTTTCTCCGCTTGCTAGCTCTCCTCCTTGCAGCAATTGCCTTTTGGCTGTTTGCCTTCGGTTTAGCCTTGAGTAGTGGGGGGAGAGCGGGCTCTGTTCGTCTGTACAACCGATTGTCATCAAGCAAATAGTATTGTCGATCATCTTTATCATAGCCAAACTCTTCGATGCGCTGTGCGGGATTGTTAGTTGATATAAGCATTCCTAAGCTAATCACAACGTACCCATTCAATTTGATCGATTTCACGAGGATGGTCGACCATCTTTTCCCTCAGGCGGTCCGGGTTCCAAAAGGTCCAAACAGTCAACTGGTGCAAAATTCTGATCTTTGTGAAGATATCGAAATCTCGAAATCGCTTCGGCTCCTCTTCGTCGCCATATGGGTTGAGGTGAGGGGCCTTCGAAAGATACTGTCGGCGGGTGTATTCATCCCAAATATCATAGCTGCCATTCTATCAGAACATTGAACTGTAAAGGCGGCGATACCAACTCACTTAAGGCCTCGATGAGATGAGATCCATTTCAAGAGCGTCAGTCCAATCTCTTCAAGTTTTTCGGAGTAGCCTGGTCGTAGGCATTCGTTCTCAAAGTCCTGAGAGCCCGAATTAGCCATTCCGCGCATCTTTTGTACTCCGCCGGCGATGCCTGAAGGATAGCAGAGCAGGGATTGATGAAAGTCCAGCATACCTCGATGTCAAAGTCTTCGTCAACTTTGATCGACTTGCCAAACATGAAGATGTACTGCATAACAGAGGCAAACTCCCACATATTCCGTATTTTATGGAGTAACGAGGGCTCTTGTTTCTCTTCCTGGGGCTCAGAGTCCTCCATTTCCTGACGTGTCCGCTTTCGCGGCATTGTGATCGAGGTTGCGAGAGAGGCGAAACGATGGAGAGGGTGGCGAGAAGAGGTTGAAGCGAGTCTATGTTGCTCTTAGGTGTCTTCTAATGCGGAATTTAGTTGGCATCAGTACACAGGCGTGATGGGTGGCATCTAATGGCGGCCAGCGAAAATGAGGTTCTACAACACTTTTCTGCCAGGGTACGCGGGATCATGAAGAAGCGCGACGAGAATGCCAAGCAATGGGAAAACCGCTCGTGCCTCTCCTGTTTGGAAGACAGAGTGACGCTGCCCTTGCCAAGTCCAGCGCCGTGCCAGTGCAGGTCAAAGCGGCGAAAATCTTCTGCCTAATCAAGCTAGAGTAGCCAGGCAACAGATAGTCAGTTTACTTACCTCACCAGTACTCACCTCTGCCCACGTTCTCCCCTTTCAAGAAGGGTGACAATCTACATACAAGGCGCAGTGCCGATGATGATCTCTGTTTTAGGCTCTGTCGAGCGCCGGTATAGCTGGTAGCTTAACGTCGGTTGAATTGAGGACTACCCTAAGGCACCATTGCAAGTTGGGAGGAAGAAGCCAACGGAAAATTGATTATTCCAGTTCCGGAATCCCTGATCCTGTTTCTCTGCCTCATCTGTTGGAACGGACTCGTCCTTGACAAAAGAATCTCCGTGCTTACATATAAAAGCCAGGCTCCTGGAGATATTATATCATAATTCTATAATCCACCATAAACAGACCGAGGGAAGATGGCCCTAGCAGGGCAACAGCAAGCACAGAATCCCACTTCAACTACGAGCAACACGACACCAAGTGCCGAGTTTGTCTTTCCGAAAAGCTACCACTTCCCGCCGTTCTTCAGTCCACAACCCACGGCGCTGACGCGACAGGCGCAACTGAAGAAATGGTCAGTATTCATCCAACGGTATTGCCAGCACCACAGAATATTTCAGATACAACTCATCGATGTTCTCGATAGCCCGTTGTTTCACAATAGTACGTTGAAGAAACGCCTCAGCCTGAAAGACGCCAAGGCCGTCATCGACTACATGGTGAGTAAGGATGGCGACGAGCGCGCGGAATGGCTTGGTCCAGAGAAGTCGGCGGCTTGGATTTGGTGGCGAAAGCCGGAGGAATGGGCAAACGTAATCGCCAATTGGGTCGACGAGACTGGCCAAAAAGGAACAGTTCTCACGCTCTACGAACTGGTCCAGGGTGAAACCACCGAGAAGCAGGATTTCTACGCCATGGACATGGACGTGCTCCGAAAGTGCCTTGGTACTCTCGTCAAAAAAGGCAAAGCACAGGTTTTTGGTACAGACGATCAACAGGGCGTCAAGTTCTTTTGATTATGCTTCGTCCATATCAATGTTTGCATCGTCCATCATTTCCAACCTCCAGCATACTGCAAGTTGCCATTAAAACAAAAGCATCCCATGATCACATTTTGACCTGGCCAGCCCACGTTTATGGGTTTGCCTTCACAAGCCAACGAGAACGCTAAGCTCGCTCACCAGATTCGACATCATACGTAGCTGTGGGAAGAAGCTTCTGCGACATTGCAGACTCAATAAGCCAGTCCGGGTCGATGATTCGAGGTGTCTTCCGACTCTTGAGAGCCATATCCCTGAAGCGATCGCACAAGGACTTGTTCCCTTCCTTATCACTCAAGAGATAAACAACGCTGTCGTCCGTATCGGTGCTAGCCTCGCTTTCCGCTCTCGTCGATGGCATCATGGCACTCTTTCGGTTTCGCCATAACATACATCGGCCACCGTTGGCTTCGACGATGGCTTTAAACGTTTCAAAGCCACCATGGATAGATTCGGCACAGTAAATGCTCAAGCCTTGGAGCAGACGGTTTTGATTTTTCTTGGCGCGGTCTCTTGAAAGTTTCAGGGATACACCAAGCCGCTTCTCATTCTGCTTATCATCAAGCTCAAACCCCCTGGGGTCCAGAAGTCTGTCTGCTTTGAGACATGAATCGATGAAATCCGTCGACAAGACCATAGGTGCATATGCTAATGCTGTGACGAACTTTTGCGTCCGTTTTATGCTTGGAGCTGCCAGATGTGTTGCTTTACTTGCATCTGTAGTTGTCAAAATACCGAGGCCTCGGAGTTGTTTCTAGTATTGTTAGTCGAAAGCGTCGTCACTGATGTCTAGCGCAACGTACCTTGTCATTGTCCTCAGCTTTGGGATGGCTGACCCATTTATCGTAGCCGGAGACCATTAAATATATCTGTGGTGGATTACCTCGTTTTAATTTCTTTGATTCCTTCTCTTTGACAATCTCGTTTTCAGACGATTCACTAGCAGATCGCTTGCGGTTGACTGGGATGCGATCTTCGTCATTCTTTCGTCTGCCACCATGGATGACTCCGCCAACGCGTTTTCGTTCTTTCTCGTAAAGTTGTATGTCTGGTGTCATGGCGTGTAGGAGGGCCGATGCAACCTCCTTAGATTTCCGGCTATGTGTCGTGGATGGCGTAATGTTTTCTTTGCCCATCGCTATGAATTTTGACACAGCGGGTGTCCTGAACTTTTCTGGCTCGCGCTCGCAAGAATCCGAACTCTTCTCTCGCCCTCGGCTGGTTTTTGCGGTGTTTTGATTCGTTTGGCGCATCAGCGCCGTCTGTGGATTTTCGGCCATCTCAGCATCTATATCTGCGAAGAAATTTTGCTCCAGAACCGTGCGATCTAATTGAGTGCTGCCAACGACATCACTCAAGTTTGTTCGACTAGGAAAATGAATGTACCTGCTATTGGTGACACTTAGCTTTCTCCATTTTGCATAGCTTTCTTCTAGCCAAAGATGATTGACAATGTCAATACCCCAGTCCTTTGCGGCTGCACACTTTTCGCTCATTCCATGCGCAGTGAGGAGATGGGTATTGTCCTGCTTGAGTGTTTTCGTGCACTCAGCTCCAGTAGCGATGATGAGGTTTTCGAGGTATGTTCGCGCGTCGCCACTATAATTTGAAAGGCTGATCTTAAGCTTCTCAAAGTCAGGGTGCGCCTCTTTCGGAATAGGGTAGTGGAGCAGGCGTCGCATGGGGGACGTCCATTCATCAGTTTGGATGAGATAATAGAGCCAAGTCAGGTTACCCACGTCTTTGCCTAATCTTGAGGCAAGTTTGTAATCACGCCCATCGCGATATTTACCGATGTACATGTCGGCCTCCGAGACCGATTCAGTAAGTTTGCCCCCGCTTCCAGTGATGATCCCGTCCAAAACGCCTCGGAGATAGGATGATATCCCCAAGTCATAAGATAGCAGGACTGTCTTTTTCTTGAAGACTCTGTCTAACTTCCGTGGTGTGCCCGAGGTCAGCATGTGTTGAGCGGGATCGAAATTTACGGCGCCTTCCACTTGAGTCTTACGTTTTGCACTCGGGGCCTTGTCCACGGGCTGCTGTAGTATTTCTGGGTTCGGAAATGTGTAAGGGTGTTCATCAATCCTCCTGCCTAGCTTCAAGCAATCGTCCACCCAATGGGGAAGGACAATCTTCACCCGGAGACCTTTCTTTCGTGCGATATCGCAGATCTCGGAATTGTAGTCGATCGCAATGATGTGTGTGATTTGGTTGGTGAGCTTTTTTGAAAACATCCCGCCCATTGCTACAACTCCTCCGGCAATAGCATCCGCGTCACTGCCTGGAAGACCTGAAACGCAGACGACGATATCAGACATGAAAAACCGTGGGTCTGGACTGTATTGTCGTGGTTGAGATAACTTGTCTTTGGCGAGGGAATGTTCAATCCATATCGGTTTAACAACCGGGATCATGGCGTCAGAGCAGGCATGGTAGTCTGGGAAGTCAGATGTGTTCGAGATAACGTGTGTGAGGCGGTCGAGATTGAGGCTGCTGTCTGGGTAGTTATCGATGACAACTTCGCCCTCGTGCAGGCGCAGGACGATCGCCGTCTTCCGGCAGTCAGCATCGGTGAGAATTGGACTTTCAATGTTCACTTACTGCCTCAGCATCTTCGCTGGTGAAGGTAGCGCTCCGGACGATGGCAAAGCTGCACTGAGCAAAGAGGCCAGCCTTGGAAGGCTTTTCGACATCCATCTCGACAAAAGGGCCGGCGCCAACAAAACTACGAATAAGACCTCTGGCCGTAGTAAGTAGTGTTGTCATTGACAAGAAGTGAGCATAGAGGGCAGTGTGATGCGACAATCTCAGGCCGCAGTCAGTGTTGGGTAGAGTGGGAACTTGGAAGGTGGAAGGCAAGACGCGACCAGGGGACGCGTGCCGAAAGTGGAAACCGCGTGGGTTTTGGAAGTGGCACGCGCCTGGTCATGTGCCATCAGCCTCGCTCAGCCTTGCGCGCCCTAGTTCCAACCCCACTCTCTCATCATTCACTATTTATGATGGTAGTCTGGCTTTGCCAGCAATCCATTAAGGGTGCATTAAAACTGATTACTGTCTGCAGTCAACCTGATAAGGCCGATGGCCATCCGTCCTCGGCGAAAACGGGGATATAGTAGGCTGGGCATTCCGAATATTCGTGTCCGAGTGCCATTTCCGTTAAGCGGATGTGGACCTCGGCAATTCTCCAGCCACTGTCCCAGGTGGGCGCCAGGTACTATTGACAATCCAAGCGCTCCGAAGAGCCTTTTGAGGGTTTGAGATCCAACTGAGCTCGACACACGGAAGTAACCACGGCTCTATATTTACTGATTTGTCCACCATGATTCTTTCCTAGAGTGATGCCTTCCTGCTCACTGCTCCCCTGCTCCTTGGAAACAGTTGAGCTCCATCTCTAACCCACCATGTCCTCCTTTCACGTTATCGAACATCAAATTCCTTGCCAGCATATTCGGGAATATGCCCGCGCAACCAGCGGATCTCAAGAGACAGTCTTACATCTAGCTGTAAAGCAATATGTGCCAAAAGACAATCCAAATCCCCAACCAGGAGATGTCACGATCGTCGGAGCGCATGCGAACGGATTTCCCAAGGAGCTGTACGAACCGTTATGGGATGATCTACATGCTCGATCAAAGAAAAATGGCTTCCGCATCAGAAGTGTTTGGATAGCTGATGTAGCACACCAAGGCCAAAGTAGTGTCTTGAACGAGCAGCTCCTTGGAAATGACCCCAACTGGAATGACCACCCACGAGATTTATTACATTTGATCAATCTCAAGAGAGATCAAATGCCGCGGCCGTTGATTGGCATTGGCCATTCTATGGGAGGTAACCATCTGTAATAGATTGTTATTTATCCCATTGAAATTGTCGAAACTGACTGTGCACTAGTGTCAATCTTGCCTACATGCACCCGCGACTGCTCACCACGCTTGTTTTGATCGATCCGGTCATTCAAAGATACTCAAGTGTGGCACCCGAAGTCGGTCCTAGTCCAGCTCGTTTGTCTACATTTCGTCGGGATATATGGCCTTCGCGAGAGGAGGCTGCCAAAGGGTTCAAGAGCAGCAAGTTTTACCAAGCTTGGGACCCTAGAGTCCTTGAGCGATTTGTCAAATATGGCCTGAGGGACCTCCCGACTCTACTACATCCAACTGAATCGAGCAGGAAGCCACCTCAGGTCACCTTGACAACGCCCGTTCCTCAAGAAGTATTCACTTTCTTACGACCAAATTACGAAGGCAATGGCGTCGACGGGAAGGCAATCAATCTCCAGACCCACCCAGACTTGAACCCTAGCCTACCCACCATCGCTCCCTTCTACCGTGCTGAGGGTCCTCAAGCATTTTTCCGTCTTCAAGAACTACGTCCCAGCGTTCTGTATGTCTTTGGAGGGAAATCAGACGTTGGAACGCCCGAAAGCTGCAAGGAGAAGATGGACAACACCGGAGTTGGCGTTGGCGGTAGTGGAGGTGCACCTCTAGGCCGAGTTCGGAGTGTGGTATTTGAGGATATCGGGCATCTGATCGCAATGGAAGCGGTCGACAGGACAGCAATTCACGCGAGCGAATGGGTTGGAAGCGAGATTAAGCTGTGGAAACAAGATGAAGAGGAACACAACCGGACTTGGAATTCGAAATCTCTTGTCGAAAAGCAGTCGATCGATGAACAGTGGAAGGCAATGATGGGAGGACCAATGGAGAGAAAGCCCAAACAGCAGAAACTATAGACGGTATTTATCCTCCTTGTGTTAGATTTCAAGGCCTTGTTATCACCACCCGTCAGGAGTATGATCGAATGACAAATACCAAGGATACAACACAGCGAACGGAAAGGAGGCTGATCTTCCTGCGGGAGACTTTCACACGCTACCACGCCCATTTTCCGCGCCGTAATGTATGGCACCTGAAGCCAAGAGCATGTGGCTTCAGAGAGATGACAAGAGAGGATCGACCGTCGTTGGAGGTTCACACAACTACTCATCTAGATGGCCAGGTGACATTGACTCCTCACTCGACCTTTAGCCTACATAGGTATCCATAGACCCTCAGGATAGATGCACAAGTAGCTATGTATACAAAGAAGTTGTTAGAAGATAATCCATTGAACCAAGCCCACAAGTACTGTTTCTTCGCAGTACTGGGAGCACAAAATGCTAGCGAAGTGTATACAGTTGTACAAAATAACGCTCAAATTTCACGCCTAAATAGTGCCATATTGCTGTGCTTCGTAGGTATCGTTAGGGTAGACTTGGTGCCATAAAAAGAACAAAAATGTACACCGCGACCGCATTCCACCAGCACTACCAGAGAGATTACACACTGAGACGTCTCTGCCTCTTGGGTCGCGTCTTCCACCACATACCACCCTGCTCATGAGCTTCCATGGTGGATGCTCCGCCCTGCTCGGAGAGAAGCCCCACGGTCTCTTCTTCCTCTGCTGCCTCTATGCTACCTCGGTGATTCCGTGATGGAAAAATACCATCATACATCCCAACAGGCATGCGGCCTCTCCTGTAACCGAGGCCTTCGCTCTCCTCGAGAATATCGAGGTGGCGGATGTTGCCGTTGTCGCCGACTCCCATGGCAGGAACATTTCCAACGTCAGGATCTCTTACGCCGTAGATGACTTTCACGTTTCCTAGCTTCTCTGCGATCTCGTCGCCCGTGAGAAGGCAGCCGTTGTCGCCCAATTTTTCGACGAGTGGTCGCAGCAGTCTCGCCGTGGACAGATGGCTCGTGTCCTTGATGATGGCTTTGTTCGCAAACATGATGACGAAGAATAGGACGATCAGTTGGGACAGGGGAACACCCACAAGGATCAAGAGTGAGAACTTCCACTTGACCTTGACGACCTGTGCTGGGCCTGGTACCATGCCAGTCGCATTCGCTCTAGGCCCGTTCTCGTCCAGCGCCGAAATTGCACCCGCCGTGAAGCTCATCACTAGGCCTGCCATATCTGCAGCGTTCCATTCGCTTGATGGCGACCATGGCGAGTCGACTGGGTAGCGTACCATCTGCAAATCATTCGTGACCGAGTTATTGTCCTCGTCGACATACGTCTCGACGAACCCAGACAATCCGATCGAGCCCGCGAAGAGCGAGGCTTGGAAATCTGGCATCTTATACACATCTAGATCTGCGTAATATTCGAGGCCATCGACAGTACTAACATTGGACTGGCAGTCCCAGAGTCGTGGAGTGAGGACTGTGTAGTTATCGGCCGATTGTAGTGCGTAAACCTGCATGCATCGAGGCCCGCAGTCCGAGGACATGTTCGCCATCCAAGTGGTTGCGCCAGTCGCGACTGAGGACACAACATAACTCATCGGCGTGCCATCCTGGGCAATCCAGCCCACTAGATTAGCGAGGGAGGCGTTATCGGTATTAAACCCAGCATAACCACCATAAGTCAATTCTAATTCTGTGCATGTCGCGGTTGCATTGATAGTGCGTTGGGAGGTCACGGCGTCAGTCCATTTGGAAACAGCACGGTCGATGAACCTGTACCAATACAAGGCCCCGGTACCGTCGGTGTAATAGGATTGTGGGTATGTCTCATAGGTGTCGAATGACATGGTATAGATACCGTAATTCTGGCCTGTGATGCCTAAACTGTTGGCAGTGGCACCCTGCGATTGAATGGGATCACTGCTAACAGGGTCATCGGCACCCTCATAATTTGTATTTGCGTCGCCGATAAATGACACATTAGCGACGGAGACGGTTCCTGCATTGAAGGTCTCAGTCAACAAGCCTCGCCGTGGTATCCAGACACCGGTAAGAAGTGGCGAATAAACATACCATTGCTCAAGGACACCCATTGCTCTGATACATCAATGGAATACGTCAGACCGAGCAAGGCGATGAAGACTTGCACAGCGACATTGAATGTTATCCATGAAAAGGCCAGAATTTGAGTCTTATTCGGCAAGAACCTTCCGCGCGTGCGTCCACCCCAGACCAGACGGAATGCCTTTGACTGGCTGTCGCAGTTCATCACGAGCTCAAAGTCTTGCACGGTCCGATATCCAGATGCCAGGAATCTCCATCGCATCATCTGCGCATAGCCTCTGAGAGACGACACGATGTTGAGACCTAGGACGAGCGAAAGCCCAGTTACAAGCGCGTTGAAAAGTCTCTTCTGGACATCGGTGATACCATAAGTCAAGGTGGAGAAGCCATAAAGTGTACTGACCAGCGCCGCGGCTATAAATAACGTGACAAAAAATTGAAAGGCACTGTTCACAAACAGCCGTAGACGCTGGCGACGGTGATCGAAATAGCGAACAGTGTCGGACGGCTGCAGTATGCTGGTCTGCTTCTCAGAAAGCTCATGTTCCCAAGGTGCCGCTACCTTGGGCACATTAAAGTGCGAGACCGCAAACTGTTTGGTATTGATCCATGCCGAAGAAGCGACAGAGTAGAACGAATTGTTCGTTCGCGTCCTGTCTGTGCAAGATTAGCGAGATTCAAACGAGCCCTGATGCCTCAAAATCTTACTCGGTCCTTTAGGCTGGATGTCTGGTGAAAATCCAGTATATGCCAGTCCGTTTGCATATGCTTTATCGCCTTGTACTTGTACTCGAGGTTGAGATTTCGGAACACTGCTTAGATTTTCAGTCCCAATTCCTTCGGGAGAACCTAAACGATCATACGAGATGGAGTTGTTGAATTGCATTTCGCTATTCTCGGGTATCCGGTTGCCAGTCAAATCTGGTTGAACCTGAGGATTCAGTCGAGAATACTTCGAGGCCTGCATCCTTCAGCCTCGACACAAAGCCAGAGAGAACTGTGGTAGGGCCCGATACGATGGGGTTCAAAGGATGGTTGAATTAATGCAGAATAGCGTCAAAGGATTTTCCAAAGAAGAGAGATTTGAATCCTTCTGAGGAAAAAGGCGGGTCTTGTAGACACCTGTTTGAAGAGCAGGGGTGCGTCTGTGTGACCAAGCTATAAACGGGGATGAAGCGGCCACTATACAACAGCCATCAACGAAGTCCAAGAAAACCCGTATGGTAAACAATACGGCTCGTAGGATCGGGTGTATCCACGATCGGCGGCATGGACCAGCTCGTTTGGGTCCAATTCAATAAGCGATGGTGAGGGAGACTTATGCACCCAGAGAGCCTGGCTCTGGCTTGATCAGTACCCCGTACCAGGGCTGATCCAAATTTATCTCCTCGAGTGCTCAGGACGAGTCCACGAGCATTGCCAGGGGGCGGAAAGTGCATGACACCATGACCTGTTCAGTGGCCACATTCGTACAAAAGCGTCCCAGGCTAGTGAAGCCCGAAGGATTCAAAGGCGAATGCACTAAGTAGGCATTTGGTGGTGAGAGTGCAAAGGTGGTTGGCTATTCATACCTGAAGGAAGGGATGGATACCAAGAGCCGCATATCCTAACTGGGGACCTGGGAAAAGAGTTTGACCAAGATTAGCCAAACACCAGGCGGCGGATTCCCGGTCCACCTGGCCTCGTAAGGCAAGGCGGTTGAAGATGAAAGCATATTCAGCAGATAATATAATTGAGTCTAAAGTCTGGACTCTGGACAGGTACCCGAGACCGTGTATGCACAACAAGCTTCAGCTCATCTCAGGTGCCAAGTCGGTCCGCATGGCTTGTAGCGAAGCCAGTCTCATCATCTGAGACATCACACATACGAGCAGAACTCCTCGGAGAGCTGTCCAACGGTTTTCCGTGCGAGGTGTCTGCGAACACAATGATAGCTAGGTGTTGCAATAGACAACCCGGTCTGTGTATGACGGAAGGGGGGCAACCCGGCCTCTTGAAAATAAGCAGCCCAGGCCCAGGCCCAGGCGTAGGTAGTTGCCACCGTCCGAGTCTCAGAAAGCTGCAAAGACACGTTCCATCGCGTGATGCTCGTGTTCGTTCTTAGGACGAGCAGATAAAGGTCAATCTAATTGGCCTCTTGGGGACGGAAATTTGAACGGATCATCAGACCCGAGATATCAACCACTGAGCGTCAGATATGGACCAGGAGGATTGAGCTTAATGAGAATCCTGCGGGCAATTTTATGGGGAGTCGGCGATGGTGATTGATGGGGTGAACAAAAAGTTCAGCCATTCCTTAGTTCTTGTTGGCCCCCACAACGCTCAGGGGGGCCTTAAGATTACCAGACGAAGATATGTATGCCTGCTGTGGAGGAACAACGGGATGTTCCCGAGCAGTGCTTCGCGTCGGGTCAATGATTAGTCAGACTCCTCCAATGATCCCTGTGTCCGCCCCCCTCGATTCTCCTGGAACCCCCGAGTGCGATTTCATCCATCCTTCTGCGAGGGTGATGAAGCGGTCCTGATTCGATTGGGCAAGAGTCACGTACACATACTGATCATTATTCTCGACATGAGATTCACTCGATCCATCAGTCCGCTGGTATACTTCAATGTAGAAGCGATTCCACGAGCACAGTGTTCACTCCTCGCCAATGGATGAACCTGCACCTGGCACCCAGGCTGGGTTGAAACTCGGTTGTGATTCCGCTCCGGCACGTTGTCACAGCAAATATTGTTCAACATGGAGGACAGAAAATCCTCAGATGATTCCATGATACACCTCCACCACTTACGGCAGGCGCCTGGAACATTTCGCGACCAGCAAAACAAGAGAGCATGACAGGGAGGACGAGGGCCAAGTCTCCCCCCTGCCAACCTCTCCTAGGGCTTGGAGAAATTCAGATCTGACAACAGATGATCTCTCAAGGCAACACTGGCGGAAGCCATTCAGTTCTGTTGTTTTCTAGAGTCCTCTCCTCTGAGCCCTTCGAGATTTAACGGATATTTGCTCTGTGTCATTACGGCTAGAGTTATCTTTCCCAAGAACTCGTCTCAGCAATGAGGCGGCAGCAAATCAGCCGAGGGAATGTACGGAGTACCTATTACTCGACCTCTGAACCTGAACACTGCACAGCAGCAATGCTACACGAGTGGATTGTGTGTGTGTGACTGTGATCCAGTATCTATCGCAGCCGTGCTACGGGCACATTCGCTCTCTGAGTCTTGTGCAAAGTACCTTTCGCCAAAAGCATCAGGAGCTTCTCCCTTAGCATTGTGCTCGATCATCTCATATTCTGTCCTATCGTATTTTCATTGACTGTTTGAGTTGTACTCGTTTTCGTTGCAATGAAGGAGTATCGACAGGCCGTCTGTGTAGGGTCACATCCTTCTGGGCAAGATTGTCCTAGCGGAGCGGAGCAACATGCGCAGACCTTGGTCTTTCTGAGCGGTGAGACATTATCAGATATGCGATCTCTTTCACCTCGCATTTCCTTTGTCCTTTCTTTGTCTGTCAGTCCAGAATCGTGTCAATGTCACTGAGATTTTACATGAGGCTGAATATCCTTGTATCATGACGCTGGCGGGCTACTGAACCACATGTAGCGCTGTTGGGTGGTATGAATAGACCATCTTTGCAAATGTGTCGCACACCCTCATCAAGGGTCTTGAAATTGTTAATAATGGCAGGCCTCAAGAGGAGAACGATACTTATGTACCCTAAGCTAGGTAGGGAGGCTGAGAATGGCTTGCGCCGGCACCCAGGTATCTGACAATGAATATGAAATCCTTCACAGTGCGCGATCAACACTGTCTCACGGGTGGAACCCGCAAATCCTTTGATCGATCAGTGAACTTTCAAATGGGGATCTGCATCAAGGTTCTGTTAGATTGTCGGGACTTGCAATAGTTTGTGTCGATCGAGAACTACACGCTGACGATGAGCACGCTTTCCACGTCGAGAACAAGCCAATATCAGCTGCAAGTATTTATCCCCGAGGGAGCTAAGTGTCCGAAACCAGCAATCCAAGCCTCACCAGTGCTCCCCTTGTACTTCAATCATCATGTCAAAGAAATGCGCAGTGAAGAAGACGATGAAGGTCGACCGCCGGAAAAAGAATGACGAGCTAAAAGGATCAAAGACGCCGCCAGCATCGCCAAAGACATTGGAGTTTGTGGATATGGTGATCAAACACCACGCTCCACATGGACACAACTGCTTACAGAAGAATGCGGGCACATGCCATGTCATGAGGCCACGATGCTTTGAGCAAGGACACATGGGCATCTGTCCAGGTTGCAAACATGCGGCATCCATCCGGCACGGCTGCGATGTATGCGGCACCAAGGGCAGGGATCTCTTGACTCTCAAGGAATCGCGGGCGCTTGTCAAGGCAAATCTCCTTCACTGGAAGCTAGAAAACGAGTCTGCTGATGAGACAGATGAGAAGGCCGAGAAGGGAGGGCAGCTTGACAACAATGATGGCCTGAAGAACACCCATTAACCGCGTAAGTGGTGTGAAGTAATCTAGCCACAAAACAAGATCGCTGATGATGAAAATACAGTTCCCCTTTCTCCAACGTTCTGGATACCAGCTCGACTAATTCGGGAAATCGGGGCTCATGGAAGAACAATGCCGTTGAATAGTCAGGGAGAGGAGTGAAATGGTGGCGGTCGTATCTTTGCGGTATGGAATGCCCTTGTCTAACGGAGGAACGACAGCTGCTTGCTGCATGCCTCACCAGAGTCGAGACTTAATGAGCACTCGTCCTAGATGGCCGCTGATAGTAGCCACGCTAGAGATTCATGCCCTACTGTCCAGGCCAAACACACAAATCAAATTCTCATTCCCAGAATTGTCTTCTTCACTCGTGAGAGAAGGTGGAGACGTAGGCTTATCGTTCTACTGATGCACCCCCATCCTCCAATATGCACGGCATAATCTTGAGTTTTCTTTCTGTGGTGCAACACTTCCATCAAGATCTGGCGCACTTGGTAGAAACCACTTGGTCAGATCCTACAGGTACGAGATCTGCATTGCTATGAAGTCTACAGCTATTTTATGACTTTATTAGACGGGTCATAACAATGAAACTTTGGTCCTCAGCCAGCGGGGTCTCGTCTAGAGTCGTCCATTGATAACAATCCAGTCGTGTAGTCCTAAGATGATGGCTTATCCATTAAAATATTGCATCAACGAGCTGTCTCCATCTGCGTTCTGTATTCTATTCATGAAGCCATGTATCCCCAACGGAGTGGTTTGTGAATCAAGATAGTGTTGACCACTGCTGTAGAGGACTGGTGGAGGGGGGGGAACTCTGCGACCTTTTCTCAAACAAAGAATGGCCGGAAGCAGATGCTCAGGCTGCGAATGCGTAGCTGCCGAGAATGGCGTATACGGACCATGGATCCATTCGGTCTCCTTTTTCAAGAATGTGTGCAACTGTGCCTGCATTTCTAATACCAAGCTCACAAGACATGTAGTACATTTGACTTGTCACCCAGTTCTTGATCATGCTACCAGGGCTTGCATACAAAGCTGCAACGTAGAATGGAAAGAGGAGCGTATAACAGAAGAATTGATGCGAAGGTGGGACAGCCTCTCGCGGAGTCGGTGAGTCCTCAAAGCCTATGAATTGTGGTCCAGATGAGCATATCTCTTTAGCGAGGTCATCTATGATGGAGTTGATAAAACTCAATGAAATAGGCTCAACAGCGGTAGTATTCCAATCAAAGGAATCTTCTTTGTAAGTAGTTCGGATCGTGTCATTCAGCATAATTCTTGTGAGGCGGATGACGTTATGTGTCTGCGTGACGTGGTAATCAGGATATTGGTCGTAGAATTGCCCAAATACCTTCTTACATGGCTGTTGTATGTATTTTCTCTGGCTGAGCCAAGCTGTAGGCATAGTAGCTGACAGTGATGAGAGCCCGTTGTCCAGTTGCTTGGCTTGTAAGACAATGTCCACATCGGAGAGTGATCCATTGCGTATTGCGCCACGAAAATCCGTTGTCTTGATGATCCAGTCTGTGAGGTTCCATTTAGGATCTTCAGCATGTAAGATATTTTCGATTTCTGCGCGAAGATTCTTCAAGGCCCGAGGCACCCGTGCATTCGCCGCGACACAGCTGATTACCAGACAGGTGGTGAGCCGGAACGAGAGTCGACGTCCAATATACCTCTGAAATTGAATGGAATCACGAAGCTTGATGAGAGCCAGAGCCCCATTGACATGGCTTATCCACGACACTGATGAGATCGGATTGTTGTTCGTAATCTTCTCGAAAAGGTCCAAAAGGAGCACGGCTAAAAGTGTGGAGTCACTGGGAAGCGTGGTTGGGTTCTGAAGAGCAGTGTTGACTAGCTTTAGTGCCGAAAGATACGTCTTCCCCGCAAGATTTGACGCGGTAGGAGAGAAGAATCGGAAGTGGAAAAAGGCCAGGCTTACAGCTGTAATACTTATATCCAGGTGGGTGTCGAGTGGGGCTGTTTTGTGTAGGATCTCGATCACATCGTAGGTTTTGGCAATGCCATGAACATAATGAGAGAAAAAGGCACCTCGAGACTTCTCTTCTATTGAGATGTCCCCAAACCTTGCAATGGTCTCAGCCTTGGATACTAGCGCCTTCTCTTTGACGAGATTGGTTTCATCCCGGATTCTCAGCTCATCGGGGTTCCGGTAGCCGGAACATTTCAGCCCAGCTCTGATACATTGGCCACAGGAATCCTGCTTCAAGTCACACTTGTGGCCATTTAGCGCAAGATCTTGTGGCAGAGGGGTGTGGACTTACGCGAAGCTTTCTCTTCCTGCATGGAAGGCATGCACGCGACGGGGCACCATTGTAGACCATGATCCGTGGCAAACCCCCAGCTGAGGACTTTGCAATATCACAGACATCAGTCTTAAGCCACCCAAAGAGCGAGGTTGTAGATTGAGAGCCGAATGGTCTAGGACCTGACGTGAACCAGGGGTTTCAAGGCTCGATGCTGACAAAGTTGGCCCTGATATCCCGACCTGGTGCCGACAACTTGTCGAGAAGTTTTGCAGAAAACTCGATCGCTTTGGATGCCGGGAGACACCCTGTACTTAGGTAATCACGATGCAAATGGAGGACTGCGGGAAAACAAAGAGCCATAACATAGCACTCCCGCCTCGCCTGGGCCTGGGCCTCCTACTGGACGGAGTACTCGTATGAGTATGTAGAGATGATGGGGGGGGAATGAGTCAGCCTCGGCTATTCCTAATAGAGAAGGAGTTACGTGATGACATCATTTGCATCGTTGCGCCGGCGGGCAAAACTAAAAGGTTCAGCAGGCTCTACCTTTATCGAACGTCGAGCATGGGCGACTCTATTCTTTCCCAATTCAGACATAGATGGTTGGCTGGGTTGAGCATCATGTTTAGCTATAAAAGGCCAGTGGTTGTCCTCTCTGTAGACCATCTTTACACATAACCAAGTTTCAGGAGAACAACACTCAAATTCACCAAAGAGCACCAGCCCTTGGTATAAGTTCGTCAAAATGGGCTTTCAATACAAGCAGGTACTCATGATTGGGGGCACATCCGGGATCGGCGCTGCCATGGCAGACCGCCTGGTTCAAGAGGGCTCCAAAGTCATCGTGGTCGGTCGAAGACAAGATCGAATCGATGCATTCGTGCAGAAACACGGAAGCACCAAGGCTGGAGGGATCAAGTTCAATATCAGTGACCTCGAACGAATCGACGACTTCTTCTCCAGGGCAACACAAGCATATCCAGACATTGACTGTGTATTTCTCAATGCCGGGACCCAATTTCCCATCACTCTAGCACAGCCAGACAAAGTCAACCTCGAGGTCTTTCATATGCAGATGATGGTGAATTTCACCGCTTTCGTCGATATCACGATGAAGTTCCTTCCATTTTTGATGAGCAAGAAATCCGAAACCAGTTTGATCTAGTAAGTTATCCTGTGTATTTGAAGATTCAAGAATGTATTTCTGACCTTCATAGCACTTCGTCCAACATTGCCATCGTTCCAGCATCGGGCCTTTCAGCATATTCAGCCTCCAAAGCGGCGCTTAATGCCTTCATTCTGTGTCTTCGTGACGAGCTCAGACTTTCCACAGTGAAAGTTATTGAGTTGTCTCCACCTGTGGTCCAGAGTAAGCATTGAGACACCTCCTTTTGGGCACCTCTGATGCGTTATAGCCGAAATACACGACTACATGGACCCCGAGACAGGTCGAAAGCTAGGAATGCCGATCGATTCCTTCACAGATGCAGCATTTGAAGGCCTTGCGTCGGGCAAGGACCAGATAGTCATTGGTTCAATTGGCCCAGCAGACACGTTCAATGAGATCGTTGACAAACGGCGTGCGGCATTTGAGAATCTTGCGAAGATGATCAGGGGCGAGACCTAGATCATTGTAGGGGGAACTTGTCAGGCTTGCAAGCACGTCAGACCCACGTGCATCCATAATTTATCTACTTCGTGCAGCAATGTCTATTTAGCTGTGTCCTCGATCTGAAGTTCTGGGCCTTCCGTTCTACTGAAGTCATAGCCGATTTCACGGTAGACGACGACTTAGGCATGAAGAGTGTCTGTATATTTTCGCAATGGCCACCCCCTGTGAAAGCTCGAGTGTTCGGCGGCTTCAAGAATCCCGAAAAAATGCCGCTAATACTCACATTCTGCACGCGCAAACCAAGAAATGGATACAATGAAGACCACCACGGTCAAGGAAGCCCTTCAACGGAACGTGAATTGCGAGAACGGCACTTGTCAACAGTCTGTAAGCCTGGTTGAGAAGTTCGGAAAGGTCTGCAATCGTCTAGGTGTAATGCTTCAGGACATCATTGGTGCCGAACCGCCTATGTTCTGGGAACAAAGCCATTAGAGCCGTACTAACTTCATTGACAGCCCGTGGAGCCAACGCACACGTTCTCAGGACGGTGCATCAAGCAAAAGTACGATGCTTGGCGCCCCAAGTGCAGTTGGACTACCTGGTTAGTTGGATGCATGGTCGCAAACAACATGGAGCGAAGAAGGGCATCTTGGTCAACAGACCTGCCAAGATGACTAGTGGTGGTGATAGGGTCACTGAAAACGCAGAGACCGCTGGCCCGAGCAATGCAAAGGCCAATAGGAGCACGGGAAAGGTGTAGGAACCACCAAAGCTCCGCGGTTGAAGTTCCGGAAGTGGGCTATAAACAATATCAAAAGGAGGAATAAAAATAAGCAGTGACAGCATGAAATGCCAAGCTTCTCGCCCCAGCGGTTGGTGTTGGACATTGGAATCGAAGCAGTGCGGCATGATCAAGGGGACAGCGGGAGTGGGATGATGTGGCGCCAGGCTGAAGTCCAGCTCGGGCATTTTGATAGAACTGCAAGCCCTTCTGGTCCGTAGCAGACGTGTTTCATCAATGAAAGCACGAAATAAGATTCGACAGTTCTCACAGCGGCGCCTGCGAGCTAAAAGGAGGTGCTCCTTGACTCAAGAAAGAAAGCTCTTCCACAAATGAGGTAAAATGAGGTCGTGATTGATCTCCGCTGGCGAGGAGCCTCAAGCCAAACTAAGGAGGACGCTAGGACATAACCTGGTTTAGCGTAAGACTCAAATCTCGCGTCGGATCGACACGTCAATATCCACCTTGAGGCCCTTGTTTTATTACCTTTGACGAGGAGGCAGTCTATGAATCTATGCAACTACGTAAACTCGTAGACTTTTGACCTCCTGTCAAGACGACCTGCTTGACCAACGGGCGACTGTGATGTCTCAAGCCAGCACAGCATCTGGTCAGTATTTCAAGGACCTCGTCCTTCGTTGTGTGACCCAAGACCTTTGAGCCACAGACTGTGGTGTTTGTCTCAGTTGAGTGGCTGCTAAGGCAAGCCTGTTCCCATGACCGAAATGGACATCCAAGGGGAGGATTCCACTGGCATGCCTGTCTCCCCACAACCTCCGGACTTGGTCAAGCCTATCCGACTGGCCAGATGAGCCTCGTCTGTTCTCAGTGTGGATTCCGAAGAGCACGCTTGGCCTTCATTGAATACGAGGGACCTGACCACGAGCATGAGAAACCCCTGCCAGTCTCCGACAAGGGTCCCAAGTAAAGCTCTATTTATCTATCCTCCGGCCACCATCTACTTGTTCAACCCTTTCCACGAGTTTAAAGAATACATTGGAGTCACCTGCTCGCGTTGTTTTCACTCCCTCAGTCCCTCGTTCGCCCTAATTCACTGTCGCTCGTTCAGATTCCTCCTGTTTAACGCATCTTAATACCGGTAATTCCACTCACAATGCAATTCACCACCTTCATCCTGGCATACGTTGCCACCATTGCAGCTGCTCAAACAGCCACCAGTTCCGCACCTGCTTCAACTAGCTCATCTTCCTGCGCTGCTCAAAAGTGAGATCTTCGAGTGCAATATGTGGGGTTCCATGGAAACTGCTGACATTAGGCTTAGTATTCTTGATGCATGCATCCCCATCATTCAAGGCCAGGTCAATGCCTGTGGTGTGACGGATTATGCTTGCCTTTGCACCCAATATCAAAACATGTTGACCTGCTATAACAACTGCCCCAATGACCCCGGTGTTGGAATTGTCCAACAACAGCGCGAACAAAACTGTATCGCCGCATCCGTGTATGGTTCGACGACCACCCTGGGAACTGCTCCTGCCACAACCTCCGGTGCCAGTGCAACTACCACTGCCACAGGGTCAGCCAGTGACACTTCTATCCACACCGGCTTTGCCTCCGAGACAGGTTCCGCAGCCAGTTCCACCGCTAGCGGCAGCAGCTCATCGGGCAACGGCGCCGCTGGTCTCGAGGTTGCTGGCAGCTTAGTGGCTGTAGTTCTTGCTGGGTTGGGATTCGTCTTGTAAAAGCACCTATATCAATATTATGCTGCCCACCTGTTTTATGCATTGAGGAGGATTTGGAAAAGAATGTGGCAGCTGCCTCGGATGCCTTGGAAGTCACATGGGACATGTCGTATTAATTCAACATAATTTTCCACGTCAGTCGCGAAGGCAAGCCGCCCGCCTTAGCTTCTCTTTCGTCGTGACTGTCTTTTCGAAGATGGTAGATCAACGTCGTTTGCTGCTTCCGCTTGTCGTTTGACACTCTTGCCTGATTTAGCTGTTTCAAGCATCTTCATGGGTTTTGCTTTTGCTTCTTCGCCCACAACGTTGCTAGCTCCGCTCAACACTTTTTCAAGTTTTGAACTGTCGTCATCTTCAAGAAGATCTTTATGCCAGAGAACGTAGGCTACCTTTTCCAACTCAACAGCTTGGACTCCTAAACTCTCCAGCACAGGAGCAACTGCGTCATATAGCTGCAGGTATTCTTTCTGAGTGTACTTCAGCTTCGCGCCTTTCAGGTCCGGAAAGAACCACAAAAACATCTCATCCTGGAAAAAGGGAATATGCTCAGGATCAAAGATGTTTAGTATCAATGTCCCAGTGGCGGGTCCAATGCCGGTGAGCTTGCAGACCATGTCCAAAGCTGCAATCAAGGTTGGTTTTGGGGGTGCTGAGGATGAAGATTGTAATTTCTCAAACGCGATAGAAGTCTGCTGCTCCACTGCCGATGCGTCATTCTTGCGGACCATCGCAGGAAGGAAAGGACGCGAATGGCCGTGCGTGCTATGAGAAACTCAGCCTCGCGAGACAATTACACATGCTTCTCTTGCTAAGACGCTGGGAGTATCAAGGTTTTCCAAGGGTGTTGCTCGCATGGGGCATAACAACAAAGGAACTGTTATTGAGAAGCAACTTACATTTTCCACTGCACCAGTCTCTCCACAGTTTTCTTAGACATGTAGGCTTCAGTCTTGTTCGGCTTCCCCTTTTTCACTTCAGCGACAGAGAGAGGTAGTTCTTCGAATCTCCACCTATCCCTCTCAAGTGCCTCATTGATTTTTTTTGAATCCTTTAGTTTGGATCTGTAGACCTTCTCAGCTATGCTTGGATAGAGCTCAAGAGCAACCTTGAAGGCCGACAGGGTGGTCGAAGAAGGTAACGGCAGTGAAGACATTTCGAGACATGTGTTTTCCTGTGCTCTTGCTTTGTAGGCAGCGTCTTGGGTGTCATCTACGGTTCTTATATGTGCAGGTTCACTTGATCTCAGCAGAAACGAAACGGAGGAGTGTCTCTAGCTTGATCAAGGACGGGCAAACATCCCACACGTGACAGAAATCCATCGGCAAAAGCTCGCTTCAATCATTTCGAGTCTTCTTGGTGATCTTCAATTCACGAAGAGCTCGTTGCATGCTACGTCAACTAGTCCCAAGGTCTGAACTGTGCGAACGATTCAAGGCTCCAAAGATGGCGACTATATTACCAAGACGAGCCGGCTTCGTATGCCAGTCGTGCAAAAAGTCACTGGCAACAAACTCCAGTCAACGACAATTCAGTTCGATAGCTAGGAGCCTCTCGAGTCGCAACCTAGCTTCCAGGCCCACGCGCGGCACTATCCCTTCCCTTCCTCAGTTACGGTGTGCTTCGGTATCAGCTTCACAAAGCAGGGCCAATAAAAGGCCATTGCCGCGTCTGCAGAAATCCCGCGAACCAGAGAGTGAGCCCGACGAAGAAGCAGAGGACGCAGCAGCCGCAGCCCAAAAAGAAGCAGCAGAGGCAGCAGACTCTGGAATCATAACGCTCAATCCTGCCGATGTTCTTGTTTCGTTAAAGCAAGACATCTCGAAGATAATCTCTGCCAACGCCGTCCCCCCTCAAGACACAATAATTGTCCTTTTGGACCTAATATATCAACTATCAAACGTGATTATCTTTGGAATCAACAAGGGCCCGAACGAGGTGGAAAATAAAAATGGCGAAAACCTAGCGGATTCTGTTCTGCGAGACCTTGCTGAAGGCAAGTCGGATGAGCCGGTGTACATCGCCAACAAGGAGATGTCGGCGCCTTTCCGCACCAACGCGGCCGGAACACTTGCTGAATTGACGTGGACGCTGGTGCGAGACCCAAAGGTCTTCATCTCGTCGGATGTCCTCAATATCTACACACGGATACAATGCCTATTAGGGACGCCAGAGTATCTCCCTGAAATATTCAATCTGTTCGCGCACAAGAAGATTCCCCACTCGAACTCATCACCGGTTACATACTCGGATCCGTGGTCTAAATTGCCTAAATACGCCGTGCCACACGCGACGGCGAGCATAGCATTACAAGCAGCGATTTTAAAAAAGAATCTTCCCTTGGCGTTGGCAGTCATTGACACTACGGTGGCGACACCGGCTTTCCGAGCCAACAAACTTCTAACCAAGGCCTCCATCCCGCTGTTGGGAGTGGGCGCCCTCCCGGCGCTCGCATATGCCGGCTCTTCGTGGGTGGCCTCGACGCAGAACACAATGGACTTTGAGATGTCCAAGTACACATCCATTGCGGCCGCGATGGCGTACATCGGCACATTGTCCACCATCGGCTTCGTGGCGATCACGACCAGCAACGACCAGATGGAAAGGGTCGTCTGGCGACCAGGCACACATCTGTCGGCCAGGTGGCTGAGAGAGGAGGAACGAGAGTTTTTCGACCGTCTTGCTCTCGCCTGGGGCTTTGAGGATAAGGCAAGGCGGGGCGAGGAGTCCGGCGAGGATTGGCAGACGCTCCGAGATGAGTGTGGCGTAAGAGACATGATCCTTGACAAGACGGATTTGATGGAGGGTATGCAATGAAAACCTCTTAGGAGAAGAGACGGGTCATTGTACGAATAGAGAATAGTCACCAAACACTAACGAAACCACTATCTCTGCCATGTTGTTCCATTCAACGGAGAAAAGCTTATAGAAGATGGTAATGGAGAGTTTGCCATTTTCTCATCACTGGGAAATGCTGTCTACTTTGTTTGGGTTTTGGTATTGATGTATCCGGATGATCATCACCCTCGACGATAATTCATCCCAAGCTTCACGAGGAGATCAGAGGTGTATGCCATTGCTGATGACAGAATCTATGACTAAGAACAAGAGCACCAGCAAGATATCCGTAATTTAATACAATCTCTTGGGAGGACTCATGCTGGCCTTGATGGTCAAGCTGCCAACGTTCTGCCATCCCTTCTTCAGGAGAGAGACGAGGTAGTTGATGGCCAACATGATGTTGCTGATGAGCTCGTCCTCAGTCATGCCGACATTTCCGACAGCGACGCCCAAGCATAGCACCTTCTTCAACTGGAACTTGATGGTGGACTTGACCTCGGTGATCTTGCTGGCCAGGTCTTCGTTGTGCGAGATCGGGGTAGGGAACTTGCCGGCCTTGGAAAGACCGGGGCCCAAGAGACGGGGGATCTGCTTGATCAGGGTTTCGGAGGACACAAAGGCATCGTACTTGCGTGCGAGCTTCTTGATCAGCTTCTTGTTCTTGTTCAGCTTCTTCAAGTCATCCGCCGACATTGCATCCACGCCGTGGTGCTTCGCTCGGTCGATATCGTGCTGGTCACCGAGAACGCTGCAAGGAAAGTGTCAGTCTTCTGTCGTATCTTGGCCCATATTTACCATAAACGGGTGGGGGAGAAAGAGTGGGCAATGTGCCATCTCGACACTTATTTGCGAGACTGCGGTGAGTAGAACGTACCAGATGGCCATGCCAGGACGGGGAACGGTGGGCAACTTGATGGTACCGGAGAAACGCTTGTCACGCTGAGGATCATAGTTCTTGAGGCCGATTTGGAGTTCGACGGTTTCGAGGAAGTTTCGCTTCTTCTCGTTCAGTGAGTAGTCAAGTAGTTGTTGCACGTTCGTGCGCACTCCGGCTGGTGGCGAAAAGCAGAGTCAGTTTTCATGTCTCAGATGCAGTTCGTGGGAAATAGGAGTTCAGCGTACCGACTGTGATTTTCGACATAATGAGGACAGTCTTCCAGAAGAATTTATGAGATTCTTATGGTGAGGAATTTGCGCTTGACGGTGGTAGAGAATATGTTCGGAGCCGTTGCAAGATCGAGGTGTGGGAAAATATGTGTAATTTGTGAGGGGCGCCAAGACAAGTTGAATTTGGGTCAGATCACGCCGCCCTATCCCTTCACCATTAATGATCCTTTTTTATAAAAGCAAAGCGGCGCTGTGGGAGGTGCTGTGGGAGGTGCACACTCGATGCCAAGGCTTCGGCAAAGTGGGCTCAATGATTGGCTTAGGGGCCCGATAAGCGTTGAATGCCGCCTTTCGCGTGGTTGGCCGGCTGCTCGAGTCCTTCAATCTGACATTATTCGGTGACACAAAACCAGGTTCCGGGGTATATACAGTGAGGTTTCAGCAAGTGTAAGTTTACTGGCCGGAGTGGAAGGTGTTAACCATTTCTATCTTCTTATGCAACTACAGTATGGCGATGTTACGTTCTATGTAATCCTCCACCAAGGGGACGTAGGGTGACTCATGAAGAGTCAGTTCGATATATTTAAAACAGAAACAAACTCAAGCATCGAAGTTCAAAACTGCTTTTCATAGATCCGCATGACATCGCAATCTTGCTATAAGGGCTTTGAAAGAGATCCTTTCCATATTTAAGACCCCTCGATGCCGCACTCCATTTACACCCTCCCCAAAGTCGACCCAAAAGAGGCCACATTCCGGGAATACTCTCAGAGGCTGAGAGCCCTACGACTCAAAAGCCTGCAAGCAGACCCAGGTAGCTGGATATCAGCTTATGAGAGCGAGGTCAATCAACCTCCCGAGTTTTGGTGGAATAGACTCAAAGAAACCCGAGCAATTCACCATGTCCTTGTCAAGGATGATTCTGAAAAAGTCCCTTGCGACATACATTCGAAACTGCTGGCGGGAGAATGGCTTGGTTTCGTCGTGATGATCATTCCCAGTGCAGAAGATAAGACCCTTGAGTATGAGATGAGTGCACTTTATATCGATGCACAAGCACGTGGTCTTGGGTTAGGAAAGCGTATGGTACAAAAGGTGATAGACACGGTCAGACAGCACGACGCGAAGGTCGGCGAGGGATCACCTTTCTGTGTAGCCAATGTCAGACATGGCAATGATTCAGCGCTCAGCCTATATCAGCATTTGGGGTTCCTAGTAATCGATGCCGACCAGATCGTGGAAAAAGAAGGCAAAAAATACCACACCACTGAAATGAGGTTTGATGTTTGGCAAATGGACGACGATGGAACCTGATTCAGATTCCAATACAGACTATCATCAATATGTAATTTGCCTGGAAATGCTTCACGTGCGTGTGATGCGTTGACAGATGACCGACAGCTCTTCGTACATAGATGACATATGGAGACGCCGAAGGCAAAATGTTGAGTCGCGGCTCCCGGTCTTGATCTCGCAATACAATTCTTGTGAAGACCATAGAAAACCCCCTTCCCCTGGAAAATGGTCCAAGCGTAGGTATGCCTCATCGAATGGTTATAAAGGGCAAAGACAAAGTCGCATTCTGTACCAATGCAGCCTGAGCCTGAGCCTGAGCCGCCATAAATCACGACTTGTTGACCGTCTGACTTCTGGACAGTTTTGGGTCTTGGCGCCGCTGCGAAGTTCCATCCTTGAAACTCGTCCACCCAAAGTCCCATCGTTCTCTTCTGTCCTCTGAACCACCTCCCAATTCACATTAATCGCCGTTCCTCGACTGCTCCCGCGCTAGGACCAGCCTCACCATCTTCTCGCCCGGTAAGCACCTCTATTTATCTGCCTGCTCGAGTGACCTCCCGATGCCCGAAGGACAAAGTGGCCACACATGTGCCCTGGCCCGGACAAAGGAGACAGCCTAGATCTTGCTCTATATCTTCGCACGATCTCGAACCTAGCGATCGTCAATGTCCTCTTGCATGATCCAACCATCTCAACTCGTATACGCGCATCCGACATTCCAACTGACTTCATCGCTTCTAGACCGCCTCACCGACCCATCCCTTACTCAACTCCGCCACCCTCATCAGCTGAGCCGCAATCATGGGCCTTACATTCTCAAAACTGTTTGACCGGCTATGGGGAAAGAAAGAGATGAGAATCTTGATGGTTGGTCTTGATGCAGCTGGAAAGACAACCATCTTGTACAAACTCAAGCTTGGTGAAATTGTGTATGTTATGAACTCTGGGTGCAGTGTTGATAAGGCGCTAACTTTACACAAGAACCACCATCCCCACAATCGGTATGATGGGCCTGTCCTCAATGCATCGACAGCGATACTGACCCTTTCCTCAGGCTTCAACGTTGAGACCGTCGAATACAAGAACATCCAATTCACCGTGTGGGATGTCGGTGGCCAAGACAAGATCCGACCTCTCTGGAGGCATTATTTCCAAAATACCCAGGGTATCATCTTCGTGGTCGACTCCAACGACAGAGATCGTGTCGTCGAGGCACGCGAGGAACTACAGCGCATGCTTAACGAAGATGAGCTTCGTGATGCTCTTCTCCTGGTCTTTGCCAACAAACAGGATCTTCCCGTACGTGACTTTCAGGCCTGGGCAGTGAACAATGCTGACATAAAATGTAGAATGCTATGAATGCCGCCGAAATCACTGACAAGCTTGGTCTCCACAGTCTCCGACAGCGTGCCTGGGTAAGAGGAATTCAAGCTTTGAGCAACTTCATAGATGCTGACACTTTTCTCCTAGTACATCCAATCAACTTGCGCTACCTCTGGTGATGGTCTCTACGAAGGGCTCGAATGGCTGAGCAACTCGCTCCGCAAGGCAGGACACAACTAAATGGACGATACATCTGGATAGCAAGTCAATCAAAGTCATTTGCATCATCGGGGTCTTCGGACACGAATTTGCCAGTTCACATTTTCTCACACTCACAAACCAGAAAGTCTTTTACAAGAATTGTCACGGACAAACACGGCAATTATCGAGCCTCAGTCTGCAACAACCAGCTTGTTCACGGTGAAACGCTCTTCCATCACGCATATGAATGATCTGCCTATGTCTGGTCTGTTGCCAAGGTCACTTTGGGGGAGTTAATCCATAGTTTTTGTGCGGTTGCTGGCATAACCTTGGCTTCGGGCGGCAGGCTCCGGAATTCTGCAAGAACGAAGCGAAGGGTGTGCAAGCAATGGAATAGAATTTCACTTTTTAAAAATCCCGAGATCGCAATTGCTTGCGTATGTATTTCTGCTGAAACTGTGTTGCCTGGTAAAGTATATAGTAGTATTGATATCACATGATGGGGGGCTGGCTGCAACTCAGCCTCAAATGATTGCCAAGCAGAAAGTGCGGAGAGGAAGACAACAACAATAAGAGCAGGCCTGCATTCTAGTACTGGGCGCCTATAGTGCCTGTTGGGTTTGCCCAGAGCGCCTAGAGTGAGAGAGTCTGGGTAGTACCCGGACGGCTCCAACCACCCCTAACGTCAATGCCCAAAAGTACTGCCGTGGTGCCTGGGACCGGGGGGTTCCTACAGCAAGTCCTGAACTCGTGGCGGATGACGAGTACAGCAACGCAGAACACCAAGGCAATCCGCTTTCTGTGAGTCGTGAGTCTTGATCTCCGCTTGCCAACTACATCCCAATTCCTCGTCCTCAACCTCGCTGGCCCCATCCATACACGAATAATCAATCTCACAAATGCCACATCTGTTTGCCTCCAGTTGCTTTCTGTCTTTCTGTGAACCCTCCATTCCTCTTTCGAGTCAACTAACTCATTTGTCGACTCATCCCTTCCTCTCCTCGTCCCCGTCCTCGTCCCCGTCTCAATCTCCGTCCGCATCGCGTCCTCCCACTTGAAAGCCGGTCCGCACCCTACATATAACTCCACGATCTTTCCTGCAGAGTCCAGCAACTACCAAGTGAAACAATGCCTGCTCCTCCACCCCCTCCGCCCCCCCCGCCTCCGCCTCCTCCAGGTATGGGCTTTGGCGGTCCTCCACCACCCCCTCCACCCCCAGGAGGCGCTTTGCCAGCGGGCCCACCTAAAGGAGCAATGAAAGGACGGGTATGTCAATCTGATTTTCCATGAGACGATCGGAAAACGAGCCATAACAGGGGCATGGTTGTACAACTATAACTGACTCGATTATAGGACGCCTTATTGGGAGATATTACTAAAGGAGCAAGACTCAAGAAGGCTGTCACAAATGATCGCTCTGCGCCCCTATTAGACAAGAATTCTAGCGGAGGGGGGGGAGGACCTGTGGCAGGAGCACCACCGGTCCCGGGAATGAGAGCACCTAGTGGGCTTGCACCCCCAGTTCCTAGTGGAAATCGAGCACGAAGCAACAGTGACACCGGAGGAGATGCTGCCATACCCAGTGCACCGCAACTCGGTGGACTCTTCGCTGGGGGTATCCCGAAGCTGAAAAAGACTCGAGGAGGAATCGATACGGGGGCTGATGGAGCACATTCCGACTCAGAAACAAGCAGACCAACACCACGACTTCCAGTCAACTCGGCACCTCGTCCGCCCTCCATGCCCGCCCCCTCTATCCCCAGCTTCAGACCTCCTCTTCCAGGATCTACCGACTCGGCGCCAGCATTACCCAGCCCGCTTGCCAATCTCAAGAAGGCACCTCCAAAACCACTCTCGAAACCGTCATCTATCGCCAATCTAGCTGCAGGAAAACCACCTCCTCCTCCACCTACAGCAAGAAAAGTCAGTAATCTCGCACCACCTCCAGCACCTCCTCCGCCACCTCCACCATCAACATCGCCCCCAGGGATTGTGCCTTCAGCGCCTCCACCTCCACCGCCGTCATTCAGTCCAGCTCCGCCTCCTCCAGCAGCCAATTCGGCTCCGCCTGCCCCTCCACCGCCGCCACCACCTCCCACGTCGAATCCAAGTCCAGCGCCCTTTTCAGCTCCTCCACCACCTCCGATGCCGCCTTCATCAGCACCGATGCCAAGAGCGGCAGCTCCTCCTCCGCCACAACCACCACCCGGACCACCGCCTCCTCCAATGTCTCCTCCTTCGACGAATGGCGCTGGATCTCTAGCAATGAAAGCTGCAACTACGGCTTTTGGGAGGCAGTCTTCTTATTCGGCAGCTGATGCTCCTCCTTCGCCTTCTTCACCCGCCTCTCCACCTGGATCAAGGCGAATATCGCAGCTGCCTTCGAGATCGACTCTGGACGCCAGTTCTTATACCCTTAGTAATGGCAATGCATTGGGCTCTCCTGGTCGAACTGGTACGTTCAAAGTTGAGGATAGTAGGTGGAAGTTCCAGGATGAAAGCCACTTACCACCACCGCGTCAATTTACCGGCGTCTCAAAGAGATATCGAGCTGGAAGAGGAAGCAGCGTTCCATTGGATCTTGCGAGTCTGGGCTAGACGCTAACAAAGCGTCTTTGTGTTACGGATTTCTTGACGACGCGACCATCAAATTTGCCAATTGACTGTCAAGCGAAGAAGTACATATTGCCACTTGACCAGAGCGAATTTCGCCAAGGTATGCTTCTTACTATAGCATCCGCAATGCTTTGGGATCACAATGGAGTGAGTCACCCTTCACGGTGCCGCGATCTTTGACTTGATGCCTCGAAATTTCATTCTCAGGCCATGGCCTGATCCAGCAATGCGACTACTGTTGGCGCTGGGCTGATGATCCTAGTTCTGGCATAATATTTTGGGTATCCTATTCACCTCAGAAGGAAGATCTGACGGCATATGTCTACCCATCAGGACAAAACAGCCAGACCCGGACCTTCAAACGCCAACAAAGTCTAATTTCAAACGGCGCACAGAGAAGAACTCCTGCAACGATGCGAACGTGACTGGAGGATGAGCCTACCAAGTGAAAGATGAATGCTTCTTGAGTGAGAAAGCTATCGAGGCTCGCAGTACATGAAGATCAGGATGGCTGAAGGCATGGCTGACAGACCTGGCAATCTAAAGACCACTCAGACAAGTGTAGGATACTCGATGTACATGGAGAACCTGGTAGGCAACGTTATAATGTATAGTCTACCCGGCATCCAACAAAGCTTTCTTTGAGGATCTACCCGTTCTTCCCTCTCCCCACGCCATAGAGACAATTAACTCTCGAATCGTCTCACCCAATATTTACTCACCTCATCGCTTGTTCACTTCCTTCACAGCACGACCTTCACTGTTTAGCGTCTATCCCATGATCATCTATCCATGCTAACGCTTGCCCATCTAGACTAGATATATCCTTCTGCCACCCCATCCTCATCCTCTCTTCTTTCTTCTAAACCATAACTCGAATTGGCCTTCCGTCGATTTTGTTGCCTAGTGAGACTTGATAGTTTTTAGTCTCTTAATTTGACATACCTATTCTCCACTTTACTAATAGCGACTTCTAGGAATTAAGTTTCTTACTTTCTTCTTCTTTACATTCCACCTTGTAAATCCTCGAAGATGCCTATGGTCTGGGACGCGAATGCTGATGCGAGGGTAGGTAGTCTCTACTTTCTTTCTCCTCTCCGTTCTTGCCCATCCTGACCATCTCTTGCTAATGTCGTCGACAGCTCTTCGCAGCATTCCTGGCCACGTCCGATGTAAAACCTGATTACCCAGCACTCGCTTCAAGAATGGGAGATGGTAAGCTGTCACTCTGCCTTCTCACCACCTTCCTAACTACTTTCTACCTGGTACCAATCCTTTGGAGATTCCTGCTTTGAGCAAACCCTCATCTTCTTTCCCAACTAGCCACTTCGAAAAACCTTATATCTCGTTCACCTTCATATGCAAGCTTATGCTTACATTTCCCTTATTCTTTCAGGTTGCACCGCCAAGGCCGTCATCCATAGAATTGGCAAAATCAAAGCCATCGGAAAAATCACTCTGACGGAGCCTAACACCAACAGAGCTGCTTCCACACCCGGCGGCAAGAAGCGCGTCAAGACTGAGGATGTTAACGGTGCTGTGTATGTTGATCACGGCGAATCTCCCACAAAGAAGGCAAAGGCTCGTCCAGCTCAGCCAAAAGCCAAGGCCAAGGCTCCTCTTGCACCTATTCAGACTGTCAAGGAAGAAGAAGAACGCAGTGAAGAGGACGAGGCAACTGCCGCTAGTGACTAGGGAAACATCAAATGTTTTCTACTACTACACCAAGACTCCCTCTTTAACTACTTTACTCAACAAGTAGTTCTCAACATACAAGCAGAACTCGACACGGCGCAAGAGCGTTTTGATTCTGGCAAAGGGTCAAAGGAAATCATTATGAAGAATCCTGGGTGTGCCATAGGATAAAGATGTCCGGCTGGGACATGGATGGACCTTGGTACGGGACTGCTGCTCCTGTTTAGTGCTTAAGAGCTTCCACTATAGAAAGAGCTTCCGTTACAGAAAGAACTTCACTAGGCAGTTGACTTCTTGAATAAGGAAACTCAATCCAGTCTCCAATACCTAATTCTGGTTCAGTCACCTTTATTTTCTATATTACCTATCGCAGTAGAGCTCTATCTTCCCACTCGCTCAGACTCTCTCGTTCCAGTACGCAATGCAACATGCTGACCATTACAGCACTAATTGACCTTATTTGCCGACCTATATACAGCCTCACTTGGCCTTCAATCCACAGAACTCAACGGGCCAGCTAACCCGCTCACCTCTTGTAGCATCAAGGATGGCGAGCCAAGTGTCTTCCGGGAAAACAAATACACCTACTGTAGATTTGGGCTCAGCCATGCATCTCGCAAAACGAAGAGCGTTACAGCCTCACACGTGACTCTCCACTCAGCTTCGCCAAGGCTAAACACTAACCGCAAACAGCACTAGCCGGCATCTCCACCCGAAAATTCCCTTCTACAAAATTCGCCCGCCTGCGTCCTTCTCTTCCTCTTCTTCTTTTTCTTTTCCTCATCATCAGTAGAGGTGTTACAAATACCATGTAAACACTTTTTACCGGAGCTCCACTACGGTGGCTTGCTGAGGGTTATTCTTCATTTCCTTAGTGGATTTCCTTCCGTTCCCGGCTTCGCAGAGCAGAATTGACAGGCACCGTCCTTTTTCCCAAAACACATTATGGTCGCGATTCAAGGCCAGGCTATGGCCCGTGACTGTGGAGGAGATGCTACAGAATTATAATGACAAACATAATGCATTCAAAACATGGATTGTGAATTTACGATGCCAATCGTTGAGACGGTTTTGTTATAGATGCCGACGAGAGATGGGGGGGGGGGTGGAGAAAGGTAGTTCGTTCATGTGCAGCGATGGAGGGAGATGATGATCAGGATTTGCTGAGATTTGACACCCTGTCGAGCAAAGCAAGGCAATTCTTGTAGAAGAATTCAGAAGTCTTCACATCAAAACACTTACAGAGTCTATTAGTATTCATCATGGTCTTTCAGTCTGCCTACCATTTTTGCTTCGACGGTCGTGAAAGTCATGAGATGTCGTCGTACCTAGCACCGCCGCTATTGCCTGAGATACACCGACCAGCCCAGCTCAGCCATCCTCCATGCACAATAATCTCTCCGAATGAACAGCAAGAGCCCATTCCAGCGCATGCCCAAATTGACACTACGAGGCACGACCGGCTTGGCCGAGTTGAATTCTACTACCGGTTGGCTGCTCATCGTTTCTCAGCGTCGACCAGCTGGCGCCGTCCTTCTTAACCAACGTCATCTCTAGCTTGGTGCCCATGATTTTGAAAGAGCTCTTCTCTGGGTCGATCGGCGCAAAGAGTGGCAGCGTGCTGGTGAACCTCTTCCCATCGCTCGTGGGCAGGTCGAGAGCTATAGTTGCTCCGTCGTGTGAGAACTCGATCTTGGTTTGCCCCTTGTCGATCTTCTTGAGGTAGAAACTGACGATCACAGTTGTGGGCGTCTGGTAGAAATCGTTGCGCACAGTTTCTAGTTTCTCTTCCGCCTTCGAGCCAGTGTCGGCGCCCTCCCCGATGGGCTTCTTCTTGCCGATGTAGCAGTGCCTCTTGCGTTTCTTGCAGCCTTCGATCTTCATGAATTCATCAAACTCCAAAACCCGCCTCTTGCAGCATGTCCATCCTTTGCTGCCTTCGTGGAAAATAGGTATTCCTGGGTGGTATATGCATTCCTCGTTATCTCTGGAGATTTTTGCATCTTGTGACTTCCCACATCCTCTCCTCTTGCAGCTGGAACCATTTGGGATTTCTGCATCAGGATCGTCGGATTCGTCTGGTGGTGGTTCCGGCTTAGGCGTACTTGACGGTGTAGGCTGTTGAGCGGCTGATAAGCTGCTCGCGAGAGGTTTCGTGACGGGTAGTGGGGCGTACACTGGTGCTGCCGAGCTGTTGGGGACGTCTTCAGGCGCTGGCTTTGGAGGTGGTGCTGGGGTGTCATCGACGGTAGAGTGTCTGCCTGTCGTACAGGGAGGGATAGCCAAGAACTCATCAAAGGTTAGGACACGAGGCTTGCAGCATTTCCAGCCTGGTTTGTCATACTATTAGTATATGTTCGTGGCAAAACGGTCTAAGGCAAGAGCCGGAAGACAGTAATCGCTGACTCAAAACATGAGATGCAGACCTTTTTGTCCTTCATGGAATTCAGGCGGTCCCGGATGGTAGATGCACTCTTCTTCAGGATCATTAAAGACCTTTCCACATCCTTTGTGAACGCATTTCTGTGCCATAGCGATTTAGCGATCGAACACAAATTGATGAGTCTGGATTGATATTATGAAGGATTTCCACAGGCCTGCGGTTTGCCAAAGAAAGCTGGTGGAATATTCAAAGACCGAGTCGCAGCTCTCTCGGCTCATGCTAGGTCCTAGAGCGAGCAGATACCAGTATGAGATGTGCAGCACAAAGTTGAATCCACGATGGCAACTGATCTGAGCCTTGGCGTTTCCAGAAACATCTGACGCAACTTCCGAGTGTTCGCAGCCTTGTTCTACTGGTCACGTGAATATCAGACCCATGTCAGAGGAGACTGCGATCTGTGTATGAGATGGACTAAATATAGACACCAGAAGAGACCAACAGACACCAGCATTTCACAGGATTGGCAAACTTTAGCAGTGAGTAGAGTCTCTTCTTATTGTTTTCGGGCCTAAATAGAGACCTTCAGCCCAGGGTACCTGCTCAGATACTGTATATTATGTACAACACAATCATCTGAACTCCTCGCTGTTCCCATCACTGCAATCTCTTCAACCTGAGCCACTTGTGTATCCAGATCCTCGCTGATGCACGAAACACACCATTCCAACACTGGGGCGGAGCATCGATTGCCAATGGACTCCAAACATAACCCCTTGAAACTTATGAAAAGAAAATCTATGAATGTCAACATGACCTCATTTCTCCACGACTAGGTCCTTCGTTTTTTCCGTTCCCCGAGTTGCCGAGGCACCCCCAATTCCCTTGCAGGACTGGGACTGAGGAAGCTAACATGCTTCTCTTCACGTTCTTCGCCTTGTCGGCGGATTGCTGACGGTCTTCTGACGTGTGTCGGCCGAGTTGGTGCGCAACTGGCCTGAAATTCGGGTGCAGGTAGAACACTGCGGGCATCATCATCATCACCTTGTACCTCAAATTCAACCTCTCCAATATCATCAGAGGCGGCGCTGCTAGCTGGAGAATGTGCTTCGTATTCCTCATCATCATCTACTAGACTAGGGGCTTGGTTTGATTCGCTAGTTGGTGATGGGTCAGATGGAGTCAATTGTGTTGGTGTTCCATGAGTGATTGGAAGAGCCATGCTTCGCGGTCGATGCGGTGTGAATGCCTCGTTGACGCCATCATAATGTTGGAAATCACCTGCTCGAGGACGCGGTGCCGATCTGTTCATACTTGTGCTCAATAGAGGCGAAGCCATGGGCGATTTGGCAGGCTTCTGGAGTTGCTTGGAGCCGGCTACCTGAGGGTGTCGACCTTGCCCAGTAGGTTGTATGGGAGTATCCACTTCCGTATCCTCATCTTCTGAATCAGATTCAGGCAATTGGATCCTGGTCTTAGCATCAGAGACAATGTCTTGAAGATCAAGGCCAAGACCTCGATTCTTGATCAGATCAGAAAGATGTGGAGTGAGGCCGGATGCTTTGAAGTCTGGAGAGGTTTTCTTTGGTGTGGGAAGTGATGAATTCGACGCCCGAAGGTTTGCAAGTTGTGTTTGTCCCGGTGGAAGGAGTTTTGCAGATCGAATCAACGGATGGACGTTTCCGCCAGTGGGTGTAAGGACTGGTTCAACGCCGACCATGGCTCCAGAATCATCATATTCAACTGGTTCACCACACGCATCTGCTGCAGCATCGTGACTCGCAAAGCTCCTACCGTGTCCGATCCGGCAATGGTTAATGAAGCCTTGGGCACTTCCGAAATCATGTCGACCACAATCAGGGCAAACCAATTTCACCATAACGCCGTCGGATTTTCTCTTCACGATCATAGGTCCAGTAGCTTTCTCTTTTGGTTGACCGTATCCTGCAGGAAGAGCTTTAAGCTTGCCACTTCGTTGTGATCGAGATGAGTTGGTAGGTTGAGCAATTTCAGTAAAACTGCCTCTCATAGATCGACTTTTCATCGGTGACTTCCCCGCAGACGTATGAGGAAGAGTCTCAGGTTCGCCACCATCAAAACGGTGATCTGGGAGAAGCCATTTGGCGTAGTGCCTAGAATATGGGCCATCGACGACACCCCAAGGAGCTGGAGACTCCGGGAGTGGAATTTTGAATGTGCTTCTAAGTGAAGACCCAACACCGTTGCTCACGCCAACTGAGAGTTGTTGAGTTGCAGGATAAGGAATTTCGGTACAGCGACGTAGTTGCTCTAGAGCAACTTGAGCCTTGGCAATTTCTTGGTCGATCAAACGGAGCTCCTTATGTTTGAGCAGAATTTCAAGACTCATCTGCGTCTGTATTACGCTCCGGATAGATTCAAGACGCTCAGACGCTGTGACTTGGTTAGTGGAATGAAGTCCACCGTCATCATCTTCTTGTTTCATTTCTGGGGGCGTAGGCAAGAAAGATGGTGACTCCGCAGTGGTAGAAAGCTGCTTTGAATCTGCAATGTCATGATTGTGAATAGAGGCAGAACTGCTGCTTTGTGTGAAACCTTGCTGAGCCTTGTTTGACACTTTAGACCGTTTCTTCTCTGGCTCAGAATCTTGATCAACGGAGGTTTTGCGTTTGAGTGGAAAAGACATGGTGGAAATAGGACCAGGCGAACCGGGTGAATCCCTGGATGGAACGAACATCCTCATTTCTGGGGAGTTGATCTTATCACAGCCTGTCCACGACAAGAGTCGCAACATATTTGGTTGCTTCTCTGGTTTGCGCAGCGATGATTCTGCCGCTTGTGCGCGCTCATTTGTGTTGCTAAGTCACCAAACAACAATGTTTCCACCACCAGCCATGTGTTTGTGCAGTGCTAGTACTTCACTTCGTTGGATGATTTCCAGTCAATACAATAATCAGCGAGAAAAGGCCTTTAGTGGTCCAATATGGTGTGAATCTCGCCAATCAGGACAGCAAATTCCAAGAACTCGTTGTTCGTTGGTGACTGTTGGTCAAACAGTATTGGTTGCCAGATGGAGTTGTAGGCGCGGAGCTATTCGACACGGCGAGGATGAATTACAATGATTAGAAGGGTATATAAATGCGCACAGCGCCTAGGGGTGAGAACAATTGAAGGATAGAGGGGTGGTCGTCGAGCAGTGGCGAGGACAAGTGGTGTTGAATGAATGACGCAGAGGTTGTGGATAAGCGGATCCGGATGGTTGGCAAGCGGCTGAAGGAGGCGAGAGTTGTCGTCGAAAGGCAGAGACCGAAGATGATGGAACAGAGGAGAAGATTAAACCGTAACAGAAAGAATGGGCGACAAGAAATAGATGTTGAGACAAGGTAGAAGGCGACAATCAGTAAAGTGATACAAGTGGGAAAGTGGTAAGGTTCAGAGAGGCAGTAGCGATGCAGATGGGAAGAGGATGAGAGAGTCAAAGAGGCAAGAAGCAAGCAGGCAGTGTGCAGTTGCAGGGTGGAAAGAGAGAGAAGGGGAAAGGGGGGAGGAGCGATGGGCGACGGGCGATGCGGGTGTCAGAGCCACAGAGGCCGAGAATGTGGCCACGACTACGGCCCACCATAAATCGGGTCTAGGAAGTTCAGGAAGCCCTTCCCCCAAGACACAAGTTGTCAGGCTGCTCCATGACAATATAGGTGGATCCAAGCACGGCACTTTAAGCTAGCGGTTCATCCAATGAAAATGTGCCAAGATAGGCTAGCAGGGCCTTTGGGCCCACCCATCAGGATGTAGTGGGTCACAAGTGCATAAATAGGCAACTCCGGATTAACCAGTTGTGCAGGAGCAGCCAACACCCACGTACTGGCTACGAGTAGTCACCTGATTCCGCGTCTCACTGATAAAGAGATAGGAGTTATCATCCGAGCTCTCGGATTTAGTGCTGCACTCACTGAATGAGTGAGAGTCCTTCCCCACCACCACCAACGTCTGTCTGTCCGAGTATGTTCCAAGTGGCAACGCTGTGTTTGGATGGGCAATGTTAAGTTAGTCCTTCACCAATGGAATGGCTCTAACCATCTGACACACCGTTGCCTTGCACTCCCCCTTGCGCTGCTTCCTTTGTCTTGATTAGGCAGAACACTTTGGCGGACCTCCAGGCTCACAACACGTTTCTTCTTACTGTGGTGCCATATGACTCTTACTCTCCGGAATCCCCTTGCGGAGGTGGTCACGTGCGACCAGGACCAGTCATTCCCCTGGAAACACAACCTTGTAGATCATGTGTTGACAATCCTCGGACCATCTTCTAATAGCACATGAATTGGCATGTGTGCGCACGTACATTTGATTCATCTCATGTTTTCGACAGCAAGGTCCACATAATTTGATAGACCCACCAGAAAACACCCAGCCAGTGGCATCGCGATCCAAAGTCTCGCCGTCTTTGCAAGAGCCAAGGTAGGTATTTGATGCGACCCTGGCCGAAGCCAATGTCTTTAGTGCGTGCTGGAGCCCCTTCAAAACAAGGAAGGCACAGATATCGATGTATATGAATCCTTTCGCCTCCTGGAAGAGATACAGCCAGAAACGCTTTGTTGCTGCATCCTTCACCCTGAAGCAGGTCCTAAGTGATGAGATCATGCTCTAGAACAAGCCATGTCGACCATGCTTGTTCCGAGTAGTCCCTAGCAACATACAGGAGAGCCTCGAAATCTGAGTGTTCTCAATTACATCTGTACATTAGCCGGGATCTGTTCTCTGCCTGGTCTTCCATCTGCTGCATTTGTCTGCTTCGCACTTGCTAGGGCCCTGAACTGCAACCTTGAGCATGCAAGGTCAGAACCTGGATCTAGATTTCCTCCGGAGATGCGAAGGACCCTGATCGAGTTGTACCTCCGTATGTCGAGACGGGGTTTGTCAGGCGCATATCTACTTAGCACCTCAATCCAGGTCGAGCCCTAGCACGTTGACATAGTTCGCAAGAATCCTATACGGAACTTTCAGAGAACGAACCCATATGGTCTTGTGTCGGCGCCTGCTTAGGCGAACTTCTCGGCAGCCTGGATCATGGTTGGACCTGGATCCCAGCAAGGAACCGAAGCATTAGCATTGGATGAAGCAAGAAGTCCCCAGGCAAGTACCTAATGGGATTGAAGGCATCGAACCGCCTGTTTCTAAAATTATACACTTTGATACGGGAAATTCGGCTCGAAACTTGGGCACTGAGAGTATCGTCACTTAACGGCTGCTGCAGGGTCTTAGCGTTGACTCAACTTCAATTCTCGTGAAGTAGACAAACAGCGTGATTGCCTTCACCTGGGGCGACTATTTCATGCTCTCCATCTGAAGATCCAGGGTCAGGGTCAAGTCCCTACAGTCCAACGCCCAAATAGGTTCATTCTTGCCGAAAAACCCGAACGATTGTCACGAACCACGTTAGTTTTGCCACTGGCGTTTGGCTTTGACGCCACTCGCACCGCCACAATGTCAGCCACTCATATCTCGAGGGGCATTTTGCCCTGCGTGAGATCGTCGTCCAGACGCTCAAGGGTTCCATCAATCATCTACCAATATCATGCTAATACCATACTTGCTTGCGGTTAGCACAGCGTACATCCATGGGTTCCATCAATCAGCAGCAGGTATTCTTGTAAAGCCACACCTGAACCTCTGGTTCTAGAACCACGAAGATCTTCCTCAGCAGGCTCTCCAGCTTGTTTTCTTCCTTGCCGTGCTGCCTTAGTGCGAGCGCCGTCGCGCATGCCACACACACTGATCTAATGGCTTGTTTGGTTGTTTGGAACGATCTTCTGAGCAATGAATTGACAGTCGAGTAATATCTATTGCGCGATCTGCCTGCGCAGTTACTATTCTATTTTCTTTCTACTAAGTGACGCCAAAAATGCGGCAATGTGCCTAATATCTGTACAATATTAGCTGAGTTGACTATGTCTGTATAGTTCTTAATGTTCTCAGTGGCCCTAGATCAGACCGATCAGACTGCGGGGGAAGCCTTTACTGGCAGACAATAAGGATCGGATATCAAGTCAATTAATTGCACTTCCAGGACCCTCAGTGATCATGAAGTGGTACAGCTTCCTTCTCCTAGCGTCCACTTTAGGACGGACGACGGCGCAAACGACCACAGCAGACCCTTTGGGCCAACTCATATCCGAGGCTCTCTCTGTTTACACCCAAGTTACGTCGATAATTGAGTCGGTGGCCTCAGCAGCCTCGGTGGCGGCGACGGCTTCGTCATCACCAACAACACTATCGTCAGTCAGGAGAACCTCGACAGCTTCGAGTGATGATGAGACTTCGAGCACTTCGAGCGCAAGGTCAGCGTGGATTTCGTCAGGAACTACTTCTTCGAGTCCCTCGCTGTCTACCTCAAGTCTGGTATCGTCTTCCGCTTCAAGATCAAGTAGTACTTCCTCGTCCAATCCAACATCTGCGCTGGCTTCATCTACTGCCTCTTCCAGAACAACATCCCTCTTGGGAACATCATCTGTCTTGGGAGCGACCGCAGAGACTGGTACTGCCATCCCTTCTGCATCAGACTCAGGTGGTGGCGGGCAACACAATCTTGCGATTATATTAGGCACTGTGTTAGGAGCTCTTGCGCTGGGTCTGTTCATCTTGGCTCTGATTATATGCGGCAAGCGCAGACGTAGCCGATCTGGTTCTCCACGACATCGAGCGCTGTCACCTGGAGACGATGAGGTGGACAGCTGGAGAGTAGCTCGACCCTCAGGCATGACCAGCACTTCGAATCATCATGCATTTGTCGCTGCTGGTGCAGCGCCTCTAATGTCCCAGCATCCTGCATTCCGCGGTCAGCAGCTATCACACGAGAATCCTTTCGTGCCAGTCCCACCTCCTCCGAGAAGATCCACCCCCAATTCTCGCGCAGGCTTGACCGATGGCATGGTTCCTGGCGGCGATCCGTTCCTCGAAAAAGAAATTCGTGGGAGTGGCAGACCAAGCACTTCCAGAAGCCGCGATAGCTCAAATCAAAGACTGGGTGCTCTTGCCGCTGGCGTTGCAGGGGCTGCTGTTGGTGCTGGGCTCATACATCATCACAACCGCAAACAACAAGATGACGAGAAGACGCTCGTAACAGAGGAACCGTCCCATCCAGCTACAGAACCCCAGTTTGAGCCTAACCCAGTACCTCAATCGAAGATCACCAGGAAACCTGTTCCTATCAACAGTATCAATAACAGCGACCTCTCGTGGCCATATTCTCCCGTATCGCCCATCGATCCGGCTGCTGAGTCGGCTGCTTTGGCCGAGTTCCCTACTCGAAGCAGCCAGGAGTCACTCCGGAGTTTCAGCCGTGATGCTGCAAGAGCAAACGCTGCCTTTGACCGAGAATATTCTCCTCAAACCGGCCTGCTACATAAATCTGATTTGGAGACTTCTCAGGCCGACAGCCATGGACATGGACAAGCTCTGGCGACGGCAGCAGCTGGGCTTGCTGTAGGTGGTATTGGTGGAGCAGCATTGGTTCGTCATCACGACAACCAGCGACGTTCGCGAAGCAGTAGCAGCGGCAGTGGAAATCGTTGTGGTTTTGGACCTCATAGTCACAGTGAATCGCCTCATCGACTATCAGACCCTTTCCAAAGAGATGAATCAACTCCACTAAGCTCAACCGACAACAGCAGCAACAATATCTATGCCTACAGCGACGCGCTACCAACACAACCTAGCTATGGTTACACAGCAGGCCAAGCGGAAGAACCCATACTCTCACAGCAAGTTGCTCCCCCTGCTCCTCCTGCTGCCGCTGCCGCTGCCGCTGCCCAACCTCAACCATACTCCCAAACTGACCCATACGGTATCCCGCCTGTCCCCGTGACAGGGAGCCGACGCAAAAGCACCCTTGGGACGGCAGCCCCAGGCGCAGCAGCGTTCAGCTACATCAACAGACCTGCAATTCCCAGCCCGCTATCCAGCGAGGTCAGGCACGACTATCGTTCAGACCCACCCCCACGCATGCCCAGTCGCAGTCCACGACGAAGCAGCCGCGGCGCTAGTGGCGGCATCAGGCGTGCATCACAGGACTCAACACCCTACGACGATGTCTACTCCTCCAACCCAGGGATGGTCAGCAACCGCAACGACGACTACCAATACCATCCCCAATACTCCGAGCCGCAAGACCTACACGATAGCGTTCTCAGCAGGAGCGACAAAGCCATTGTTGGCGACAACGGGTACCCGCACATGGGTATCCCACGGCGAAAGTCGGGCGGAGAGTACGATTTCGAATCGAGTGGGCCGTTTGGGCCACAGACGCTGCCTGGGAGTGCACCGAACGACGATGCTGGGACACGCTCGTCGACTCTCAAAAGCGACGATAGCACGTGGCGCCTGAGCAGCGGAATGCCTGGTGGTTGGTGCCGTGCCAGTGGAGAGCACTCGCGGCTAAGCGGTGAGCAGTCGACGTGCATCCCCGGCCGTCTGAGGGCCGGTGGAGGTGGAGGTGGATGGCATCGGTATTATGAAGGTGTTGGCCAGGCGCTCTGAGTACTATGCCTACGAATCATTCCTCTTACTTGACGCGATCTACGAGACGACCATATCATATATATACATAATCCCTGAACTGTTGTTATGATTGCCCGTAACTAAGCACTGAGACCGGCTCCCACCTGGCATTGTAGGAGATGCCTCGTAGACTATATATCGTGATAGCTGTTAAGAACGATTGATGTTAAGTACAACCGCTTTTTTGATGGTGGTGGCATCCTGTAAGTCAGGCACCCATTAAATGACCCACCCCATTAATGACCCACGCGTCCCGACGCGTCTTTTCTTGCTACTCCCTGTCTTCTACACCCAACTACTCGTACAAATCACCTTTTATATAGATAAAATGGCATCCAATCGAGAGCTCAGGATCCAACAAGCCATTAGTGACTATGAAACCCGACGTTTTCCAACTATACGCTCCGCGGCGGCGGCAAATGACGTGGATCGTAAAACTCTCGGCCGTAGACTACAAGGAGGTCTTTCACGAGCTATTGCTCACGAACCAAGGCAGCTATTAACAAACCAACAAGAGCTACTCCTCGTACAATGGATACTTAACCTTGAGGCCTAAGGATACCCTCCTAGCTTTACTTAAGTACGAGAACTTATCGGTATTATATAAGGCGATGCGGTAATGCTATCGGTTATAACTAGCTATTACGATTTATACGGCGTTATCTAGAGATCTACTTAAAGGTAGGTAAAAAGATCTATAGATTACGCTTATAGAGTACTACTCCTAAGTCCTTAACTCGCTAGTTTAAGTATTTTAAGGCCGTATAAGAGCGATATTAAGTTCCATAGCACAATATCTTTAATATAGATGAGATAGGCATCGCTTTAAGCGTGTGCGCCAACTAACGAGTAGTTAGTAGGATCGATACTACTTAGTTATATAAAGTAATACTAGAAAACCGTGAATAGATATTAATTATCGAGATAATATTAGCGATTAGCCGTCGACTTTAATGCCTCGTTATATTTAAAGGAAATATACTCTAATCTACTTAGTTTAGCGATCTAGACCTTCCTAAGTACTTATATACGGTCTCACTAAACGGCTAGACCTTAAATAATATCGGATTAGCCTAGCTACGTTAGATTTTTATCCTATAAGGGTTTAGCTAGGAATTTAGAGTAATTCGTCTAACTACCGTATAACGAGGATTCTAAAGCTAAGGAGAGAAAAGAAAAGAGAAAATCTATCTACTGTACGAATAAAGGAAATACTCCCTAGCTTCTCCTATAGTAGGTTAGTATAGTTTCCTAGGAGATAATCGATAGAGAGGAATTACGTAGCTTCGGCTATATAGTTATATAGCCTAAAGGTATACTACGAGTAATCGCTCTAGGGTGTACTCTAGAGCTTTATACGGGTTTAATCCGTAATATTACTCCCCTCTTCTCTCTGTATAGCGCTAAAAAGCCGCTACTCCTAATAGAAACTAGTCGGGCGCCGAGTAGCGTATAAAGTAAAACCCTTATCTCTACTTACTTTTATCCTACTTTTTCTTCTCTTATACTAATTATCGAGGAAGTTTTTATAAGTACTTATTTCTACTCCTATTACGTACGATTATTAGCCGTTACTAACCCTTAAACGTTCGTAGTCGATATAGTAAATAAGTAAGCGAACTAATCTATTTCCTCCTCTTTAATCCGCCCTCTATACTCTAAGCCCTAGGCCTTTCCGTTTAGTCGTACGTACTAATAGAAGAACGGAAAAGTTAAGATAATATAGTATTAGTAGTGTAGGATACCGCTACGGCTTAGCGTTAGTTAGAGTAGCTCGCGCTAACTTAAATCCCTATTTTCCTTACCTTCGGGTAATCGCTAGCATCGTACTACTATAATGTCTCTTAACGGGCGGTCTTAACTATACTAGGAACTAACGTACCTTTCGTACGAGGAGTAGTTACTCTAGTATAGGTCCGGTCGTACCGGCTATTATATATTAACGCCTTACTTATTTAGAGCCGGAGTATCCTTTTCGGTCCTTATAACCGTTATAAGCGCTTAATACGCCTATTTCTAGAGTATCGACGTATCCTAGGATACTTCGGAGGTACGTACGGTAACTATAAGTAGCCGGACCGCGGTACTCGTTATTCGGAGCGCGATAAAGACGACGATAGTAGTATTATAGTACTATCGTCGAATTCGTTCGATAACGACGGCGCTCCCTCCCCTATCCGTAAGGCTCTCCTCCTCCCTTCTCCTCCTTCTCGCTTCGGCGAGGTAGTTATAAAAAGGCCCGCCTCTTAGCGGTAGGTACGTACGATATTTCTTTTATTCTCTTATCCTCGTATAGTACTTATATTAATACTAGTATAATTCTAGTAGATAAGGGATATTCTCTATACTTAACTATAGCTTATACCTTAACGTAGCGGTTAAGCTTCGCCGTATAGTAACTAAATAAGCTAAATATATATAGTATAATTAGATATTTTATTACTCTTATAGTTCCTTCGTATATACTCTCTCTTTACTTCCGTATAGTAATTAGGGAGCTAATTATCTCGCTATCGATTCGTACGTATCTAAAGCTACGATATCCTAGAGCGATAATTCCGATTTCTAGGTTAGTTCTATATATCTCGTCTATTTTACTAAGTACTATCTTTAAGACCCTCGGCCTCTTCGTACGAATTTATAGCGGATAATCCTTTTAATCTAGTATTCTTCTTCGTCCTATATAACGATAGAATTCGGCTAAGTATCGTCGGTAACTTACGAAGGTAATAGATTCGTAGATACCGTACGTAGTAGGTTCGAATAGAATACGTTATAAATTCCTTTTAGCGTATTAAGACGATAGCTATACGATTCGATAACTTTAGTTACGGTATACTTCGTATTCTTCTAATCGAGCTTCTTACTCTTCCGCGTCGTACGTATATTCCTTAAGTCGAGCTAGACCTTATCGCCTACGCGGAACTCTATTAACTATTATCTTATACGATTTATAATTTCCTCTTACTCTTATTAAGTAACGGCTATAGAAGTCTAAGCCTATTCTCTCGCCTTCTAGAGTTTTCGTATAATCTCTTCGCCCTATTATATTAGGCTATTTCCTCTTTTATCTTCGCGGAGCTTATCTTATAGTTATACGAAGTCGATATTATATTCGTAAGATAGGAAGAAAGGGCTTATATTAGTCGATTAGGCGTTCCTATTATTAATTACTAACTTAGCGATTAGTAGTAACTCTACCTAATTATCTTAGGCTTCGTTTACGAACGTATATACGTACGTCTCGACCGTCTAATTTATTCGTTTCGTAGATCCGTCCGTTTTAGGGTAATATATAGTAGATAATCGGCGTACGATACCTAGTAGCTAATATACTCGTTTCTATAGGACGCTTACGAACTAGGTTCCTCTATTCGATACGATAGCTCTTAGTAAACCGTAGGTCCTATAGAATATACGTAGAAATAGAAATACTATATCTTACGACTTAATTATATATATCGGTTTAAGGATAACTCCTTTTCCTAGTCGGTCCGTAATTACCGCTAAATTCGTATAGCCGAGACTCTCTAGGAGCTCTATAATAAAGTCGATAGATATCTTACTCTATATTCGATTCGGTACGAAGAGAAGTTTTAGAAATCCTTATTTCCTTTTCCTCTAGGCTTTTATTTATTCGTAGGTATCGTAGTTTCGTACGAATCGTCGGATATCTTATAGTATATTCGGCTAGAAGAATTATTTTACTATTAAAGAGCTCGTTACTTCTCGCCCGGAGTATTCGCTAATTACTAAGTCGTAGATTTCTTAAATTAGGAACGTATATAAAGGTTCTAAGTTCGGAATCTATAGTCTTCTATAAAAGCGTATATTCCCTTAGCTATCGATTATATACTTAGCGATAAATACTTTTACCGCTAGAGATAATAGAAACTTCGGTACTCCTCGAGTAATCGAATCCTTAATCTACTCGTACGTTTCGTCCGACTCTACTACCGTAAACTAGTTAGTATTAACTACGTTACTCGCTAGTTAGTCTTCGGTAGAGAGTTCTTCTACTCGTACGGAAGCTACTTAAATCGCTCCTTTCGCGTCGAAGAACTTCGGCTTTAGTAGTCTTATCGTACGATACTATAGTCGGTCGTCCTCCTCTTCTTTTAGTATATTTTATTCTCTTCGCGATAGCGCGTCGACTTATACGTTATTTTTTCCTTTAAGGTAGGAGATTATAAAGTTATATTATAAGAGGATAAGAGACTATCGTATTTACTTCTTCGTAAGCTTTCGTACGATTATAAAGTATTCTAGATTCTTATAATTTAATCGTATCTCGAACTTACCTACGCTTCTTAACTTAGCGTTCTATTCTTTAAGATAACGTATAATAGCTAGTATTTCTTTATTATATATTTCGTAGTTATATTCCGCGAATAAGTTCTTTTTTAAAAAAAATATATAGAGTCGTACGAAACCGTCCTTTCCTACCTAGAATAAGATACTACCTATATACTATTTAGAAGTATTAACTTCTAGAAACGTTTCTTTTATATAGTTAAATAGAGCGAGGATCGAAGCTATTATAAATATCTTCTTTAGTCGTACGAACGCTATATCGGCTTCCGAATCCTAATAGAAAGTCGAATTCTTCCGTACGAGTTTTATAATCGGTAGGATTATCTTTAAGAAACCCTTAATAAACTTTCGGTAGAAGTTTACGAAACCGATAAAACTCTAGACGCCTTTAATAGACTTAGAAGGTTACTATTCTTAGATTATAATAACCTTTACTAGATCTATTTATACGCCTTATTCCGCGTCGATAATAAATCTTAAGTACTTTACCGACTTAACTTCGAACTCGTATTTATCGATATTAACCTAAAGCTCTACTTCGTAGAGTCGACTTAGGACTTTTCGTACGTAGTTTTAATGCTCTCGTTATATTCCCGAAGAATAGATTAAGATATTATCTACGTACGCTAAGTAGAAAACGTTAAGGTAATCTCGTAAGGCCTAGTTAATATACTTCTAGAACGTACTAGGCGCGTTAGTAAGTCTAAAAGGAGTAACTAGCTATTCGAAAAGGCTATATCTTATACGGAATACTATTATCTATTCGTCTCCTTCTACGATTCGGATTTTATAAAAGGCCGCGATAATATCGAGCTTCGTATACTACTTTACTTATTCGATATTCCGTAGAGTCTCGTAGATTAGTAGTAATAGATATCGATCCTTCTTTATTAGCTTATTTAGCCCTCGATAGTTAATATAAAATCGTAATCCTCCTTCTAGCTTTCGTACGAAGAGAACTAGAGCCGCCGCTAACGAGTTACTTACTCTAATAAATTCCTTATTAAGGAGTTTAGTAAGCGTACGTCGTAGTACTAAGAGTTCGTCTCGAGATATATTATATAGCGGGCCCTACGGAACTTAAGGTTTCTTTTCGTCTTTTAGTTCGAGGTCGATCGCGTAGTCGATCTCCTTTCCTCGTAAAGGAAGTAACTTCTCTACTTCCGTACGACTAAAGACGTCTAAGAAATAGTAGTACTATTAAGGAAGCTTCGTACGCGAATTAATAGGCGTCTTTACTCTAAGTACTTTTTTAATATTCGCTATCGTCGCCGAGAATACCTAGGTCTTCGTACGCTTCTTACTTCTCCGAGCTAGTAGACCGAATACTACGACGAAAACCTAGCTATAGTCTAAGGGCGTACGTAGTTTTCGTAGTATATTATAGACCTTTAGATCGGAATAGCCTATTAAGAGAGAGTCGTTCGCGGCGCTAAGACGTACGTCGTTCTTCTTTATCTAGAGTAGCCCGAGGATAATTTCGTACACTAGATTCGGAATAATATAGAAGAACGCTATTTTCTTATAGCTATCGATATCGATTTTAACCTTCGCTACTTCGGAGATTTTAGATCGTACGAAGGAGTCGAATCTAGAGATTAGACGAAGAGTAATAGGAATACGCTCGAAAGAATAGCGAGAAGCGAAGCGAGAGTTAATTAAATCGTACGATAAATAACTAGAATTAATTAGAGTCGATATATAATATTACTTATTTAAAAGTAATAAAACTATAAAGAATTAATCGTCTATCGAGGGCCGAAAAGCCTTCTATTTCTTCTTCGTCTTCTTCGTACGCTTCTATCGACGACTTCTAGTAGGAGCTACTCTTTTAATGGTTCCTTATTATCGTCTATAATCTCTAGTACTACTACTCTCCTCTTCGTCTTAGGTCGTACGACGGAAAGGAGAGGGTATTTAACGATAAAGTAGCTCCGTTAGTCGTAGCGAAGATACGCTCCGAGCTTCCTTCTCTAGTTAAGTATCGTTTACGATATCTATAAAGCTCTCTATAGTCCCGCTAAGGACGCTATAGCTTATACTATCGGCGTCTAATCTATCTTATCTTTCGTACGACTAGTAGTACCGAATAGGTTACTCCTAGATATCTTCTCTCTAGCTTTCTTCTATCGAAGAGCCTCTAGGTTTATACTAATCGTATAAAGAAGAGTATAGTACTCCCTATAGGTTAATAGAATTAGCGTTATAACGAGGGCGCTCTTTAAGTCGTACGAAAGGTAGTTTAATATAAACGTCTTCTTTACCGAATCGGTCTAGTCTAGTCCGTCGGCCTCGAGTAGCGTACGATTAAACTCGGCGAGAAATACGCTAAAGGACTTTTTATCCTACTTTAGCTAAGAAAGCTTTCGTAATACTCTTTCTACGGCGTCGACGTCCTCGTACGCCGCCTTTAATTAACTAATAAGTTCTTCCGTATTTATTTCGAGGATTAATTATACGGAATTAACCTACGGGCTAACCTAGGTAAGGACGTAGTTCCTTAGTCTACTATAGAGATACTAAAATCGTATAGCTTCGGTTTCCTCTTACTTATCGACCGCTAACTTAGCTCGAGCTTAGGTAAGCTACGACCGAAACTCTAATCTTTTTCTATTAAATTTAGCTAGCTCGGGAAGCTTAGCCTTTCGTCGTATAGAGTCGGATTCCTATATAGCGCTCGCCGTCGTAGAAGTCGTTACTTTAGGCGTACGAGCTCGTACTCTATTCTATTAGCCGAGTTAATCCTCGA